GGGGGGGCAGACGCGAAGCGGCGATTGAGTGGAATCGGTGCTACCTGAGGTATAACGTAAGGTACGATGTATACGGTACCTTGTATACCTAAAGGTACTTCGTAATTTAGTCCAAAAAAGGTACCTGACTTTCGATACCTCGCATTTACCAAAGCACGTCCAATGTCTTAATGTTGGAATGTTCCCCTCCATTGCACTTACTCTTCTTACCTTACCTTATTCGTATTCACTTGACCGGCACTGATAGTAGGATCGGTTTGCTCTTAAAAGAAAATAGCCAATTCCAATATGTCTATATGCTTAACTTGCCAGTACAGGTGATAAACACCCGAAACCTCCCATGACAACAACGCCGGCTAGCAATAAAACAAACGCAACGTACGTCCCATATAACTATCCGTATATACACAAGGGCACAGCCAATGCCACCTAGTTAAGTGGTCATGTCATTGGTGAAAGGAGAAACGTCTTGACCTCTCCCATTTCAACGGACCATGGACTTTCCAATTTCGCTCTGCCAACCCGCAGCCCGCTCAAAGCCGTTGGAGTGTGTTTGATAGTCCGCCAGGGCTTGGTAGACCTCATCCTTCGAGGTCAGAACAAACGGTCCGTACTGGATGATGGGCTGGTCCAGCGGCGTTCCGGCGATGAGGATGACGCGCGCGTCGCCTTCGGCCCCCGCGTCCACCGCCATGTCGACCACGTCGCCCTCCTGCGACAGGACGGCGTTGTGGTATTGGCCCACCGGCTGCTGCTGGTCCCCCTTGCCGAGGAGGACCTGCCCGTCGAGGACGTAGGCGAAGGCGTTCCAACCAGCCGGCAGCGGCTGGGTGACCTTGCCGCCGGGTTTGATCTGCAGGTCCAGGATCCACACCGGGGTGTAGGCGAGGTCGCGCACCGAATCGACGCCGTGGCTCTGGCCCGAGATGACCTTGATGTGGACGCGGCCGTCGTCGGCGTCGACCGTCGGGATCTCGGCGGCCTTGAGGTCGCGGTAGCGCGGCTCGCAGGCCTTGAGGTGCTGCGGGAGGTCGACCCAGAGCTGCAGGCCGACGTTGGCGCTGCCGTCGGGGTTTTGCCTGGGCATCTCGGCGTGCACGATGCCCCGGCCGGCCGTCATGAATTGCAGGTCGCCGCTCTCGATGGTTCCGGCGTTGCCCGCGAAATCTTCGTGGTCGACTCCTCCGTGGAGCAGGTACGTGATGGTTTCTTGTCCGCGATGGGGATGGTCGGGGAAGCCGGCGCCGGGCTTGATGGAGAAATGATCGAGCATGAGGAAGGGTGACAGGTTGCGTAATTGCGGGGTGCCGATGGAGCGCCTGACCCGGGCGCCAGCACCTTCGGCTTGTTCAACGGCCAAGAAGGCCTTGCGAATTGCGCGAGAGACCGACATTTCGGTGGCTTGAAGGTGTGGGGTCTGGGTGGTGGCTTTGTTGATGTTGAGCTGGCTGAGGATCGTTATTGCGGTCGATGTCACGACGTGCTGGATATGGTCCTTGCCGATAAAGAATAGAAAAGATGCGAGGCCTACAAGAAGAGACGCGGATACTAAAAGAGCCCTCATCTGGAATACGGGTTGTTGCGGGGGGGTTCTTTTATACAATTCGCGAACGGATCTAGTTTATATCTGTTTTCGGGGAAGAAACTGAGGGAACGAGCGACTCCAAGCGGTAGTCTATTATGGACCCTGTGAGCCATGCTGAATTCGTCTCACTAATCGGGTACCTACCTAGTAATCATACGTGTAGACGAATCGTGGAGATGTCCCCAGAATTGATGGTACGTTGTAAATACCGGCAGTAGAGTTGGTAATACTTCGTAATTACTTTGTAGGAGAGGGGAGACCCCTACCCACTTCCTCCTCGTGTACACGTGTAGACAAGCTGCTCAGACTCCGTAAGCAACGCCCATACTTGGTCACCGCTTACATCAGCACCTATGGATCCCAATCAGTATTACTCGTATCAACAAAGAGAGGGGGCAAAGATGTTTCCACGCAGCTCATAGGTGTCGTCCTGCCATTAAAAATAATACAGACACAGATACAGATACAGATACGCGTAAACGGGTAGAAACCTTTGTCATTCACTGTGGGCTCTTCAACCTACCCTTACCTTACCGAGACAGTCACCGAACAGCAGCATCCATATCATCGTGACCATCGTAGCGATCAGTTCAGACGCGGTGCATGTAAAATCCATCCCCAACAGAGCATGTTGAGTGGAATCAGGACGATTAAGAAACGAAGGGTCATATCTTCTCAAGAAAGGCCAGAGACTTAGAATTCGTTAAGAGTGCTACAGGAATTTTGGAGCTAGACCATCTGGACACGGTAAATGTGTGTGAACAATTTCGACCATGCTGGGAATAATCAAATCAACCCCAGCAAAAGTCTCTTCCCCTTCTCCCAGCAGAATGTAGATATGCCAGCGGCACGACAAAATCGGCGCGAGTAGACCGATGTGAGAAATCTTGTGGAACTTGTTGGAATAAAACCCGCTACTCGCAGCTAAGTCGCGATGTTTAGGATCGCTGATTATCCCTGCTTGAGGAGGTGGGTTATGAACGATGAAAACAAAAGAAAACCAAACGGCAGGAGTATCAACGCCAGAAAAGACAAGATTCAGGACGACTTCGTCGAAGCGGGGGAGAAAAGGAAGAGGGAGAGATTGAATGAAACAAAAAAGTCGTAAGGGAGAGCACAAGAGCAAGAGACGGAGAATTTTGGCCATTTTCGACCAGGCAGAGAAGACAGACTGGGACAATAAACACCAGCGGCTTGAACTCGACGGAAATGAAACTTGAAAGACGTCCAGGATTCACCCCAGCATAATGAAAACATCTTCACGACGACGCTCAGCGGGAACCGCCCAAGGCGCTAATCCTAGCCCCAGAGGGCCTGTGGATCAAGCTCTCGGCATGCTTGCCGACCAGGCCGTGCTCCTGGGGAATCGTTTCCGACTCGCTGCGGCCTTCCTCCAGGTCGTCCTCGTCGTCCTCCACGATCTTGGTGGGGATGTCCTCGCGGATCATGAACTGCTGGCTCGACCGCTCGGGCGTCGTGGCCGTCGAGGCGAAAGACATGGCCGTGCTGCTCCGGTTCGGCACCAGGTCCGGTGTGGGGGGGATGCTCGACGCGCGCCCCGAGGTGGGGTGGAGCAAGCTGTCATCGCCAACCTCCGACGCGGCGTTGGAGAGAGTGTCGTTGCCGTCGTCGCTGTGCGCCATCGACAGGTTGCTGTGCCGGCGGTGCGCCGCCGCTCGCCTCGCACGCTCGTCGATCTCGGCGTCCTGCGCGAGCTGCAGGCCCTCCACGGCAGCCTGGCACTGCTCGGCAATGTTCCGGATGATGTGCGCAATGGCGTCCGTCTTGTCCTTGAGATGACGATCGGCCACGTCGATGAAACTAGACGCCGACATGCGCTTGTTGGCCAGAGCGGCGCTCCGGAGATTGGCTTGGGCTTCTGGGGAGAGACCCTCGTTGGGTGTGGGGCCGTCCTGCTCGCCGCCCTCGTCGTGCTCGAAGCCGGTTTCGATCTCCGAGATGAGCTCGTCCGGCTTGGTAAGAGAGCGGACGAGGTGCTCCATGTGGTGGCTTTGTCCGCCAATGAGGCTGCGCAGGTGGAGCACAACGCGACGCGCTTCGTCCCGCTGCCGCATGATAGTTGCGTTGGTATGCTGCAGCGCAGCGAGCTCCTTCTTGTTACGCTTGCGCTCGCGCTCCAGCTCCTCGGCAATCTCCTGCTGGAGCACAAGTGCCTCAAGCGCATCGTCACGCTGCTTCTCAGTGCCGCCCAGGCGTACGGTAAGCCGGGCATTGTCGTCCTTCTGCTGGTCAAGCAGGCCAGCCAGCCGCCTGTTCTCCCTCTTGTGATTCTCAATCTTCGACTTCAGGTCCTGTGTTTCCTTCGTGAGCTGTTCGGCAAAGGCTTGGAATTTCAGGAACTAAAAAAGAAGGCACCAAGTTAGCATGCGTACTTCTATACCAAATCCGAGGTCAACGATCGGGGAAGGGGGGGGGGGTGGGGGGGGCGCGAACCTGTTGCTTCCAGCTCTCAAGCTCCTCAACCAGATAGTTGTTCCGCTTGGTGACCTTGTTGAGCTCGGTATCCATGCGACCCTTCAGGTTGATAAAATCTTGCCAGGCCTCCAGTGCGTCGCGAGAGTACTGGTTCCTCTCGCGAACAATCTCATTCAGATGCCTCATAGACACCTTCGTCATGAGCGGCTTCTTGACCGCTCCCCCGAAGACGGCCTTGAGGCCCGTGTTGCGGCCCATCTTCTCGCAGACGTGATCCATGACGGTCATGACGGCGTCCTGGTTCCACCACTCCGGATCCTGGATCGACTCGACCTCGCCACGCATGACAATGATCTGCCCGGCGGGGATCAACTTGCCTCCACCGTAGGCGGAGCGGAGATGTTGGGGGACGCCGGACGGCGTGACGTCGCCATTGAGAGCCTGTGTCAGACGGGTGACGAACTTGTTGCGCTGACCCGGATTCAGTGCCGTTGGAGGGCTCGAGGTGAGCACAAAGTTGCGGTCCAAGTCCACGACCAAGGCATCAGTGGGTGCTGTGAAGAGCGATCGGCATTCGGCGGTGATGCCGAGTATGTAAGGGCCGGGTTCCTGAACCAGTTCCTTGGCATGACGGGCATGAACGACCGGGACGTAGAGGCCACTCCACTCGTACACCCTCACACAGTATCTGACCGTCTCGGCCGCCATGGTAAGCATCGCAGGGTAGTGGCTGACGAGGATGATACGGCGCGTCGGGGAGATGGCTGCCTCGACGACGCCCACAATGTTGGGGATCGAAAGGCAGCAGAACAAGGGCCACATGGCAAAGTTCTGGAAACCCGTCGGCGAAGAGGGGAATTGGTAACACAACGCGTAGTCCTTCATGTCGATCCGGACAAGGTCGTTGAGCCGCGGGGCGGGGAAGCTGAGAATACGGGAAACCTCCTCGGCATGGAACAGATTGGTTGCCTTGTTCCAGTGAATCCACATGCCCCTCAAGTAGTCACCCAGCAGGTTGTACAGCGGGTACCGGGACAGGAAAGAGAGGCAGTAGGGGATCCAATATGTCTCTTCGGGATTGTCGTAAAAGTCAGGTTCCGTCCTCTTCCTCAGGTCCCGAATCGTCTCCGCCCGCTTCTCGTCGGCGCGAGACCAGACGCGTAGGCAGATGCCATAGAGTGTGTGGGAGGAATCCTGCTGGAGCACGAAAGCATGATGAACGCAATGGGGTTGGCTTCGTCCGGTGCAAATCTCGACGTCGTGGGGGAAGCAGGCCTGTGTTCGTCGTCGATCGTTAGCCGATGCTTAACCCGTGACAGACAAACTATTGTCGCCCAAGGCAAGTTGAGACAGAAAATAGAATACTTGGGTTGGCTGGGGTTGGTCCTGATGGGGTGACTTACCCTCATGGCAGCATGAAGCGATCTGGCGATCTCGTTGTCCTGCTCAAGCCTGGGACTGCTACCCAGAATCTCCGGCAGCCAAAATTGGCCGACAGCTCCCTTCATATGACCAATCTTGCCCTGGGCAGGGGGCGGGGCCTTAACCCATTGAGACGGCTCCCGGCCAACACCGCAGACCATATAGGCATGTGTAAGCGTCTTCGGCGTGCGCTGCTGAGGTTTGACATTGAGCGTCGAGGGAATCGGCTGGGTGATGCGAGAGTGAAGCGACGACGTGCGGCTCGGAATGATCAGGTTATTGTCGCCCTGGTCTCTGGTCGTCGGACGGCCCTCGCGGTCGCCGGTGCGAGGGCGCGTAAAGGAAGAGTGGGTGTTGAGAGAAGGGGCCATGGTTGCTCGGTAAAAAATAAAAATAAAAAATAAAAAAAAAAAAGGCGATGGAGAAGTGGTGCGTATGGGGATACGCCTGAACGGATCCGACTCGGTGATACTTCTTCGAAAAACAACCGCCCAGCGTCTTGCGACGTCCGCCGTTCAACACGTCGGAACGGATCCAAGAGAGGGAAAATAAAGAAAGGTAGAAAACAACGCACGATCTATCTGGGGAGACAAACGTCCCGCACGCACCAGAAGATTCACACGAATCCCTACACAGCCAGAGCCGCCGTGGACGCGTCGTTCTCGGGATCAAGGAGATCACGAGAAATACACGGGCTGTAGGTCGAAGATGGAGATGGACGAAGAGAACAAGGAGAGAGAGAGAAGGGTGAGAAGGACTGGAAGGGCAAACGATAGGGCGGACGATGGGAGCCGGCCGGTGGGGACAGAGACAGACAGGAGGTGAAGCAGGCCAAAGACAGGAGCCCAAGACGTCTTAGAAGGAAACGAACGCCTCCTCTCCTTTCCAAACCACTCGGTCGGATCAAATCTTCGGCCCTCGAGTCAGAGTCAAGGGGGGGGGGGGCGTGGGATGGGTGGAAGAGTGAGGGAACGGACCATCAACTAGGAAGGGGAACGAGAAGGGGGGTGATCAGACCCAGAGCGAATTCGCGAAATTGGCCGAGACGAGCAGAACTTCCCATGGTAACACACGGATAGGGAAACGACTTGCAAATTGGAAACGATGCTCAATTGAACATCCCGGCTCAGTCCCATGCTCACGCTGTCAGGGCAATTTTCGCTGCCAGGGGTACTCAGGGGTGGTTCTGGGGTTCTGATACGACGCTACAGCTTGCTTCTGCGAGGTCAGTTACGTTGTACGAAGTACGTTGTACAACTGTATAATGTACGTTGTAGGCCGTACAAAGATACATACCCGTAGTCGTACACGTACAGAAGCTGTTGCACACTGTACAGTACTGTTGTGCTCCCTATTTTCCACAATTTTTTAATGCGCACCAAAAGCCGAACTCCGTCACGGACGGTGCGAATTGAGGAGGCCCGGGCGGCACATGGCAGTGGGTCGGGAACCCACTAGCTCTCATAATGAACGAAGCTAGGACCGTGTTCCTTGACAAGGGGGTCCCTGACTAGCTCTTAGATTTGAGGTCCACCAACTCGAGAGCTGACGAATGAAACGGCTCAAATGCGACCAACGGGAAATTGCGCCTCTCTGGAAGAAGAAGGCTCGTCAACACGCCCCCTCCCGTCGAGCTCCCTTTACCCCCCCCACCTTGTTCTCCCTGAATTGTCCAACGCTCATGGTTCTTGTTTCGACCTTGCATTGAATGTGTTCATATTATACCGATATGTGATTGTATCGGGATAAGTACGGAGGATCTGGTTGGAGAAAGGGGGGAGAAACCGAAAGAGAGGAAAAGAAAAGGAAAGACAAAACAAGAATCGGAAAGGCAAGGGAAAAGCACGAAATCTGAAACGTATGTACGAAGACGGCGAATAATGTTTCGCGATGCCGTTATTGTTGGATATTCCAAAAAGTGCGCGAGTCGTGCCTATCATTTGGTTCCTTTCCACTCGTTGAGCTCGGGCTATTCGAAGAAATTAAGACTGTAATTACCACTGGTGTTGCGGTGCGGTGTTGGCACATCGCTGCCGACCTACGAAGGACTTCCACAGCTTTCGCACCAACCTTGTAACTGAGAAGTGGAGGGGTGATGCTTACGAGGCGATAGCTTTACTATACGATACGTAGATACTCGTAGATTCAAGAAGAAGTATAACGTGGGTACGGATACGGAATAATTTAGCCGGGCTACGAATTCGTTCCTCGTGCCAAGGCAGTAGGTAGGTATGGCGATACGAGTCAAAGAATCGCCTTAAAAAGGTGCGGATAGTCCACACACTTGGACATGTCAAAATATTTGCCGAGAGGCCATGACGACCGTCTCCCTTTATTACAAGTTAGCTAGCCAATACCCTAACCGACGCCAAAAGACCATCACGGCCGAAGAGACTAAGAAGCTTGCTACTCAGCTACCTTACTCAATAATAGTCCATATGGAGACCACGGCAGGGTACTATCGGGTATCAAACCCAACCTGACATCTCATTATTCAAACCTGCATACCTACTTAACGCCATACATAGACTACTTGTGTCCAGCATCACTACGAAGTATTATATAAAAGTACGGATACATGTCTGCGAAGTTATCCATGTACTATTCGTACAAACATTATCCGCGTCGTCGGTGAAGGTAGGGCATCTATCTCCATTGGCTTCTTGACCATGGCCCTTCCCGAACCTCAGTGTGATCATGACCAGAATGAGTGGACTGAGATGCCATATCCCAAGTCTCGAACCTGGTATCCCACTTACAATGCTTCTTCATATGACACACACACACGGTCTCTGTAAAACTACCTTACTGCAAATGCCCAGATAACCATTCGCATAGGATAAGCCTTGCCATCGGTCAGTTTGTTCACCAAGCGCGAGCATCCCGGCGTTCTGCTTCGCAGAGACCCACAAATCCGGGTCCGAGGCCGTTAGGACGATGATCGCAGCTTCGGCTCGGAGCGTGATGGAGCCAACCGAGCGGGCATACGTAGCTGCATGCAGACCCCGAGTCTTCGACCAGGCGGCCCTGCCCCCGAAACTCCCAGTTCAAAATAGAACCGGAGAATAACAGCGTTCAGCCCCCCCCCCCCCCAGAAAGAAGCCATCTCCAGCGCGTATTCAATGTATTCGATATTATTAATTTATTTCTCGAACGACGAAGCTCGCCAGTCACGTACTCAAATTGGTACAACTAAGCCACTCGTCTAATGATTCGCCTTTTCCTTCACAGTTTCCTTCGCCTCCGTCCCTCGGCGGTGCATGATGGTGCTAGCCCAGCCCAACAACTCGCTGCTTGAAATCAGGGCCGTGCTGACGAGCGCCTTGCTATGAGCTACGATGCCGTCGCCGCCGGCCTTCTTGCACTCGGCCGAATACGTGTTCAGGACATGATCCTTCGCCTCAAGTCCAGTTCGGTAGGGAAACCCAACGAGGGCCCTCGCGTCCGCCACAAGTTGGCGGGTGGGCTTCTTGACGAAGGGCGCGGTCTCCTCCACCTTGGACAGTGCCTGGTCTCCCAGTGAATCGGCTTTCTGGAGATAGGGTCGCACGAACTGGAACGGCTTGTTCAAGAAAGGCGCCAGTGGTTGCGCGAAAGTCTTGTAGGCCGAGTCGCTGAGCTGTAGTGACTTTTGTCCGTACGGGTTCTGTTTGAACGTGGAAACGCCATCGTAGACCACTGGGTAGTCGAGGAGATGCTGGGGAGGACGTCAGCAGAGTGGACTTGCAGGCTTCCCGAGGACGACGGAAAGTGACAAAAAACATACCTGGAGGAAAACTGAGCTGGGACTCGACCCAGAGAAGTCTCCATTGACCTGAGCCATGTCTGGCCTTATTCGGTGTCTCTGGGGCTGTGGTTGTCTGGATAACAGGCGAAAGTCAGATAAAACTGTCGCGCAATACCGGTCCACTTGAGTCCAGTGCTCACGAACAATAAATTGAGGTCTAGCCTCGATGGGAGGATCAACGTCTGGTAAAGCCTCGGGACTTGAAAGAGAGTCGCGAGGGGGGAGGGAGTTTCCACTGAAACGGCGCGGGAAGGATGATAGACGATAGAATGGTGACAGGTGCGACGAAGAGGGAGGGAGAGAAAGAAGGAGAAGGAGAAGGGAAGGAGGGGGGAAATACTCTTATGAACCACTCCGGGGTTTTTGACTGAAGGGAGGAGATGGATGGAATGTGTAGGACCAGTGTTAATATTATACTACCCACGGCGGGGTATACGGGTTCACAGGCCCGAGACTGACACGGGCAGCTATCCACATAGATAGGGCCGGACCTGCTCCCTGGGACGGAAGTGTCAGGTACACTGTGCAGGTAGTGCCGACAACTTCATATGATTTTAAGACACCAATCGAAGTGCCCTGGCCTCACCGTCAAAGCCCGCCCGGTTCACAGCTGCCGAGGGGCAGATTTCTCGTGCGGTGGCCAGGGGAATTCGCAGCGAAACACGGGCATGTGCATGTGCATGTGCATGTGCTTTGAGGGAAGGGAATGGGATGGCGAGAGAGTCGGGGAGTAACAAATGCCGGATTAGTTGGTCCGCCGGCCGGGGTCAGCCCATTTTCGTACTTCGTACCAAAAAAAAAACCTAGCTCAACATAGCTCGGGGCGAGCGAGAGCCTGCCTATAAGTTACGGTATGTATGGATACATGATACATGTGCGATGATGAATGTGAAGAGAAGGAACGGCGGGGATAAACCAGAAAATACCCCACCGGGGCCAGAACCGTATTGACGGGCGCATGTCATCGACATTGCGTGTGAGGCTATGACTAGTTCCAACTAGCTGCGGCCTGGATCCCCCAAGCTGCATCTTGAGTTGTCGCCAACGTGGACGCCATGACAACACCATTGGCCGTCGATTTCGTTCTGGGCTGGCTTGCGCCAATAACATCGCAAATCGCCGTCGATTTTCATCATCGTATCGTTCGAACGAGGGTAGGTATGTCTGATTAATCAACTTGTTTTGTTTCAACAAGAAGGAAGGCATGGAAGGAAATGAACGATCCCTGTCACCTGCAATAAGTCTGACATGTGAAAGCAGTCTTACAGATAGAAAGCGACCCCCACGAAGTCCTTCCATCAACCCCCACCTTAGTTAGGTATGGTCCAAGAGACCTTATCTCCCTTATTACGGCTTCATTCCATGGATAGAGTTGGCGCATAATGGATTAGGTAGCAGTCTAAAATAGATCAACAATTCATCGGACTTCAACTGTGAGTTTGAAATTCCACTCTCGACTACGTACGTAAGTAAGAAGAGTTGAGTATTTCATCGACACTCACATGGCCTCTATCAATAGACAGGACATGGAAAGAAACGGAGGGAGAACCACGCAGCCCGCCATTCTCATTCCAATCGTGACCACTTTGTGTCGTAATCCATTCTGCAACCTCGCGCTGCGGGCAAAAAGAATGCTGTGGCGATGCTTGGCAATCACATGTGAATTTCAGGACGCAAGGATTCGAATCATAATTAGGTATCATCCTGTCCATTCTGTCCATTCCGTCCATTCCGTCCATTCCGTCCATTCCGTCAGTCCCCGGCGCCGGTACCCGTCCAGAGTACGAAGTAATTGAGTGTAGACACAAGGTAGCAATTTAACAGAGGATATATGTACTTCATATTGCCTTGTTGTATGAGATTGCCACCGGGATACCTGCAGCTGCCCTTCCACAACGCCTCCCTGATCGTTTTCAGGAACGAGGTTTCCTAGACCTGCAGTTCTTGTCTCGTCTCTACGCATGGCCAAGCTCGCCCGAGTTTCCAACGCGGTGCATAAGGTTTCCTCATTCGGCACCATCCAGGTCACACACCGAATGCTGCGACATATGGAGCACATTCGTACTGTGGCTCTGGTCTGGCATATATACCTGCATCTCCAAATTGGACATGGTAGATCTGAACCGCTGCTAGTACAATACCGTATAGTCTCGAGGACAGAACAGTAACTTGAGAATCCATACCTTAGCCAGTTGAGTGAAAGGAAGAAAATCACCTATAGCGCAGAGGTACTACTCCGCCCTACGCAAGGTGAGGTGGCGTATGGCAAGGTGCTTCATTACCTGTATCAGCCGCTATCGTTATCGGTTACCTTATCTGGCTTAAGATACTGAAGATAAAGAAATTTGGATGGGGACTGACCGATAAGAGATAAACCTCCCGATTTAGGTCCTGGGAAAGCTCTACCTACCATGGTCATTTATTTTTTTGGTTTAAAAAAAAAAAAAAAAAAAGGGCTCCCCCCCCCGGCCCAAATCTACGAGTGCTTCAATATTGGGACTCTTTCCTCTCGGTTTTGGAGATTATTATTAGTCCGCACTGCGAAATAATATTCATTTGCGAGGACGCCAAACATGCCTCCCTCGTCTGCCAGTGCCGATCCTCTTCTAACATCCCTCTGCGCCATCTGCCACATCCAACCCCCAAAGTACAAATGCCCAGCCTGCGCCCTCCGAACATGCTCCCTGGCATGCAGCCGCAAGCACAAAGCCTGGTCCTCCTGCTCGGGCGTTCGCGATCCCACCGCCTACATCCCTCCTTCGAAGCTCAAAACCCCGGCCGGAATTGATCACGACTACAACTTCCTCTCCGCCATCGAACGCGCCCGCCAGCGATCTGAACGCGAAATCGTCGAGGAGCGCCACCTATTGACCGAAAACCAACTGCGTTCCGTCGACGCGCAAACTGTGAAATGGCGCCGCGGCAAGGACGGCGTGAAACGAAAAGTGCTCGTCGCTCGACCCCAGCGCGGATCAGGACCCGCAGGCGGGAGGCCCGAACTGTCGAAGCAGATGCAGAAGAGGCTGGCGACGTTCGGTATCGACGTCCGTAGGGTGCCGTTGGGAATGACCAGACAAAAGGAGAACGGGACCCATGTCCACAAGGCATCGGGCCGAATCAACTGGCAGGTCGAATGGCTGTTGTTCGAGAGCGCCGCCGATACTGCACACGACGTCCAGGAACCCAAGTGGAACAAGACCCGAATCATGAACAAGGTCATGGACGACTGCCCTTTGTATGTGGCGTTCGCTCAAGCTCAAGCTGTCCAGATGAATAGACTCCGCAAAGAAAGTCAACAGACGCGAGACATGACTGGAGCTTCCTCGAACCACCCGCCCTCGTCAAGAACACGCCACAAGCCTCCATCAGGCAACCCGGTCGATGTTTCGCAGGACCCTGTGACTGGCAGCTGGTCTGCGGGGTATCATTCCTTCCAACCTTATCCGGACACCGCCTGGAAATCACGCTCAGGAAACGCGCCCTTCACTGGCGTGAAAGTTGTTGAAACGGCCGAAGTATCCAAGTTCAAGTTTTATCTGCCGTCGGGTTTACCCCCTGCAACTCAACATAACAAAACCGTCGCCCATCCAGTGGACCCCACCGTCACCCTCGCAGAAGCCCTTCGCGATACGACCGTCGTCGAATTTCCAACCCTATACGTTCTCCCAAGTTCCCAGACACTGCCCCCTACCTACTTCGCCTGCCCCAAATCGTCTCGGCGGAACCAGGCGGGAAACGAGACGAACCAACGAGGACGAAATGATGGGGTTCTACAAGCGAACCGCAAAAGGTCACACCATGCCCTCGAGGAGGGTGAGGTAGCAAGCGACGATGACGACGAAGAAACGGGACCGAGTGGAAGCTTAAGCAGTGAAGAAGACGCCGATATCCTGGTAGAGGAAATCCTTGGAGAAGAGGACGACGACGACGAGGAGGAGGAGGAGGGTGATAATGATGATACGACGAGCAGCTCTGGCTCCGACATTAGCAGCGATGAAAGCGAGACCTCCGCCGCGACTTGATTGGGAATATCCTAATTTGAAGTCAAACTAGAAAGGAACATTGTAATAATATACCATATGAGGATGGACTGCCGGTTGTTTAGGCTTCCGCCTCCTTCACAAGATGACGACTGTATTAGCTGCAACTGTACTACATACATTGTACTACTACGTCCACATCCGGACTGGCTTCGGACCCTGGGATAAATACGAAGGGGCATGGCATGTTAAAGAAAATGATAGCAGTGAAAAAGAAGGCGTGACGTCCTCACAAATGTTGCGGGCTGGGTTGGTTACAGAAAAAAAGGCAAAAGGAGCGGAAAGTGTGATGCATCTCAGAACAGCTTTGGAACCAAGAGAAACTCTCGACGTGCCACACACACATGTCGTAACTCATGACTGGTTGGCAAGATGGTTCGCAGCCTATACAGTTGGGTCAGCTTTTCGCAGACAGTTAGTGGAGAAGAAGCACGCGCATGAACCTACCCTCTCAAGATTGTAGTCGTATTTCTCTAGAGCAAGCAGTGCATCCGCGCGAGAGTAGCCCATGCTGGTCAAGTCCTTAAGTATGGGGTCGTCATCCTTGCCGTCTTCCGCAAGGCCTCTCTTGACAGTGGGGCTGGGTTCCGGTAGCTTGGTTTGCGTGGGCGGTGTCGACACTGCGAGGGGCTCGCTTGGGGTGTCCAGGGTGGCGAAGATGGCATCCCAGTCGTGCGATTCAGCGGGCGGCGAACGTGTCTGCAGGCCGCTGTTCCCGGGCTCGCTAGGTCCAGCACCTGTGGTTGACATGGTGGACGTGCTGCCAAAGTCATAGCTGCTCTCCTGGCCGAACGGAGCCGTGCTGGAGGATGTGCCTTTACTTTGGCTGGGCGGAGGGCTGCTGTCGAACACGGGGTTAAAGTCGTCCAAGCCCGATCTAGAGATGGTTTGGAAATCGTCATCGGCAGAACCTTCCTTGGCATCTTCAAGGCCCTCGAAGTCGTCATCCAAGTCATCAAAACCTCCCTTGCTGACCTGGGCTTGGGAGGAGGAGGATGTCAACCCCTGGCCAGACGCCGGACCCGACGTTGGCACAGACACAGTGGACCCAAAAAAGTTGTCAGCAGCTTGAGATGTCGTTGATGCCACGGCCAGGGGCGCTACCGCGCCGGCTCCCGAGGTTGGCTTGTCGCTGCAACGAACGTCAGTTTCAGAACTCCCAGCATGTTAGGCCACGAGCGAGTGTGTTAAGGAAACGCACCTCTTCTCACTGGACTCGGGCGGAGTCCCGTCTGATTTTGCGGGACCTGCCAGACCCTGGTCGTCGACTGCTGCAGAAGGCTGCTCTTGCTGGCGAGGTGGAGAAACGGGGGCAAAGTCGTCCTCAAACCCGGCGGCCCTTTCGCTGGCAGTGTCAGAGTCGTCGTCATACCGCTCAAGCTCAGAGATAGGGGGGAATTCGGTGTCGAAGGCCGAGGTCGTGTCGAAGGCCGAGGTCGACTTGTTCGTGTCAGTTCCCGGTCTAGCAGAGGATTTGTGCGCCTTGCTGAATGTCGCAAAGGCATTCTCGAACTCTGCTTTCGCCTTGTCCTGGTCCAGTGCTTCAAAGGGGTCGACACCTTCCTCGGCAGCCTTTTCGGCTGTGGTGGCATTGCCTGAAAGGCTGGCATCGCCATTGGTAGAGAGTACGCTCTCGTTCGCAGGCTTGGTTTCTTTGGCAGCGTCACCGGTCAACGTAGATTCTGCAGGGAACGCGCCCGGGGCTGCATGCGACGGCTGGGTGGGTGTGGTTGCGATATCCGCCGCTTCATCCACTCGTGGGGTGGGCGGCGAGACGGCGCGCGACGATGTCACCGATTCCGCGGTATCAGGAAACGGCATGAAGCCGGAACTCGTCTGCCGGGACTCTGGTGGCGGCGCAGGTGGCTCGGCGGTCAAGGTACCTTGCCGGCTCACGCCCGGGGAAGTAGTAGGAGGAGTATTGAATGAACCCACACTGCCGGTAGACGCGCCTGTGTTCTGGGGTTTGAACGACACGGCAGGCGGCGGGGGAGGAGGCGTGCTGACAGGCCCAGGAGTCGGGTTAGATGGTCCAAAAATATCGTCGAAGGACTGGTCCGCTGCGTTCGGTTTGACCCCGGGGGAGCCAAAGGCGCCCATAATATCTGTACTAGCAGTCCGCTTGAAAAAGGGATTATTGGCACTAGCAACCGAGGCAGCCGGGCTCGTGATGGTAGTGGTAGATCCAGGTAGGGAGGTGCCGGTGTCTTGGCGAGAAAGTGCTTCCATGTTGCTCTTTGCAAGGTCTCCCGCCTCGTTCTGCAGCTTGTCCCGTTCAGCCTCACTCGTGAGCAACTGCTTCTTGTTGATAGCGACGAGTCCCTTTTGTTGCCGTGCCTCCGACTTGAGCTTTTCGATTTGCGCTTTGGTCTGGGTGACCTCGGCGTTGACCACCCGCATCTTCTCTTTGAGCTTCGCATTCTCCTGCTTATCGGCCTCGAGGCTGGCCGATACTTGTTGATGCTGCACAAGGAGGTCTTGGTATGTGGTGTCCAGCTGCATGCACTCGGCCTGAAGCTTCTGTGTCTCCTTGCGCGACACGTTGAGCTGGTCCTGCAGTGCCTGTAGATCGTTGGCTTCTTTCTCGTATAATGTGCGCAGTTGTGCGAGGCGCTGTTCGAAGTTCTTCTTCTGCGCATTCGTCTGGTTCAACTCATTCTGTGCAGTTGCTCGTTGCCCTTGAACCTCCTGCATTTGTTTGGACAGTGAACTGACTTGGTTGGAGAGATTCGCCAACTCGGTCGTCTCTCCTGTCAACTTTTTGCTGATCTCCGGATCGTTATCACCGAGAAGATCATCAGACGCGGATGCGAGGGTTGAGAGTTTATTCACGCCAGCCCCTGAGCCCGCGGAATCCCCTGTCGCCTGTGCCGTCAGACCTCGGCCAAAGGAAGACGAGGGTACAAATGGTTTGAACTGAGTCGATACAGGCGAAGAAGGCTTGGCAGGAGAAGCTATAGACTGGGGCTTCGTTGGTGTTGCAAAGGAATCACGCCCAGCTGAACCCCCGGTGGTTTGAGCAGTCTGGATCTGTGCCACGGCGTTCGCCGGACTCGAGGCATCTAGTCCGAACAAATCATCGAGCGCCGACTTGGTTACTGGCACTGTGGCCGGAGCTGCCTGAGGAGGCTGCGACTGAGTTGGAATTGGGGATCCAGCCTCGAAGGGGGAGCTGGCTGCCAGGGAACGGGGCTGCTGTCGCAAGCTGGGAGGGATCAAATTGGGAGGAAGTGACGATGGGAGGGCATCGCGTCTTGTGCGCTGTTGGCGTATCAGGTACATGACGACGGCAAATGTATCTCGGGTGAGACGGCCCTCCGAGTTGACATCGGCAAGGTCCCAAATGTGCGCCAAGACATCTTCTGGCAAGCTGGACTGGGCCAGAAAGGGAACCGCTTCCTCGCCCGTGATGAAGCCTTTCCGGGTCTTATCGAGTTCATCGTACAGCTGATCGAAGCGCGCCTTATCGGCCGGCGTAACGAGCCAGTCAGGGCCGGTTGGAGTGACGGGCGGTTGGCTAAGGGGGCTTCCCGTACGGATCGGCGCAGTGCCGCTAATCTGTCTCGGGATGGCAGATATGACACTGCTGCTCTGGGGCGACGGGCGCGAAGCGGAACCGCGCCGGGTGGCTGCTTCATACAAGGGAGCGGGAAGAATGCTGGGGAGGGCCCTCAGGGCGCCGGACTTCATCGAGGTCAAGAGATGCATAGCAATGACGAACTCGGTCTGCACAAGAGCACCTCGCTGTTCCGTGTCTGCTAGTTGCCAAATCCTTCCCAGTACCTCATTCGGCAAGGCAGATTTCTCGAAGATCTGCTTGGCCTCATCCCCGGCAAGCAGGCCGCCCGGCCGTAAGTTCTGGCGCTCAAACAGGGCAGCATATTGGTTGACCTTATCTGGAGTCAAGGGTGGAATCCGCACGGGGCCTCCTGTCCCCTGCGGTTGGAGAGTCGAGGCAGGCGGAGCTTGGGGAGACGCGAGGCCAGGAATCTGGAAGCCGTCAAAGTGGGGGAGAGGGCCTGGCTGTGAAGCCATCTCGAGCGACGGTTCTCGACCAGCTTGGGCATGTCCAATGAGCCGAAGTACAGCGCTGAACCCGGCAGGTGTGAGGAAACCTCGGTTTTCGTTGTCGGCAATCTGCCATATCTATTTCCCATTTACTTGGCGTTAGTTTAGTCTCTTTGACGTCGCAGCCCAAGACATAATGTTTGGAGATTTTGGTTGGATACCACGAACCTCGCCCAGTGTCTTCGAATCCAGCCTTGTCTTTTCAAAGAATTTGACCGCTACCTCTCCCGTGACAACACCGACATTGTCCGTATCGGCCTGTCGAAATAGTTGACCAAAGACGCGCTTCTCTTCCGGAGTGAGGTTGAGATTGAAGGCGGCTAGAGCGGAACAATAGTCGTTAGCTTCCATGCGCCCAATAGGCGGACAGTTTCCGGCATACCTGGATCTACTCCCGCTTCAACCGACATTTTGCTCTTCGGATGGCAAAGGAACTGCGGATAGGAAGAGAGAGGAGACGTTCGGTGGGTATATGACTGATGACGTGAGGATGCCAGAAAACCACAACCTGCGACAGGAAAGATATGATGTTCTTCGGCCAACGACCTCGTGAGGCAACCAACTACGCGCGTAGTGGTTATATTGCTCTAGGCATATGCGAGGCGGCAACTCCGGGGAGCTGTTGTTGCTGTCTGCTAGTAGATGACGAGGGAATCTGTAAGCCAGCAAAGGAGATAAACGCACAGATATTAGACACCCAGGTACGGAGATCAGGTATGGAGAAAAGAAGGCGGACCACGTTCAGCAGGTAATACGGGAGGTGCGAAGGGCTTCAGTCAACCAGCATCCATTTGCCTACGGCGTACAGAGAGGACTAATGTACCTTCCTACCTTAGGTAGGTACCTTAGGTACCTACGCTAAGGCTGGGGAAAGTCTAAGGTACCTTTCCTACACAAGATACCTAGGTAGGTACTCTCAAGAGTGTCCGTGCACACATCCCCCCTTTCAATGAGCCTTCCTTCTAATATCATCAGTAGGTAGGTAGTAATTAATACTCCGTGTGTTCGTCGCCGCATTTGAATATCTCAATATATCAGGATAAAACGGTGTAATCAGTGCATCCTCGTATTGCAGGGAAGGACCAGGCACAAACCCAGAGGACTTTTGCGGCCTATTAAAGGAGTGGAACATCCTCTCTCGGACAGGAGCCCATTGACGGTCAGTTCACAATCAAAGGATGCATCCATCTACGAAGTACGGAGGAGTATTGCCCATTTGCCATGTCCACCTGTGCAGCAAGGTCGACATCAGCCTCCAACAACGAAGCTTCGTCATAAAAGGCCCACCGCAAAAGGTTGCATCGGGCCACGTCCCTGCTCAGAGACCTGAGAATCTCCGGCATGAAAACACAGTCGTACATTAATAGCGAGGGCCACCTGGAATGCCCCCAAAAGCTCAAGTAACATCTGTCCGTAGCAGGCAAAGGGAATCTTTTCTCTTGCTATTAACCCACTACAGGTGAGTGGGAGCCTGATATAGGAACGTGCTCGGCAAGACCGAGCCCAGAATAAAGAAGGTTATCTTGATTCAGTCCGCAATTCTGCCCAAACGCGACAGACACACGTGGCTCTTTCTCGACTTAATACTCTGCCTCAAGTCCCTCGTCATCACCGAGCGAGTCCGCGCCGACCTCTTCGTAGTCACGCTCCAGGGCAGCAAGGTCCTCGCGGGCCTCCGAGAACTCACCCTCCTCCATACCCTCTCCAACATACCAGTGAACAAAGGCACGCTTCGAGTACATGAGGTCAAACTTGTTAGACAGCGCCGACCAAGCCTCAGCGATGGCGGTCGTGTTGGACAGCATGCAACTACAAGGCATAATATCAGCATTTTACCCATCTTGACGAGGTCATGGACGACGACTTACACAGCGCGGCTGACCTTGGCCAGGTCACCGTTGGGAACCATCTCGGGTGGCTGGTAGCAGATACCAAGCTTGAATCCAGTAGGGCACCAATCCACGAACTGGATTGTCCGCTTGGTCTTGAGAGTCGCGACAGCGGCATGCGCGTCGTTGGGAACAACATCACCACGGTACAACAAACAGGTAGCCATGTACTTTCCGTTGCGGGGATCACACTTGACCATCTGGTTGTTGGGCTCGAAGCAGGACATGGTCATCTCTTGGACCGAGTTCGCCTCGTGCGCGGCCTTGGCAGCCGAGTGCATGGGAGCATAGGCAACCAGGGGGAAATGGATACGGGGATAGGGGACCAGGTTCGTCTGGAATTCGTTGAGATCCACGTTCAGAGAGCCGTCAAATCGGAGGGACGCGGTAATCGAAGAAACGACTAGATACCCCATGTTAGCAAGCATGACCATCCCGAACGCTGAAAGCAAACCATACCTTGAGCAATCAAGCGGTTCAGGTTCTCGTAGTTGGGGCGCTCGAGACCAAGGTTCCGACGGCAGATGTCATAAATGGCCTCATTGTCGACCATGAAGGAGCAGTCGGAATGCTCCAATGTGGTGTGGGTGGTAAGGATCGAGTTGTAGGGTTCAACAACCGAAGTGGCCGTCTGCGGAGCGGGGTACACGCAGAACTCGAGTTTGCTCTTCTTGCCATAATCAACCGAGAGACGCTCCATCAGGAGGGCGCCAAACCCAGAGCCAGTACCGCCACCAAACGAGTGGAAGACGAGGAAGCCCTGGAGGCCAACGCAGTTGTCTGCAACGCGGCGAATCTTGTCCAGGACTTGATCAATCATCTCCTTTCCGACTGTGTAGTGACCGCGGGCATAGTTGTTGGAGGCATCCTCCTTGCCGGTGATCATTTGCTCGGGGTGGAAAAGGCCGCGGTAGGGACCGGTACGGACCTCATCGACTACATTGGGCTCGAGATCGCAGTAAATGGCTCGAGGGACATACTTTCCCTGACCTAAGGAAGAAGAGTCTGGTCAGCCTAATCGGGCTCAAATGGAACATGATGCAACTTGTCGTTATTGCCGCGGCTTCGACTATTTGTCGCGCATCTGTCGAGGACGGATCCCATACCTGTTTCAGAGAAGAAAGTGCTAAAGCCATGATCCGGATCGGCCCTCTTGCGCTCCTCGGTGAGGAAGCCATCGGGCTGGAGAGAAGGAACCCAAGTCAGCACGTAGAAACGAAGAACCAAAAAAAATTGGCTACGGCTTGCGGCCACTGTAGTTTGAACGAACCTGGATTCCATGCTCAAGACAGTAGAGCTATGTGCCAAAAGAAGAGTCAGCGAAGTGTGTCCGAAGCGGTCAGGGCAAGGAGACAAGGCCAAGGTGAAATCATCCTTGGAGAGTCAGGCAGAGGCTCACCTCCCAGCACGAGTTGGCAATCTGGCAGCCAGCCTGTCCAACTACAGAGCTCAAAAGTCAGTATCTACCTTATATTGGGAGACAGATCTCTCTCAACGCCGCACCCGACAGAACCGGCGCGGCTGAGGCGAAGAACAAGGGGTGCATTGTGGACAGTGAATGGATGGATGGATAGAACATACCGTTGATGCTAATGACTTCACGCATGGTGACTGACCGTCGTGGGCGTAGATTATTATTGCAAAGCAGAATATTCGATGCAAAGGGAAACTGAAGAATGTATGGTGACTTGAGCCCTCGTGCACGACTCTAACACAGAAAGAATGGTGCAAGAGAGTAAAGGTGTCGGTGAGTTTGTTGGTAGGTATTTTGTTGGAGAAGACGATACGGTAAGGTAGTTACCGCCTAAGGAGGGAAAGTAGGGAGGAGACTACAGGTAAACTGATATTGAAGCCTGTGGCTAAGCTGATAGTTGGTGTGGGGGGTGGCTGGGAAAAGTTAAGCCGAGGGTTGCTGTGGGTCTGCTTTCTGATTAGTTAAGCTGGGGAAACGTTTCTCCTTCCTTCACGAGTCGTGTCGTAACACGTTAACGTGTTTTCCCCTTTTTTTCCTAGGCAGTACCACTTTATTATTTTCCTATAGTATCACCACTTTACTTTTTTATAAAGTGTGTTTTTTAAGTATCACTATCTTTATTCACTACTATATTTTAATTCTTTTGTATTATCTCCTTTAAAGCATTAACATATATTAGGTATGTTTTTGGATTATTACTGGAAACGATTCGGAAACGTTTCTGAAACGTTTCCGAACTATTTCTCGAGTATAAACTAACTACTCTTCTATTTTTCTAAGGTTAATATTAAGTATTTTAATAATATACCCTTAAACTATCGTAAGATATATGTGTTCTAGTGGTATACCGCTAGAGAAGATAACGGCTAATATCCCGATAAGCTCCCTGAATACGATACCGATAATATAAGTTTAGGATATAATATATTACTTTATATATTACTAATACTATTAAAAGGCTAGCAGGGTTCTTATAGCACTAGGCGAGATATACTACCGTTTCCTCGAGGTAAACGGTAAGATATACTTTAATATAAGTTAATCTATCTTTATAAATTAGTTACTTAATTATAACGAGTTATTTCTGCTTAACGGTCGAAATTCTCCTTTATCGGCGCGTTAAAGAAGTATATCCTCTATACCTATTATATCTAAGTAGCTCCTAGCGCCTCTAGGTCCCTACGCTCTTATAATAACCTTTAAGCCGTAGAGTATTACTAGGCTATATACGATTTAGCCTATAGTGTTAATATACCTCTTAATACTCCTCGTAAAGCTAAAGCTATTACGAAAGATTTATTCCTCCGGAAGGTGCCGAAGGACGATAACGGAAATATAAGAAACGATTTAGAATTAATTTAGGGATTATTACCAATCTATTTTCTTTCCTAGGTAGATATACTTCGTATAAAGTAAGATACTTTTAGTTAGGGTCCCGAGACCCGTTACTAGGCTTATATAGAATAGAACTCTATCGGCCATAGTATATTACCTTTACTTCTTATTATAGTATCGTAGACTAACAGAAAACGTTTCCTAGACTGCCCCCCCCTTTCCTATAACTATTTTTACTCGGTCTAGGCTAAATATCGGTATAAGGATATAGCCGATAGCGAAGAAGTCTCCGGTATATTCGTAGCTTATCTAAAAATTATATCTTATTTACTAATAATCTATTCTATAGAGTTCGTGACTCCCGCCCCCCCCCCCTCTCTCGTAACTATCGGGTTATAATAACCCGTGTTTCTACTCCTAATAATAAGGAGTAAATAAGTATATAGGAAACGTTTTCGGGCTATTAGCTTTTTTTTTATAGCTGTATAATACTTATTTAGTATACGAGGAGTTTTTTTTTTTTACTATAAAATAGCTTTTTAGTACTATTTCACTATAATAATAATAAAGTATAATTCTAATAACTAAAGTATTCCTTAATATCACTTACGCTGCTTATTTCTGCTAATATAAATATTATAACCGCTCTCTCTCTAGCTTAATCCTGGCTATCTCTAGTTAGAAACGCTAATCGGCTTCTTCTCTTTCCTTTATAATCCGCGCTTCCGATTTATAATCCTTTTAATCTATTTCGCGCCGACGTTCCTTAAGAGTAAGCGTTTACTTTTTAATTAACAATAAGGTTTATAAAGCATAAACTTAACCTTAAGTAGCTTACTAAGAGAGATTTAGTATATTTAGGCGCTGACTTCGAGAGCGTCTAGGAGGAATACCGCTTAATAATACATCCCTTATACTCCTTATTAAGGAATTTCGAGAATCCGAATCTCCACTATTACTACTAAAGATCCTAAAGTCCTTAGGAGGATCTAGAGGTAATCGTAAAATAAATCGGCTTCCTGTTATAGTATAGCTTTATAATCGACTACGATTAGTATCTTTACTTTTCCTATCTACCTAAAGACGTTTTCTCTCTAAAGCCGCGGAAGGTTAGTATCTTTTCTTTTATTATTTATAAAGTAATAGAACTTACTTCTCCGACTAAGTATAGCATTAAACCGGCCGCTTATTCTAGTATCTCGCTATAAACTAAGCACTTAAAGGGAACGAGTATTATAATCTATTATAAGTAGTATCTAGTCGTATTCCTTATATCTATAAAGGTTAGCGAATAGATTTATAATACTTATTAAAAGACTCACCCTTAGATAACCTTAAGGATATAGATATATCGTCTAGTCTATTTATATAAGGCTTAATATATAACCTCGACTGTATTAGTGTTATTAGCAATTAATACCTAATCCTCTAGTAGAATATTCGAAGCTACTTAGTAGAATCCTGTAGTAATATATAGGAGGTGTTTATATATCGCCTAGTTATAGAATTAAGGTATTATCTTTAAAGGATAAGTAAGTTTTTCGAATTATTTCCGAATCGTTTCCGAAATATTTCTAGACCAGACTCACGGGTAATCTTGTTATAAAGGTTATTATAGTCCTCTCGAGTCCGGTATTCTAAGAGAGTTATTAAGAAATAATAGGCTAAGCCTTTACCTTTTACTTAATTACTACCTAGAATACTCTTAATACCTCTCCGGAAATAAATTATATAGAGTCGTATACAGCGAGATACCTAGTCTTCCTAAGTTTCGGCTAGGTGGAATATTTACTATAGATATCTACTAAAGCCTTAAATCGCTAATAAGGCCTAGTCTAAGGTTACCGTAAGAAGACTAGTACCGTGCAGATATTTCTATTTAATATATATATTATACTTATCTTTAAGGATCCGGAATACCTAGTAAAATATATAGAGATATATATGTGCTATCTCCGAGTTTATATAGCACTTTATTAAAGGGAGTACTAGATATTATTAGAAACGATTTAGAAACGATTCGGAAACAATTTAGTAATAAACCTCTTTCCGAATTATAGCTATACTATACCTAAATAATTTTCTTCTACTCTATACTGTTAATATACTTATAGTTAGTATCGACGAAAAAGGATTTTATATCCGGGAAAGTCTATATTTTCGCTTATTTCTTAAAGAAGTAGATTACTATATAGTTATATTAGGTCTTAAATAAGTGCTAGATATATTAGAGTAGAATATTAGAAACTATATATAGATATACCTAGGTATTCACTTATATATTCACGTTTATTTGCCTCTTTTATCTGCTTAAGACCTAAAATAAGACTCCGATTACCTTAAAGGAAAAGGATAATCTACTGCTTTTAAAGAATATATCGAAGATAGTCGGAATTCGTAAGACTAGTATAGATATCTAAAATAGTTTTCCCTTTATATTCGGCGATAAACTCTTTTAGTTCGCTTAATTTTAAAAAGATATTTAATTTTAGGTTCGGGTTACTAATCTTCGCGAGCACTCTTAAAATACCTTTTATTATAGAGGGGGGGGCTTTTAGAGGTAGTATTAGAGGGTAAGCGTGTACTCTATACGATATTATAATAACCTATAAAGTCGTCTTGAAATTATAAAGAATAAAAAATCTAAGTTCTACGCTATAGGTTTATTATTAGATATCGTTAATGCCTAAGATATAAACTTTATCTATATAGAAATATTAGTAGATATTACGCGAATCGTTTCTTAATCGTTTCTAAATATTTCTGAATATTTCTGAATGTTTCCGAATCGTTTCCTAATCGTTTCCTAATCGTTTCCGAATCGACTTACTATATATTTTTCGTTTTCTACGATTCAACACGAAAAAGTAATAAGTCTTATCGGGATTAGCGAGAATTCCGTGTATAGTAGGGTCGAAAGTATATCGGATAAGGTCTATATAAGAATAGAAACTTATTAGAATCACGGTGTTAATATAGCGACGCGTCGTATTAGCGATTATCTAAGACTAGTATACTATACGATATTATTCGAAGTTCGTAAGTTACTATAATTAATTAAGAACGCGTTTAGATAAAATAAAGTATCTAAAGATAATACTTATATATAGTCTACTAGAATCTACGCGTGGAATACATATATCTTCCTAGTCGCTACACGTAATCTTTCGATTAAATCTTCTCTTTAGTACCCGAGCCTATCTAAAACGATATTAGTATTAAGCTTAAAATATCCCGACACGTTTTACATACCTAAGCGCCTTTTTCCGTATAGTAAATTCTTTTACTTTCTCTCTTCGCCTAGTAATTCTCTCTAGTAGTTACGGAGTTACCACGGAATAGTAGAATTCTTATCGTGGGAGATATTTATAAGCTTTACCGCCTTAACACGTATATATATAGTGGTGAACCGGAGTATCTCTAAGTGCTACGCTCGTAGTCAAAAAACCTGGATATTTCCGGGTAATATCGTACTAAACCTGAAAAAGAGTGTATTAGTAGAAAATAAGACTATATATATAAAAAGAATAAAAATAACTTACGACTTTCTAAGGTGCCTTTTTTTCATTATTACTTAAAGTATCTATTAAGATAAAGGTAGCTAAGCCGTTTTCTAAAGTTTAAGAAAACTCGGGTATCCTAATTATATATAGGATCTTATAGACTTCTATAGATTAAGAGTCTGGCGTAAGTCTACTATTACTATAAGTAGATACGGAGATAAGAAATAGTTTATTATTAGTTTCGGGGCGAATCTAACTAAGGTAAGTAATTATATCTTTAAAGGATAATAAAGAATATATATACTTCCGGAATCTAATGCCTTTAGATATTAATATTACTAGGTCGTTAATTAGGATTAAGTCTATAGAGATATAGTCGTAGATTTTTATTCTTAAGAAATCTATTATTATAAAATTTATCTTCCTGAATATTTAGTTTAGAAAGATCCTCTAACTCCTAAAGCTCACCACGATTATCGAATAGCGAATTATACTCTATATCGAATAGATTTTGATATCCTTTAGAACTGTTTCCGAATCGTTTCCTAATCGTTTCCTCTTATTCTATCTATTTATCACTATCTTCGCTATATTACCCCTCTCTATTTACCCCTCTATTAACGCCTAACACTTATTTAAGGCATATACGCATATTATATAACCCGTATAGGCCACACCCCACAGCAACTATCAGGTTAATATACCGCCCTACTTCGCCCCACACTAACTATCAGCTTAGCCACAGGCTTTAATATCAGTTTATCTGTAACCACAAGTAGGGAGTGGGGAAACGAATTTGGGCTGTCAGGGGTGTAACATGCCCGTGCAGCAAGTCCAATAATAAGCAATGTTTCTTGTATTTGTTGACACCACCCAAAGGGGAATAGCTCACCAGGGGCAGTTGCCTGTTCCTAAGGTACCTTACAGTATGAGGTACATTATACACTGTACCTCGGTCATCATGATCAACAAGGGAGATTCTGATACCTCTCGGTGCAAACACCACTAATCAAGTGTTCAGAATCAAGGTAGACTTCTTTCTCCATTTCAAACTACAAATTGGTCGTTTAACAATTTTATAGACGAGTCTACAGCGGCAAGCATGAAGGGCGTGGCGTCTGTCCTCGTCTGGGTCCAGTGTCTCTTGGCCTTCACAGAGGCTGTCTGGGCCAACACAGAGAAGATCATTTTTCTCGCCCCAGAGAGCATGAACATGTCCTATAACTCTTCGACACTGGATAATCTCCACCTAGAAATTCTCACCCCTGATACGAGGTCTATCAGGCGCCACTTGCCATCTTCTTTCCCGTCTGCCGAGTCATCCGCCGGGTCAACATCTTGGCTTTTGCTTTACAACCTCACACCGTCACGCCGCTACGAAGTGAGAGTGTGCTGGGCTGCGATAGTGAGTGGGCGAAGACGGGTAACTGTAAAAGTAAGATTCTAACTCGCCAGTGAAGCAACCGACCCAGTTCCTACTTGACCTCTACGACCCAAGTGACGTCTGGAAGAACGCTGAGTTGACCTCGTCCCTCGTCCAGTCACGTCAGGGTCATGAGGTTGTGTCAGGCAGCCGTCTAGAGCCACTTCTTTTACAGGCTCATAACGGAGACATAGGGGCCTACAAAACCCCCTCTGTCCTATTCCTCCGTATTCGGGCCGTCGCCAACTACTACTCAGAAGACGCGGCTCGCATGGCCCAAGTGGAGCCGCCTCTCGTCGACATTATTTTGGACCCGTATGTATTCGGCATACTTCCAGAGTCACTGGTGTCCACCGTCGTATATATTACTGTCGTCGCCATATGGGCTGTTTTGCTCGCACGGCGTATCGTTTCCTGGATACGGAGGCTAATCGGCACCAAGAAGCCGTTTGAGAAAGCCGCGACGGCGCAGAAGAAGACGATATAGCTCACTTGCTTCCGTCGCCAAATCTGGCCACCTATGACAGAAATCACTACAATCCTGATTTCCAGCATGTCGATATTCTGCTACATTATCGTGAGAACATAATTCACTAGAGGCGCATACAGTAGCAAGCGCGAAACTCTTCCTCCGCAATATATGTGATGGGTGCTAGGCGCTAGCCAATGGGACGAAAAAAAGAAAAAAAAAGGAAGAAAAAAAAGGAAAGAAAAGAAAGAAAAAAAAACAATGAGAGCAGGAAGAAGTGTGAGGCCGTCCGCCAGCAAATGGCACTGGTCCAACCGTTCCCACTGGTTACCGTGAGCGCTGACGAACACAAAATGATGAAGAAAACCAAACGCCATAGAATCCCATACTTGTTTAGAAGAAACTGTTACCGCCTTCTCAGTATGGCGATCCATAGTTCTGTCCGTGATGTTGAGGGCCCGTTGGGAAGGAATGCTGGGCGCCCGGATAGCCAGCAGAGGCTCCGCCGCCCGAGTAGTGCGGGTTGTAGGGACCTGGAACCCCATACTGCGGCTGTGGAACACCCGGTTGGGACGGCGCGCCGTATGATTGTGGGTTCTGGCCATATGCCGTCGCTGTTGGCCGTCCGGCTGACGGCGGCGGTGGCGGCATGTGCCCGTACGCCGGATACGTTTGTTGTGGCACGGGAGGCCCGTCGAAGGATGGGCTGTTCCCAGATGTACGGGCATTGGGAGGACGTTGCGTGCCCATTTGGTTCGAATGCGGGGAATGATACGTAGAGCCTCCCCCCAAGCCGCTCATCGAAGAGGAGCTTGTCGCAGGCGGCTCATATGATGCGGGAGGCACCTGGCCTGTGTATGGGCCCGTCCCTCCTGTGTTCGAATAGCCGAAGCTGTTTCCCTATCGTCATAACACAGGTCAGCTAGCGAGGCACTTAGGTAGACAGTCGCAAGTGATAATTCGAGATGGGACTCGTAGGGTGATGGATGCTCACTCCTTGTGTCTGGTTGCCGCCTCCACCAAACATGTTAGCCACGCCGCCCATGATAGACCCTGTTAGGCCGTGATGTTGCTGCTGGCCGGCGACCGGCCCGCCGTGAAAACTCTGAGGCTGGTCAGGTTTTCCCCCGCCTGTATGGAGAAGACTTGAGGTCAAGGCACCTCCAATCTTCCCAAGCGGATTCTTCCCTCCACCACCTCCTCCGTGACTATTGTGGTTCCCGCCTCCTCCCATGATATGACCAGCAAGGTTTCCGAGGGGATTTGATCCGGAGGCCCCATGTCCCGAGTCTTTGCCTCCTAGCAACATATTCATCGCCATGCTCTGGTTTCGCACAAGGTTACGTTAGCGGGAGCTGAGTTAGATGTAAGCGAGTAAGCAGGGGAGCGGGTAGGGACAAAGGGGGAACACGGTAGACACACATACCCCAAGCCCGCGGTCACCGACCGGCCCATCACCACCTCTTGCAGTCGGACCGTCTGGCGGCATAGGCGGGTTCACAGGCTCCATCGTACCGTCAGCATAGCGAAGCGTCTGACTCCCGTCGGGGTGGGTGATGAGTTCCCTTTGAGGGGGGATGCCATAGGGGTGTTCTCCAACCGGGGCGGGTGTGCTGCCTGTTGGCGCGGCTTCTGTAGGGACGTCCCATTGCGAAATTCCCGTCGATAGCTGGACAAAGTAGTATTTCCTGCTCGCTCCATCCCACTGCGCGATCCAGCCTGGAGGGAGATGCGGCGGGGCAAACGTGGGGCCCTCGGCGCCCGGGGACGTTGGCCCGGTCATGGAATCTGGCAGCAGCTGCTTGGATTCTCGTAAAAGTGGTAAGAAATTGAAGCTAAAGTTATCGCGCACAAGACGCGTGTGGAAGGTTCCCGTAGTTGAAACGCTGCCCACCCACCTTGGGTCTCCAAGTCAAATATATGCGCGACAACCGTTCGGAGCAAATTAACTAGCGGGGAAGTGCGGGCATCAGGAGAGGCTGACGGTGGCGCAGCCATCATCTCCCTGCGGCGTTTTTGTGGCTGAAATATGTGTGGATGATGCCGGAAAGGCCCGGATAGGGAGACAGGTTGATGCCCAGACGGGGGCGTAGGGCCAACGCCAAGCTGGAATATCCCGTAAATTGAGAGGAACTCGTGTGTTTCTACTTCATACCTTAATTACGGAAACTTCGTATGATCTCCTCTCCTCTCTAGAGAGTTCGTTCCTATGTGCATGCGTGCGGTTGATCACTATCCGTCGTGCTCTGTACCTACCTTAGACTGTCGCTTATCCCGTGACTAAGGTACTCCGTAGTGTCCAAGTCAGCCGTTACGCCACCACAAAAAGGGGTAGCCCTTTCGGGAGTACGTTGTAAGCAGTAACAGCCCTCTAATTACCACAAGGTGGCGTGGGCGGCCTCAGGGGCGTCGAAACGGTCCTGCAAAGAGTGGTCAGAGCAGGGCTAATAAGCGGCCATAGCTTCCATTCCATAGTTAACACAAAGACTTTGCGATAGCTGGGTACATGGCAGTAGGGAAGGTATCATAAGTTAGTGGTGAGGAAGTAGTGTAGAAAGGAAAACGGCGCGCCACGATTCGAGTCCCTGTCCATGCTAAGGTACCGTACCTTAACACACAGTGTATTTTACGAGTATTTCACGGTCCAAAAGGGAAGACGCGTCGACCTCTTGGCGCACCTTGTACTTACTTATGTTTTTAAGGTACCTTATGTTCGTTCCATCACCATCAGATACCTTAGGACTTGCGGAATATACCTAAACATTGAAACCAGTCTTCTTGTCAAAATTGCTCTCGGACAGGACGGGCAAATTACCTTTGGAACCTACTTCCCAAGAAATAGACGAGTCCCATCTGGCAACGATATACGAAGTACTTCACCATCAACTGGAAAGCAACAGTCACAACAGCAAAGCGGGAATAGCAAATTGTCAAGATGGTCTGTGTATTTCCTGTGCCCCGAAACTAAGTGGGGTGCGTATGTTGCCAAGGATGGCCCTATAAGTTACATGGACGAGACGGGATCGATAAAACCAGAACCGAGACGCCAAATTCCTGCCTCCGTTAACTACCTACCCTGATGAAATGCAACCGACCGTCATCGGCCTTGCGTGACGATCCAAATACCTCCCCGCTTAGATGAACGATGTGCCGACTGCTTTCATAGTCCCAGACGGAAAAGCATTCAGTCGGCCATCCAGAGGCCGTCCCTTACAGGAATAGAAAACGGCGGGCACCGCCTCTCTTCCTGGTCATGACAAGCGTCTCGCTGATTCCGGCCTCACACGTGGTGCCGGGTGCCATTTGCATCAGTACAGACCAAACCCCTGAGGCACAGCGCTGAAAATGGGTGCCGCCAACGCAGTTCCACTGGCCTTCGTTGGTGCACGCTGTTCCCGGGTTCTGGGTACCGTCGACGACATCATCGCTCGAGTCTTCCTCGGCAGGAGGAGAAGTGGGCTGGGGAGAAGCAGTGGTGGTCGGAATAGTGACAGTCGACAGGGTAGAAGGCTGCTCCGGTCGAGGAGCATCGCTCGGAACGGGGATGAAGACGCCGCCAGGACTAGAATATGTTAGCGAGACGTTTGGAGGTGGTACATGAGTGGGGACGTACAGTGACGTTGTGGTGCTGGGCGACTCGGGAACCGGTTGGTCAGGCTCCTCGACAGCTGGCTGTGACGGAACCGGAGCAGGCTCAACAGTGGTCGTATTCGGAACGCCGGGGTTCGAGCCATTATCAGGGTTCGAGCCGTCGCCGGGGTAGGAACCGTCGTTGCCATCGCCCCCGTCAGCGTCGCCATCGTCGTTGCCATTGCCATTGCCATTGCCACTGCCACAGCTTCCCAAAGGAGGCGTGGTCGGGGTGCCTTCAATGGTGACGTCGGGGCCAGGATTGGGGAATTCAACGTCAGTGCCCTCGGAGGTAGAGCAGCCGTTTCCGACGTTGGCTTTGAAAATTTCCGGTCGGCTCCTGAACGAGGCAGCGGAAACATCACTGCCCTCGATAGAGACAATAGCACAGTTCATGTACATCTCCCGATTTCCGATCTGGTTGAACCAGGTCCAGGCGAAGATGGCATTATCCGCCGAGGGAGCATCGTCAGGGATGGTGAAGTCATAGGCAGACACACCCGCGGGGGGGCAGCCACCGATGTAGCTGTGGATGACGGTGAAGGTGTTGCCTCCGTCAAAGGAAAGAGAGGCTTGACAGCTTCCGCCATTGTGATTGGCGCCGCCGTTGATAGTCAGGTTATACGTCTGACCAGCCTGCCAGGAGGTCACTGGCAACGCGGCGTCAGAGCCGAGGAGATTGAGACTGCCTTTGCAAGGGAAGTCGCTGCCGGATGGGCTGAGAGGAGAGGTCATGCTGTAGTCGATATTACCTCCAGCAAAGGGGTTGTTCTTGGACCGAAGTGGGGGTGGCCACGACATCTCCATGTGGGAGGAGACGAGCCCAGCATGGAGGAAGGCCAAAATGGCCGTCTTTAAAGCGAACTGGACCATGATGAAGTGTTGGGTTACCGTGAGGTTATCGTTGTAGATGTGAGTGTGTTCTTCGTTGTGTAGAGTCGTTTGGCTTCGCTGTGGAAAGGGTATCGAGGTCTAAATTGTTTTTCGTCTTTTCTGTTGTGTGTGTTGTGAATGGAAGCGATGGATTGGCAACTGGAGTGGACTGCACTGAAGTTGCGGATGATTTATAGAAGAACCTGGGTTCTGAGCCGGCTCGTAGAACTTTGGTGATCAAAAGGATTGACAATATGGCAATGTGATTGTTCAGGCAGCAGAGGAAATAAAGAGGAAGGAGGGATATGACAACCTAGCTGACCCGGCAGCTACGAGTTGGGTGAGATGGAAAGATGGTATGGTAGAAAGAAGAGAACAGAACCTGCTGGGACGAAACAGAAGGGCAGGAAAGGAGTGAACCAGCCTGTTGTAAAAAAGAAAGAAAGAACAGTTGAGGCTGAACAGCAACCCCGATGAGAGAGAAAGTGAACTATGAGAACAGAGCAAATTCCTCGTTCAGGCAGGTACGTCCTCAACCGTCTTATACTTGCCTGTCTTTGGGGAAACAAGGATTTTGTGTAGAGGCAGGAAAATATCCCAGGAAAAGGAGGGTTGGGCCGTGGGGTTCGGACTGAGGTGGGCAGGTATGATAGCCAACCACCTGCCCATATCACTGATCGTCGAATACCATGATTTTTCCCCACTTATCCTCAATTGTCCTTGGGTCAACGGAAAAGAATATAACTGGCAGGAGGCATACCACCACGGAGTCGTGTCCGACCTACAAATCGGCATCATACCCTGTCCCGGGAGATCCGTAGGTGCTGCTCTGCATTTACGGCAGCCACTCACTGCCTCGGAGGGGATATCTTGGCCCAGGACACCGAGAGAACCCTGTATCAATGAACAGAGTGGGCACGGAGACCCTCCTTTGGGACAAAAACAGGGCCAGCCAGTTGAAAGAACAGCCCGGCTTTGTCCAATTCCGCATTGTGTGTTCTTTCCTGTCCCTTGTTCGAAGACAACTCCATTACAACCAGTGCATCTTCACCACACAATGAGAGTTGTCATAGATCACCAGAATGCAAGACGAGAACGCACCTCTACATGAAACTTCCTTTGGCATCTATACCATTTCATGGAAGAACACCATCGAATCGGCACAGGGTTATTACCAACTTGCAGGACGTGAACAAAAGAAGAGAACACTATGGGGTTCGACTGGCTCGTCACTTCTGCCAACCTAACTTGGAGGAGGTACAGAGGATTGACGTTTCAAGTCCATCAACAATTCAGGGGTGCAGCGGCTTGTCAGCGAATTACATGTCGCGGTCGCCTCTTCACGGCGCCAATCTGAGGCATGTGGGGCATACACATTCCACGCTGACTCGGAACTACGAAGTAATAGTGTGGCTCTACATGCACTGTGAATTCCTGGGCGACGTTGGAAAGAACGCTCCATGAGCCAATCATCGGGGTCGCGTACCTGCCAGGGCAAAACACCCCTGTAGCTGATTCGCACACGGAGCAAAAGCCACCCCACATGATCGATTCGCCCGACTTCCATTAATTAATTACCCGCCCGACACTTGAAGACCGAGTGCCGATGAAACGACCGATCTACGAAGTGCGTCTTGCGGAGGGTCTGGACCAGGGACAACGTGCTTGTCCTCACCGTTGTCACCGCGTTGCGACGTGCAGGTAGGAAAGTCATTCAATCCAGTCGCATCCATTTCAACCCAGCCCATTCCTAAATTCCACCGCCTTCTTATGAGTTCAACTGAGAAAAGTAGGAAACCTCTTCCGTCAGTACTACGGACCTCGGAGTGGCTCTATCCAACCACTTACGATTGTCGTTTTGTGTCTCGTCTCTGGACATAGACCTCCTTTGAGATGGATGCTGTGATGGCGCATGGAGACATCGAGTCCGTACTTTATGGGAACTGGTCCTATATCACGCCCGCCCTCTTTTCGCACCCTTAAAGACCGAAGGTATCCTGGGCCCGAGGCCAGCAATCAAGGAGAAAGGCTAGTCAGTCGCACGGTTGATAATATCCTTGAATCCCCATAGGTTAAATTCCCTCGAGTCACCTTTCCGACTTGTTACGTGATCTTGAAGAAAGGAGGTTGTAGTTCAACTGACCATTGCCCCCCCCTAGTGACCTGACCATTGCCCCTGTGCTACCCCCCTGCTAGCGTAGAATTCGCCTGACCTGACTATTGCTATAGCCTTCAGACCTCGCCCGACCATTGCTCGCCAAGCCAGTACTAATGGTCGGGTAATGTCAGCGGCCGGAAGGGTGCTGATATATCACGTGACCTGGTTATTAAGTGTAAATTCCCTATACCTTAGTCACTATTATAGCAGCGATTTAATTTCCCTTTATTACTTTGTTATTTTTATTATTTTTATTATATTCCTGTGGACCTCACCAGACTATTAGTACTGGCTTGGCGAGCAATGGTCGGGCGAGGTCTGAAGGCTATAGCAATAGTCAGGTCAGGTGAACTCTACGCTAGCAGGGGGGTAATAGTCAGTTGAACTGTAGTCTCGAAGAAAGCATCGTAGAAACCAATCTTAGCGTCTTTCTGTCGTTGCTTCCTCGTCCGACAACTGATTGATTTACTTTCGAAATCCACAGGCGCTCACTCGTCAAGGTGTTGCACTCAATGGCAGGTTTGCTGGTTTGGAGGAGAATGCATTATCGCCACTCGGATAGAAACGGGTTCATGATTCTGGGGCATTCTCATCCATACCGGTAAATCTGAAATGATAGCCACACATTCCCGAGAACGATACAACAACAGAATAGCAGAATAATCAATTGGCTGTTCGGGGTTGGCAGTGGGCACATTGTTCTGCCTAAGGTCCTTCATCCTGACTGTGCGGTAACAGGCTAGTCGACTTGTCCTGGTCGTCGCTTAGCCTCTTGCCCTGTACCCATCCGAACCCATGCCGCCCAGCATAGTCAAACTAATACATTCCACGCTCTGCGAGCGCCACCTCGAAAACTACTGCGTGGATAGAACATAGCTATCTGTTAATGGCGAGATTTGAAGGGGGTTATACACGCTCTGATCCTAGCACTCGCCATGTAAAGCCTTGGCGGGAATTTGCAGCCAAGTGCCCAGCTCTAGGAATGCTAGTCCTCGAGAGCTCCCCTCCTCACCAATGTCCATTCGTAGCCTCGCACCCAGTGTTACGCATGGGGGAAGAACGCCATGCAGCGAATATTCCCTCCGAAAGTCTCTGGCACCGACATATGGCTCAGCTGTCTCGAACACATGGGACGTGTTGCATACTCAAGCCATAACTACCGAGATCTGGACGAGGGGGATGGATAAGGGCGAACCTTGTCAGAGTTCGGCGCGGCCACGCGACCCGAGTCGTTGGGTTGGCTCGTTTGACATAAACTCAGCTGCCGTCGGCCGGATTATCTGACGGGCGGCTTTGGACGTTTGCCTGATGAGTTCCTTGTTGCTGGCCATGCCCCCCAAAACTCTTCCCGCCGTAGGTGTTACTTCCGTTTCGATGCTGCTGCCCATACGAGTGCATTTGCTGAGGGCTCGAACCGTATGGCTGTGGACCTGTCGCACCATAGCCTCGGCCGCTTCCTGTTGTTTTCCAAAGCCGTCAGTCCCGTGTTGCGTCAGACCGTCGAATCTGAACGAACCAGAGATCAGGTTTCATATACCTTTGAAGGATGACGCACCTTGGCCGCCAGGTTGCTGCGGAACAAAGACAGGCTGTTGATATTGCAAATTAGGGCTCATGCCGTAGACAGACTGGCCCTGTTGGGATCCCTGGTGGGACATCATGGGCGCGGACGGTCTGCCAGGGCTGGGGTACCCGTTGGACGCAGGCATCGTTTGAGATGGGCCTGCATTGGGAGGAACAAATTGCGCATGCGCGCCATACATGGGCAGCTGCGGTGATTGGACGAGGCCTTGCGGATTGATGAACTGCGGCTGCATCATCATCGGACCACCAGCCACATGCCCCGGCTGTTGAGGTAAATACGGTTGATGGCTGTTAGAGAAGCTCCTAAATTGACCCATTTGCGGGGTGCCAGGGCTCATATAAGGCTGCATGATGGGTTGATTGTAGGGAACCGGCGCCGGAGAGCTCACAGGTGGGCCGTATGTGATAGGGACCTGAGCCATCCTGGGAGATGCAAATGACTGGGCAGAATTCGAATGCATCATTCTATGATCGTCCACATTGTTATAAGTGGCGTGCGGGGCGTGGCCAGGTTGAGTGTGCATCGGCATCGAAGGCAAGTTTGGGGATTGACGCGGTGCTGTACCATGTGGCCCTTGCAAGTGCAGGGGTAGTTGATAATGATGGGGTGCGCTGGAACCAACGTGAGGTGGGTTGGGGGCAGCTGAAGGCGTGGCAAAGGACTGCTGTTCCAAGAACTCCTTATAAGTCAGACGCATCGTGGAGTCTTGGGTTTCATCTTCCTCGTGAATTTGCCGCCATGTCGGAAGAGTATCATAAGACGGCTTCAGACTCCCATTATCCTCCCAGTTCCGCCCCTGCGGCGGCTGGTATGTCTTGATATTGGCAAGGATGAAGCACTTCTTGACATCTATGGCTTTAGTCTTGCGACGGATTAGCTGTCCAGTGCCAACAAGATGTGTGGGCGGGTCTGTTGCATTGTTGTTCCCCGCAGCGGAACGAGGACTGGAAGCCGCACTGAGTTGGGCGCCATTCGGATTGAAAGAGGAGGCATAGGGATTGGGCCTGAACTCGTGGCTGTTCGGATTGAGCTTCGCACCCATATGTCCCGGGACCCCACTGAGTCGGCGCCCAAACTGTAGATCTGCCGAGCTGTTTGCCGGACCAGTAGGGGGCACGCGCATCTCAGGTGCACCTGCGTGTTGCTGGGGATGAGGCGGCTGGGCATGCGGTGGGGGTTGTGACAGTTTCTGTTGTTCCACGTTGCGCAACCGTTGACCTAGAGGTTGACGACCCTGCTGGGCAAGGTGTTGCCCCGGGCGGTCGTTTCTGTAAGGCCCGTTGTGATGAGACGAAGTGGCATACGACTGGCGTGCATTCGCATGGCGGTTTGAGGGTCCCGGGGAATTCGCAAATTGGGAACCAGTAGTTCGAGTAACACTTCGAGTGTCGGGTGCGACCTGCGTCACGGGACTGACGGCTGTAGTAGCTGGTTTGACTGGATTATCCTTGGAACTGGGGTCCTTGGGTTTGGCGGCAGCCTCGGCCGCCTTCGTTCGGGCTACGTCTTCTGCATTTTGAATGGCTTTGGCTTGGATCTCCTTCTGCTTGGTAGGGTCTTTCGTTATGATAGAGATCAAGTCGGTCGGCACCGGTGTTGAGAGCTTGAAGCCTTCTGCAAACTTCTTCAACTCGGTTAACTTGACTTCCTTGTCCGCTTTGGCCTTGTTGGATCGAAGCTTGTCTGCAGTCTGACGCTGCTGGCTCGCGAACGACTTGAACGAATTGAGAACGTCGCGCTCAACTGTCAACGCGGCACTCGGAATACCTTCTCTAGGTTGAGAGGAGAGGACGTGGCTTGATGACGCCAAAGGCCGTGAAGGCATGGTCTTGTCGGGCAATTTCCCACCCAATGTGTTCGTGTTCGTGCTCGTGGACTTGCCTTCCGCCGGCCTGGACACAGATGGCTTGTTTGTCTCATTGTTGGGCGCAACCGGCTTTGAGAGCTTCGCTTCGGCAGTCTGGGATCGTTCCGTCGCTTGGGGGGCATCGAGCTTGGATGCAGGAACGGGTGTCTTTGTCTCTTCCGCCTTGACCGGGGGCTGCTTCTTAGCCGGGGCTCGCACTTGCGACGAGATGATAGCCGGGTCTACAGGGGCCCCAGTGACTGTAGTTTGGGCCGAAGGAGCCCGTTTGGCAGGAGGTGTGTACTTCTCATCGCGGTTCGAGAGAGGGGGAAAATCCTGTCGTCGAACCCCGCTATACCTACACGGAACAGAGTCAGCATCCGCGTCCTGATGGCGTTGAAACCGCTTGACTTGACATACTTCTCTTCTTCGTCGTCACCCCGACTGTCTCCTGCAGCGTGGTCCATGACACGTTCCTCGGCCACATGGGCCGTGGTTGGGATGCTACGCTCTATTTCTCTGGCTTTCCTTTCAGCAGCAGCCATGCGTTCGCGATATTGCGGATGATTCTTGTCGATCGCGGTTGTGTAGATATTCTCGTCGTAATCCGTCCTGATGCCAAATCGCCGTTCGTTTTCAGCAAACTGGTCCCAATGGCCGTGATTGTTCGAACTCTCAAGGCCGCCGTCGACGTCAGCTGTTGAGTCGGGAACCCAGGGGGTTAAAGTGCGCTCAGCACCGAAGCGGTTGTTTGAGATGGCCGAATCGGTCCTGAAGCCGCCTTTTGTAGCTGAACTCTTCCTTTAGCAGATGTCGCCCGTTTCAAGAGCTGGGTACCCACCATTTTGTCCCTTATTATCCATTCTGCCAACCATGCCCAAGTCCTTTTTCGGGGGCGGCATGTCAAACAATATGTGTCGGTCGTTGCATAAGTTGTGGAGTATTGAGTTGACGCTATTCCTTCAGCCTTGGGACTGGGAAGCAGCGAGGAAGTGATGGTAGATGGAAATCGAAAGACCTTGGGAGACGGCTTGACTAAGTATCGAAGTGAGCTACCAGAAAAGTACAGATTTACTTTGCCCAGGTGGTTGAAAATAGCCCGACAAGTCCTCGCACAGGAACAACTCGAGTCAATAATAAAACGAACCTCGTATAGGTCTTGGTGTGTAGAGTTCGACGCCACAAGGCAAACCACCGACGTTTAGACAGCGCACCGTTATGGTCGGCGTGAGTCTGACACGAGTGGACGAGTTGCTTGTCGTAAATCGAGACTACTAAAGTTAGCATGGATCGTATCGAGGCGGTCAAATGCGGAGTCCAAGAAGCTTGTGTAAAGAACGACGATGAGATAGGCTGGATCAAAGCTTCTCACACAGAAACAATGTCCACAGACTTGAAAGGAGTAGGTGGAAGGCAGGATACCTTGCGGGATGCAACATCGGGGAGGATAAGAAAGGGTGGGGTGCGGCTGGCATAAAGTAACGGACTCGAGGCTCGATTGAATAGTATGCGGAGTTCTGAACCTACCTCCTCCAGAACTTAATTGACGTGTTGGGAAAGTACGCTTTCCATATAATCGCCTTCGGGCATGCAGTGCAGCGTACTACCCATAGAGATCCCAATTGGAAGAGAATGGGGGATGGGATGAGGTTCAGAGACACAGAGTGTGGTATTGGAAAATCTGACAGGGGAAGATGTGCGGTTGGGGTTTGCAAGATACGCCGCCTCGTTTCCAGCGTACTGCGCTGATGGAAGGAGGTACCACCAAGACAGCGAGCTCTGGTTGCTAAGAATTAATCTGGGGGTCGATTCTGTGACTTACGCGGCTTTCAGACAGGAAGTACCTTACCTAACAGGACAGTGTGTGGATACGTAAGGAGTATATCGGCTATTCAGTATATGGAAGTAGCTTAGCCATGAATGCTCGTTTTACGGCATGCTGGTTACCTTATATACGAGATAGGAGCCTAGGTACTTACTACATAAGGTACCGAGGGGGCCCGTTATCCGAGTTTGTCCTAAGCTAGTTATATTAGAATATAAATAAAGGGAAGGATTACGGCGCCCTAATATTCTACTATCAAGCTCTTAAACATAGATCTATGATAATATAGGTCCCCTTACCTGTAAACTCCCTATCTTATAGTGAAGGCGCTTCCACTTTAGCTGTTCTGGATGCGTAACAGCAATTGGGGTACGCCTTGTCGCATATATTATGGAGTTGATCATTGTCCTAGGAGTTCGGCGATATTGCGAGGATCACAGAATTACTGGGAAGACATACAGACAAGGACCCGGGGATATATACCATTTCTGCCGCATAAACACAACGAGAACGAGGCATATCATGGTTTATCAAATTTCGGTGTGCTTAACAGAAACCTGGTCGTTCTTGTTGAGCAAATTTCCAAGCTGGTCACAGGGAAAGCGTCTGATTCTACAACAAATGGAAGGCGATTCTGCCACGTGCGATCGGATATTGGTACATTATTTCTTGTCTCGATTCAGCACCTCGCTCGGTTCGTTATACCTGGAGACCGAGCTCCTCCGCATATGGCAAGACATGCAAATCGCCAACTGTACCCACGCTAGCCTTGCCCTTCAGGAGATTCTGCGCGGCCTGTTGACATGAGGAATCAGTCAAAGATGTTCAGAGAGTCCGAAGAAGTGAAGAGGAACTTACCGCCTTGAGCTTATCAGCAGTCACAGATTCCAGGGGCTTAATAGCGTCGATGATCTCAATGGGCTTGCCAGTGTGGAGAGTGCTAGATCCCGCAAGGAGCATGCTTGCATTGCGACCCTCGCTGGCCTCGAGAACATCAAACTTGGCCTTGGCGATGGCCTTGGTTAGGTCCTCCTTGCTAACCTTCCCTTCAGCAACGGCCTTCAATGCCTTGACAGTTTCCTCCGCGGCCTTTCGGACGGCCAAAGCGGATCCAGTCAGTTGAACGGTAAACAGTCCAGCATCGGAGTACGACACGCTAGCAGTAGAGACGGAGAGACCAGGGAGGCCTCCAACAGTGCGCGACAACATGCTGAAGCCGGAAGACCACTTGATGCTGGACTTGCCGCCAACAAGCGCGGCAAGAACGGCGGTCTCAGGCGACGGAGTTCCATAGCTCGAGCCAGGGAATGCAATTACCACGGAGTTGCCGGCCGTATGGCTAACGCGGGATTCGCCACCATAGTACTTGGAAGGCGAGGTGTTCAGTCCCAGGGAAGTCGAAGAGGAGACGGGCGACGCCTTGAAAAACTGCTCAACCCATTTGGAGACTTCGGCTTGAGATGCACCATCAGCGACGATGGTGATATTAGGCTTCGCGTACGCTGCCCCGGCGAATTCGGCAATGGACGACTCGTTAAGGTATGGCTGAGTGGGCACGGAGGAAGTCAGGTTCAGAGGCGATCCAAGACCATGGTGGAAGGCGACGGAATGGGCTGCGTCGAGGGCCAGGGCGGCGGGATTGGATGCCGCAACTCCCTGCTTGGTGCTGAGAAATTCCCGGATCTCCTCATTGAATTCGTGGGCTGGAATAAAACATCTCAGTTCAGCCTGCTTAGATGTATGTACCGGCCGCGAAAGACTCACTGGTGTACTTCGTCTGCGAAATAACTTCGCCGAGGAGTTCGACGTAGTAAGGAAGGTCTGTCCGAAGGAAGCTCGACTCGATCATCAAGGCCTCTCGAGTATGATTCGAGGCGAGTTGACCTCCAAGGAGTTCAGATTCGCGAACAATCCGTAGGCCAGAGCGCTTTTGCGTGGTCTACATACAATTGGCATGGTTAGTTTTGATCGTTGCCCTAGGGCGGCGACATCCTCCCTACCTTGAACGCGAAGGCCTCAAGACCTGCGGACAGCCCGGGAAGCGGTTCATATCTCGTCCCAGCCTTGGCCACCACGGCCAGTTTGGTTGTCGGGCCACGAGAATCCCGAGCAATTACCTTCACGCCGCCGACGTCCGAAAGCTCGTACGAGCCAGAAGAGGAGGAGGTAGCAAGGCCACGAGCAAGAGGGAGTCGTGGATAGGCTGGTTGGCGAAGTGCCAACTGCGCGGCCCGCGGGAAGGAGGTTCGTGAGATCATGTTGAGAGAGCGAATGCTCAGAATTGGCGATGTGAGTTCCTGGGCCGAGGTCGTGATAGCTAGAAGAATATGCCCGTCGTTCCCGATCAATTTTCGAGAGACGACGGTTGACTTCCATCCAATCATAGCGACACAATTAGCCAGTCTATTATGATCACGTGATGGTACGATCACGAGTGGTGCCTATCTGTCTATCTACGTGTACTGAGGCGCGAGATCTATCCGAAAATACTCCATAAGTAAGGTACGGATACATGATCAGGGAAGTACCCAGTACGGAGGGCATGTAGACGTACTGTACTTCCTGCATGTTGGGCGTATGGAGTAGTACCTCCGGTATCTACTATCAATACCTAGGTACACAGCTTTTAAGGTACTCCGTAATTACAATTTCTCAATGCGTGACGCAGAGGGGTGCCCCGCCATCATAACCCGAGTCGCAGGCAGTGTCCTATTATTGGCATATTCTGCGACGGCGCGTGGGGAAAAAAATGCGAAGCACCTTCAGTACGAGCGAATAACGTCAACTCCCTCTACGTTACCGTCTTCCATAATTTATTTTGCTCACAGACAACCGTCAATCTATTTCAATGGTCCACCGGTAGCTTTTGTGGCAGCTCTGGAGATAGTGAGAGCATCTATCTCTAGAGAGGATCTCTTTCCACCAACGCAAACAAAGCCACCTTCCCGTCGACATACATACCATGCTGGTTGTCAGTTCCACCTTCTTATGATGGCCAAGTTGATTTCACTAGCTTGCTAATATTTGTTTCTCAGACCAAGCATGCCGCTGAGCTCTGTGCTCATGTCGTGAACGATATGCTTGGCGAACTCCCTGCGGTCCGTTCTGATCATGGCCCTACCTGCAGCATTGTCCTTCACAATTACTGACATCTACATGTGGTTTATAGAGGGTCTTGACCGTTTTATTTGGCAAAGGAAGGTTGACGCATGCGCAACTTGTTCATCATACCTCATTGCCTCCTCGAGAAGTGCGTCATGGCTTAGCCGTCCTTATACAACAGAATCTACTGTATCATTATTCAAGCCGAGAGTCTCCTGTCACGAACTACGAAGCGAACCCGGATGCTTGTTATAACCTTCTCCGCTCAGGAAAGGTTGTGGAGATGGTGGGAAATGAATACGGTCCTGCGGAACAAGAGGTAGTCAAGACGTTGCTACAACTCGGCCATGCCAGAGTATCCGATCTCGTTCAGGCCTTTGGGTACTCAGAAGGAGGTGAAAATGGGACCAACGGCTACCATGTGAATGGTGGAGGACGGCCAGGGGCCAGCCCGTCTCGCCACGTCCAATCAGCCGAAGAACTCTATATTGTTCTTTGTCGGCTCATTATTGGGGGCGTCATCGACCAGGTTGGCCCGAAGACGTTTAGAAGCCCAGATGACATGCTTCGTGAGATACAAGACGATACAATGAAGACCGCCACGGGAGAGAAAACCAGCGCAAAGGCCAAAGCAGCATTACAACAAGTAGCGATGGCGCGATTCCGGACAGCATGTGACGAGAGCCAGAAGTTGAAGCGGCAGCTCGAACACACCGTCCCTTTTACTGCCAAACGGAGGAGAATGGCGAATGGAACGCATTCCAACGGCTCCCTCGGTGGGAAGAGATATAGTGAAGCAATTCCTGTGAGTTTCCCGGACCTATGGCCGCCAATTCGAGAGTCTATTCTGACGGCATCCAAGCCCAACTGTGTCCTCAAGATCAACTTTGAAAAGTGTCTAGTTGACCTACGGAACCAAACACTAGCCCGCTATGCGTCAGAGAGTCTAGGCATGATCACGGGACAAGTATATCACACCACTCTCCGGCTTCTGTCCGATAAACTTGCTCGTTGTCGAGAGAATCCGAGGGTAGATGCAGAACTCGATGTTAACGGCAGCGCGGACGACGACTACGACGACGAGAGTGGTGGTCACAAGTCCAATCAATCTATTATTGTCACCTCAACTCAGATCTTCGACGCTCTAGACCCTTCACTCAACATCGCCGCCGGTATAGGAAAAGTTCCCAGGGACAAGATACATTTTCGCAGTGCGGAGAAGGTGCGAAAAGAACCGAAATATTCATCGCTGGACTCCGATGAGTCGGAAGGCGAGGATATCCGTCAGCAGATGCCGAGAAGGCACGGCGAAGAAGACTCCGACATGGAGGACATGAGGTCTCCAGCGCGGAGACATAGACGATTGGAAGGCGACGACGCGAAGGTCACGTTCGACGACGGCGTAGATGCGAAGGACAATCGCTTCGAAAATATGCGACAACATCTCCTCCTCTTAGCCGAAAGCCAAGAAGGCTTCCTTCGACATTGTGGCACCCAGGGTCGAGGCCAATGGACGGTGGATTTCAAGCCGCTCTTGGATCGGCTCGGGCAGATGGAATCAGAAGCCATCATCGAGCAGACCTTTGGGCGGCATGGCTTGAGATTGACCCGTATCCTTCGGAGCAAGGGGAAGCTGGATGAAAAGACGCTGCCTTCCCTGGCCCTCATGAAGAAGCAAGACGTGCAGGGGAAGATGCTGGCTTTGCAAATGGCCGGCTTTGTCGACGTTCAAGAAGTACCTCGAGATAACAGCCGGACAGCAAACCGAACCATGTTCTTCTGGTTCTTTGACGAGAGCAGGGTGAGGAATCAGCTGTTAGACGACATGTACAAGACCATGCTTCGATGCTTGCAGACGTTGGATGTGCAAAGGTATCGAGAGCGAAACATTCTGTCATTCGTCGACAGAAAGGATGTCAAGGGAAAGGAAGAAGAAGTCATGACCACGGAACACTACAACAAGTACAATCGCTTTCTAGAGCTACAGAGCAAGCTTCTGGGCCATGTGATGAGGTTGGATGACCTGGTCTCTGTGTTCAAGGATTTCTGACGAGGCCCTCCTGGTGGATGATGCGGCGCATGGGAAACCAACACAAACTGGCACTGTTCATCCTGCTATGTAGGGGTTACGCGAGAGGAAAGATACTGCCTGGGGTGCTTACTTTGGGCCACCTAGGTACTAGGTATTGGAGATGAATCAAATGTCCATATTCAGACCCCGCTGACGACGGTAGCTACAAAATAAACTACGTCTGACACCACGCCGTGTAGGAGTGGCCCGCAGTTGACTTTCTTGGTCTCGGGTGTTGTTCCGGTGCATTGGCCTCCCCGGAATTCGGGTGAAGATTGCTTTTGGGCAATCTAGGGACGCATTAACTTTCGATGTTACCACCGAGTTGACTAGCTGAAAGCTTCATCTTTCGTTTTACCTTCGTTGTAACTTGCATTGTTCGTTCTGGAACCATCGGCGAAAAAGAGGTAGGTTTGACTTTCGTAATTACACACTCCATCCTCCGAATCCGAATTATTATTAATTACCCCGTGTTTATTAGCTTGGACATGTCTCGATCATTGATTCCGGAACCACCCGGTTGGATTGATTACATAAGGCTCGTCTTATCAAGAAACGATAACAGGTGCCATCCGTACTATTATTTTTGATGCTCAATGCCAGCGTCCGAAGTCGGGCATTGGAGGAGAAAAAAAAGTTCCTACATAGATAACCGATCTTCCCCAGCCCGAGTTGACGGTACCCCTTATTTTGGCTTCGCGACGTCTCTATTCACACCACCCGGCACAATTACATCTGATCTTTCAAATCCAAGTCGTCATGTCTCCACCGACGAATGCTGGTCGCGAGAAGGAGTCGAACCTTGCCCGACTCCTCGGCTCCGGTGTGTTATCCCCCTTGCAGAAGATGTTGCGAAAGGATGAAGGGCGCTGACGAACATCAAAGGCTCCGCCGGCATTGCCGAGCTGGCTGTTTTCCATCCGGTACTATCCTCTCCCTTTCTTCATCTCTGTTGAAGTTGTCTAACATCTGTGCCTTGGCAGGTTGACACCATCGCGAAGCGACTGATGAGCAATCAGACACGGGTAATACCCATCTATCACATGCCCTCTCCAATAGCAACACGACCGAACTCACGCAAAATACACCATAGGTTACTAGCGCCACTCAGTTGAACACTGTCATTTTCAAGGATAAGGCCACTGCTACTGCAGGCAGAAAATTCTTCTCGCTTTTCCCTGGGTTGGGATACGCGGCAGGCTACAAGGTGGGAATTCCTCATCAATCGGGTCGGTCGGCGCACGTGACGAAAGAACTCTCTGATTAAGTGTGTATAGGTGCTGCAAAGAATATACAAATACGGTGGCCAGCCAGTTGCGCGGGACTATCTTACCAAGCACTACGGCAAGGATTTCGAGCAGGCCTTCGGAAAGAAGTCGGGCAAGGCGATCTTGCATTCGACCGCTGGCAGGTGAGGATCAATTTCTTTTCTTTTGTTCTCCGGATTGTCCACATGCTAAGCTCTTGAACAGCTTGATTGGAATTGGCGAAATTGTACTGCTCCCCCTGGACGTGCTCAAGATCAAGCGACAGACCAACCCCGAGGCGTTCCGGGGCAGAGGAGTGCTCAAGATTGTCGCGGACGAAGGCTTTGGTCTCTACAGGGGCTGGGGTTGGACGGCAGCCCGAAATGCGCCGGGTTCCTTCGCGGTAAGTGACACAATTCTGGGCAGCCGAACTCATGGTCACTGACAATGCCCTCCCAGCTTTTCGGTGGCTCCGCCTTCGCCAAGGAATTCTTCTTCAAGCTCGAGGACTACAACAAAGCGAGCTGGTTCCAGAATTTCATAGCGTCCATTGCTGGCGCGTCTGCCTCGCTCCTTGTTTCTGCGCCCCTGGACGTCATCAAGACGCGGATCCAAAACCGGAACTTTGAGAACCCGGAAAGTGGATTCAGAATCTTGACCAACATGGCGAGGCACGAGGGCGTTTCTAGCTTCTTCAAGGGACTGGTTCCCAAGGTACGTCCTCCTCATCGTCGTTGTTATCCATTCACAGTTCCGTTTGAAAGGCCAATGGCTGATTAACTGGATGCACACACAGTTGCTGATGACCGGGCCGAAACTCGTGTTCTCTTTCTGGCTTGCGCAAACTCTTATTCCTGCATTCGACATTGCTCTATCCAAGTAATATCACCCCAGAGCGGAGGGATGAGAAAGTGTAATAGAATATGGGCGGGCAGTCGGTGGGAGATCCTGGAGATGTTGGGAGACACTGTTAGAGATAATTGTCTGGTGTTGTATTGTGGACTCGGTTTCAAGACGGTTTTCCGCCCTGGCAGCAGACATCGCTGCACTGTGGCGGGCAAACTGTGCTCCAATTTCACCATAGACTTGTATAGTAGACACACGACATGGCAAGGCGTTAATGCTCTATATGGCGAAGTAAATTGGCAACTTTGGGGCCTCTTTACCCGGCGCGTTAAAACATCACGTCCAGGGCAGGTACCACGCGTATGAAACCACTGCTGGATGGCCGAATTAGGTACCTACTAGGTAATGCCTGTCGTAGAAGTCAGAAGTACCGAAGGTAGGAACCTTGTGTATCGTACTAATAATAACTTGTACTCCACACTTGGCTACGTCGGCATTACTTGAGGTAAGAACCAAGGTACATTTATTATGAAGGTACGTTGTACTTCGTTTACAGTACCTAGGTACCTACGCTCGTATGTGCTACCTGACGTCAAACCAAGACAGGATGACTTGGCTCGATGGTTGCTCGGTAACGAAGGTGGCCAACAACATCAGACCAATTACCTGCCCGAGTCGAAAGAGCACCTGCATCGTGCTTGAGATAGGAAGCAACTGTTCGTTGGCATACATAATAACACGGCGGCAAAAAAGCACGACGTTCAGATTTCACAACACCTCATCCATACTCAGACAGAGAAAGCCTTCGCCTTGTTGCTCCTCTCAATATCCGTCACCCAGCTCATGTCACCAAAAAGCTCTTCGACCACCTCTCAGTGATCTGTCGCTCTTGCCCCACATTCCTATCGGGCGAACTTATTGTTCCCACGTATTAAGACAACAGCCATTGATTCTCGCGAGGCGGACCCGATCAAACCGACATTCTTGGTCGCTGGCTGAAATCTCAAGAAATCAAGAAACCATGCCAGCTGTGGAGCGCGACGGCTCTAGGGATGGAGAGCGACGTCTAAGACATCAACACTCTTCATCCTCAGACCATAGCCGAGCTTTGATCCCCATGTAAGGCTCCTCTGTTGCCCTTCTTGCATGCATTCTCGTTGTTACCCTCGTGCCCACTTCCATGCTGGCACCTGTCGTTACCTGAAATGGCCGGAGTTTGGCGTAAGCTAACTGAAAGCAGGTGGGATAGTTCAGATCCCGAGAGGGCTCCCCCTCCTCTTCCGCTTAACCCCCAGTCCCCCAGCGTTTCCCCGCGGCGTGGAACCTCAAGTGCGATACAGTCGGCCCACGCCAACCTTGCAGAGAAGGCACGGGAGAACAGCAACTCTTCCAGTGCTTTGGCCAAGAACACAAACGATACTTGGCCAGAGAAGTCCCTCGTCCGAGGCTCCCATCATCGACGTATAGAGTCCCTTCAGTCAGGTACCGTCCGAGATATCAGCCTGTTGCTCGAAAGCTCGCAACTGTCGGGCCCGACCTCGCCGACTAAGCCGGTCGAGAAATCACTCAGACCGTCCACGCCATCCAAGGTGTCGCAAAATCAGATCGAATCAGCTTCTATCGAGAAGGAATCCCAGGTCATCACGAACTCCCCGAGACCCGGGCCGAGCCTCACACCGATTGTCCGTCCAATAGTCCGCAGGCCACAGCAGAGTATCTTGGGCGAAAACACCCCCCCTCAGTCAGCTACAATGCAGGCGTTGCAGAATATGCAGAATACGCCGCCGCAGGCGACGAGAGATTCCGAAACCCCTTTGCAGAACATCACCAATCAGTCAACATCTGTGGTTCGGGTACCTCAGAGCCTGGATTGTCTATCCAACCAAATACTGAGCCTCACAAGCATCGCGACATCTTTGCAGAAGGACATGTCGCAACTGAGCCGGCGCAGTCGCGACAATGCAGCCGACCTTCTCAGCCTCAAGGAAGCTACAAAGGCCAGAGATGAAGATATTCGGAAAAGTCTTCGCGACGTGCTTAACAACATGCATGAGACGACTGCACGGATCAGTTCTCGTGAAACATATAATACTGGGCTGTTCCTAGACAGCAGACCTCATCAGGGATCGTCTCCTCCGCCTACCAAAGCCATCCGACCGTTTTCCCTACCACGGATCCCTTCCCCCACCAGCTTCGCTGGGTCTATAGACCGTGATTCTATCAGCACACCCTCGCTCTGCAATTCAGATCCATCCACTGCTACCACCGCCATTCTCGAGAAGGTGTTGCGAGACATGAGCACGAAAGATGGACAAACCCTCCTCCTAAACCGACTCACCGAACTCGCCGACAAGCTTGCCGGCATGGCATCCGCCGCCAGGGTCGAGGAACTTGTCGCCCAGGCAAAAAAGAACCGTGAGCAAGCCATGGTCACTGTTGGGGAGGACGAAAACCGTCGCGAGACGGACGGCAAATCTGGGCAGTCGAGCAGACGCGAGATGAGCTACGACATCCAGTCGGCGTCTCAAAATGACGCGGATCACAGGTCTCCGGAATCAACTAAGACTGTGAAGCTGCTAGGAGACGACATGACCAAAGCCATCCGGTCAGTAAAGGACATCGTTTCTCAGAGCGGGGGCCTCACTGCTGAAGTGAAGGCCCTTGTTCGCGAACTTCGTGGCGAAGTTCTGGGCATGGGACGGGAGATTGGCCGTCGACTTGACGAACTGGACGCCTCCAAAGACCCGGCGGAGGATCTTTCGACCAAAGAAGAGATTACCAAGATTGTCGAGGAAGGGCTGGTTCGCATGAAGACCCAAATGGACGAGCTTGTTCGTGAGCACCGACGACTGTCGACGAGTGCCACCCCGCCCCGCCCTAAAGAAATCGACTACCAGGAGATATATAACGCAATGAGAGCGGCCCTGCGCGACACGAATGCCTCCAAACCGGCCGAAAGGACACTAAGCAGAGAAAACGTGGTGGATGCTGTCCGGGAAGCTTGGGAAAACTACAAACCCGAGTACGAAAGAAACTTGGGCTTGGAGCGCGAGGAAATCCTCGAGTATCTCACAGAAGGATTGCAGGAACACATGCAAGCGGACAGCGCCACACCTGGTGCTACGAAAGAGGAGGTCTTTCAGGCGGTGGTTGAGGGGTTGAAGCATTTCGTTCCTCCTCGTTTGGATCCACCGCCCAACCTCACGCGCGATGAGATTCTCGACGCTGTGCGGGAGTGTCTCGAGGAATTCGAGTTTCCCGTCGCACCGTCTGCCCTGAATGCCGAGTTGACGAGGGACGACATGGTCTACGCCGTCAAGCAGGGGTTGAACGATTTCGATTTCCCCCAGCAAAGTGTGGACCTCACCCATCTTCCCGATCGCAATGAGATTGCATCGCAGCTCCAGGAGATGATGGACTACTTGCGCCAAGGGTTCGACGCTGCTTCGCAAGAGGCAAAGGAGAACGTGGACGCCAGTGGACGCGATGTTGAACAGGTTCTGGACGCGACGAGGGAGGGACTGGAGAAACTGCGGTGCGATATGGAAGCATACGTCAGCCACCTTTTGGAAGAGTCAGTTCGTTCGCGAACGCAGGACGATCTGGCGGAGAAACTAACCGAAACGCTGGAGCGTTTCCAAGACGAGATTGCATCGACCGTGGCGAAGGCGTCGGATGAGTCCAGGTCAATGATTGACATGCGGATGGAATCGCTCCGCGATACGGTCAACTCGTCCATGGTGCCCGCAACTCCCCAGGTCAGCCACGTGGACATTCTGGAAACCGTGAAAAGCGGCCTGGATGCCGTCAGGGCCGAGATTCGCCGCCCCTCTGCAGGACATGCCGAAGTCTTGGACGCGCTGCACGAGGGTCTCGCCGACCTCCGGGTTGGCATTGAAAAGATCCACAACAAACCGGCCGACCTCACGGCCAACGACGAGATTCTGGAGGCGCTTAAGGCAGGGCTGGACAGTGTCCGCGCCGACATCGACGCACTGCGGGAGCAAAGCCGCGACGATCAGGCGGTGGCTATACTAAACGACAACGGAATCGTGCCTACGGAGCCATCCGCCGCACTGTGGCATGAAGATATCAAGAATCTTGAAGTCCTCATCTCGCAACTCCGTAACCAAGTTGAAGCGTTGAGGCCCGCGACGACAGCCGACTCGACTGCGAAGGAGGAGGAGGAGCAGGTGTCCAAGGATGATTTTGCACGCCTGGAGAAAATGCTGGGCAACGTTCAGGAGTGTGTGGACAGGATGGACCCGAAGAAAGAGACGCCGTTGCCAACCGACAACGCGTCTAGGGAGGACGTTCAGGCCATCGAGACCATTTTGCGCAACACCAAGGCCAGGCTCGATGATCTGATCGACGGCGAAGATGCCGTGAGAAGGGAACATGTGGACAACCTTCAGACCCTGATCAGTGAAACCCGAGACGCCGTTGATATGGTCGTTAACCAGCTCGACACCCTCCCTCGGAAAGACGACGTTACGGCGGTGGAGTCGCTCGTCACACAGGTTGCGGCAGGCTTTGAAGAGATGAAAGAACGAGCGATGACGGACCTAGAAGACCCCGAACGAGTGACCAGGAGCCACGTCAACGCAGTAGAGGCAACATGCCACGACATCAAGGCCGTCTTCGAGAACATGGTGAAGACGGATCTGGTTGCGCTCGCCTCTAGCGAAGACGTACAGGCCGTCAAGAGCGCCCTGGATGACTTACGATCCAAGGTCGAGGCAACGGGCGATATGCAGTCGAAGGCATCCGAGGATCGGCAAGCGGAGATTATCGGGGTCGGCGAACGGGTCTCCGACGTCAAGACAGTGCTCGAGGAGTTTCAAGACCTGGTCAAGGGCAAGCTCGAGGAGGGCGTGACGGGGATGGAAGCTCTTTCAAAGCTCTTAGAGGGCGTTTCCGAGACAGTGGGACAAAACGCCAACCTGGGACAGACTTTGGCGGACCTCTCCGACATGATACGAGCCGAGTTTGAAGAGTCCAAAACCGGGACAGTGGGCGCCAAACTCGACACGGACGAAAAACTGCAACAATTCACCGAGGGTCTCGGGTCCAAGATTGACGAGAAATTTGCCGAGCTGGTCGTCAAGTACGAGGACTTTCAGTCCCTCTCGGAGGAGCGTGCCAAAGCAGCCGAAGCGCGAGACATCGAGACGGAAGCTGCCCTTTTGAGCAGTAAGACGATGGCCGAGGAACTCAAGTCTCTCGTCGACACCCTGGGCTCGGCCGTCACCGATTCCCTCGAGAAGATGGAAGAAGCGTCCAAAACAGTATTCGACAAGGTGGAGGAGATGACGGTCAAGGTAGATGGGAATCATATACACAGCACGTCGGAGCATCACGAAAGTCAGAACCAGATCAAGCGGGCTGTGGAGACGGTCGAGACTCTGCAGGGTCAGCTTGGGGACTTCCAGCCCAAGATTCTGGACGCCGTCAAGGATGTGCTGGTCGTTGTCGGGCAACACCACGAATATTCCAAGACGTCCACGACCGACATCCGAGACAAGATTGAGGAAGCGAAGGCCGACATCGAGTCACTTCTGCCGCCGCCGGTCGAGAAGTACGACGACACTGCGGTGCACGAAAAGTTGGACAAGATAGTCGACCACAGCGACGCCACCGAGAAGGCGCTTTCGCAACTGGATGTCCTGGAGCAAATACGCCAGCAGGTGATGTCCACGGCGTCTGAGATATCCACGTTCCTGGCAGGACAGGTGAAACAGATTGCGGAGGCCAATGAGGACAAGGAGAAGTCGCTACAGGAGACGACAATTGCCTTGGAGCGGCGGCTCGCGGAAAAGGAACAGGTGGAAGCCAATCTGGGTGATCTCCGAGCTGAGGAGGAGAGGCTCAAGGAATCTGTCAGGAGTCTTCGGGCCGAGCAAGAGGTGACGATGAAACAAAAGACGCGGCTGGTGGCCGATGTGTCGTCCATCGAAACAGCGCTGCGGCTTCGACGGGAGGAGCTTCAAGACATGGAAGCACGCGCTCAGGGCCTGGAACGCAGGATTCTCGACGGGATTATGGATCACTCTCGCGTCCTGTTGATGTCCAAGGCGGCCAAAGGCAAGGAGGCTATGAGCCAGAAGAGGGTGAGAAACCAAAAACACAACCGCGCAACGGAAGGCGGGGAACGAGGGAACCCCCCCGTCGTCAACCTGGCCCTGGCTGCGAAACGGAACCTCGGTTCGCCGGCACAAACCGGAGCGGGCCGACGAATCCTGTCACTGAGTCACATCAACAACAACGTCGCCAGTGGGGGTGTCTCGCGAAGCCAGAGTGTACGGACCCCGGCACGCGGCGCGCGTTCCTTGCGCAAGAATAGCTGGGGCGGGAGTCTGAACAAGGGTTACGGCGAACATGATAAGGAGAACATAGCCGTCCGGGAGGTCGACGAGGATGCCGAAGCCGAGACCGGTACCGGTACCGGTGATGCATGGCTGCCGCAGGACGCGCTGCCCACAATCGAAGGCTCCGTGGTGGACATGGATGCTGACGAGTTGGAAGATGTCCGGCGAAGCAGTTATGGCACCACAGTCGTGACGGAGACGTTGGTCGACGATGATTTGACCGAAGAAGATGAGTACGTCGAGGAGTACGGTCACTCGGGGGACGATGCCGGGGATGGCCAAGTCGTCAGGTATGGCGAGCGAGGGGAAGTATGAGGCTGGAGAATAAGCGTAGCATGATGGAAATAGGATGGGCTATTACGAGTACTGGGTTTTCGGGTCTCTTTGTTGCAAAGGCGTGTCTTGAGTGAAGGTCTTTTCCGGTCTGTTTCGATTTGTCTTTTATTATTTAAATTGGTAGCTTTTCTCCATACAATTAACGACATAACTGGCGGGACCGATGCATTCATTAGCTGCTATTATACTGTCCAACTAGACAAGACCAGTAAGTTGGACACGTCCATGAAGACAATCTAAGAATGCCTGCGCGAGACGTACAGGTTCAAGTATTCCAACGACATGATATCAACCATAACCATACAAAACGGCCAACTTGCTCATGCCCACTTGCCCCCGATTCAGAACGAATAGGCCCAAATATATAGTACAGTGTGCTGCAGAATACAGATACAGGTTGCAGAGAGAAAAGCCCCTCGGTAACTGGCGAAGAGATGCAAACTCCCGCGGGGCTCGGCTTTTTGCCGTGGGTGTTCCCGGGGAATGATTCCTACGTTCTCCTCTTCGGTCCAATCTTGTCCCGACCATCCATCCAAGGCCGTAGACACTCTGGGATGCGCACAGTCATCTCCTCTTCGTCCCACCCGTTCTCCAGTACGGCAGCTAGTACCCGAGGAACAGCGAGCGCAGTCCCGTTGACGGTCCAGGGGTAGGTAAGCCGGTCTTTCGTCTTAAGCCGGGTCGCCAGTCGCCGTGTCTGGTAATCGGTACAAATGCTGGCCGAGGTGACCTCGCCCCAGCCACCATCCTGGTCCTGCCGCGACGGGAAGAAGGCTTCAATGTCGCATTTCCGGGTGGCGGACGCACCGAGGTCGGTGCTGGGCATCTCCAGGACGCGGCAGGCGAGGTCCAGGGATTCCAGGATTTCGGTCTGCATGTCGATCATCTCGTTGAAGACGTCGACCGCCTCGTCCTGGTCCGGCGGCGTCCAGGCGAAAAGCTCCACCTTGGTGAATTCGTGCACGCGATAGAGGCCCTTGGTGCTCGCGCCGCGCGCGCCGGCTTCGGCGCGATAGCACCGCGATACGGCGACGCGCTTCATGGGGAGGGAGGCCTCGTCGATGGTGGTGTCGGCCTTCATGCTGGCCAGCGGGATCTCGGATGTGCCGGCGAGGGACAGCTCCGGCTTGCCGCGGTCGGCGTCCTCGGGGGACCGGGCGATGGTGTAGATCTGCTGCTCGTCGTTCTGGTCGCGAGGCTGGAAGCCGCACGCTGTGGCGATGTGGGAATATACCAAGGACGGGGGGGAGACCTGGCGCCATCCGTGCCGGGTGGCCACGGTGAGGGCGTACTGGATGAGGGCTTGTTCCAGCTGTGCGGCCTCGTCGAGGAGGTAGTACCAGCCCCAACCGGAGGTGGCGCCCGCTGCGGCAAAGTCGAGGAGGCCCAGCTCAGATCCAATGTGGACGTGGGACCGCCATAACCTGTCCGAGGAGGTGGCCTTTTCGAAATGATGCTCGTTGATGTAGCTCAGCACGGTCGGCTCATTTCCGACGGGGGTTTCGGCGCTGGTCAGGTTCGGGATGGAGAAAGCGAGTGCCTGCATCTCGTCCATCAAACGGCCTTCATTTTCCTCCACGTCGGCCAGCTGGTTTTTGAGCAGCCGAGCCTCTTCTAGCAGCTGATCTCGAGTAAGATTTCTCAGAAACAAAACAGTGTCATCTCGGTGGGTGGATGCTGGGTTCGCGATATGCAGACGCACGAGGTTTGACCTCTCACGTAGGGTGCGGTTGTTCCTCTGCAGCTCTAGCCATTGAGAAAAAAGCTGTTTGATGCGAGCCGGGTACTCGCTCTGGGTCTTGTAGTTGCGACTCCGGCAGTTCTCCTCGTACATGTCGGCGTTCTCCCGGATATGCTTAATGTCGATCATCGGCTTAGGAGCTGTTGATGGACGTTTGTAGTCTGCGAACGAGCGCCGACAAGTGCGTGGAAATCCCTCGGTCGCCCTTAGGAGGGCTAGCCGAGAGAAAGACCAACAGCGAGCATGCAGAGGCATACTTGTTATGTCTTGAAGCCCAAGACACGAGCACGTCGAGCGGCTTGGTGAGGGCGAGAGTTGCGAATAGGTACGAATATAGGACGTGGTTGAACTACATCGTTGAGTAATCAATGTCCGGTCCGGTTCTTCATTACAGTGTCAATACTATGGGTACGCACTTTGGTGGTCTCATCGAGCTCAGCAAGCGCGAGTCTTGTGGAGTACAGCGGTAAATACAACGTACACCTTATACGAAAAAGCAAGCTTAATCTAATCTACCTTACCTTATTAGGGTAAGTAAGAGGTACCTAAGGTAGGCATACGGGCACGGAGTACAGAGTACCTATATACCTTACCAACCTAAGACAGTGCAAAATTCTCCACTCCATGACGCAGTTCTCCCGGTCTTATAGCAACAACTCCTGAAAGCGCAGTATCACAACGTTACTGGGACTGAATGAGTTGGCGTCTTGATACTGAGTGTCAGGCGGAACTCAATATCGTTTGTCTATAATACACCCGAGATGAAATCTTTAATCGGACCGGGCCAGTAGCGCCTCGTCAGCTTGATCCAGGCCAATCTACATACTCTCCCAAACACCGTAAAATGCGAGTAGAGAACAAGATATTGTGGCAGTCGGTCCTTATATAAATTAGGGGCGTTGTTATTATATAGATTCTACTGTTAGACTGACGATATTATACCCTCTCTACCTACACCTTTTGCATCCCGCATTCATAGTCATTCAGCACAGCTGCTCGTGTTTTCGACAAAAAAAAGGAGGGGCGAATATCTGATGATTGTCGTACGGGAGACGCATCCGATACCAGACGGCATACTGTTTAGACAACTCCCCAGGCACCGAGCGTCCAAGCGGTCGAGGCACTCGACGCTCCACGCAACAAGCTCCCATGACTTAAGCTTTGTCGTTGTTGGGCCTTGAGGTCGACTTCGCCAGGCTTCGAGGCACCATGAACCCCTTGCTGCAGCCACAAATCGCGGTCAAGGGTGGCAACGGCCATGGCTCTGAGATGCCCGACCATGCTGCCCCCGCTCCACGCACCTAACGTGCGGACAGCCCTGAGTTTGCCCTGCACGCCCCCGTCGACCACATTCTTCCTCGTCTTTTCGAGTAGCTGTTCGACGGAATCCTTCTCAGGATCTGGACTGGTAGCTCCCCGCAGGACGCCATCGTACCCCCCTGCAGCTCTCTGGGTGACGCCCGCCTTCGCCACACCTCTCTTGACTTGCTCAGCTCCTTTCCCACGCACCGGATCCCATCCCTGGTTGCGAACCATGAGGCATAATTCGTCAAATAGTCGCTGGCGCAAGCCCGGTATGTTTGAACAACCGCCCGTGAAAAGTATTCGGGACATGCAGGCCGCCCGGCCGTCAATTGGGAGGGATAGGAGGTGTTGGTAAACAAGCTGTGGAATCGGCAGCTCGTTATCATCAAAACTGGTCTTGTCATACTGAGCCGCCATAAACGTGTTCTCACATGGCTCAGAAAGGCGTTGGAACGGTACTTCGACAACACCTGGCGGATTGCACGAGTCTAGCGGGATGCGCACGAGATGTGCCGGATCATCTTGCGGGTCCGATGGTTCGTCTGGAGCCTCTTCATGCTCCTGAACTGTCGACAGTCTGCCTGCATCGCCCGCCGTCTGCATTTCCGCGACCTGCCGGCACCATACCATGCGGCAGGTTACATCTTCGCACTCTTCAAAGCTTAGAAAAGGTCTGGCTGGTTGGTGTTCTTCATGTTGTTGTTTCTCTTGGGTTTCTTCTTCTTCTTCTTCTTCTTCCTCTTCTTCTTCTCTCTGTCTCGGCTGGTGACCAGGCTGGTCGCTTTGTAAATCCGCCAGCAGGCTCAGCACCTCATTTATGAGCATCTTGCCAGCGCGGACACTTCTCGTCTGGCGGGTTTCCCTGTACTCATCCACGCTGGTGACCACAGTCTCGGCCCAGCCGAGATCTACGACGATAGCGGACCGCACACCGGCTGCCACGGCCGACATGACGGGTGCCGAAACGAGTGAGACGGTGAGGGCTTGGAAGCGGTTGAAAAGTGTATCAAGGGTGGCAGAGACCAGTGGAAGGGGTATCATAGATGGCAGAACTAGGGACATGCGACGAGGTCGGGAATCGATGAGGAGATGTCTGTGCAAAAGCTCTTAGCCCCAAGACACTTCAATCATACCAGGATTGAAGAGGGTGGTGAAGGAGTGGGGGTGGGGGTTGGGGAGCCTACCTATTGAACGCCTCTCGCAGGGCGCGATCGATCTTGTCCTGCACGAGACTAACATCTGAATCGCGAAGATCAGAAGCCCATATCTCATAATCCCGAGTCCATTCTGCCCGCGAGGGCTGCTCCTTGGGATGTTCCCTGTCACCTGACTGGGACACCCATGATCTGAAATCTCCAGCACGGCGTTGCTCCTCAGGCCCGGAGCAGAGCACCGCTTTTGGCGCGTGGTCTCCTGCGAACCCAACCCTGATAAACCTGGCTCCAATTTCAATTATAACGGTTTCTTCTTCGACGCGAAGACTCGATGGTGACCCGAAGGTGGAGGCGATACCGCGAGCCGGCGTGCGTGGACTACTTGGGCCAGGGTGCGGGAGGTTGGCTGCTCCAGAACGAATGTTGGATATCGACCGATGGGAGGGCCCCGGGGTGGGTGCGGACATGTCGAGGGGCCTCGAAGACGAGAGGATGTGTGTGTATGCTAGCTTCGCATCGGGTTGAACTCTGGTGTCCCGACGAGGTTACCTAATTCACCGTCGTCGCAACGAAATTCGATATCGCGTGGTCGTCGAGCCCAAACGGAAAGCACGCGCCACTGAGCACCTTATCCGCACTGTCCTTCCATCTGCTGTTGGGTGAATGTACAACGTAATTACGTAACCACCTCCAGTTAAATGCTTCCCAAGGTACCTTATTAGGTAATACTACGTACTTCGTACCTACCTTAAGGTACCTTACTTTACGGAGTAGGTTGATGAGTAAACAAAACGGTCATGGTAATAAGGTAAACGTAAACAAAACCTATTCCCTACCTAATACCGACCCAACCCAGGGGAGCAACCAAGCTGGGCTCCTTTAAAGAACGAATGTCAAGACCAAGACGAAGAGCCCTTCTTATACTCCGAAGACTAACTAATTCTTACATGTAAAACCGGACTACCGATCCACGTTCCTCGGTAGGTAGGAGGCGAGCACGGGCTAGGAGACCACCTACCTATATGACTAGCTATTGGCCCATTTGACATGCAGTACGCTGGGGGGAGCGTAACATCACTCGTCTCCTCTCGTCGGCTTTTACCATCTACGACTGGATTTTGTTTTTGAATTGGGCAGCTCATACGACATACGACATATTGATGCTGCCACTGATTACCTCCTGGCCTCGGCAACCCAGCAGCAGCCAAGTCGCTGCCTGTAACTGGGTCGAAACCCTCATTCCGCCATATGGGGATCAAAGGGTAGGCTCATTGTCCCTCATTGTCCTTCACTTCATTGGCCTGGCATTGGGAGATGAGTTTTGCTCACTCCTTGGATCACAGCATCTACCGGGAGCTTGGCCCCGGTCAGAGAATCTCCCTCGCCAAGTTGGCAGCAGAGAAGCTTGAGACTTCTGGCCGGCCCCTGCGTCTTGCGATCGACGTTGCTATTTGGCAGTTTCAGGCACGAGCCGCAAAAGGTGAAGTCCAATTATCCTCTCGCTGGTATTCTCTCTCTCTCTCTCTCTCCTCTAACCAGTTACTGACCCAATGTGGCTCAGGTGGTACCAATCCCGCCATCCGAACCTTGTTCTATCGTCTCGTCCGTCTTCTCGGCTTATCCGTGCAGCCCATCTTTGTTTTCGATGGCCCGTACAAGCCAGAGTTCAAGCGCAATAAGCGCTCCGGTCGCGGCGGCGACTGCGTGTCCACCGCCATGGCTAAACGTTTGATCCGTATTTTCGGGTTCCCTATCCACCAAGCACCCGGCGAGGCGGAGGCCGAATGTGCCCTCCTGCAACGGGAGGGCATTGTCGACGCTGTCCTGAGCGAAGACGTTGATACCATCATGTTCGGCTGCACCCGGACCCTGCGCAACTGGAGCGCAGAAGGCCCACGAGGCGGGAAAACCCCCACCCACGTCACCATGTATGACGTCGACCAGTCGACCATGCTCACATCGGGGCTAGGTCGAGAGGGCATGATAATTGTCGCCTTAATGAGCGGTGGCGACTACATCCCCGAGGGTGTGCCCCGCTGCGGAGTGAAGCTCGCGTGCGAGGTTGCCAAAGCTGGCTTTGGGAAGTCTCTATGCCGTATCAAGGCGGCGGACAAGGACAGCTTGGCGGCGTGGAAAGCATCGCTGGAACGCGAACTCTTCACCAACGAGAGTGGATTTTTCCGCACAAGACACAAGAGTCTGAACATACCGGGTGACTTTCCTGATATGAAGATCCTGAGATACTATACACATCCGGTCGTCTCGAACCGAGACACCATCGAGAGTCTGAAGAGGAGCCTTGCCTGGAACACCGCGGTGGACGCAATAGCCCTCAGAGAATTTGTTGCCGAGACTTTCGATTGGACCTATCGTATCGGCGCCATCAAACTCATCCGCGTATTGTCTCCGGGTTTGCTGGTTCAAGGACTCTCCTCTCAGCGGAACCTGGAAGATTCGAGCGAGAGAACGGGGGCGCCTGAGCTAGGTCGGACTTCTCTGATTAAAGGCATATCCGGTAGAAGACGTCACTTCAGCACCGACGGAACACCAGAGCTCCGCGTCTCGTATATACCACTCGACATCGTCCCTCTGGACCTATCCGGGGAAATGGTGGAAGAAATATCAAACGGCCGCCAAGGCCTTGCCCTAAATAGCGACGACGAGTATGAAGCATCACAGGGCGGCCCCGACGGATTTTCCAACCCCGAACCGGCCAATTCGAAGGCCACATTCGACCCAGCGTCGTCGCAATCTTTATGGGTGCCGGAAGTCTTTGTGAAGCTGGGTGCCCCATCTTACGTGGAGGACTGGGAGGAGAAGCAGAAAATTAAGAAGCAGGGAGCAACGAAGGCACCGAAGAAACCCACTAAATCCAGCGGCCGCAAGGGACTGAAGCCGACCGACTCAGGGGCAGATTTTAACAAACCTGGTGCCCTCGACGACTGGGTAGTGCAAGAAAGAGTACCAGTGGGCCAAACAACTAGGAACTGCCTCTCCCGGAACGACCACCGTCCGCAATCTCTCACATCTCCCTGGATAGCAACTGGGGGACCAGCTCATTTCGCCCCCAACTCGCCGCCTTCGAGTTCACGACATTTACACCAGACCGCGCGACCTTTGAGTAAGCCAAGTAAACCCATACCTACAAGCATAGAGGGCGCAGAGGATCCGACGCAGCGGTCTGGATCTCGGGCGATCATTGGCTCACAACCTCCGCCTAGGAACAACACGTCTCCCCGACCTTTCGAGGCCATTCTCATATCTTCTAGCCCAGAGACTCTGCCGCCTTTGTCTTCTCTTCTCCTGGGCAAGAGCTCGCAGGCCCAAAGTAGTAGCAAGTCTATGGCAGACCGCAAGGTCAGGGAAGCGGAGTTGAGCGGACGCCAAAAGCACGCATCGGCGGTGAAAGGGACGACGGATGGACGACTTGCACATAATCCGAAGCGCCCACTCACCATTCTGGAGAGTCGCACGACGCAGACTTCCATAACATCCTTCATGTCGCACCTACCTAATGGCACGCGGGCCACAGGCACATCTATATCGGGTTCAAGGAGACAGCCGGTCTCGGGCAAGAACGAGGTTTCAGCCGCGACGGCCACCTTGGATCAATTACTGGAGAGATTGGAGATATCGTCTTCACCTCCTGAATCAAACATGAATCGCATCTCTTCCTCGAAGCTGGCAACAGGGTCGACAGGCACGGCGGTGGTACAACCCCATATTCCCGCCCCCGTTCATTCGGGAGTTCGACTACTGGTTCCTTGCATAAATGACGAGGGGTTCTTCGATGAAATGGAAGTGGAACAGGAGGAGGCAGAGGCACTTATAACGGCTGGCGATGGGCGGCGAGATATAGGACGAGTACGTACACATCGAAGAGCATGGAGACAAAGTGCTGTCTCTGTTATTGACCTCACAGGAGATGATTAATGTCGACAAACTTCGATATCTTGGCCTACGGGCCTACTAATAATTATCGTTCAAGATACCACCATTTGTGTTTATTATGTCCCTTGGTCGGGCGAAAAGTAATTACTCCGTTGGTATAGCAAAGGATATGGCAAAGTTATGATTCCTGGTATTCCTATATATACAGACTTAAGTTATAGGACATGTCCAGCCACAGTTATACACTGCTATACGCCACTCCGTGTCACGGAGTTGAGTCAAAACATATAGATCCTATAATTCCACCCCTTCTCATAAGCTCACGTCCCAGCACGAGCGGGAAAGATGCATAAAAAGACCAAACCAAATTATCCACCGGGTATCCAATCAACTCGTTCCATGGCTCAATATCAAAACGTAGGTCGCCGTCAAATACCCACATATCCTTATAAAACGCCTGAAACAATATCCTCATCTGCTTCTGTCACTCCAGGTGCCAAGGCAGGCCCTGATCCCCAACAGTGGTGCAGGTCAGATATCCGACGGCATCCGCCATTTTCGCGTCCATGTCCAGCGCGAGGCCGCTGCCCATCAAGGGCCGCACAATATCTCTCGCCATGGCTTTCAGCTCGTCAATGCGCTTCTCGAAGCGACGCAGGTTCTCCCTGCTGTATAGCTCGGGCGTCAGTTTGAGGAAGCGCTTGCATTCGTCATGGCCCAAATAGGCGGACGGGGGCGAGACCCCCAAGATGCGATATGCCCTGCCTATGTCCGCTAGGGTCGGGCTGGCAGGCGGCAGTGGAGCCTGCACCTGAGCACCTGGGTGCTGTCGGTTGCGAGAGTCTCGGTCTCGGTCTCGGTCTCGAGATCGGTGGTCGACGACGGGGGGGCTTATGTTGTCGGCTAGCCACTGACGGAAGAGACTGAGAGCCAGCCAGTCGAGATAGGATGTGGCTGGGGTAACGCGCTCGCCGCGAGATGTAGTCAAGCCGAGGCGGAAAAGGCGACCCTCGACGCGACTGGCTATTTCTTCCAGCTCGTCCACCTTGTCTTCTATGATGTCGAGGACGACATCCGGGAGGGCGGCGCGAAGGCTGCGCTCCCCCGAAGGCCACTGGCCCACGACGTGGATGAGCGCCTCTTGGAATATGACCTTGCTGCGCGCCAGATAACCGAGGCGCAAGTAGGATATTGGATATTTCGCGATCTGTCTCCAGAGCCTCGACTGGAACTGCAGCAAGTGGTGGTCGACCCTAGGCCCGACAACGGCCAGCGCGTCGTATTGGTCGGACAGGGCGAGTAGGGACTTGCACTGGACGTACGCGTCGGCAATATTAATTCCATCCAGAATGGGAGGGTAATTATAGAATATGCGGAATAGGTTGTCGTAGTCTCGGAGCAGATCGATGTCGGCCTGGGAACGGGGAGGGTTCGTGGGAGGAGCGTTAGGGACAAGGTTGAGATTGACTGCCGACCGAAAGAAGCCGCGGCTGGAAGTAACGGACGAAGAACGAGAGTGGTCTGGGAGTCTGGGAATCGATCCGGGCATGGATGCAGTAATGTGGTTCATATGTCCGCCCTGGCCGAACAGGGAAGGCGTCGCATCAGCCAGTTCCCGTTGATTTGACGGATAGGACCTCTGCACAAGCATTGGGATATCTCCCGCGCCCGCCCCTGGATCGAGCTCGTAGCGCCATCTCTGGCGAGGCGGGGACGAAGAAGTGGAATGCGACACGACGGATTCTGTGCCGTAACCACTGAGAGACGACTGCTGCTGCTGGACGGCAGACGAGGCCGCCTCGGGGAGCGGCAATGCGCGTGACCATTCTTGGCTGGTGCTGGCCTCAAAGAAACCGGAGCATCGCGTGAGGATATGTCGGTGCAGCAAGTATCGGTTCTCGTGGTTGGCAGCCTTGACAACGATCTCTACGTCGCCCGAGTGACAAAAGAAGGGGAACTCGTTCTGGGAGGCCTGGTTGGTGCTGCCGACGTGCGAACGATTGTACCGTTTCGATCGGGAGAGAGACGCTCTTGAGATAACCGAGGAGGGTCCCCGGCGCGTAAGCGAGGTCGAAGTATCGGGCTGAGAGACCATGAAGAAGGCGCGGCGAACATTCAGAGGTGTACGAAGGGGTAGGAGGGCCTGAATCAGTCTGATGCAGCACGAGAGGTGAGGCTCTCGGGATCCCGAGTCAGGACGATCGATGGTTTGTGACGCAAACCTAAGATTGATGGACGCTCGGTTTACACGTGTAGACTCTGGCCCTGTTATGAGTCGGCTAGTCGGAAGCCTCTTAAGGCCTACTACGGAAGAGGAAAATCGCCCACAGCTACCTTTATGTTCCTGTTTAATGGGTTAGAGGAACGCAGGACGGCGACCGATGGCGAAACGGAATCGTTCCATGGCGGGGTTGCTGTTCCTAGTACTCCGTACGAGAGTTGCTAATGACCTACCGATGTAGACAGTGCGGAGTGAGAATATGCCACTGTATGCGGCCTGCCTTGGTTCGTTGGTGTCTGCCTGCCTGTCCCTCGCAGGTTTTCATGTGCCAATCATTCCGCATAACACGATTGGCCAAGAGGTACGGGGAAGTCCATTGTCACCCCAAAAGCGTCGATCGTCGCCAACTTGCGCACTCGTAATTACTACCTTATAAGGTAATAATGTAAGGTATGCACCACTTAATAATATGTAATTACCTACCTTACCTTTTAGGACCCAACACTAAAAGTCTACGGCGCGCCAGTATCACTACCTTCGGAGGTCAAGGTACTTGAAGTACGGTAAGGTACCTTAAGGTAGGTAGATAGGACAAAGTGCCTCTAAGTTTCTATACATCCCAATTTGCCTACAGAATGTATCGTCCCGCCCTACGATCTCCTACGAGGTACGTACCTCTACAGTCTCAGGTAAGGGATCCGTACCAGTCTGTACATATCACTTCGAATTTCGCGGATAAAAGTTCAAGTGCCAATGAAAACCAGTCCGTCTTCCCCACAGCCATCCACTTCCCAGCTGTCCCTGTCACTCGCAATCATGGTCCTATCACCACAAGTTTATTTCTTGCCGAAAGGATTGTGAAACAGCATGTCAAGACCCTCTCGTCCGGAAAGTGGGATGGCCAAATCACGACATAAATGAAGAAGCTGCAGTTCTAATCAAACTGTGTGTATTTTGTGGTTGTGCGGTTGCGCGAGCGTAAATATGAGAAACCTAATAAGTTGGTGACCACCTCGTACAATGATTCCGCGATATAGTATATTACATGATGGGCGTAGTGTTTATGCCCAGGTTGCAGGGTAGACATGTTGGATGGATGATGCAGCAATGTAAAGTGATTCGGTGCCTCTCTCAGCTCATCTCCATGGCCATACCGTGGTGATATCCGTGCCGAAAGCCTTGCGCTTCAGCCGTTCCGATTTCTGGAGCATCGGTGGCAAAGAGCGTGTCCTGGCCCTCAAAGACGGGCGGGGAGCACTTCAGGTTCTGGAGAGCCACGTCCGCCCTGACACTGACTAACCGGCCCTGCCGTAGGTCTTCAGAAAAGAGGAAGAAGCCTTCGGCCGACTCGACAAGGTAAGCCTGCAAACCCCTGCTCTCGAGAAGAATGGCCGCTGATGACAGAGGGTAATGGTTTTCAATGTAGCGAGACCACCCACGAGCCGCTGCTTGGATGTGCTCGTCCTCGCTGAGCTTTCGCCAGCCGATGCCGAGATGTAGAGTGAAGTCATCGACCACCGGTTGCATGTTGCCGCCCAAGCTTCCTGGTGCAGGGGCCGTGTGGGTAGTGGATGATGAAGGTCCTGTGGGCGTTGCTCTCTTGGTACTGCGGATGAATGGCGTCTCTGAGCGGTTGGCGAGAACCGATCTTTGGGTATTGTAATGCGTGATGTGGCCCAGCCAACCACTGGACTGATTGTTGGCGTCCGCGATATACCCTCTGTTCCTCTTGAAACGGGACATGCCCTCGCCGTATCTGGCGTCTTCCTGGAGTTCACGATGAGTTGGGTTGCGCGACATGCCCTGGTAATCGCTGCTCAAGTTGGAACCGGCTTCGTCGCGGGAGCGTTTACGAGAAACTGTTTGGTGGGGGTTGGGACGGAGAGCTGAGAGCGAGCAAGGTTGAGGAAATGGTTTGGTCGATGTCGATGTGATGATGGTGTTCGGCAGCATGGCCGAGTGTTCGTAGGACGACATTCCGAAAGACGATGGATGAATTGCTTCTGGCGACATAGCGAGAACTGGCGAGTTGAAGCGGAATGAACAAGCGAGAGGTGCCATGTCGATGGACTAGAAACCTGTGGAGTGAGTATGTCAAACAAACTAGGGAACAAGTGTATGAACCAAGGAAGATCAAGCTGAGTATTCTAGCACAAGCTCAAGCTGTCAGTTCCAAGTCGCCTCTGGTCAGGTGTGTTCAATGCCGTGGGTTCGATGGTGACAATTCAACCAATTGTACGTTTATCGAATGCGGCGTGTCTAGCAATGTGTTGTTGGCTGATAGAGGAGTCGCGGTGGAATTGGAACGCAGACTTGGATTGCTGTGTTGTCGCGAGAGTACCGGCCAGCTAGGTGCTGATAGTCAGTCGGAGGAAGGGCAGGTAGTCAAGAGCCCGGTGTAAGAGGAAAGCAGAAAGAGGGAGGTGACACTCCAAGTGAGAAGGGGAGAAACAGAAGGGAAAGTGAAGGATTGGATTGAAAGGATATCAAACCCCGTGGGATGGAGGCACGGGTTGAATCCTAGTAGTCTTGGTGGAAGGATTGGGAGGAGAGTAAGTGAGAGGTTCTCAGAGAGGACGGGGATCGATACCTATTAATGTGCTGCATCTTATCTGGTCTCCCGGACGAAAATCGGGCCTTGGGATCCACAATTGACCCCAGCCTCTGCCTCTGATGTGCATTTACATAGAGTGGGACTGTTGCACTTTACTGAGTGCGGAGTATGGACGGAGTACTCCGTACGCACGGAGTATCCCCGGATACCTGGACGCGTTTTCGCGTATCCATATCGACTATGGGTATCCGTATATTAGGAGTACCTTAGCACTAAACCAGAACTGGCCAAGCGCCGGGCAACTGTACGGATACGTACCTACTAAGGTACTTCCCTTACACGGCTCAAGAGACATATGATTGATTGCTGGCGGGATATCTGATTCGGATAGATAGGTATTCCAAGATACGCAGTAAAAAGCAAAGCACGGATGATAATGGCCCCATAATTAACGGGGTGTAGTACGTACCTCGCAGCGAGCCAAGGTTACGGATACGAATGAGCCTACTGCCACTCCTCCCGGTTGTGATAGTGAGGCCGGCCAGTTTTCATCAACAAGCTGGGCTTCAAGCAGCTTGTTTGGGGTTTCAACTTGCAATAAACGCGACCTCGATCTAAAATCCAACTCTGGGTACGAAACTGCGAGCCGCCTCGGGATTTCTGCCTGCCTACGGACTTGGAGGCAAGCGAGTTATCCTGGCGACAACGACAACGGCAATCCGGTCCAATGCTTAGCTCTCAATCCAGTTCCCCCGTGGCTCATTTTCATCCAGCCGAGTGGTTTCTTTCTCCTCCCAAGCCCCAAAGGTTTCAAATCTTCTCCCAACCTTACAGTATTGATCCGAAATCATGAGCGGGGACCTTAGTTTGTCCAAAGCACTCGGGGGATTGCGTATTGCGAACCCAGACGACTCGGATGCTGCACAATTGGAGGAAGCTTCGTCATCATCGACAGTCCTGCCCTCTACTGACCCCCCAACGAACTCCGGGTCTGCGACACACAAACCGTTAACAACCGAGCCCAGCCTCGCGTCGACGATATCATTTCCCTCAGGCAGTAATGGACACAGAGATGCTTCAGACGCTGACCTTCGCAACCATCTCGACCCCAACGTTACCGCCGCCTCCGACGACACCTACCGCCGATCGCAAACAACCGATCAGCCGGATCTTCAGCGGGTAGGGGTTCACGTCGCCCCTACCACGCCTCTCTCTCAATCCACTGCTCCATCTGGGGTCGTTTTCGATACCGAACGAGTATCGATGCACCAATCTGTTCCGAGAACCGAAGCATCACGCTCATCCACATACGGAATGCCGCCGAGGGGCAACCCCAGGTCCGCCACTGGGCATCCCGACACAATACTCTCACGAGAAGGCAGCCGGTCTTCTCGTCAAGGACCCGTTCCCCCTTTGTCTGGGTCCCTGCCACCCCGGCGGAGCTCCAAAGGAATGGGCGTCGGTTACGCCGGTGCCTCTGGTGCTTCTACCCCTTCACGCCGAGATCAATATGGCCTAGAGGATCCTCTTCCTTCGTCCAGCGAAGAATGGAAAGATAGAGGTGCAGCAACAGGTGTACGGCGTGAAGTTGACGCAACCGGGAAGACCGTTCTCCGGCACGTCAAAAAAGGCGTTCGGGACTTCAATTTCGGCCGAATACTCGGGGAAGGGTCGTATAGCACCGTGTACTTCGCCACGGACCGGCAAACCCTCAAGGAATATGCAGTGAAGGTCCTTGAGAAGCGGCACATCATCAGGGAGAAGAAGATCAAATACGTCAACATCGAGAAGGACACTCTGAATCGGCTCACTGAACATCCCGGGATCGTTCGCCTCTATTACACATTTCAGGATGAAGCCTCGCTATACTACGTGCTTGACCTTTGCAATGGAGGCGAGCTTCTAGGTGTGCTTAAGAAGACTGGCACCTTTGATGTGGAATGCACCAGATTTTACGGTGCACAGATCCTCGATGCCATCGACTACATGCACTCGAGAGGGGTTATCCACCGCGACCTGAAACCTGAAAATGTTCTGCTTGATGACAACATGCACGTCAAGATCACAGACTTTGGCACGGCCAAACTACTGAAAGACCCACGAGAGGCGCACTCGCAGCAGGATGGCTCTGGCAGAGGTCTGCCCGATCGCCAAGCGGATTTCGAAGACAACAGCCGTGCGGCATCCTTTGTTGGCACCGCAGAATACGTGAGCCCGGAACTTCTGACTAGCAAAAACGCTTGCAAAGCGAGCGACTTATGGGCTTTCGGTTGCATAATCTACCAGCTGCTCGCTGGGCGTCCACCGTTCAAAGCCGGGACGGAGTATTTGACCTTCCAGAAAATCGTCAACCTGGATTACGAGTTCCCCCCTGGTTTCCCCCCGGCTGCCCGAGACCTTGTGGAACGATGCCTCGTGCTTGACCCGACGCGCCGACTCACCGTGGAGCATATCAAGAATCACGAGTTCTTTGACGGACAGGGTTTCGGCAAGAGCTTGTGGAGAGGCAAAGCGCCCCGCCTACGACCTTATGTCCCTGCCCCCCAGGAGCCTACCCGAATACAGCTCAATGGCGGCCACAGTACCAGTGCCGCTGATGCGGCCAACTCATCGAAGGGCCCGTCCTCCCAGAATGCAGGCGGATTAGGCGGAAACCCACGCCCGGCAAGGATCATCGCCGAACTGCCACCTCCAACACAACTCGACATTGAGTGGTCACCCGTGCTGACCCATAACGACGAGCGGATTCTCAAACTGGGAGACTTGATTGTTACTTCAAGCCCGCTGCCAAATAGTCCGCATGGCAAAGGGGGCGAGCATGGCGAGGGTCACAAAAAGCTCTCGCGATTTTTTGGAGGCAGCACGACGAAGAAGAGACAGAGACTAGTCCTGGTAACATCAAGTGGGCGAGTCATCTTTGCGCCCGCTGGCGGGGTCGAGAAAAGAGCGAAGCAGGAGCTCTCCCTCCTATCACCAGCATGCTCGTGGAGAAGTTATCTAGACTCCAAAGGCCAAAAGTCTTGGTGTATCGACACAGTAAGTGGTGCCTGTCCCTGTCCTATGTATGCTATTCGCCCAAGCTAATCGCAGTCCTAGGATAAATACCACTTCACATTTGAGGAACTCAAGTCGACCACGTATTCCTCACCGGACGCCGGCAGCTTCTCAGCGGATGACTGGATCGAAACGCTAGGGAGAGCGAAGGACTTGGCCTTGTCTCATTCCGGAGTGGGCTCGTATGGTAGCGACAATGGATTTGGGGAAATGTCGTCCGCTGTGTCCAGTCCAGCCAGCACCTTGGGCGGGCGGGGTCCCTACGCAGATAATTACGGCGCTGCAGTCATTGAACGGTCCGGGAGAAACCATCTCACCAAAGGCCAAGGAGGCTTAGACGAGGCCACTCCTAAACGAAATCGGTTCAGCAAGCGACAGTCGAAGAATGGTCTTGGTGCCCAGTTTTGAGGGTTTGAGCTGGACAAACCCACCCGAATTGGTTCAGACATACGCACGCTTTGCACCAGCTGACCGTGGCTTGGGTTTGAGGGCCTTGAAGTATTTGCCTTTGACACTATGTGATCCGTTCAAGGGTGGGCGTGTCGCTTTCTTCGATACATCTTAGCATCAGGGAGCATGGCGTTTTCATTGACTCATCCACCACCATAGTTGCTAGCGAATATGTTGGGGCAACAGTAGACATATACGGATGAGCTTTACTGCGCAACTGAGGCACATGAGCGCACTTATTGTGGTTGTTATTGGACATGGACGGAAGCAACTCATTCATCATGAGGAGACACTTGGGACATAGCCTCCTATATCTGTGAGACTAACTTCTCGATTAAAGGGCGAGCACACCTGTATCTCTGCCGGTGCACTGCTCGGCTCATCAGAGACACACCTCGGTAGCAGACCATTATAATGACCTGGTTGTTTGCGTACATACCTAGGCAGGTATACAGAGGTTGGGTAGAAAAGATAGCCTCAACCCTCTATTTGGGCTCTCTCCTAGATGTCGTCTTGCAAGTGAGATAAAGGGGCGGTGTTCCGTGTGCTTGGATTCGACAAATCAGTCTTATCGGGACTGTACCTTTTTCATAAGGTACCTCCCCGGTATTTAGGGCACCTGTTGTTACTGTGACTTTTCTCACAGTACCTATCTGTTTACACTTCCGACTAAGTGCTACAATAGACACATAGCCAAAAATCACAAGCCTATGTACCTCTATAGCAGAGGATTGTTGCCTTACAAGGCAACGATATCTTCGTTATCTTGATCAGCTTGGTACTGGGGGTAGACCAAGTTAATCGGGGAACAGCAGAATGAAGTTAGGGGGTTTAGTATTAAAGGGGTGCTAAGTTCTTAATGCATATTCATTCAAAATATGAATTAATCCACTCTTGACAGTAATGACGCACACACTGTACGGAGTACTTAAGTACCTTACCTAAAGTTGTCCCAGGTACGGATAGCTACGATAGGTACCTACTCCGTACAACAGGAAAGATCAGCTAGGGAATACCGCCACAACGCGTCTCCCAAGAAAGCCTTCATCGTCGCATACCACATCCGTCGCGAAAGATAACGACCCTCTAAATCGCCATTCAATACGAACCGAGAATCTACTCCATCAGAACGAACATGCAGCCTCACTATAGGCATGCAGGCTATAGTCATGCCGGGCAACAAGGTCCCCAAAGACCTCTACAGCCGAGCCAGCGACGAGGTGGGATAGGTGCGCATCTTGGTGGAACTACTTGATCGTACTTGTACTGACCAGGGATTCTGTGTCAGGCCCCATGGTAATGCCTGGAGGACAACCGACCCCGAATAGAGCCGCTCTACACCCGGCGATGCCTACCGGCCCCCAAGCGCAACACGATGCCTCGGAATTGGCCCACTCCTCCCTCAATGCTGCCAAGCGGAGGAGTCGCAAACCTGCCGACAAGAATCTGCCAGAGGGCATCGAAGACTGCTTGATTGAGTCGGAGCTGGCCCAGAGGTACAAGGATCTCCGAGATCTCGAACAGCGCCTCGATGCCATCATAACGCGCAAACGCCTCGATATGGTGGATACTATTCATCGACACGGAAAGGTAAGGCGATCTACAAGATTCTCACCACGTCACCCCGAACCCCCGCTCATATCGGATCGCTAGCGCTCTAAGACACTCCGCATCTGGATCAGCAACACGGTGGAGGATCAGCCCTGGCAAGTTGGTGGCGTGAAGACGGATGCCTTCGATTTCAGTCGCAACTTGGAGGCATCTTATCGTGTCAAAATAGAGGGTCGCTTGCTCGATGACGACGACGACTCGCTGTCAGAACAAGCGTCCAGCGCTTCTGAGGAGGGCGCCGAGGGGTCTTCGGGTTCTACCAGACCCGCCCGCCCTAAGGCCCGGGGACCCAGCTTCACCCATTTTTTCCAGAGAATGGAAGTCGAATTCGATAAAAGCTATTCGCGTGCGGCGGCAAATCAGACCGTCAGTTGGGTCAAGGCAAGGTCGTCCAAATCGACGGCTTCCGTCGAGGACTTTGATGAACTCACGTTCAAGCGCAACGGTAGCGAGAACATGAACATCACCATATTCTTAACCCGCCATGAAGATCCTGAACGGTACAAGCTGAGCAATGACTTGTCGGACATTGTCGACATGCCGGATGCCAATCGCCAGGATGTGTTGACAGGCATCTGGGAATACATCAAGTTCATGGGCCTGCAGGAGGATGAGGAGAAGCGCATTTTCCGATGCGACGAGCTTTTGAAAAAGGTGTGTTCCAGGAGTTGCAAGGCAACACCCCCTTCCCCATTCCTTCAGATCACCAGATCCGACCCCTTTCTTTCCAATCCTCTGCCGTGGAACTAACGGCCATATAGATTGTGCCAAACAGCGACGTTTGTTCCATTTCTGACTTGGACCGGTTTATCAACGCACACCTCGAGGCCTTGGATCCTGTCCAGCTACCCTACACCATACGGGTCGACGAAGAATTCCATGAAGACCCACAACCGACCATCTATGACATTGAGGTCTCAGTCGATGAGCCATTGCGCGCCAAAGCTCTCCCTTTCATCATGAACCCAGCATATGCCGAGAATCTCCGAGAGATCGTGGCTCTGGACGAGCATTTAGCTTTGGTGGCCGAGGCCGTCTCTGCCTCAAAGGCCAAGCACACGTTCTTCACCTCGTTGGGTCAAGATCCTGCTATCTTTATGAAGGACTGGCTGAGTTCTCAAAAGCGAGATCTTGAAGTGATTATGGGAGAAGCACCCAGAGGCATAAGCGACGATGTGACTACTGACAATTGGCGGCGTGGTGGGCCGGAGAGTGTTTGGGCGAGTTCGAATGCACGCGAAAGCGTGAGCCTTCTTCTTGCCCGGCCCTCACGGTAAGCATCGCAGAATAAGAAGAGGCAAAAGCATTTTCTTTTTCTTTTCATTTCCCCTCCTCTTGTGTCCAAGTAGCCGCGGCTGCAATAAACTCGCGGAACGAAAGGGGGTTCTACCGGCACACCGGATTATGGGTCATTTTGTGGGCGTTGGGGGTGTCGGGAGGTCAGTAGCTTAGAGATTTGGCGCCAGTCCTGTTACCGAGGGCACCTTGTACTATGATCAACGACCACTTTGCCTGTTATTCTATTGGCGTTTTCCTCCTTGCCCCGGGGTCACTTGGACTACGGATTCGAAAGGCGTCTGTCATTGTGTATGGGAAATAGGACCGAGGACGTGTGTTCCTTCGAAGTAGATGCAAATTGCAAAGCTGGGAAAGGCATCATCGCTGGAACTACCTTTATTGCTCCGTCCTGGAATTTTGCTTTCACGAGGCGAATGCGATCCCAGATATATTGTATAGAATAGCTATTGCTTCCACAGATACCGCTTGAGTGTCTTGCTCCCGCCCGTGCGAGTCGGATCGACCCCCCCAACTTGCTTTCGGATCATGTGGAAGACAGCCTGCACACTGAACTATAGAGAAAGAAACCCTGCAGAGAGACTCAATGGACAGGAAGCTGGAGGACATAGAGAATAACTCCGATACACAATGTAGACTGCCTTACTCTGACAGGCACGCCTCAAGCAGGAGATAAGTATATATTTCACCGACCCACGTCTACTAGCTTCCTGTCACTCTTGTAGTCTGAAGGGGCATATCCATATATATATATATATATATACTGCTTAGGACGTCCGACGTAGGGAAGGCCTCAACTCAGCCAGTGTCGTTCCTCTCCCTGATCTGGCGCCTCGGTGACGAAGATCCCAGGCCATAACCGAGTGCGATTGCGACAGGACACAAAGTCGCCCCCGAGTAGGTACTTAATTGGTTACCTTATGCGAGGCATGCACCCCTTGCTTGACAAGTTTCCGTTTCCGCGTCTCAGCCGGCATGCCTCTGGGGCGGAACTGGGTTTGGCGGCATGTTCTTGATTTGTTTAATGAGGAATTCTCTCTCGTCAATGAACTGCTCGTCATCGGTCCTGTCTTCCAAAAAGTGAGACAGGAAAACCAGGAGCTTTTCTCGGTTCATAAGCAGTATCTTCTGTACAGCAATCGATTTATGAGGATTGGCAACGAACACCTTGAAGACGTGGAAGCCTTCGTACTGGACCATTTTGCGATCATCACGCAATAGGTTCATACATATCTTCAAGTGTTCGCCTCGATCCACGTAGGCCGTCATGACAGTGTAATTGGAGCGGTCCAATAAAATCTCGCCAAGGAGCTTAATCGATTGCCGCTTGGTTACGTAGCTGTTGGACTGGACGAGAATGTTGTTGTACTTGTCAAAGAAAAGATCAAAGTTGACGGAGAGATATTTCGGGACCAGCTCCTTGTGTCTCGTGAGAAGCTCCTGTGAAAAGTAGAGACAACCCGTCAGCGCGACGCATTCAGTGAGTGGGTAAAGAAGGAAGCCCCTCATCCGGGGAACCACCCACCCTAAATGTGGTGAAGGCATCAGCGGACACTTCAAATGAGCTCTTGTCGACCCAGTCAAAGAATCTCCAGAAAACTCCCGTGCCGGTCTGTCTTCGATCCCTGTCGATGCCGCTGAGCCCTTTCGCGCTCGAACCAGGCTGGTCGCCATCATCGTAGAGGATGGCTGCTGCTGCTGATTCCAACTTCAACACCTCCCGCAGGACGGATCCGGCGGGTGTTGCGCTTTCCTTGTGATCATACCCCCGGCAGAGTTCCAGAAGGACCTGCGGGCGGTTGTTTACAACATAGGATAACGCGACGGGATCACTCTTCGGCGAGGCAGTTGGCGGGCGGAAGCGAAAGACGTAAGAGAATATAACCTGGGCGTCTTTCCGTGATTCGAAGGGCAATCGCCATAGTTTCACTGCAAGGAGATAGAGCACGTCCTCCTCGATCAAGCCAGTTACCAGCTGATAGATTTGCTCGGGTGTACTATCAGTATCTACACTAGAGTTAGTCGCGCTCGCGCAGCGACGGGGCGAGTGCCCACGGACGGACGGATGTGGGGGTACGTGTGTGCGTATGTGTATATGTACGCGCGTGCTGCTGCTGCTGCTGCTGCTGCTGCTGCTGTGGTTGTTCTTGTCGCCGTTGCTGTCTAGGGAGAGGTGGAGGGGTGCGGGGTGCGGGGCCTACTACCATGTGTGCCTTGTAGGATGTGTTTCATCTGACTGAGGACCTTGGCCAACTCGTCGGCCTGCGTGTCGACGGATTTCCGTCAGTCGAAGGTGGACTACAGACCAGTAATGAGCTGGGCGAAGTGCTTGACTCAACTTTATAGGCATTACTAGAGCCATCTAATTTAGTGAGATGGTCTCTCGCCTGCTTAGGCAGGTCCACAACGACTCTTGTTCTTGCGCGGCCGAAAAGAAACGACATATCGTAGGATTAGTCTTAAGCGACTGGCGGTGCCGGCCGGCTTGGGGAATAGATGCCTGGAACCGGAGGTGCAGCCAGACGAACTAGCTGGCTGAAGATGGCTGAAGAAGACCGGAAAGCACAGAAGAAAGTCACGACAATACTGCTGAGAACGGAGCGCTTGCTGTCGACAACGAGATCGTAAAACCCGAAGGTGGTATTGTTCTGACTTGGCTCTTCTCGAGTTCTTATCTCTGGAGGTGGGATGTTTGTTTGTTGGCCTGGGGAAAGCCCAGCGAAGGAGGAAGGGGTAATTCGGTAGGTACCTTACCTTAGGTAGGCTGGTTATCCATTGGGGAGGTTGTTTCACCAATGATCATAGCACCGAAAACAGCATTATCCGTTTATACACTTATCCGTATGTTTCGATCACATCAATGCGTGCGGACCGAATGTCCCAGTTACGAATACGCTGCTATCCACAATAGTAATAAATAAAGTCGGTGGAATTCTTCACATTCGCCGTGTCTGATGCCAAATACAGGAGGAGGTAGGTAGGTTGGTAATTACTTCGTAGGTGTTATCGAAGCCCATGTGAACAGATTCGTTCAGGCCTTCCGGGAGGCCGCCTACACGTCATTGTTGGAGATGTTATGAGGGACGAGATGTGCGGAACTCACCAGATAGCAGTCCTTCAACTTGATGAACTCACGCAAGCATTTATCCTTATGTACGCCATCGTAGTCGGTGACGATGCATTTGCCATAGAGGGATGCCTCGTTTGGGTCAGAGAAATTCTGCGGGAGAACGAGACTGAGAGCCTCACCTCTCCGGAACAGTGCGATACTGCAACCGCAAACTTTTTAATAGGGCGGGAACGGGGAGTCATGATTGCTTGAACATTAATTGGAGCTTGGACGGGACAGTAGTAATGCCACAGACTCTTTTAATACGATGTATCCGTATAACTTTTAAGCTCGAATGAAGATGGAGAGAGAGAGAGAGAGAGAGAGAGCTTTGATATGGGTTCCGATGAAGTGTTTCCTCATCAACCTACGGTATGGAGCAAAGTAATTATCTGTAGATACGGTAGGTACCTTACCTACGTACCTAACGTAGGTAAGGTACGTATCGTTTTTGTGATATGCATGTACGTACTCTTAGTCAATTACCGGGATTATTCGAGAGGCTGGGGTGTGGCAACACGCGACACGCGACGGGATCTGAAGAACTCGACTCGCCCTATCGCAAACCTTCGTTGTTGACATCCTCCCCAACCCCATCAGCATGCTCTCTGACCGGGAAGGGACCTTGGTCTCCACGAGTTCCCTAAGACAGATTGCCTCGTCCTTCTCGCTCTATCATGCCTAACTAACGTCGTTCACGCCATAAGCTGATTCACTGAGTTCATGTAAAACGTCAAATGTCAAATGTGTCGCCCACCAGCCACCAGAGCTACGACGATTCACAACACCAGCCATTTAGCATGCTGCAAGCACAGCCTTCGTTCACATGCCATCGCTGCCCTCTTACCCTGCGCTGGCCCCCCAAGACGCAATTTCGAGTTCGACGTCGTATGCAGCCTCTGAATCCTACTACAGCAACGAAGGTATACCGCCCATCTTGGAACATGTCGATGTCGCCTACTCATACTTACGCATGTCGCAGACATTCGGATCTTGCACGATGTCGTGGATAGAGCGCAGGAGATCCTCTTCGAGCTTCCAGAGGGAGAGCGCCTGGCCACAAATGCGCTCTTCAGAGCCTATGACGAAGTGTTGCCTTTACATGGCGTCGACCCCGAACAGGACCAACACATCTCCCGACTCGTTTTCCGCATCGGCGGCGAGCGAGGCGATGGATCTCTTTTTGAGAAGTTCAAGTCTGTTTTATCAAGGATGGGAATTGAGGTAGAAATTGACTTCGACTCCGATAATCCAACCTCGTCCCCGGGAGCGCACTCGGACAAATCCACCACGACTTCTGTCTTTCTTCATACCCATTCCGTGCAAAACCAGCTGGCCGAAACGGGACGCCTGTCAGCTTCGCCCTTGCTCTTCCGAGCAACCGCTCCGCCTCGTTCATCTGGTCTCTTACAGACGAAGGAAAGCCCAGTGCTCGATCCAAGATCGGGCGACGGCACAAAAGCCAGCAATATCGCGGAACCAAGCATAGGGCTTCGGAACTTGGACATTAACCATGTGCCTGGCCGCATCACGAGTCTTCATGCCTCTCAAGCCATCGAAGCGTCGACTGCGATGCAGCATTCGCTTCATAATCCGCGAGACAACTTTCCAGATGTGGTTGAGCAATCTGAGGTCGCCGACTCTTTCGGGAACACTGAGGGGGCGGATGTCCATCGCGATCCGGGATTAGACGATATTCCCCGGAGTGAGGCTCAAGAAATGTTGGTCGATCCACATGACACAATGGACTCCCAACGACTGGGCCGGCGAGCATCGAGAGCCTGGAACCTGTTTCAGCTCACCAAAGCCATTTCCCACTGGGCCATATGCACGGAAGAAAAGATGGAGCGAACTGCAGTAGCCAGGCGGCACATATTGCGTATCCGCCACTTTGGGCCTTGGGCTCAATTGACCGCTGAGGCGAAGCTCTCTAGCCGACGTATCTCGGTGTCGCGGATCGAGAATGCGTGGGCGAGTCTTGCTCGCAATACATGCAGACAAGAGCAGGATGCGCTGAAGCTAGCTGCCCGGAATTTGTTTAGGCGTGTTGCACGGGAGTGGACAGTCGCTTCCTCTTCTGATGCTACGTTTTCTCCCCTCTCGAGCTTAAGGGTGCTCAAAATGCACCAGTGGCAAGCCTGCTTGTCTGAGACCGAGGTCTTGGACTATCGCGCGAGGCGAACGTGGGAGATTTTCTTATTCTCCAAGGTAACCTTGTCGTGGAGGCGCAGTGTTGCAGTGCAATCGCGAGACGCCGCATTCTTCGCCAGAAACTTACTCTTCTGGAGATCCCTGAATCTCTGGGACCTTGCCGTGCGATCTCAGCGCTTTCTGCATTTATTGCAGCGCAGGGAGGTGCACGCTTGGCTTGGAGAATGGCATCAGTTGCTACACCCGCCCGGGACTCGTCCACAAGAGCCTCAACACGAACAACACAGGCTCCCCTTGCGACCATTGTTGCCAGATGATTCAACCATAGTCACTTCATGTTTTGACCAGAACATGACTGCCATGGTTCTACGACGCTGGCAACAGAAAGCCCGTTCCTTACAGGCCAGTGGCGAGTATTACAGAGACATCCGAGCTCAAAATGTCATGGCTAAAACGCTGTCGACATGGAGTTCTGAAATTGAACGTGAAGACGAGGTATCCAGGTGGGCTATCCGTGCTGAGCGGTTTTTTGGATTGACCAAAACTCTACAACACTGGCAGTGGTCGCTGCCGCGATGGGACTCAGTTACTCGGAGAGCTTATGTTAAGTGTCGTTGGAGGCAAAAAGCGTTGATTACAAGGCGACAGTTGTTTTTTTGGAGAACTTCGACACGGGATTTGGACAGTATTGCTCAATCGACACGTCGCCTTGAGGTTGGACGGGACACCCGCCGAGCGACAAAGACCCTTGACGCTTGGAAGGAGGTATGCCAAGAGTTGGTGTCAAAGGAATGGCCTTTGCATCTTTACGCCATTTGGCTAGATGAGTGGATTGTCGCTTTAGAGGGATCTGGCCTGATGGAGCAAGAATCCCGCATGGCCTGGAACCGATTCTTGACATCAAGGGTTTGGAGCAAGTGGCATTCTATGTCTGTGCAACTCCACTCTCACCATTATATTGTTGAGGAGGTCGCAGGCAAGAATGCCAGAAAATCTACGCATCGGGTTTTGCAGCACTGGAAGAATGGCGGCTCCTCATTCCCAGGCGACTCTCGTCTTTCGACATTGGTGGGCTCCTCCATAGGGCCCTCTCGCGCCAGTCGCAATTACGACACATCACTCTGGTCAAGGTCGCGGTCCGGCCAGACGGCAGCGTCGTCTCTATTAGGAGTATCAAGGCGAACATTGGTCAAGGAATCAGACGAGGACCAGGACACTGACGCGGCCATATCGGAAGGCGACGAAATGGGCGGTCTCATTGATACCCCTTCTCGCTGGACGGGGCTTGGCTCGTCCCTGGCGAAGCTGCCTTCAACGACCCCTTTGGCGCCGCTTTCGACTCCTTTTGAGCGAGAGCTGCGAAACCGCTACAACCCCAATGCACGCCGGTCACTCGGGGTGCATCCAGGGCGGTTTTCGGTCAGAGCCACCCCACGATTGTCCGCCACTGAGGCTCGTCGCATTGCTGAGGAACGGAGGCGCGGAAGCCGAATTGGTGGCATTGCGACAACTCCTTGATAAGAGGTAATTATCTAGGTAATTGAAAGGGTGATCGGTTGTCCTGGATATTGGCAGGGGTCTTAACAGTTGGAGATATGGTCCCATGTTTGCACGTCGCGTATACCCATAGCGCTGTTGATAGGCTCTGTACCGCACAGGAAGTCTCGTGGTTATGCATTGTGCTCATGCCGGCGTTAGAGGAGAATTGATCTTTTTGGGCCTACTTGAGATCAAATACACTTGGGGAGCTCGGGACTCGATCTCGATCTTGTGTCGTGATCATCATCCAGCTGCTGCTCCGTCTCCTAATATTATACCAGCAAAGCTCAGGCCACTGCTTAATCAAATGCGTGCCCAATGGAACTGACACGACATGGAGGCTCAAGGTATGCTTATGTAACCAGAATACGGTATACAGTGAGTGAGCAAAAGTTTCGGGATAACCTAAAGTAGAATGCTTTGAAGCTTTTGGGGAACACTTTTCTATCCGAGCAAAACCATATTATCTTATAAAAGTAACGAATCACTGGATCTTTAAAATACACCGAAATTATTGCTTATCCACTATACGTAGTAGCGTTGGCGGATTAGTGGGTTATGCTTGGTAGTACGGTTAATACTAGAATATAAAATAAGGGAGTGTATAAATAGTAGGTATATTTAGATATCTAGTAGGTAAAAAATACAAATACAGAGGCAGTTCTTTTATATAGAAAGGGAGTGTACAAATAGCAGGCATATTTAGATATCTAGCAGGTAAAATATTAGATTAATTAGAATAGAGTTATTCTACTAGAGTAATAGGGTTATAACTATTAGAATATAGATAAAGTATAGAAGATATATATATATATATATATATTTATCTAAGTAAAGCTCGTAGTACTGCAGGGGAATATCTGACTAGTAGGAAAAACTAGGGGAAATATGTATACATATATAGGATTAAGGTACTCCACACGTCTGATATACTATGGTTTATCACACCTCGAAAAGTGGCTGTGGGCATCTGACAGTTGACGTCGATCTGAATCGTGTCTCGACCCTACCTACGTACAGCCTTCAACGCGACAGCATGACGAATTCCTCTAGTTCCGAGTCAACAAAGAGCTACACAACCACCCTGAGTTAGCTCACATCGTGTATCTACACGTGTTCTATCCCAAGTCCAGCATCAAATTACCCGCTCGACCACGTCTTACAGTACGGCGGCCAATGTATTTAGAATGAAGGCCGTCCTCCCAGGAAGGCCATCGTCGGAGCTTCAAGCTCTTGCGACCGGTATCTGGGAGACGAAAGCCTATAACGTGGGTAGCACTGACACTACTGAAAAATCGTAGGGGAAATAGCTCACTCTCTTCAGGTCTATGCGACTGGCAACGCATTCGCTGTGCTTACCGAACCCGACGTGCTTATCCAGACTGTATACGAAGACCATGACAGCGTCTTGGTCGCTGTCGCGTTCGACGAATCTTCAGGAAAGATAGCCACGAGCACGAGGTCCGTCGTGAGAGTCTATGAGCCTTTCAGGAGCGACGACTATTCTCGGAAAGTTGGTTTCCTGAAAATGCATCAGACCGAGGAAGATGGGAGCTAACCATGGCTTCGGCGCAGTGGACTCTTCAATCATCATTCCCGATACCGACACCCGGTACCCCATGCCTATCGTGGGGGGCATCTGGGGAACTTCTCGTGGCAACAACTTCACTGCACCTATACACGACATCGGGGGAGCCGACACACTTCTGGGAGAAGCCACTACCGAATGCGGCGAGAATAGCCTCTTTCTCCCCGGATTCCGAGTATATCGCCCTTGTGGGGGCTTACGATTCTATCGTCAAGGTGTGGCATAGGCTGACCTACGGGACGGAAGGCGTTCTTTTCGACCTGGCTTGTCTCCCGCATCCCGACGTTGTGACCAGAATCCAATGGCGCAAGGACCATGATACTTCCTCCAGGATCAATAACGCTCTATATACTATCTGTGCTGATCTCACCCTTCACATCTGGGGGGCGTCTGACCCGTCCGATCCGCAGCACTTGCACATCTGCGGCAAAGTAGACCTGTCGTGGGCCGCACGAGATCATAGTCTGTACGGGAGTCCATGCATCTTCTTTCTCGATGCCAGTGAAGTTGCGACAGCCATCGAAAACAGCACGAAATCGGGTGTCTGCCAGGAAAAGCAACGTAAGACCGCCCTCGATCGCCTTATCGCGGCCGCAAATCAGAAATCAGAGCTCTGTTTCATTTTGGGTGGAGGCGACTCGCTCTCGGTTCTCGCTCTGGAGAACGTGGGATCCGCGTCGCGAGACCTGGGGGTTACGAGCGTTGCCCACATTGAATCGAGTAGTTTAATGGCTCGATCTGAGGCAGAGTCATTAGACACTCCATCACACGTGGAAATACAGGCCTACGGTACGCCGTCTTCTGGCCAACTCCGCATCCTTCTTCACGAATTCACGCACGGCCGCATTCGGATATTCGAGGCCGAGCTCGTGGATATTATAGCGTCCCACGTCGAGAAGCCGCTTCTGAACCTCCGGAGTGTCTGGTCTGGGCATTCCGCACCAATTCAAAAGGTCGTCCGCAATTTCAGTGGGCGAGCAGTGGTTTCGAGGACGGCAGGTGGCGATAGTATCGTCTGGCGGCACTCGGGCCAGAGAGATTCGCCCGAGCTCCTACGGCAGAGCAGCATTCCCAACCAGGGTCACATCCACCGTATTTGTGTTTTACGTAAAGGTCGCTTCGTCGTCTTCCTGAAAAATGATACAATCTCTCTGTGGGATTGTCGTGAGCAGAATGCGGTACTTCTCAGCTGTCAGAAGTATAGCATTGCTGGGAAGGCACTCTGTCTTCTTACTTTACCACGACCCGTACCTGAGGATTACCAGACGGCATATATAGCCACCGTCACCTCCGAACAAGAGGGTCTCGTCTGGGAGATCTACCTACCGAAATATACGCGTCACGGGAGTAGGCATGACGGCCGGAGGTCGTATGCCAATGGGCGTGGCCATGTGTTCATCCGGGAGTTCTGCAATTTTCAATGGACCGACGCCGAGGGCCTCGCGTACGTCCTACCCGTGGATCCTGCCGGGTCTGTACCCGTCGTGTCGGGCTTCCTCGATGTGTTTGCTAAAGACATCGCTATATCATACACCGAGACTGGCCGGGTTCACTTCTGGACTGCGCGTGTCAATCTGACTGAGCGGCGCGTGGAATGGCTCTCGACCTGCTCCACGGAGACCGGTCTTGAGAAGCCGGCTCTTGTCAGCGGGAGCACACTGAAAAAGGCAGCCTTGGTCGATTCCTCGCGATCCCAACTCTTCATTTGGGATATTGGCGGCGCCCGGCTGGAGTACACCGAGGATTATCAAACACAACATGCAATCCGAGATCTGGACTGGACATCCACGCCCGACGGCCAGTCCATTTTAGCTGTCGGCTTTCAGCACCGGGTCGTACTATTATGCCAGATGCGCTTCGACTACCTTAACAAGGGCCCAGCCTGGGCTCCTATTCGCGAAATCAATATTCGAGATCTAACACCGCATCCAATTGGAGATTCCGTCTGGCTTGGAGATGGACATCTCGTTGTTGGTGCAGGTAACCAGTTATTCGTTCACGGAAGGGGCTTTGACCTATCCGATGCCAGAATCAGCAGCTTGCAGCTACCGTACAGGAAGCATAAAGTCTGGGACCTGTTCGAAGCCGTTCAGCGATGCAACGGACCACTGCCGGTGTTCCACCCCCAGTTCCTTAGTCAGTGCATCCTCGCTGGCAAAACAGCCATTGTGCACGAAGTCTTGATAGCATTGCACAAGGCATTGAAGTACTTGCTCCCCGGGGAGGAACTTGATGACTACTTGGGACTGGATCTTGACGACTTTTATACGGAGAATGTAGGTGCACCAAGGCGACGTTATTCCACGAGATGCTAACTTCCAACACCAAGGCCGCTTCCAAAGTCCCATTCGAATCGCATCCCAACCGCTTTCATGGTCACCCTTCGGCGGAAAGTGACGACAACGAGTCCTTCGATGCTGACATGGCCGCAACCATCAACGAGCGTCTTACAAAAATAGGATTGTCGCACCTTTCTGGCCATCAGCAGATCCAACTCGCTGATATCATCGAGTGTGCCGGCTTGGTCGAGGAGCATCGTCGATCGCTGGATGAGAACGGTGCTCGCTTCATGCTCTTCTTTCGCCAGCATGCTCTCCGCAAGGGTCGTACCAATGAAATACAGATGACATGGCGCGAGATTACATGGGCCTACCACTCGACTAGCCAGGATATCCTACTTGACTTTGTGACACGCCAGTATCACGGATCAATCCGGTGGGAACATGCCCGAGAGAGCGGGATGTTTATGTGGCTCACCGACCACCACAAAGTGGTAAGGACTTACACGCAGGCGCCCCGTCTCGCAGAGGCATATACCTAATGGCTGGCAGATAATGGAATTCGAACGCATTGCGCGAAACGAGTATACGAAAAGCGATGACAAGGACCCTATTAAATGCAGCCTATACTATCTGGCCTTGAAAAAGAAAACGGTTCTACAAGGGCTCTGGCGGATGGCGAGTTGGCACCGTGAGCAAGCTGCTACACTAAGGCTTCTTTCAAATAACTTCGATGACCCCAGGTGGCGCACAGCAGCCCTCAAGAATGCCTATGCCTTACTTAGTAAACGGCGATTTGGTACGCAGAGCTCACTAAAACAAACCGCCCTGGAGAGCGCATCAATCACTGACTTCTGGCTAACCACGGATGTAGAATACGCCGCAGCATTCTTCCTCCTAGCTGACAGGTTAGAAGACGCCGTTAATGTCTGTTTAAAGCAGTTGAAGGATCTACAACTCGCCATTGCGGTCGCTCGCGTGTATGAAGGTGATGACGGCAAAGTCTTTCGCAGGCTTCTGGAGGAAGAAGTGTTGGGTGTCGCCGCCCGGGAAGGAAACCGATGGCTTGCATCCTGGGCATTTTGGATGCTGAACCGCAAGGACATGGCGGTGCGAGCCTTAATTGTGAGCACTTTCGTTCCCCCTTCACGATCTCGCCCCTGTCACCCCCCTGTGGTCTCGGCGCACAGACAATCAACTGACAGGGAGACTTTAGACCCCGGTTTACACTCTGCTGGAGACCCCCTTAATTCCTGACATGAAGTCGAAGCTTTTCCTGACAGACGATCCCGCGCTGGTCGTGCTGTACTCGCAATTGCGACGGAAGACTTTGCAGACTCTCCGGGGCGCCTCGAAAGTGACGCCGCGGGCCGAATGGGAATTCGTCCTCCATAGTGCGAAGCTTTACGGTCGGATGGGCTGTGATCTTCTTGGTCTCGATCTTGGTATGTCTCTACCTTAGCCTCCCGTATCCTTGGGTGGATGATACATGATACTCATGACGCTCAGTTCGTAATTGGGAGTTCCCCCAGCCAACGATTGGGGCTTCCGGCTTCGGCCGTGAGCTGAATCCAATCAAGCTACTGAGGCGGCGGAGTTCACTCGTTGTGGACGATCGTCCGGCGTCGAAATTGCATACCGATATCCGATCTGCCAAGCCAGCTGAGGCACACCCGCCCCCAACCATATTCCAGGAACCGGATGCAAACTCACTTCTTGACAACTTTGGTTTTTGATGCCGTACTGTTACAGTCCCATGGAAGGTGTTTCGGGGGTCATGTTGTTCCTCCTCGCCCAAGATAGGCTTAAGGAACAACCATCGGAACGTAACGAGGCGGAAGCATACGCCATACCGGGAGCTCGATTTGTGTCGAAGAAGAGGAATGGAGGATCATGGGGCGGTTACTGTCAAGGTTGTCCGGCATATGGCGAGCGGGAGATTCCTACGCATAATCATTTTGGGTATGGACGACAAGGAACCACCAGCAGAAAGAGGACATGCCTGGGCGAATTTTCGAGATTCTAATAGTTGTCCAATATTCGCTGGCGAGCGTTTCCCGCAAATCTCCATTAGGTGCTTTAATGCTCTCGTAACCCCCATGCCTCCATGTCATGGGCCGCTTTGGGGTAATAGGATCCTCGCACATTCTTGAATCCCCTGAAATTGCGGTTTCTTCACCATAGTGAAGACCAAGTAGTAGGGAGTTGTGGCTGGACAAAAAGTCGCTTGCCTTATTCTCTTTAGCGATAACATGATATACTTCGTAAGAGCATGATACTGAGTATATATCCAAAAAGGCCTATGTATCTATCCGCAAATATGCAATAAGACTTCCCGTAGTGCAATTAAGCCGGATATCATATAACTATCCGTATACGCCAGGTAGCACTAGCCTGGTACGTACCTCTGGCAAACCCTCGAGCCGAACATAAGGATACGTACTTCGTAGGTACTGGGTACAGTAGGTACAACTTTCGGCCAAGCTGTCAAAACCACAGGACGGAGCTCCATGAGGTAGGTAAGGTAGCCACAGATATCTGCCTACCTACGCACAACACCCCCCAGCCAGACCGAGAACAAACTGTCCCGAATACACAAGTCCGCCTTCGTATAATGTCTTTGTGACCCTCAGCCATATACGACGGAGCTACTTGACGGTAACGTGGGCCAGGTTTAGCGCTCAATGGCAGGGACAAGGCAAGCACACTCAGCATGTTCTCCATTTCCACGGCTCCCGCGAAGCAGTCGGTCACCGAGACCATCTCTGTTCTGAGCGGTCGCCTAGGCTCTGCAACGCTTCTGGAGGATCGACGAGCTGCCATACTCGGCCTGCGCAGCTTCGCTAAGGAGTTCCCGGCGACGGTTGCTTCCGGTGCTTTGCGAAGCTTGATCGGCGGCCTGGGCAAAGATGGGGAGGATGTCGATACCGTCAAGGTGATTTTGGAGACGTTGTTAATGCTCTTCAATCCGAACGATGACAGTCCCGAAGCATCTGATGAAGTCATGTTGTGGATGGCAGACGAGTTCACGCAACGTCAGGATAATATCACACTCCTACTCGACTTCCTCGATTCGACCGACTTCTACCCCCGACTATACTCGCTCCAGCTCCTCACGGCCATACTCTCAGCCCGCACCGAGCGAACCGAAGAATGTATCTTCACTGCGCCCTTGGGCATCTCGCGCTTGGTCGCCGTACTTGACGACCAGCGGGACGCGATCCGGAACGAAGGGATAGTACTTCTCACTTTCTTAACATCCACGTCAACCGACGTACAGAAACTAGTTGCCTTTGAGAATGCGTTCGATCGCTTGTTTGCCATCATGGCGTCGGACGGCGCGCTTTCCCACGGAGGTCGTACAACCGAGGACTGCCTCATCTTTCTCGCCAACCTCCTCCGAAGGAACACTTCGAACCAGTCCTTATTCCGCGAATCGGGTGGCATATTGCGACTTGCGGCATTCCTCGAGGCTGCATTGAGGGCTCAAGAGGAGGAAGGTGACGACGTAGCTTCATGGGCGCAAGTGCAACGGAACCGTAATATATACGCCCTCCTCGGCGTGGTCCGGCTGCTTCTCGCGGAGGGAGCAGTCGGTCTATCCCAGAACCAGACAGCCCTGGGCCAACACGGGCTGCTGTACCACGCGCTACAGCTCTCGTTCAGCCGCGCGGCGCAGACGCCAATCAAAGCAGAGGTCGGTCATCCCGCCGCGTATCATCGTAGTATGAATGTATTGTTAAACATTTATCTTCGTTCAGGCACTGGTGACATGCGCCGACATCATCAGGGGCAACACGGGGCTCCAGGAAAGCTTCGCCCAGTTCCAGGTCCCCGCCCCGCTAGCCCATAAGGCACCGGGGACCGAGGCATACGACGCCGAAGCAAACGGTGATGGTGCAAACGTATACGTTATCGACGGCTTGCTGGACCTGACCCTGACGTCCTCCTCCACCGAGACATTCGATGTGCGCCGTGGCGCCTGTGAATGTATAATGGCGTACTTCTTCAAACACTCGGAGATTCGTCTGCATTTTCTCCGGAGGGCGATCGAGGGCTATAGGTCGAGCGTGGACGAAACGGCCAACGTCCTGGCCGTGCTGCTTCGCCCAGAAACCGAAGATCTCGTCAGTAACCCCTATCGCATATGGTTCGCCGCCATCATTACCTTCCATCTCTTGTTTGACAACCCGGAAGCCAAAAGTCTTGCCATGGAGGTCACGGAAGGCGATGCGGAAAACGGCGAGGAGGTTGTCACGAGTATCCAGACGATCACCGCGCACGCTGTTTCTGGGTTAAATCGCGAACAAGACAGCCGCGTGGTGATTGGCTATCTCATACTCCTCTTAGGCTGGATGTTTGAAGACTTTGACGCCGTCGATGACTTCCTTGATCAAGGAAGCAACGTGCAGAGTCTCATTGAGGCTGTTGTCCGCCAGAGCCAAGTAGATGATATCGTCCAAGGTCTCAGCGCGATGCTCTTGGGGGTCGTCTACGAATTCTCCACGAAGGATTCCCCCATTCCCAGACCAAGTCTGCATTCGATACTACTCTCTCGAATGGGACGGGAACGGTACTTTGACACATTATCCAAGTTGAGAAGCCATCCGTTCATGCGCGACTTTGAGGTGCTCCCGCAAAAGTTAGACGCCTCGGCATCGGCTTCAGGTCGGCTTCCCGATGTCTTCTTCGACGCTCTCTTTGTGAATTTCTTCAAGGATAACTACAGTCGGATCCTTCGCGCCATTGACCGGGACCCAGGCGTGGAGGTATCCGTCGTTGCCAACGGTGTGCAGAAAGGCATTTCCCGGCAGCTCGTGGATTCTTTGCGCCAACAGTTGGAGGAGAAAGAGAGCGCGGTCCAGGAGGCGCAAGTTGCACTGGCCACGTTGGAGAGGCAACTGGAGCAAGAGCAAGCTGATCACAAAAAGAGCCGAGAGGTGGCGGCCATGGATGTCTCCAAGGCCAAGGCCGAGGTCGAGGCTCTACGTCGTGACCGCGCGGTGGAACTCGAGTAAGACAATCCGGCTTCCTTCCGACGCAATCAACCACCTGTGTCCTTTACTAACGAAACTCTAGAAATGCACGTCGCGAACTCCTAACTGCTCAGGACCAATACAAGAGGGAAATCGAACAGCTGAAACGAGTTGCCGAAGCCAACTTGGAGTACGTCGGACTAAGGACGATAGTCTTTACCATTTGACCCCCCAGACTGTTGATTATCGCAACACTAACACGGCCTAGGGCGGAGCGTCGCAAGCTTTCATCCTCACAAGAGGACCACAAGAGACAGCTGGACTACGTGAGAAAGTCAGGAGAAGCGGAGGCGGAGTGAGTCGCAGTTTGCACCAAGTCCCAGGGTCTCGCTGCTAACAGACCATAGGAAACTGCGGCGCAAGAATGCAGCGGCAGAGGCGGATTTCAAGAAGCAACTCGAACAAGCCAAACAGGCGTCGGAGATCGAGGTCCAAAGGACAAGACAGCGTGCAGACGCTGAGATCGCCGATCTCCGTGCCACCATTAGCAGACTCGAGGTGGATTTGAAAAAGGCAAGACGCAACAAGCTCCTTCACTGTCCACGGCAGTGAGCAACCAATTACTAACACGGGCAACAGTCTACCAAGGAGAAGTCTCAGGAGTTGCAGGCTCTACGGGAGGAACATTCAGTTAAGCTAGCTGAGCAAAAAGAACAGCACGCCCTGGATCTTGAGAAGCAGATGAAGCTCACCACCGAGGCGGAGAACCGCGCGTCCAAACTGGAAACGGAATTGAAGGGGGCACAGGAGAAGATGCGCAAGGTACGTTCGCTCGAGTCGGGGCGACATAGTTGTCCTGCCCCGGAAATGCAGGGGCTCAGCTGACAGGTGGCTACTTAGCGCGATATCACTCTCAAAGAGGCCCAGGAAGCAAAGCAGGCAACGCAGACCGAGCTTGATGATCTACTCATGGTCTTCTCCGACCTGGAGGACAAGGTGGCCCAGTATAAAGTAAGTCTACGCAGAACGGGAGGATTCGAGAAAAGGAATACCGCTTGGCATGGCTAACGTAATCTGCACAGGCTCGACTGGAGAAATTGGGAGAACAAGTCTCCGATGGGGAGGAGGACGAGAGCGAGGATGAGACTGAAGAAGGAGATGGAGCCGCGAATGCCAGCTGAGTCTAAGGCAGGCAGTCAATATACAGCCCATAGCTCGGCTGGAACAGGATAAATGTATCTCCAAAGATATAGTCCTCCCTATACCAAAAAAAATCGGCAGTGGACGAACTGATGATCATGATAAACCAAGCTGAAAGAGTGTGTGACACTTCAACCTTGATGTGTTGTTACGGGACCCTTTTACCCCAGCCCTTGTCTCCTGACGCCTTTTCCCTGAAATTTTCACCGTCTCTACCTTGGTAGAATAACCTGGCCGAGACATACTCAAGCCGAATGACGTTTTCATTGCCCTCCTACCGTAGTTTCCAGGTCTGTGATCTCGGTTCAGAATCCTTTGTAACCCAAGACATGGAGATTCCAAGCGCTCTTGGGTTGTCTTCCGGAGCCTGAAAGACAACCTCCCCCGAAATGCCAGTTCCCGGCTCGGCAGTGAAAATGCCTTTAGTCCGGTCAACCAACAAGAGACCTTGCTTCCAGTGGGTTACGGGCCCCCGAGGGCCTGTCGTGAAAGCAACAGCCGATGGTATTCTGCCAGCAGGGGAACTCGGGTCGACACCAGTTCTAGGGGGGACTGTCTCTTGGCGAGAAGTCGTGAAGAAAATGTCGAACCATATCAAGAAGCCATCGATGGATTCTACTGATTGATTCACGTCCGACTTCCAGTCGCTGCGGAAGTTGAGCTGCTCGGGCTTGACAGAGTGCAAGTCGAGATGGGAGATCTGCGACGGCTGGCCGCAAATAGTGGACGGGGGTAGATCCTCGACGCGGGCTTCTTCGTAAATGCCCGTTTTCATGGCCTTCATGTCAAACCCGTAGACATCGTCCCAGAAGGAGACGTGATCGGTCATGTACTCAGGATCAGACACGGGCGCAACCCAGATGGTGGCAAAGCTCGGCACGAGGAGGCCATCCGGCTTCAGGTACCTGTCTCGGGCATAGAGCACGCTGGGAAGCATGGCCTCGTAGAGGAGGCAGTATCCCATCCACTCGCTGACGATAATGTCGACTTGTGGAACGGGAAGCTCGATGTCTTCGATCCTGCCTTTGATACAGGTAATTGTATCGGAGAGGCCGTTGGTGAAGATATTGGCGCGTGCCTTCTCGACAACCTCCGCCTTATCTACGGCGAAAACGGCCTTTGCGCCTGCCCTGGCACAGAACATGCTCAGGATGCCTAGCGTGACTGTGGTGTCAGTACTCAACCGACGACGGACATGTATGGGGGGAAAGTGGAAAAGAAAGGGGGGAGTGTGGCTGAGGAGAGAACTTGCCTGTTCCGCATCCAATGTCGAGAACGACCTTGTCCTTGAACAACGCCTTGTTCTCATAAATGAAGTCACGGTAAGCATCCGTCCGCACCGTGTCCTTCAACATCGTTTCGTGGATATCTAGGCAAAATCTCCGTCAGCTCTGTGGAGGTGAGACGAAGAAAGGAAAGCAGAATGAAAATCAAGAGAGCCAGCTGGGCGCCGGAAGCCGGAAGAAGAAGGTGCCAGTACCGTTTGCCCCATATGACTCCCAGTAATACTGAGATTCATCTTTTGTCGAGCTTTCCACGTCCTTATCGTCCCCCCAACGCCGTTCGAGAGTCTGTTCGACGGCGAGACGATAATTGGCAAACTGCGATTTGACTGCTGCTAGCTCTTCCTCGAGGCGGCTATTGAGGGCGACGAGGTCCTGCGACGAGATGTTCTCGGCAGCAGAAGACGCGGCCTCGTTGTCCAAAGCATCAATGTCCAGCTCATCGAGGGAAAGGATGAGGGCATCGTCGTCCACGACCGGCTTCAGATACCTGTCGTCCTTGATAGTCTCCGCCGTGATGGTTTCTGGCAAGGGACAGCCGTCGTGGATTTGCTGGCGGACTAAGGCCAGGGTTAGCATCGAGTGTAGGCCCAAAGAACCAAAATGCGAAAGAAAGCAAAAGCAACCCCGACGTGGGCGTGAGATGGAAATTCTGGGTGAGACGGACTGAAATTGACCAGTTTGACAGTTCCGTGAAAATCGAGACCAAGGCGCTGCCGGACGGCAAGGAAGTCGAAGCCGTGGTTCTCCTTGCAGTACTTCAACATGGACATGACATCCGGAAAGACGGAGTCGTCCAAAAGAGAGATGACGGCGAGAGGCTCATCCTCCTCTGATTCAACGTCCAACCACTCTGCTTCATCGCCTCCAGAGCTTGCCGAGTCATCGGAGAAGTCGGGGTCTTTGTCATTTATCGGCCTGTTTCCCATGATGGTCGATAATAAGAAACAACTTCCTATGCGACGTGATCTCTAAAGCTCCAAGGTTTTCGTATGCTTGGTGGTGAAGCCCTAAGTGATGTGTATGAGCTCGGCAAGGAGGGGGTGAAATGGACATCGATTTTGTTTGGCAGGCTCTTCTCTAAGGTAGGCTGTTGTGCCCATGGGTCTCCTTTTTTTTTTTTTTTTTTTTTTTAAGCCACACACTTTCGAGAGTCGGAAGTAGCTGGTACACAGCTTGCGAAGCAACACTACTTCGTTATACCTATACGAAGCGACCACATATTTTCCCTACCTAGGTATTTATGTGGGCATGAAGAGTTCTTTATTGCCAGACTGGATGCTCGATGACACAAGAAACTCCGTCTTTATCTATATACACAAGAATACGTTTATTCATTGTTTAACAGTCCCTCACCGTGCGTGCTTCTGGGCCTGTTCGAAGTTCTCAAGTACCCACCCCAGGTAAGGTAGTTATCGAGAGGGAGAACCGCCTGTGTACATATAAGATTATCAAGCCATAGCAACAACACACAGGACACAGCAACCAGGATCGTAGCCAAAGTAATCAAAGTGCAAAGTGGTGGTAAGTTGAAGTTAGGGTATCTAAGCTGGCATTCGTCCATGTATAATATGCAGAACTATCGATGAAAATGTAGCGGCGATGTAGCGGCTCTGCTCTTACGTGAAATGAGGCACACTCGCGCTCTGAAGAATCAAGTTCACGACGCTGAAGAAGCCTTCCCCAAGAATGAACCCCGACGCCAGGATGATGAGCGGTGTGTTCGTCCGAGCCGGTCCTCTCCAAGACGACCAGTACCAAGCAAGGAGACCACCCATTGTTCGCGCAAGGGTAAAGGACGGGACGTTGTACATGCCTTTCTTCCTCGTCAGATATTTCCACTACCACCACAGGGAAAAGGGTTCAGGGGGGCTTGATGACATACCAATTGCAACGGCAATGCCGCCAGGAACCAAAGGCCTCCATCTTACCCCTGGCCTTGTCGCTCTAATTATAGTCGTAAAGGCAAACAAGATCCCGAAACCGAGAGACCATTCTTTCGCCATGATGGGTAGACCCTTGCCGGTCACAAGCCTCGCTGTAAAGATCCAAACGTAGGCAGTGGGGATTTGAAACAAATCGCCTGGAATCGGATAGACTCTGGAAATGGGGCATTTCACCGGTCAGCGTGCTACATGACCAGCGGCCGGGATCCCATTTCCTGGGACATGACGCATGGGGGGACGGTGTGGAGTAAAATAGAGACTGACGCAGTATAAAGCTTATAGACGAAGGCGCTAACCACAGCGCCCACGGTCGCGCCTATGATCTGCCCCCAGAACTGTGCCGCAGGTGCCGCGCCTAGGAGATGGCCTGTCTTCAGGTCTTGCATCAACTCTCCGGCTTGCAAAGCGCCCTAAGAGGGGGAGGTAGGAAAAAGAAACGGAAGGTCAGTCTATTCTACCCGTAGTACATGGCCCGTTGAATTGGGTTGAACTGAACTCACGGCTTCGGACTGTGAAATTCATTAGCATGAGTAAACGAAGCAAGTCATGTCAGAGTCACCCAGACTTACAATGGCCCCAGCTACTAGGTTGACAATAACTCCCGACTGGTGAGACTGGGGAATGATCAAGGCAAAGAAGACTTGTGCAAGTTTACTGATCCCAGAAACGGGGTTGAGATCCGTTTCTCCCAACGCCCTCACGCCCATTATGCTCAGAAGAAGTGCGAGCATCACGGCGATGACAGTTGCATATAGCGGCACGAGCTCCCCAAAGACAAACCGGACTGTCATGATGCACAGTAGAATCGAGGCAATCAAGCCAGTTCCCACGGTTGTATTTCCAACTTGTTGTTCAGCTGGAGCGTCATCCACTGGCGCAATGTCGACCTTGCCGGGAGGGGGTTGTCCACGGAGAAGCGGAGAGTCTGCATCCAGGGATTCGCGTGGGCTATCCCTACCGAGAGCAGAACTCCGTCCCTCGTCTCTATATGCGTTTCCGGTAGAGTGATCATCGTCTGTTCGGATGGCAGAGTATCCTGGAGGGGGGTTTGCCTTGGAGTTCGTTCGAATCGATAGTTGAATCCTGGGCCACAGCGAGCGAAGAATGAGATGGCCGAGGTTCATAAAAGCATCCGCCAGCATGATGGCCAACGACACCCACACAATCCAGCCTTTGCTCCCGCTTTCCCAGTCACCTATGGGGCCAGGCGCCCATCCTCGATGTTTTGCAAGCGGGGACAGGACACCCCAGCCGATGATGGCGCCAAGAAGCATGTGCAGCGTGGTTTCGGGGCCCATGATAATGCCCTGGCCGATATACGCAGGGCTTGGATTCAGAGTCCAAAGCCACGTGTGCGCCGCAGCACGGCCCAATATCGGGAGACTTCGTAGCCGTGGGAGGAAGTAGGTGCAAAGCGTGTAAAACGCAGAAAAAAGGAAGCAAATAAGCAGAAGGCGCACGTTCTTCGCCCAATCACGGAGGCGCGCCTCTTCTGGCGCCTCGCCGTAACGTTCAGGGTCATCTTCGCCGCTGCTGCGGTCCTCCCTCGACGCGGTGACATCTGGAGAGGTAGACACTGGGACTGGAACGAGACTCGCAAAATCCCCAGACGATGCCGCAGTCGTCCCATCAGAACCCGGAGCCCGTGTCTGCCCATGAAGAACACTGACCAAAACAGCCGTGCTATAGCCACTGGGGAATCGTAGCTTCTCCCGAATAATGACCTGTCGTCGCCTTTAACCGAACATCAGCGAGTGATCAGCTCTTTTAAGGGTTGATTTACACTCGGTGCCTTCCGCTTCCACGAGAAGGAATATTATAGGTGTGAAGCAGCCGAAGGGGGACCTGCTAAGCAAAGGGGCGGGCTTACAGTGGCACGGCAAAGACGACGCCGAAATAACATAGGCCTAGGGCCCAGACGATCAACTGCCACAGGCTTAGAGATATCGGGCCTTGCTCTTCCTTCGCCAGAATATAATTCATTGCGGGTAGCTTCGCGATTTACGTTAATTAATCAATTTGGCACTCTTCTTTCCTGTGAGATGTTAAGCGGACAGGAACACGGAGAAAGAAGGGCATACCACTCCGACAAAACCACACCCCAGAGGCATGATAGCCATACTTCCGGCAACGCTTTGCACCAGCACATTCTCCACGGGGCTGAATGGGAAGCTGAGATGCCGGGAAAGAGCTTGGAAAACGCCGAACCCGACAAGAGAGGCCGGTAAGGTCATGGTGCTCACCCAGCCCGTCTGCAACCCGAAGTACATGTTGGAGAAGCAGATGACTAGGCCAACTAGGAGACCAACAGCGACGCCACGGATAGTGAAGCTTTCACCCTCGATCCGAGGATATGAAGTGGCGTTGGCATCTTGTTCGGATGGCAAGAGCTCGCAGTTTGGACTGTCGCCTCGGTCGGGGGCCATGATGGTAATGCGTCTTGAGATGACCTGCCCCAAAGGTCCCTGTCACGTATCTTCAGAGTTAACAACACCCTGGTCAATATGTTTCGTCGGGGGAGACTTGGGTTTGTGCCAGTATCTAGACCATCAACATCATACTTGTTGAGTTGAGGCTGCAGGTCAAGTTTGACCGCGACTGACGGGGCTGGTAACTGGTTTGACAAGCCAGCCAAATGCTTTCTGGAAACCGGAAACTGAGAAGTCGGTTTGAATATGGCCGGATTTTCGGTTAATACGTTCCTTGAGACTCCGAGTCGGACGAGACATTGAGATTTGACTCTCCCAGCAGCTGGCTATTGGTCGTCGATGTCTAGGTACCTTAGGTAATTATGCTTGATTGGATTTCAAAGCGCCTTATTCTTAGTCACCTTGCAGCGGGTCGCATTTCAGGGGACACTACGCGGGGGGCGGCGGGTCGGCTGCTGTGGGGGGTGTCGGACAGGGGGGGTTAGAGTAGAGCATGCACGCCTTTGGGTACGTACTCCGTACAGATGGTACATTATGGCAGATGTACCTTCGCATCCGCAAGTCCTCAGTACCTTACCTTACCTACTTTGCAGATGTAATTTTGTGTGTAAGGTAAGGTACCTAGTGCATGTATCTCAGGCCGTCCGTACAGTGGGCGCAAAAGGTCTATACCCAGCCTAATGTATCAAACCTGTATAAAGTATTAATACAGGCAGTTTGATGGAGCAGGAACTTTTTGCTCCTCACTGTATCTCGTGTGTACGAATAGTCCGAAGGACGTACGGCATCTCAGCTGCCTGCACGATGGATAGGTACGCATTTACCTAAATACGAAGTACTGTAGCCTGGGATCCATGTATATCGGGGACGTAATTACTTCGTAAGGTAGGTACATACCTAAGGTAGGGGTCAAGCTAGTCCTAGCTTTCTATTCGTTGTTCTGCTTCAATGTGGAGACGAAAAAGGCTGGCGCAACACGTGAAGTCGAGTCGTACTCAGCAAAAGTTACCTACTTGGTCAGGAATTTCTGATCCAGAGAAATATCAACTGGGCAATTTCTATACGCACTTGTTTTCCAACCACCAAGTTGCGCAGTCGCATACACTTTATACTGCCTGCTACACATTGCCCATGCACCGGAGAGCTACGTTATTGTCGTTTTGCCTTTTTACCCAAGCAACGGGTAGCCTACAGGGCTCGATCTCCCAAAGAAACCGAAAGACTAGATCCCAGAAGTGACGTCTGGGCTTCGACTTAACACGTCGCGACCGCTCGCATCGGACCTCTGATCTAACTAGACGACGCACCGCGAAGCCTTCACCATGGGTATCCCCGCGGCCTTTCGATGGCTGTCCAACAAGTATCCCAAGATCATCTCTCCCGTGGTCGAGGAGCAGCCGACGAAAATGGACGATGGTACCGTAATTCCGGTCGACACAACACGGCCAAATCCCAACGGCGAAGAGTTTGATAACTTGTATCTCGACATGAACGGCATCGTACATCCATGTTCTCATCCCGAGGATCGCCCGGCGCCCAAAAACGAAGAGGAAATGATGCTCGAGATATTCAGGTACACGGATCGTGTTGTAAATATGGTTCGACCTCGCAAGCTTCTCATGATTGCAGTTGGTAAGTCGCTGTGCAAACGACATCGCGCAAGTGCTTCCTAGTTTTCTGACGCTTGTGGAATTGCAGATGGTGTGGCCCCTCGAGCCAAAATGAACCAGCAACGGTCTCGGCGATTTCGATCTGCCCAAGAAGCCCAAGAGAACGAGGTCAACAAACAAGAACTTCTCAAGCTGCTAAAGCAACAGAACGGCGGCGTCTTGCCCAAGGACACGTTGGAGAGCGCAGCCAAGAAGGCTTTCGACTCTAATTCCATCACTCCAGGCACCCCTTTTATGGACATTCTTGCCATCAGCCTCCGGTACTGGTGTGCTTACAAACTGAACTCGGATCCCGCCTGGTCGAAGATGAAGATCATTATCTCCGACGCCACCGTGCCCGGCGAGGGAGAACATAAGATTATGGACTTTGTTCGCTCTCAACGGGCTTCGCCAGACCACGATCCAAACACCCGGCATGTCATCTACGGCCTAGATGCAGACCTTATCATGCTTGGACTCGCCACCCACGAACCTCACTTTCGCGTGCTGCGCGAGGATGTCTTCTTCCAGGATGCCAAGACTAAAATGTGCAAACTCTGTGGCCAGGCAGGTCACGATGCACGGGAATGTCGAGGCGAGGCCAAAGAAAAGGAGGGCGAATCTGACAAAGGGGACAAGAGCCCCACCTTGAAACCATTCATTTGGCTCCATGTTTCCATCTTCCGGGAATACTTGGCAGTGGAGCTCAACGTCCCAGGGCTGCCCTTCGCCTTTGACCTTGAAAGAGCTATTGACGATTGGGTATTCTTGTGCTGCTTCGTTGGCAATGACTTCCTTCCTCACTTGCCTGCGCTCGACATCCGGGAAAACGGTATCGATACCTTAACGACAATCTGGAAGGACAACCTGCCCTACATGGGCGGCTATGTCACCAAAGACGGCCATATCGATCTAAAGAGGGCCCAGCTCATCATGGACGGGTTAGCGAAACAGGAGGATTCCATCTTCAAGCGAAGGAAAGAACAGACGGATCGCCGAGAAGCCAATGCCAAGCGAAGAAAACTTCAAGACGAGCGTAATGGAAGAGGCGGCCGTCACAACTCGAACGGAGGTCCGCGGAAGGCTCCGTTGGACAATGCAAGCTCGGGCCTGCCCTTGTTCCCGGCCGCCGGCTTTGCGAGCGATGGCTCTGGCGGTATGACGCACGATATGATCGTGGGCCGGTCGTCGAACGCCAACGCGAACGCGGCCAATAAAAGTGCGGCCAGTGTCATCAGGGACCAGATAAAGGGGACGATGCCTCGCAAACCGCCCACTGACGACTCCGGCCAGCAAGTGACAGAAGCCGGCCAAGAACCTGCCACGCCATCGCCGAAGTCTGCACTCGGAAAACGCAAAGCCGACAGTCTCTTAAACGACACAGATTCGCCATCTGAGAATACATCCAGTCCCGACCCGGGAACGCCCTCGGCAGCGCCGGAAGAGGCGGCAGTCGACGACGTCCGGTTATGGGAAGAAGGATATGCTGACCGGTATTACGAGCAAAAGTTCCATGTCGACCGGAGTGACGTTGCCTTCCGGCACAAGGTGGCACGGGCTTACGTGGAAGGCCTATGCTGGGTGCTGCTTTACTACTACCAGGGTTGTCCGTCATGGGAATGGTACTATCCCTACCACTACGCGCCTTTTGCCGCCGACTTTGTCGACTTGGGTAGCATGAATATTCACTTTGAAAAAGGGAGAATCTCGAAGCCCTTCGAGCAGCTCATGAGCGTCTTGCCGGCTGCGTCGCGCCATGCCATTCCCGATGTCTTCCACGACCTGATGACGGAAAAGGAGAGTGAAGTGATCGACTTTTATCCGGAGGAGTTTGAAATCGACTTGAACGGAAAGAAGATGGCATGGCAAGGCGTTGCACTTCTACCATTCATCGACATGCCCAGGCTTCTGGGAGCGATAGAGAAGAAGTATGCCCTGTTATCGCCGGAGGAAGCCGCCCGAAATGAGAGGGGAAGGGACGTTCTCCTTCTCTCAGACGCTCACCACGAGCTTTACGATGCCATAACCACATGTTTCTATTCGAAGAAACAGGGTGCGCCGGTGCTGAAGCTCAACCCGCGAAGCAGCGATGGCATTTCTGGCAAAGTGGAGAAAATCCCTGACTATCTGCCACACGGCTCTCTGCAATATCCTTTCGACAATGATGCCATGCCCAATCTGGATTACGACAGATCCATCACGTAAGTCGGGTCTTTTTTCCTTTTTTTTAATCCTTTTTTTTTGTGTCAAGAAGAAGAAGAAGTGGAAGTGGAAGTGGAAGTGGAAGTGAGGAGCACTGCTGACGTTTGAGTAATTCTAGTGTTTACTACGACATCCCACACTCCAAGCATCCGCACAAGTCCATGCTGCTACGCGGGCTCAAACTTCCCAAGACAGTTCTTGACCGATCGGATATTGAGGGCATCAAGAGCAAATCGTCTCGATCTGGACGAAGCTGGGGCGGCGTACCATTGTCGCAGAACTACGGGGGCGACCGTAATCAAGGATACGGACAAGACCGTCGTCGGGGTCGTGGGGGTGGGCCCATCAACTACGGTCCCCCGGGACGAAACGGTTACCAACCACCGAACGCTTTTCCGCCCCCCAGCCACCCTTTACGAAACGCTCACGGCGTGAATGACGGCGTGGCACCCCCGGGGCCTCCATTGCACTGGCATCCTCCCCCGCCCGGACACCCAGGCTTCGGCATGGGCTTACCCCCTCCCCCTCCACCTCCGGCTGCACACTTCAACGGGGGCCATCGAGGGGGCTACCATGGAGGACCATATCCTCACACGGATCATAACTACGGTGCACCTTCATCGCATTCAGGGCAACAACGTGGCTTTGGCAACCATGCACCTAGAGGTCACGGAAGCTACCAACCAGGCAGGAACGCGCATGACAGACATCGGGGCAACAGACAGCAGTCGTATCGCAGGTGATGTGGAAAACGGGAGAATGGCGGAACATGGTACTAGTTTTGTAATTTACTGGGAGGAGTTTTGGGTTGCTGACTGCTTACCACCTATACCTATACGGGATGTTCTCCCAGACAGTTCCATAAAATGTAATTTCCCGTCTACGCCACGCACCGGCCAGTGATGTTTCCGCGTATTTTACGATTTTACCACCCAATCCTACTGTGAAAGAACAAGATCCACTAGGGGTTTGGGGGTCAGTAAGACATTGCAGCAACGCACGGGGTCAAGTCGCGTATGAGATAGGGATTGGGAACAAATTGCAGTCAACGTCGGTAAGAGGAGTATCAGCTAGCCACCACAAATATTATAAACCTCACTGTCGTCGTGTGGAATTATGAGGCCAAAGTTAATATTGCTAACAAACGACAGAGTAACCCGACGATGTGGTTCTTCAACGTGGTTCTTCAACGTAGAACCCTGAAGACTTCTAGAAGTGGACGTTCCTAAGGTACCTATACCTTAGGTACCTTACCTCAGGGACCGGTACGGTGGCGCATGTACACGTAGTGCCCCAAGCCACACACCCCTCTTCACCAGCTCCCCACCTGCCAGCTTCACACCTCCACATCCATCGGTTCTTCAGCTTGGGCACATTCTTCCAAGGACACTGCCTCCTGCATTATTATTGTGTGCGGGTGAAAGCCGCCAATCAATACCGCGAGATTAGCTATCTTAACCGGGACAGATAAATCGCATCCAAGACCTCCATTGTTCCACAAAGCCTACTCGAGTCGAGGACACAAGCTCAAAAGGCAAGCGAATAGGTGAAGATTGTGTTGTGTGTGCGCTGGTCATGCACTTCCAGCTTGGTAATTCCGCGTTGGGCACAAGCAATGGACAGCGACACTAGCCTCGTCGGATGTCTCGTCGATAGAATCGCCGCGAGGGTAAGATCCAAACTACAATATATATATATATATCTAGCGAAAACAACTATCACAGGCTGACGAGTGTTCCTGGATAGCTTCCCCATCGTACTGGGTCCAACTGCCGAGAGCTCGAAAAGGACGATATCGTTGTGAGCACCAGGTCAACCCTCATTGCCATCAGCGTCAACTGCATCTCCTCCGTCTTAGAATCACTAGCCGCCCTCCTCGAAGACCTCGCCCGCAGTCACAAGAGTCAGGCGTCGCACCCCACACACATCGTTGTATCGGAAGTCTATGTTCTGGCTTTAGCGGCCAACTGCTGCATCACTCACTGGGACGCAGTGAAGACGCAGGGATCGACCGGGCCGACGAAATCTTCGGACGCACGGACTAGCTCCTCGTTGCCGACTCCTGGTCCGCTGGCGGATGGCCTCGTTTCGCGATACCTGGACATTATCGCATGCTTGTTGGAGCCTATACCAGACACTTTCCTCTTGTCGCCGAAGACTATTCTCAACCAAACCACCACGCGGCCCGATCAATTCGCGAGTCTCGTTGCTGAGGAGCAACCGTCCAATCAATCGGTCGCTACGACCGCGGACTCTCAAGACGGTGACCCGGGAGCACATGCTGCGACCCTAGAGGACCAGGCGAGGATAATAGTCGAGTACTTGACAGCTTCTTCTTGGGACAGCTCTTTCGAGTACTTTAAGAATGTCATCTATGATATCCGTACTGCAGGCGCTTCGCATCATGGGACCGGACACGGACACGGACATGGACACGGACAGGGTGTCGTATCTAGCGAGGAGGACAGGCACGCGTTGGTAGCCCTCAGACTCCTCGCCTTCTTCTGGGTTGACGGGCAGAAACTGGGCTTCGTAATCAAGGAGCTGTGCTCCAGCTTCTTGCACTTCCGCCGACCCTATCAGATAACCATCGCCGCAGTGGTGCCGGTGTTGATCACCAACTGGCTAAATCGCTATCCGCAGCAGTTCGTACAGCAGCACACACAGCATATACGGCTAGACGGCGGGGCCGATACTCTTTTCGACATGACACATGCCATGGGGGACCAGGGCCGGAGGAAGGGCATGTCCTTCGCTCTACAGACGACGCTGCTATTCCTGCTCCCCGATGTCTTCGAAGTCGCTAGCAATCTCCGCGAGGCGAAGAGCAGCAGCATGGCCAAGAAGACGGCCTTTCTAGACACGCTGCGGAAGGCGCTGAGAAACAGGAACGAAGCCGCTGCCTACTCCTTCATCACCCTGCTGCGTGCTGCTCGCCATTTTGATGCGGAAGACGACTCTGCCCTTGTGAGCTTCGCCTTGGACATACAAGACGAGGTCAAGGACGCCGTTTTCCGACGCTCGCCTCTCAACGCGGAGAGTCCGCTTTTTGAACAGGACCTACTGACAGCAACTTTCGTCAGTCTGGCGCAACTGAATCTGGACGGCTGTGTCGACGCATTGGTGGAGTCGTGCCTGACCCCGACGGCGCCCCATTCTTTCAAAGCTGCCGTGGTGCAAGGCTGCGGCTACCTTGCCCGTCAAAGTGACTCGCAGAGATACGAGCGGCTTTTTTCTGCTGTCCTACCATACGTGTTAGATCAGCTCAAGGTTAGTGCTTCTGGATGAACCCCCCTGAAACGAAACCCGAATGGGGCTCTTCGCGCTTTTGAGACTGATCCCCCCCGGCTATAGGTCGCGGCCGGACAGGCGCTGGAGGTGTTAGCACTCGATACGGGGGCTCAGGATAGGGACCCCGAAGGCACCAAGATGATCTGTCTGATATTGGATTTCCTTGACGCTTCCCCCAAGTCACTCCTCGCGGAGAGAAATGTCGGCGACGGAAAGACGTCCAGCGGGATCCCTGGCTCTGAAGCCTTTGAAGCCTTTCTATCACTGATCCTATCCACCAATGCTACAATAAGGACACATGCTTCCCCCGTAACGAAGCGGCTATTCTCGGAACCGTGGGTGCTCGAGGAGCTCAGATCTCGAGGCTTATTGAAGTCTCGGGCAATCAGGAATAAGTTTTGGAGCCGGAGGTAGGCATTGATTCCAACCCCCTCCTCCCCCCCCTTTTCAATATCGGAGCACAATCTCTAATTTACGATACTAGTTGCCGAGTCCTTTCGCTTCTGTGCGATCGTGTCATATCGGGCGGGGGCAGCATGGCCGTTCGGGAAGTTTACGAGTATCTCAGTACTCGGGTCGCCTTGTTCTCATGCCTGCCAGTAAGTGCGCTGTGCGCTCCATGGCCATGGTTATGCGATTCTTCTTTTGTCTGACACCGTTGCTAGGAACTTGCCGAGGTTCCCGACATACCCGAGCTCGCAACAGTTGCGTCCAAATACGAGACGACTCTGCTTGTCGCATTATGCTCCCCTGACATCGAGACGTGCCAGATGGTCACCTCCTTGATCGCCAGGTCCATTGAAGCGAGTCCCCCGGATGCGCGTCGTGCGGAGGCTGGCAAGGTCCTGGCTCCCCTATACCGAAACCAGGGTATATTTGATGAACTTGCCTCCACCACATTTCGATTCACGGGGCTGGTTGCTTTCCAAAAGAGAATGCGCGGTCTTCTGAGAGGTTTACAGCACCCGACGGCTGGCATACTGGCCTCCTGGGACCATGCCTTTGAACGCTGGCTCCATCTCTCTCGCGAGGTGTCGAGTGCACCCGTCAACAGCGTCGAAGAGAAGACGTTTGCCGAATGGAGGAACCATTCCGGATTTCTCGCCTCTCTCGGTGGGATCTGTGTGACAAACCAAGCTGCCTTGCTCGAGGATCCGACTCTGGGCGGACTGAAATGGATTGACAAGCCCTCGGAGAGTCACGAGGAGGCACCCCTTAGTCGCTATTTGAAGCTCAGCATTCAACTGCTCGGTTGCGCCAATATTCGAGTGAGGGAAACAACCAGAGAGGTCCTTTCCAGTGACATATCCGCGGTCCTGTACCAACCTCTATTTAAAGCACTCGAGGCCGAGCTGGACGTCCTTTTTGATGGCGTCCTGGCACCGACTGACCAGGCCCACGATGTCGAGATCATATTTGCCGAGCAAGCCATTTCACTCCTGCGAGCCCTGGTGGAGCGACTTGATAGCCCTTCACATCTCGGCGCGGCGTCTTCGGTGCATCTGGGGGCTGTGACGTTGAGTTTTGTCAAGTTCATGGACGGCATGCCGGATACTGTGAATACATTACGGGTCAAGATCAAAGTCTGCCAGCTTTGCGAGGTTGTGAACAAGAGGAAGGAATATCTCAACCCCAGGGACGATGTCCGTATTCGAAACCACCTGCTGGAATACATCTTCGGCTGGATCGTACGCCCCTGGTCTCCTCACGCCGACGTCAATCCTCATCCCGCTACCCGGCACGACGAGTTCCAGCGAGTGCAGAAGGATCTTGACAAGGCCTGCCTGAAATCCTTGGCGGAGCTTACGTTTCGCCTGCCCTTGCAGCCGGGAGACGGTCAGACCGACGCCAGCACGAGCGAGTTGAAATCGAAGATGTTCCACACCTATTTCAGTCGATTCCTCTCACTGCTCAACCATGAGCCCCCCGAGGCTGGGAGAAACGACCACGGCCCGGCCATCTCGAGCCGTGACGAGGCCAAGTCTTCGTCGGAGCTCGCCATCACCATCCTGTCCAACATATTGAGCGCCAACATCGATGTGGGCCTGAAGCATTCCCTGAACATCGGGTACCACCAGAGCATTGAGATGAGAACAGCCTTCGTGAGAGTGCTCTGCAACATCCTGGTCCAGGGGACGGAGTTCAGTAACCTGACGGACTCGGCTGTGAGCGAGAAGTATGACGAGTTGCTCGAGGTACATGATGATCTATCTTTTGACCCAGTTCCAACTGTTTTCTGCGGCGTGGTATTCGCTAACGATCGCAACGGCAGCTCTTGACCAAAGACATGACACTAGTAGCTGCCGTGAGCATCGTGTGTCCGAGCAACGAAGTCGATGAGCTGTCGGTCTCGTTGCTCACCATATTCGAACACCGCAAAAAGAGCTTTGATCTTCTCGAGACCCTCATCAAACAGGAAATCGAAGAAACAGGCATGCCACGCCCCCTTTCCTTTCCTTTCCTTTCCTTTCCTCTCCTTTCCTTTCTTCTACCGTTCTATCTTCTCTTGTGACTAACTTGGCCTTACATTCCCGCGTGGGCCCGAATACAGAAAACGAATCCGAGATCCTACGTCGTACATGTGTTGCCACCAAGGTGTTGTCGATCTACGCCAAATGGAAGGGACAAGCATACCTGAAGGCCACTCTTCAAGAGGTGGTTGAGCGATTGATGCTTACATCGAAAGACCTGGGGCTCGAATTGGATCCGGGCCGTGTCGGTTCACCAGATGAACTCCAGAAGAACGCACTCCAGCTGCGGATTGTGGCCAAGCTCTTTATTGATGACATTTGTGCGTCGTCCGCCAGCATCCCTTCCTCTTTCCGGAAAATCTGCAGCATTGTAAGTAGGCCCTTTCCCCTTTCCCCCTTTCCCCCTTTCCCCCTTTTCCCCTTTCCGCACATAAATCCGTAAGCCTGCTCGGTTTCTGACCAGGATCAAAAGATTTCCACTGCGGTGCTGCCCAGGTTCCCGGAAGCCAAGTATACTGCTGTTGGGGCATTTATTTTCCTTCGCTTTTTCTGCCCGGCTATCGTCGCACCGGAAGTCGAGGGATTGCTCGACGCATCGCCATCCAGGGAGCTCCGCCGAGGGTTACTCCTGATCGCCAAAGTCATCCAAAGCCTAGCGAACAACGTCCTCTTCGGGGCCAAAGAACATTACATGTTTCCCTTGAATGATTTCCTCACTCAAAACATCTACCGTGTCACGACGTTTCTACGGGAGATATCCGTATGTCCACCAATGTCCCGTTGACTGTCCTAGCTAGGGGGTAGGTGTCAACGATTGCATGCCTTGTTAACATTCTTTCTTTCAAGGTGCCCCCGGAGAACTTCGATTATGGCAGTACCATGGAATGTTTCGATTTCGGTTCTTGCGTCGCCCTTCACCGCTTCCTCTATGACCACTGGGATCATGTCCGACAAAAGCTGGTCACGCAAGAGCGAAGGGACTATGTTCGGTCTCCGGCAGAGTCATCACGAGGCCGCTCGCCAGTTCTGGAGCCACTTCGAAACCTCATTACCAACCTCGGACCTCCCCCGCTGGCCGTGACCTGGAACCGACCACAGGTCTCCGCGAATCCCCCGTCGCTGTATTCGAGGTTTCAGGATTTCATGCTGCGGAATGCCTTCCGCGGTACCGAGTCCTTTCTGACAGCTAGGCCCGTCTATGATGGGGGCGAGAGCAAGGCAAGTAAAATACCCATATGAGGCCGTATCCAACTCTGCATTTTCACTGCGATACCCCCCCTGGCTTGCTCTAAGAATCTGAAACGAAAACAACAGGACTCTTTGCCCATAATCTGCATCATACTGCGCCATATCGATTCGGACAGCATTGACTATGATACCCTGCTGTTCTGTTTCCTCAAGGTACGTGGCGAGGATATTCTGTGCTCCCTTTTGTCTTTTCTGACCGGGCATCAGATCGCAAGTCGCTTATGGCACAGGCCGTTCGGCTTGCTCATCGACGCGACATGCTATCAGGCGCAGAATGAACCCCAAGACAACGTCCTCAAAAAGCTCGAACGGCTCACCCCGATAGAGCTTTCGCGAAATATGTCCAGAATCTACGTATATAACATGAACAATGCTTTCACGTAAGTGATCCCCTGAGGCTATTTTCACGTGAGAAGGTACGTGAGCTGAGACGTGCTGTCGCAGGAAATGTTTTCGAAGATTACTCCGTGTCTCGGTCAAGAGCGAGAGCAGTATCTTCCACCCCAAGAACGTCGAATATCACTTGATAGGGAGTCTCCAGGACCTCCAGACCCATTTCCACCTCAGTCAGCTGCATCTTCCAAAGGAAACCATCAGCGTTGTCACGGATACCCGGTTTGTCTACCAACCCGTCAGCCGAATTTCCAAGTTCAGAGGCCAGATTGAGGTTGTCATCAAAGTCGGCAACCAGTTCGTCCAAATCACTACGACCAACAAACAAGAAGTTGCCCCGGGATATCGACTCAACACAACCGTGAACGACATCTACCGGTTGGGAGAGGTGGACGAAGCTCCGACGTCGATGCAAACGGAGGACGACTCGGCCTTCGGCTTGCGGGTAGACAATGGCAAGATGGTCATGTGCTTCACGAGCCCGAAGAAGATGGACGTGCTTCAGTCCATACGGACTGCCAAGGCGAAATATGGCAAAGACAATAGGCTGCCGAAGCCGTACGAGAGACTGATTCGGCCTCAAGACGTCCCAGGAACACTGCTCAACCTCTCGCTTTCCAACTTATCCAGCAGTGATCACGTTTTGAGGAGGGCTTCTTATAACCTCCTGGGGGCATTGTGCAAGGCTTTTCGATTCAGCGCTGCGTCCCGGCTCATGTGCATGATAGGTTTGTCCATTACCATATTCCTTGACGTACGCCCCTGCTAACACGCCAGTCCAGATATTGCCGTGCCCGTGACCCCTGCACATTTCATCGTCAACGTCAGTCAGCAGCTGGCGCGGTCAGAACCGCAGCTGACCTTCGACTTCCTCACCGAATTCTTTGTTGGATGGGATAGCTTCGGCGATAAACAGAAACCGCTGAGCCTCGCGTACATGGCACCGTGGCTTCCGGGACTGCGTACTGCTGTTCTCACCAGCGACTCCGACGGGGACAAGGGGAAAGAGAAGATTGCTTCCCTATTTCGGAAGCTCATCGACATTGCCGTATCAGACCAGTTCCTGTCATACACCTTGGAACAGGTCGTCTGGCCGGCCATCTTCCTTGACGAAACCCTCCTGGAAATCTTCCTGGACGAGCTCATGAAAACGGCACTGGACTTCAATATGACGGAAGAAGCCCTGGATGCCCTCTCGTCTGTCGCCTCTAGCATCAACACCATCACGGTCCGCGCAAAAATCATCTCCCGACTACGAAAGGCGCTCAATCGGACGTCCCTCCGACCGACCAAGTATTTGCCCGACAATGTCGTGTGGCCAGAGATATGCATTCTCCTGCGTTTCTGCGTCTCGCTCTCCTTCGACAACGGCGTGCAGTCGCAACTCTACCTGCCCGAAATATTTCACATCGTCACCATATTGGGAAACACGGGTTCGTCGGATGTCCGGCTCCTCGTGCATCGCCTCCTTGTCAACACGGTCCACGCCGCATGTACCTCGTTCGCCCTGGATGAATCCAAACTCAACAGACTCCGATCCACTCTGGATCTTCTCAGCGAGCCCAGGAGCGATGTCTTCCTTGCGCCCGCCACCTCCCTCCGAGACACTGCCTCCATGTCTACCACACAAGATTCTGGCCCTGTTCTTGCCGCGACAGAGACGCTAGCTTCCTCTCTGTTTGAAGTCTGCACGCTGTGCGCTCCTTCCGTCGACATCTCCAATGCGTGGAGGTCGCGGTGGATGAGCCTAGTGGCCAGCACCGCTTTCCAGAACAACCCGGCAGTGCAGCCGAGGGCGTTCGCAGTCATGGGCTGCCTTGCTCGGGAAGGGGTGGACGACGACTTGCTGTACCAGGTCCTCGTTGCGCTGCGTAACAGTGTGGGCCGCTTGGGGGACGACGCCAATATCGACATGTTCATCTCCATCGTCACGTCTCTGTCGAAGATGATGTCGAAGCTGCCCTCGGCGTCAAGGTACGGCCTTCAGCTTTTCTGGCTGGCCATATCGCTCGTCCGCCTCGTGCCGCCGGCTCTGTTCAACTGCAGCGCCCAGTTCCTCGAGGCCGTGCTGACCAACATCAGCACCGTCAATGGCATGAAAGGCGAGAGCATGGCACGCCTGCTCGTGCAGGGCCGAAGTCAGTTGGAAGACGCAGCGTTGCCGCTGGACGACGTTTACGGGATCCATTTCACCCACGACAACTTCCACTTTGCCGTCTGTGCCTGCCTAACACGCGGTCTCGTGGATACCACGACGCGGCCGAGCGCCATGCGAGTCCTCTCCGCATTCCTGGAGATGGTGAATAGCCCGTCGAACGACGCGGGAAGGCCGTCTCCGAGGATTGTGTCCTCGCCGTACATGTCCTTGATACAGGCGAGGGCCGCTAACGACGAAGAATTACGGGACGCGCTCTGGCTAGCTGGCATTAACCCGGCGACGATTGGACCTGGTCTCAGCTTGCGGCGGAAGGTGCAGGATCTCGAACAGGTGAAAGACCGGGATCATCTCCTGAATACGGCCCTGGAACTCGTGGACTTTCAATACCTCGAGGATGCCATACAGGTCCGGACTCTGCAGTGGCTCACTTCACTGTCAACGGCACGACCGTCGGTTCTTGTCCCTCTGTGAGTTTTGAGCATTTATCATAGCATTGCATGCGCGTGGTCACCCGTTCAGGGCGACTGCTAACCGAAAGTTCAATTCAGATGTGGCCCCATCTCGTCCATATTGGAGGACACGCTCTTGCACTGCCAGAATGCATCGTCCCTCCAGGCAGCCCACGTCCTCCTTCAATGTCTCACATCCAACCCCAGCCTCAATACCGCGCTCGAGTCGCCAGGGATGCTCGACGACATCTTGGAGGAGATGGGCTTTGGCGGATTGTGGCGGTCCTGCTCTTTCGAGTCTTCTCAGCAGCAAGACAGGGAATGCTTCGCCTTGACAGAGAAACTTATCGAGGTACGGGAACCAAAATCTCGACCTTGGCCATACCAGATGTGAAGCACAAGCGAACTAACCAACTGCGTTTTAAAGCTCATTATCATGTGAGGAAGAGAGGAAGCGAGTGGTAGCCTGTGACGTTTATTCTACGTCGACAGTTCTCCATCTCTTTGCGCTCTCTGCGTGAAGCAAGGAACGTGGCAAATCTACCTACAATGTAAGTGTCTATTAGGTATGACACTCGAAGATCCTCAACGACATATCACTAGCATCTTAGAAAGGGAAAAGAAAAGGGAAAAGATAAGGGAAAAATAGGGGGGGCGGGTTTGCCCGGACGATGTACGGAGGTAGATTCGACCAGCTTACTCAGCATTGAAGGACAAGTCCACCATCCATCCATGAGCTAGCTCCATTATACCGACCCCGGCAAGGGGTCCAGTGTCCCCGTAATTAAACAGGGTCTTGATTTCTGTAGGCCAAGGTACAACGGACGCATCATGCATCATACGACTCGTCGCAAATTATTTATTCGTCCAACCATTAACTTATTCAGTACCAGTCAATTCAACCAACAAGCATATTTCTCCTTTCTTTTTCTCTTCATTTGTTTCCTTTTACCATTTCCATTTTTGGGAAGAAAAAGGAGAAAAAGGGAAAGGGAAAAGCAAAGGGAAACCCCCCTTGGCGTTACGTATGTCAATTGGCCCCTTACTCGACCAAGTCTCGTGGATACCTCCCCCATGTACACTAGTGTACTTTTGTCTCTTGACCCACTACTTCCTGGGCCGCTTACAGCTTACTGGCCCAGGAAACATGTCTTGTGGAGTCATGACCCCACCTTTGTAGCGGTGGAGTGCGTTTGTCAAATTGACTGCATGCCTGACAACGGGAAGAGGGAAGGAAAAAAAAAAAAAAAAAAAAAAGGGAGAGAGAGGAAGGCCGCCCCGTAGCTCTCGCATTGGAACTGTATTTGGTAATGACATGAACGTACCTTTGGAGAGAAACAGAAAAAAGTTGCCTTTTGCTTTGTTTTAGCTGCGATAGCTTCTCGATGGCCCGGTAATCAATCGACCCCAAAACACACCGACTCGAGGACAACTTGCTCGTTTCCACGACAGCGCCATCATTAAATAACCAAAAAATCATCAAAAATCATCAATTTACAACATTTGTATCTAAGAATCACCGATTATATGACTCCCGCTATTTTCGAAATGCCGTATAATACCCGGCGCAAGTCGCTCTCCCTGTCGTCACTTGGGATTCACGTCCCAGTCACTCACGCTGAACGAGCGGCGGCGGCAGCAGCAGCGGCAGCAGCAGCTGCTGCTGCTGCTGCTGCTTCTACCGGCGCCGCATCTCAAGGCCCCGATAAACCCATTTCCGGCTACTCCGCCCGTCCCGTTCCATCCGTCGCGTCGCCGACATGCCATCCAAACAAGAAGCAGAAGCGATCCCACAACAACAAAGACAGCAGAAGTCTGGCCACCCCTCCCGTCCATGCAGGCAGAGTGCGGCACCGGGAGGGTAATGTGGTAGTGAGCTTCGAGCACACGCCTCCGCCTTCTCCAAAAAGCCGGGACACGACGGTGGATGGCGAGAGACGTGAGCAAGTCGTCGGGAGGAGAATCGACCTGGAAGGCATCAACGACGAAATCGTTGGGGCTGTCATCGTACGGCTGGAAGATACGGCGAATAGACCGCATCTGATCAAGGAGCTTGCCGATGTTTTATCTCAGCAGCTCGTTAGCGTTCGACAGTGAGCCCTCTCCCTTCTGCCCCTTCGCGCACCGTGTTCCGCCTCGTTTCCAACTAACCCGGTTGATTTCAGTTCCGCCAATCCCTGCGCCATCGTGTCCTCTCGGCTCTCGTCGTATTTGAAGAGGACGTGCTGGAGTGCTCTAGCGCCCTGCCCGCTGGCGAAGGAACTCGAGCCATTGCATCCCCGCCGAACCTTCTACTACCTCACGACGCGGCCGCGCCTGCCGCTCCCCGCGCTTTACCAGAGCGTCCCTCGATCCGTCATCTCCCCATCAATATCCAGTTCCGAGTCGTCGTCTTCTGATGACGACAATGATGACCATATCGCGCGTCGGGAGCTCAGCCCTTCCCCCGAAGTTGATCTATCGCCGCCTCATTTCGATGACGCGGATGACGATGTTGTCATGCCGAGCACCCCGGTTGGCTCGTTGCCCAACACGATTCATGATCCGGAAGGCCAGCGGAATACCTCTCCACCCCTGGAGAAGGACGAGAGGGAGTTTACCCAGACGGCGGATGGACTGCAGAAGCGGAAACTCACGGGAGAAGTCCTGGCGGGTAGCAATGCAGAGCAGGGGCACTCGGAAGACCAGATCCGGGACGACATCTTTGATGATAGACAGGCTGGCATGGTCGGCACCACGGCATCGTTCAGCTTCATGACGAGTCCGGCTGTGCGCGCATGCTTCCCTCCGTCGAGTGCGAGGAAAGATCCCGAAGACAACAATTGGCTGAAACTCGGCAAGTTTTTCGAGTGGGATCACAGCCCGGAGGATATCGAACTCGACGAGCTAGACTGCTTGCTGGATGCGTGCTAAGAAAACAAAGGACAGAAGCCGAACGAGAAGAAAAAAGAAAAACGCATTCCGCGACCGGCGGATGGTTGGCGGAGTGTTATATGGAGCCGCCGTATGACGATGATACATGTTCTATTTTCATTTGATACGATATGCCACATAACCAGGGGGGGTATGGTTCTAAGTCGGTGTTGTACATCTTCTGGGAGGTCGATTAGGGGGATAGGAAACAAAAGGTAGGAGATGCAAAGCGACAAATGGCGTCCCAGGGTGCGGTGGATGGATGGGTGGGCATGATAGAAAGAAAGGCCGGGGGAAATGGAGAAACAAAACAAACCTCACTCAAAATTTGTTAATTTCGGTGTGGTTTTGCTGTCGCCGTTGTTATGTAGAAGAAGCAGCAGCAGCCAGTGAGCCAAATGGCCAACCAATTTCAAGTCAACTCTTAACATTATTTGCTCGTGTTGTGGCGGTAGAGGCGGTAGTGTTTGTGCCATGGATGCGGTCAACTGCCAGTTCCAACCAAACAGTTGTCCCCAGTTGTGTGATGAAGGGGCGTTCGACCCGGACAACCCGTAGGCCAGGTGTCTTCTCGGCGGCAGCCTCCACGATGCCGACGATGTCTCGGTTCCACCAGCAGCCGTACTTCTGGAAATGGGACGGGGCCGACCAGTCGAGCAGGGTGTTCACGATACCCCATCGCGCACGACCGTGCTCGATCAAGATGATCTTGCCGGTCCCGGGTTTGACCATGCCGGCCAGGTTCCGGATCACCTGTCCAGGATCCGCGACGCTGCAGAGCCCAAACGTCTGCACGACCGTGTCGTACTTTTCTTGGCCCCCTGTCAAGTCGGCGGCAGGGGGTGGTATGGTATGCTGTATGTCGCATTGGGCGAGCCTGAGTTTGCCGTCGAGGAACGAGAAGAACTTGAGCCCCTTTTTGTCTGCGCCCGTTCGCGGTTGCGTTGTGACGGCGGGGGTGACGCCGCGAAGCCCCGGAAGAGTACCGGGGAGCTTTTCGATGGCGACTTCAAGCATATCGGGGGAGACGTCCACCCCGGTGTAGGATAACATGGCCGGCGGCGATGTTGCTGTCTTGGAAACTGGCTCGCCGCCACGTCGGGATGATGGAAGGATCTTCCTCCAGTCGTAGAAGCTCATGTTTCGGCCCGTCCCCACAGCGACTTCGATGACGTGACCCGACACAGCTCGACCGAGGTCCTTGCGGAGTGAAGAAATGCCCATGGTTTTCTCCGACGCATCTAGGCATTGGTCAAACTGGCGCGCCGACTCCCGCGAGAACGCGGGTGGGCGTCCTGTGGGCGTAGCCTCATCTGCTGTTGACGATGACGATGTTGATGCTGATGACGACTGACGGGAGAGAGAGGACACCATCATGCTAAAGTAGACGCCGAAACCAAGTGCCACTAGCCCAGCCGCAAGCAAGGGGATTTTCCTCGCCCGAAATATGGCCTCGGCGGTGTCCGCGCCGCCCGATGATGTCGGCACATTTTTCTGCCTGACCCTGACCTCTCTATTAGTAGTGAACTGTACGGAAGAAAAGGACCCGGGACACATCTTCCGTTGCTAGACGAACTTGGAACCATGTTGGTTTATGGCATGTTGCTGAGCTCTGTGTGATTGAAGCCGAGATGGCGAAGCCCTGGAGGAATTGAACCTCCTTGATATTGAACTTCGATATGGGATCCCCCAGACTTTCAAACGTTCAAGTAAGGGACAAGACACAAGATTGTGCATTGTAGAACCAGAAAGAAACACCCCAGTCTATTTCATCGAGGAATAAAGCGTTCAAACAAATTTCTGATCGGCCGAGGGAAGCTCATATTCATACATAACTATGGAGTTGTCTTTGCGAGGCGGGAGGACAGTGAAGGGGACGGCGTTGACGGACCGGGTCACGTGATGGTAGAGCCCTGGGATTTTTTAGCACCTTACCAATTGTCAGAACACAAATAAGGTACGGAAGATTATGTATATATTTATCTAGGTAAGGTACCTTGAGTAAAGCTCGTAATAATTCACGGGGATATCTAACTATGAGGGAAAAACTAGGGGAAATAAGTATAGATATATAGGATCGAGGTACTCCACACGTCTGATATAATATGGTTTGTCACACCTCGATAAGGTGGCTATGGGCATCTGACATATTTCGTACCTCAAGGTAAAATGTCAATTACTCCTATACGAGTCCGTATACCACCATAAAACACTTCATGGACACTTTTCTCTAGATCCCTTGACCACGCTATTTATACATTAATCTACTTAGTCACTACACATTCATCCTTGTCCGCGCCAGCTTAGGAACCACCCAGTCCAAAACCATCTATAACCCAAATGGTCCGTTAACACCATCGCGAGAAAACGACTCCCAGAGCGATAACAAGGTAGACAGGAAAGGGCGAGAACCCATCAATTAGTGGGCATCCAGCTATCTCAAAGACCTCTCCTTCGGCACCAGCGAAGATAAAAGAGGGAGCGAATATCCATAGGGAAATTTAGTCTCTGAGGTTCTCAATTGCCCATCTCGCAGCTCAAGTGCGTTGCAGAATGGCATGGAACCTCTCGAGAACCTGAGTCCAAGTGCAAACCGTTAGCACAAGTCGCCAGCAGTGACAGAGGAGAAAGGGTAACGAACCTCTGGTGCAGCCTTCACAAAGGGAAGGTCGAAGAACATGTACTTCTCATTCTTGAGCAGTTCCAAGACGGTGATCATCAGACCCCATGGCTGGGGCCAGTATCCGATCAGCCTCTCCCACAGCACCCGCGTGATTTGCTGCCGAATCTCTGTTTCCTCCGGATCGTTCATGTCACGCCCAAAGATCTCAAGGAGAACTCTGCTAAAGTACGTCGTGTGGGCGTTGGGGAACCGCAGCTGATTGACCATGCTCACAATCAAATAATATCGAGGCTCGGGCGCAAGTTCATGGACCAGAAGAGAAATCGTGATGACGTCCGGAGATCGGGGATTGAACATGTCGCCGCCCTGTCCAGCCTGCTCCACGGCGTACTTGCCGATACAGAGAACCACTGCTTCAATGACAGGAAGATTGGCCCTGATCGGGACCAGACCGAACCCGGTCACACGGCCATCGTCCGACATCATCGCTCGAGAAATATGCGCCAGGCTGTCTTCCGAAGGGCCCGTTTGTAGCGCCTGGTCCACGGCATGCTGGATGCCGAAGTCTGCGAGCACAGACAGGATGTTCTCCACGGCGACCGGCGCCTCCCGCGCTTCTGCAAGTCGATCTGCCTGAAGACCGGGATACAGGGGGTCCGGCATCTTGGGGTTGGCTGCCGGGTTGGCGGCCAAGATCGCATTAATGAGCTGTTTGCAGTGCGGCGGCAGGCACATCGACAACTGATGGGAATACGCCGCGATGTACTCGGAAAAGTCATGTTGCAGAACCACCAGGAGCTTGAGCGTAGCCCGATACGCGTCACGAGCCACGCTGGTGGGCTCGGGAGATTTCAATTGCTCACCCACGAACTCGAGGAGAATGACGAGGAGTTTGTTGTAAGCAGCCCACCCCGCGCGCTGCTTCATCAGATTAGGAAGGAAAGCCCGGTGCTGGATGAGGGATAGCCAGCCGTAAACGAAACCAGGCAAGTGTAGGGGTCCAATGTCCGCTAGCCTTGATGCGAATCTCAGGAGCATATCAAAATGATCATTCTCTGGAATAAGTTCAGGGAGCGCATCGACCTCATGCAGTAGCACCGACAGCAGGCGATGGAAGACCCTCTGATTGAAATGCTCGGCGCGGTGCAGGTGGTGATGGGATAGAGTAAGAACCAGAAGCGCTAGAATCGAGTCAAGGAAGATCGGGGTACTGGTCGGATTGGTGCCGTTCTCTTCATGCAACTTGATGAGAACAGTGATGAACTTGGCGAGCGCGTCGGTCGCGAGGAAGGCATCCGTCACAGTCCCGGCTGTGTGCGCGACATGCTCGAACCTGTCGACCGACATATCGAGCGCGACTCTGATGAAGAGGAATAGATCGTCTTTGCTTCGCAAAACCCCGGCTGCCTTGATCTGCACGATAAAAAGCGGCGCAAAGTCTGCGGGAGCATTGGGGTTGTTGCACAGATGCATCCATTCATCGAACACGTACTCCATCTGGTCTTGCTGGTGTGTAGTGGCGCCGTCCACGGCCCCCGGTCGAACAATCCCCTGGTCCGAAAGTTTAGCCTTCAGCCGCTGCCCAACGGTCGACGTCGGATCATCGCGAATCCACGCCCATGCCGCGTCAAGACTCCGGACGAAATCGCCGTACAATGCCGACGGGCGGCTGCCAAGCAGAGCTAGGTCCAGCATCTGCTCCAGGAACTCCAAGGAGCCCTCCTTTCGCTGCTGCAATGTCTTGGCCATGGCCATGTCAATGTTCACCCAGTCCAGCAAGTCTGTCTTGAGCAGAGCCGCGAGAAGCGGCAAGCGAAGGAAGCTAGTGCCCGGCTGCTGCAAAAACAGCGACGCAACCCGGTTGTTGAGCGCGGGACCGGATATCTTTCTTAGCGTCTCCAGCACGTGAACCAGGCATTCAAGAGCCAGGTTGTCATCCACTTGGCTGAAAATGAGCTGAATGATCTGCTCCGCGGCGTATATGGCGAACTCCTCGGACGTCTGAGACGTCTTGATCATGTGTTGGACCAAGGCATCCACGACATCTAACAAGGGATGAGGCCTTGGAAGGTCGGCGAAGTGTTCCTCGCGAGACTCGGTCGCCACCCGCTGCAGCTCGATAAGAAGCTTCTGGACTCGCTCGAACAACGCTCGGCCATCCACCTGGAACGCAGGCGGTCTGCCGTTGGCCACGGCGGGAGCGTGGAGAGAGGTGTAAGCCTGCAAGTGCGAACTCGGCGGTTGGACAACGGGCGTTTCCGCTGGCGTGGGGATATTAGGCAACGAGCTAAACTGTTCGGACAGGACCTCATTGGCAATGGACCGAGTTGTGTCCGAAGCCGAAGGCGCATGGGCTGCTGTGATAGTCGTGCTGGTACGGGGTTGACGGGCGAAGTCTTCGTAGATCGCCATCTGCTCGGAATTGAGTCCACTGAGGCTCGGTGACAGCTTGAACGGGTTGGGTATTGTCCACGCCCATCGGCTGAGGGCAGGATCCACATAAGGCTCGTTCGGTCTCTGAGCCCGATGGCGGCGCCGGGCCTCCAGTTCCGGCTCGATCATATCTTCGATTTCCGGGACAGCCCGTTCCTCGGCCTGCTTTTCGATGATGCTGCAAGCGAGATCCAGATTGGAATTGACACACATGATGATTGTTCCCTCGGGCAGCCCCTGTGGCAGATCGTTGGAAAGATTGCGCATGTAGTTGGTGAAGTTGCCCCGCAGGGGTTCCTTGGATGTGACAAGGGCCAAGCTTCCGGCGGTCGCCTTCACCATGTTGATAGCGGACGTACGAATCCTGTTCTCGTCGGGCTCCGTGGCAAAGTCTTTGCGGATCATTTCGCGCGTGGAGATGGCAGCGATGGTGACGGACCGGTCGACCACAGGTTGTATGATGTCCTGAAGGGCCCGCGAGAGAGCACTGCGCACAATATCGTGTAGCCGTGTCGAAGAAACAACCATCTCATTGGTCGGAGGAATCTGTATCATCGGGCCTAGGTCAGGGATCGATGGAACAATGGCTTGTGGCGAAAGACCCGTGCCGACACCGGCCCCCATGCCATTGAGAGAAACCCGCTCGAAGGCCTCCAAACTGTCGTGGGCCAACGTGTCTACCTGGCTTTCAAGCCCAACCCGGTTCAGGATCTCACCCGAGGGCTTGATACTCTTATGATCAAGGCTGAGACCCTTGCAGAGGACCTCGATCTCGAACTTGAGATTGAGCTTGAGCTCGGCATGATGATACAGCTCAATGAGAAGGTGAATGATGTCCATGAGCCAGGGATTCGGGGGCCGGAAGACAGTGGAGAGTGCACCCTGTATAAGAACCTTGCAGACAAAAGGGAGGACGACTACCAGTCTCTTTGTGTCGTGTGCCTCGATGAGAAGCTCCTTGAAGGCAATGTTCTTATGCTTGATGGGCTTGTCTCTTGCCAAGGTGAGCAAACCGAGCCAACCGCCTAAATTTTTGAGATGTGAACGTTCCGTGGGACTGGAAACCGTAGCCTCCGAATCGAGCATACGAGCGACGCTCAGGTACGTTTCTCTGAGTACTTCCCACCAGAGAATCTTGTCGTCGAAGGACTTGACCAATTCCAAGTAAACCTGGTGGTAATTCGGCTGCATCTTGGCGCGTTCTGCGACCAAATGACTTGCAAACCATTGCTGATGGCGTTCGTCCAGCATATCCCGGAGTTCGATGCACATGGACTGCAGCGTCGTCTCCGTGAGGTTGTTCAGCACGAACTGGATCTTTCCCCGGGTCTCATCCGGTGGTTCTTCGAATTCAACGCCCGGGAATGGATCGTCTGCACTGATCGACGAGAAGGGCGCGGTTTGGCGTTCAGCAAGTCGGGACTCCTCTGGGTTCCCGTTGGCGGTAAGTTCGTGACTGAGAGACGGGCCTCTTGGGGAAGGGTCAACGCCGTTACGGGGTTGTGAATGCTCTGCTTCGTGCTCTCGAACCACATCTTCGGCTCTCTTCCAGGCTTCCGTCCCATGCAAGCCGGGAATTTGCAACAGCTGCTTGCAGAAGCCAGGCCATTCCTTGAATCGAGAAAACAGTTGCATGAGTGCCTGCAGACCGAATTTGTACATGGAGGCTTCTGGAGAATGGTCCCGGACGGCTTCAAGTATCATGCCGAGCCCTACTTTGAGAGGCAAGTCGGCAATGAGTTTATGCAAAATGATGCCTCCAAAAAGCACTGCTGTTGTCGCAAGCGCCTCGAGAGGATAATCCACGTAGTGCGAGTATTCGTCGAATAAGCCATGTATCATGCAGGCGAAGACATCCTGGTCGAGTGGATCGCGAGAGTGCTTGTATCGGCGGAGGATGTCGACAATATGCCGAACTTGAAGCTCGTCCCCGTACATCTTCTTGTAATGTTCCTCCATCTTGTTGTTCGCAGCTGGAGGAAGGGCATTCCCCTCCCGACCATTCGCATCTATGATGTCGTCGAAGCCCTCACCGTAATTGATCAGCCTCGGATACACCGTGATACATGAACGCTGGACATGGATCAGATCGGGGACCGGGGCTTTCGGCATGAACTCCTCCAGGGTTTGCAGAAGAACTGATACCGTCTTGACCTGCAGCGTCGTAGTCTTGGCGATAGGTTGTCCATCTGTCGGTGGGCGCTGATACTGAGACTCAAGACTCGTCTTGATCGCCAGGAACTGGTGAATCGAGCGAGCCACTTCATTCGCTCGATCGGATTGCTGGCGAGACAGCTGTACGAGATCCAGATATCCTTCGGCGTGTGCGAGGGCTGCGAGATCCAGGCCAAAGCCGCTTGTTAGAGAGACGAGATCATCGAGCCACTTGTGCTTCACCGCATGCTCGAAAACGAGCGGCAAGTCGGTTGGCTTGACAACGTGCGCGTCGATGAGCCTCTGCGTCACCCACTCTCTGTCCTTCTTCCACAAGCTGTCTAGAACGAAATCATAATCTGGGGATCTCTTGTAGAGAAAATTGTCGAAGAGGGAATTCAGAGTCTCCATAGCCATCGGAGGCCAAGGCTTGGGAACACCGAAAGCCGAGACAACAAAGATGTCCAAGTTGGGGACCACGACCTCTTGGAAGAGACGTTTCGCTTCGATGCTCTGGGAAGCATGTACCGAGTGCAGGGCCACGTGGAATACAGCGGCGAGGGCGGCGACCGAGACAAGAGGATGCTTTACCGCAAATGCAGCCCTCTCTTGGACCTCAGGAGGGCTGTCTTCATACGCGTCGAGAGTCAGAGTCGGGCGAAGACCGGGTATCGTGCTCGCATCAAGCTGGTCGGGGCTTAGAGAAGCAAAAGCACAGATAAACGAAAGCTGTGCCTCTGGGTTTTCCCAGTTTCCGCCCCAAAGTTGCTCAATGTTAAAAGTTACTGGGTCGTCGCGGGCAATGGGAAGAAGTGCATTGTAGAGGCGCAAGAACTGCGGCGAGGAAATCCGTGCCGACCGCTGATCAAAGTAAGACACAACGTCCTGCCACCTGAACGTAGCAGGAAGTACCCGGCGCAGAGCAGCAGTCAAGGTAGCTGGGTCGAATTGCGGAATTTGGCTGATTGCGGAGTAGGTAAGTGCAATAGACACCTGTTCTTCGTTTAATTGGACGTGATTGGGTCGGTTCTGCAGATACAAAAAGCAGGTGTCTTCGTCTCTGGTGAAGGCACCGCCAACTCGCTGCATGTAGAGAGCAAGAGCATTCGGGGGCTTGTCAGCAAGAACCCTGACGAGGTCCAAGGCGGCAAGTACTTCCGAAGGTGGAGGGACTTGATCTCCATTCCATCGCGCTTGGACTTTGTACGCGAGCTCTGCTTTGGACGCTGCATTAAAGTTCGGGGGCTGATGCTGGATGAATCGGTCGACAATAGCAGCGATGAAACTGTCCTCCAGATCGGCGTGATCCTCCACGTCCGGGCGGCCCAAGATGTTCACGAAGGAAGGGAAGTTGGTGGAGAGTATGGCATCAGCTAACGATGAGATTAACATTAGCAACAGAAAAAGGTGAACTACTCATATTCGACTGGTGAGTATTGAGCCACCCACCTTTGGTCTTCAAGTCAGACCTTGACCCAAGTTTGAAAGCTAGTGCCAGTATAGTCTTTTCGAGAGCATCGAGCTTGAAATGTTCCATGAAAGTCGAGAGATCGAAGTCACGAAATATGTCCTCAGTGCCCGTTTCGATGGACTCGGCTATCTTCGTGGCCTGGTGGATATCATGGGCGATCTTTCGCATTTCCGCGACAAGGAGATGATAGTTTCCAGGGTTGGAAACAGGCCTCGTCAAGGACGGGAAAATTTGGCCCGCATTGCCGGCAACGAGGCGCGTGAAGTATTTCGAGAAGACTTCCATGCCGTGATCATCGAGAAGCTAACGACCAGGCGACAGCTTAGCGAGAGCGAGCTCACGATGGAACGGATATTAGCCATGCACATACCTTTTTGAGTTGATCTACCTGGGCTTCCCGTTTTGCGTGGTCGTTATTCTCTTTGATGGTGCTTAAGAGAAGATAGACCTGAGCCACAACAATCTTGGTCAAGGGACTATTGCCGGTCGGGCTGTTTGTACTGGGGCTTGTGCCTGCACTCAATGGACCTGCTTGCGATGGGTTGGGCGAGTGGCCGATTCCAGTCTGCAAATTCTGTGCAGGATTTGGTGAGAAAGACCCCGCTCTTGAAGGCGGCACCATGGGGTTGGTAGTCTAGGGCAGGACTCGCGAGGCAGGCGGAGCGTCTGTTCGAAAATGAACAGAGCAGCTTCCCCGTTTGTAGCCAACCTGACCGAACTGGCTAAGCAGGGGACGGACAGAAACGAACCGCCGAAAACGAGGTTAGGCGCCTAAGTATGAGTATGGGATGGCTCGTGCAGCTGATCGGAGAGACGTATTTAGCGTAAGCAGATTCCGTTCGTGCAAAGGCGTTGCGACGCGTCGCTGGAGATGTCGGCACTTCGTTGTCCTGACCGAGGCACAGACAGGGCTAGCAGAGGTGGCTGAAGAATGTACGATCGATGTCAGCGAGCACAGTCTGTCGTCCTTCGACGCGTCAAGGTGATATGTCGCTCAGATAGAAAATGGACAGTGCTCCCTAAGAGAAAAGGGTCTTCTGGTGAGCTGTAACCCCACTATATTCGCAAGGTCGAAGTCGTCGTGATGTCTGGTGGGTGGAGAGGTGGTCAGAGGAAGGAGAAATTGGTCACCAGGGAAAGAGCCAGAGAGAGTTTGGAGGCCACGGCAGCTGGGGTAGACTACTTCTGTGGGTCAGGCTCGAGAGGTACTTCGTACGAAGTATTCGGACTGCCACTTATTAACTTGCGGAGGACTTACCTAGCATGTCCCTAGGGTACCCCGTGGAGTAGCTTGTGATATCACGTGACTATATCTCTACGTATAGGTACCTTATATCATCTGACAACTTTACGAAGTATCTTACCACATAAAATCAGCACCACGGATTTACTTTGCGACAGACTCAACCTACCACAAAGTACAGGATACTTTATAGTCAAGTTAGATACCCTACCTGAGGTAGGTACCTAGGTAGGGTGCTGGCAACGTCTTGGCCGCATAAGGTGCACAGATTTCTTTCCTGGTAGCCTAACCAAAAGTTTCTGTGCATTTTTGAGCACCCGAAGAGGTACGAGCATTCAACCGATAGATGGTGTGTCAATACCTTGCTAAGGCGTTGCGGTGGGAGGTTTGATGCATCACCTTCACAAGTGAACCTCCGAGAAAGTATTGTAAGTAATGCGAAATAGTACCAGGTAGGTATCAATACTTTCCGCGCTGCTGTGCTTGACGGGCTGGGATTTGCAGGGGTATACGGAGGTACGGAGGATGCCCAACTGCATGGTCATCACGTGTGTCTCTGTCCAATGTACAGTAATCATATCCACAGAAACTCGATTGTTGCTGTGGCAACGACGGTTCGTTAAGTGTAAATGCGATTACGATGCATCAGTACTTGCCAACCTAAAGTGTCTGTTCTTTCCCCATCTGTCATACTTCACGAGTCACCGTGTCTTAGAGCCCTTTATTCCGTCTATTGCATCTTTTAACTGCGCTGGCGCCACACAACACATTCCGAGATATCTGGCCGGCTTCTTCATTCCCGGAGCTGAGAACTTCCAACGCTCGTCAGTATGGCGGTTCTCTCAGCGGAAGGCCCAGCGATTTCTATGTCCTGTATGCGGCCTCCCCATCAATAATTTAGGGTTTGGGAGAAAGCTAACTTCCAAAGTTGCCAACAACTTCTGGGGCAAGGACGATGCTGGTGTTGGGCCCCTGTTGGAGCGTATGCAGGCAGCCAAACAGACGTGTGATGAGCTCAAGTCTTTTTACAGTGGTCCGTCTATATTGCCCTTTGATAAGCCTAACGTGGACTGACAGTTTTACCATAGCACGCGCCTCTCTAGAAGACGAATATGCGCGTAAAATACTCTCGTTGTGTCGCAAGCCGCTCGGATCGCAGGAGATGGGGAGTCTTAGAACATCGCTTGATACGGTTCGCGGCGAGCTCGAAGCCATGGGAAGACAACATCAGAGCATTGCCGCGCAGATGAAAACCGAGCTTGAGGAACCCCTTGCAGCATTTGCAGGAGGGATGAAGGAGCGTCGAAAGATAGTCCAAAACGGCATCGAAAAGCTTCTCAAGACGAAGATACAGCAGACACAACAGGTGAACAAGGTCAGTAATGGTAACTTCACAGTCATTTTTGGGGGCAGCCTCTAATCTTTGGTGCGAGACAGACACGCGATCGCTACGAGCAGGAATGCCTGAAGATCAAGGGGTACCTTGCCCAAGGCCATATGGTGATGGGTCAAGAGGAGCGAAAGAACAAAGCCAAGCTTGAGAAAACACAAATCAGCGTCGCCACATCAAACACGGAATACGAGCACGCCGTCAAAGCACTCGAGGACACGACGGTGAGATGGAACAGGGAATGGAAAGCGGCAGCAGACAAGTTCCAGGATCTGGAAGAGGAGCGCCTGGACTTCACAAAAAGCAGCTTGTGGCAGTTTGCAAACATCGCTTCCACTGTTTGTGTTAGCGACGATGCTTCGTGCGAAAAGATACGTCTCTCCCTGGAAAAGATGGACGTTGAAGACGACATCGCCAACTTCATCAACGAGAAAGGCACAGGGCAGGAAATTCCAGATCCGCCGAAGTATATTAACTTCTGTCGGGGAGACGTCGCCGACAGTCAATCGGAGGCATCTGAGGATGATAGCTACTCGGTTGCGCAGTTTCCCAGGAGCATCAATCCAGCATTCAGATCTTCCTCGCCCCAGCCGTCAACATACGAGTCTCACCATGACCCGAACTCCAGTCTCGCTCGGGACTTGGGCCATAGGGAGGCACCCCAACCCAGTCGAGACTCTGGCTTTGTTCCGAGAATGATGCCCCAACCGGCGGCGGGCGAACGAGAGACGTATCCATCGAGTCGAGAAGCCAGCGTTGCGCCGAGAATGATGCCACAACCAGCAGCCAGCCAGCGGGACTCGCACCAGTCCAGTCGAGAATCGAGTTTTACGCCCAGAATGATGCCACAGGTAGCAGCCGGTCAACGGGAGATGCAACAACAACAACCCCATCGAGAAGCCAATCTGGCGCCCAGAATGATGCCGCAAGTAGCAGCCGACCAACGGGAGGCGCACCAATCCAGTCGCGAAGCGAGTCTTACGCCGAGGATGATGCAACAACTACCGGCCAGCCAACGAGAGCCACAGCAGTACGGTCAAGAAGCCAGTCTTGCGCCGAGGATGATGCAACGGCCACCGACCGGTCAACGAGAGACACAACAATACGGCCAAGAAGCCAGTCTTGCGCCGAGGATGATGCAACAACCAGTGGCCAGCCAACGAGAGGCACAACAATACAGTCAAGACTCTATTAATGCGGCGAGAAAGATGCCTCAGTCAGAGGTCGGTCAACGACCCGGCTATGGAGATATGCCTCAACATCTGGCCCAGAGAAGACAGCCACAACCGCCACCCCCCACAATTCCCCCTACCAGCTCTCTGGCCCAGGTTCCTCACGATCCCTATCCTCTCGACGGCATGACAATGCTTTGCAGAACCGGACCACCTTCAGAACGCAGTTCTCAGGCTCCTTCGGCACGACCGTCGAGTCGAGATTCGCACAGCGATTACAGCAACCCCACGTCCATGTCTAGCCAAGAATTGCCAAGCGGAAAGGTTTCACCGGCTAAGCCAGATAAACAAGATCAGCCAGTCGAGGTGGTGCAGGAGAGGCGGGTTCTGAAGAAGAAGAGCAGTCTTTTTAAGAACAGTCCATTCCGCAGAAAGAGTTTCAAGGAAACCAACACAAGCGACTCCAGCTCAAACAGGAATACATGGCATGCCTCGTCGGTTGCAAGTCAAAGTACCCCGACTCGACGACCACAGTTATATTCTCAGCAGCAGGCATCGAGAAGCACTCCTAAGCGAGCCACGCCCAGCCCCGAGCCGATTGAGGCCAACGCCACCCTGGCCCTTAACGTCGGTCAAAATGTTTTCCCAGTCAGCAACCCAGATACTGAGGGGAAGCAGGAGGCCAACCCGGCAGAAGATATTGATGACACTGACCCTATCGCATTGGCCCTGGCCGAACTCAGGGGTGTCGAGAAAACCGGTAAACAGGCAGCGGGCAGGGTGTCCGCAGATCGGTATCACGGCATCGCAACGCCCGCTCCTAGCGCAGCCATTGAGCCACTCTCTCGACCAGTAGTGCCTGCCGTGGGAAGCAACAGCGCAGCGGGAGCGGGCCTAAGGGGGACCCCGCCTCCATTATATGATAACCAGGTGCAGAGATTGGGCGTCCCGCCCCAGGCAGTGACAGCCAAGGCGATGAAAGAGACGTCGCGGAAATTTGCGGACCAGACACGAAACATTTTTGGCTCTGGGAATCCGGGAGGAGCTGGGACGCAGCCGAGTTCTTCAGCATCTCGGCCGGGTACCAGGGGAAGTGATCGTCCTAGGGCAGCTTCGCCTGCTCTCACGCGTAGCGTCTCACCGAGACCTGCCCCGAGGGAAGATGTGCGAAGCAGTCACCGGTCTGCTTCTCCTAACCCACACCCCGGGACCACGAGGTCGTCGAGACCGAGTTATGAGAGATCGCCCAGGCAGAGCTTTGTCCGCCAGAGCCCGGCTAGTGACATGCCTAGGGGCGCTTCACCTTCACCTTACGGCGAATATGGAAGATCCAACGGGGGGGTCAGCCCAGCCGACATGGCCGTTCAGCTAGCCCCGGTCGGGGATGATTTTTATGGTTCACAACGCGGCCGAGCTGCCAGCCGCCCAGGGACAAGCATGAGCAATCGAGCCATGGGCCTGTACGACGGTGGCATCCCGGCACAAAGTGGATCCAGGCAACGCAGCAAGAGTGTTGCCGATCCATCCCGACAGTATACGCGAGACGGCCGTCCTATTTTGCATTTTGGTAAGATCCCTTCAATTCCCTCCCCCCTTTTGCCTTCATCTGAACGCCCCGTGTTAATGACAGCGGACAGCGAGAGCGATGTACATGTACCAAGCTGCTATACCTGAGGAGCTTGGTTTCTCCAAAGGGGACATACTTGCTGTGTTGAGGCATCAAGACGACGGGTGGTGGGAGGCTGAGATACAAGGAGGCAATGGACGCATTGGGCTGGTTCCGAGCAATTACCTGCAACCTTGCTGAGTGGGACTTTTCACTTTGTGTATGAAGAATAAGACTGGGTGATTTATTATATATGTAGAATCTGGCGAAGAATCAGTAGCGAGTTGTTACCAGGTAAGGTACGTATGGAAATAGGCAAACAAGGGAATTCTGAGTACCCGTAATTTGGAGCTTTGGATAAGGTACCTGAGGTCAAGAGACCTGACCGTGAGGCTCGCTATACTACTTCGTTCTCCGTACACCACACAGTACGACGGCGCCTCCGTACGGAGGGAGGTACGTCGACCATTTATAGGGGTCCGGTACTAATCCACCGTACATACTCATGGAGCTATATACTGTGTAGTTCACAGGCCAGCCGTACCCAGAATGGTCGGCCGGGTTACACTTGGAACGTCATCGGTTATCAACCAGGGGAGCCCCATCTCACCTCATACCAAATACCAATATTTCGACATAACAACTAAGGTAGACTAATCAGTCCCACGAGTTAATGTGGTTTCTTAATAACCGCAGATGGGTGCAGACCAGTAGTACCACCTTCCATACGAGTACTCGCTAATTAGTACGGAGTACATCGCGCCCGTGAAGGGTCGAGGTAGGTTTGGAAGGGAACGCGGGAGAACTGATCTTTCGTGTTTCAATCAGCTGAACCCCCAGCATAGGTCCTCTGATCTCAATGCCATTATAGACCGAGGCCTCTCCCTCTCTACTGTATTCGTCAGTTAGCGCGCTTCCGCCTCGGCAGCTGTCTTGGTTCGCGTCGCCCTCCCCTGAATCAAACACGGTACCAGACCGGACCGGCATGCAAGGGTTGAGAACTTGAGATACGCTCTCTGATACGACGGACGAGATTCTCGTCCAGCTGGTTATATCCACGAGTATTACCGGAAACAAAGAAACAGAAGCAATCAACGGCGGCCATTACCGCCTGGGTGAACGAATTCAAAATGGTATACTTGATGTTCTCATTTTGCCATTTAATGCAAACCAGTCATTGACGATGTTGCCTAGGAGTCCGCCGAGATGATGTATCGTGCTGCCACCTCTAAGAGCATGCATCGTATACTCATATATATCAGCCTCCTTCTGGCAGCATCAATTCCTCTGCTGGTTGTGGCCATCATATCTACTCTGTCATTCTACCACAACTATCTACCAGACCAGGTGTTTTCCACCCCAGTGTACCTCCAATACGGGTGAGTAAAGCATGACAGCTTCCCTGGCGATAGCCATGTTCGAATGGTTCATTCTGATCTGAGTCTTATCATGTGCACCTGCAGTATTGGTGCCCATCCGTTTGGCACCGCATCCCTGACTGAGGCCAATTTGAAAACGCATCAAGCATATGATATCGCCGTGGTTTTGAGCGTGCCTCAATCCCCCGCCAACGCTGACCGAGGGAACTTCATGGTCACTCTCCACCTCCTTGGGCCGGGATTGCCATCGTCTGGCAACGAACTACATTACCTCCTGGACCTGGAGAGCCTGCATCGCGAAAAGAAGATACGGTTTAGTTCCAGTCGTCCTGCTTTGCTGCCGTATCGAGATCCTCTCGTGTCACTAGCGTCGCGCCTCCTTTTCCTGGGCTACCATCTACTGGTGCCCGAGTCCCAAGCGTTGACCGTGAGGATACCAATGGGCGAGCAGGTAGAACTGGCTACGCAATATTCCGAGATGCCAGTGTTGGCGTACCTAGAGATCAATGCCGGGCAAATTCTCCAGACCTACGATGCTTCGATCGTCATGACCGCCCAGCTGCGCGGCTTGCGCTGGTTGATGTACCAATACCGACTTCCCGTTTTCATCTTAGCCACTCTCCTCTTTTGGGCGGCTGAAATGTTATTCATGATTGCAGCATGGGCGACATGGTCCGCCAGGGCAAGCGCCTCGTCTGGTACACAGACGAGAGGATCTGCATCACCAGAGACTGCCGCAGCTGTTAAGCGCGACGAGGCAGGCTTGGATGAGTTTTCTAGCACGGCGACAACGACTTTGCCGGCATATAGCATTCGGGAAAACCCAGAGCACGAGTTGCATAACCGCGAATGGGCACCGGATAATGAACAGGATCATGCCTCACCTGCCCGTCCCGGGGGTGGTGTCGATGAACTCGAAAGCGATGTGCGGTGGGTTAGGGATGATATTGGCGTTGGCAAGGGCGCAAGCGATATGGGGAGTGTACGGCGTCGGTCATCCCATCGTCGGCTGACGTGACAGTGAGACGACGAGGCTCCGCACGTGTGCCGTTGACGTGGAACCTGGGCTCATCCGCAGGACATATACCGAAAGCGAAAGTTTATATTCCGAGCGGTATAGTGCACTTCGAAGGGCTAGAGACGGGACCCCGACATGAGAGGCATGTGACTTAAGTAGGAAATTCGAATGGCAGTTAGCCCCGGCCATTAAGGAGTACTGTACGTAAAGGAGGCCGGGGGAAGGTAGGAAAACGGGAAAACGGGCATACAGGAATACGGGAATACGACTCGAAGAAAGACATTCTGGACTCTCCAACGGTGCGGTGCAACATGAAAAGACATCGGTTGGGTTAGGTATGGTTTTTGACAATGTGACCATAGTTTAATAGTCTGACCACCCGCACCCTACTCAATAATAAATAACAATCCTAGGTGCATCCCGTATCGATGGCACGACGGCATAGGACGACCAGGGGAGTATGCCGTCATCAACACGGGCTTGCTACCCTATTCCAAGCCTCTTTTCCGTCGAGCAATAAATAAAAGGTACGTCTGATGCCTGAATCCCCAGCCTGGGAGACAAGATTAGGTTCCGCAACTGTTAGAGATACCCTCACCACGTCCTTAGCAAAGACCATCTATCGCCCAGCGACCATACATATATTCTTTCAAGGGGTAGGCAAGTTAAGCACTCTGATATTTCGGGTAAGCACCTTAGTCAACTTAAATGAAAGCCAATCTTATTCTTATGTTGTAGTTGAACATGAGTTAACTCAAGGTACCTTATGGATGCTAAGGTACGATCTTACGGCTACCTCTTTGGCTTTGTCCTGTATCTTCGGAAGTAGCCGTGATGTATCCAGGTACGGGTATACCGAATTTTTATGGCAGCTGCCTTTTTTTCTCTGCGGCAACAAGCCCACCACCCTGGCCTCGGTCGTACCTGAGTACCCTGGGTCCGAGCACTTAATTACCTAATGTATCTGATGTGGTAGGTGGTCAGCCTCGATTATTTCCTAAACAGCAGCTTGTGACGGTGTGTATCCATCCACGACAGCCAACTCGCATGGTGGTTGTTCCCATTCTGCCCGACGTCTTCAACACACCTATTCACGCACTCCTTGATCACCATGCGTAGCTTTATTGCTTCCCTCTAACCTCACATTCCCCAGGCACTTGCTGTTGGTCAGTTGGACCATAGCAAATTCTTTGTCATTGTCAGTGCGAGACCCCGCTCCTCCTGATGCCTCCCCCCGAATCCCCATGTCTCCAAGCTGACCGCTAACTTTGCGAGATAAGATTTTGTCCTGCCACTGAGTCCCAAACACACGGCTTTGAGAAGCCGTGACCCTCCTCCCGCCAGAGAAGCGACGGCTCCCTTTTACTCCCCACTGCCGAACACAAATACTTTTTTCGTCTCGTCACCAGCATTCTAGCCGGTTACAAGACCACACTAGCTACACTTCCAGGTTCCCAATATCATCGACAGCACGGGGTGACTGGCCTCCTAGAAAGTTTATACTTCAGTTTTCGCCATGCCTTGCTTTAAGGGAATCGCTGTTAGCATTCACGCAAATGGCGCACCTCTCTCCGAGTATGGCGTACAGAGGCAGTCCCGCCTATCGAGGATCAGCACCTACATCCCTGTGCCTCAACCACAAGTTGATCCCGAGACGAACAAGCCTGAGCCCGCAAAATTTGCCATCTCCATAACGTTGCTGACTCCCGGATTGCCGATTCCGTACTCGACGCCAAAGCCAACCGAGGACAACCCGTATCCGAAACCTCAGTTCGTCGGCGGCCTTCCAACTACGCCGTCAGGACATAATAGGAGTGCCGGGGTAGTGAACCCTTATATCCCCATGACTAATTCGGAAAATGAAACGATCGCGGCGTATATATATTTCGATGGGAGGTCTAAGGAGGAAGTCGCTACCCTCCTACGCCCTGGCGAAGAAACCTGGGTCAATAGCCGATGGGTTCAGGTTCCCCCTGCAGAAGGCGGAGGCCTGGCTGAGCGCGAATTTTTGTTCCGAGAAGTAGGCTTGGAGCGATGGCTGAACGGCCTCGACCTTCAGGGAAGTAATGTGGCGGAGAGGCTTGAGAAACGTCGGCAGAAATTCGAGAAGCGCCGCAGGCGAGAAAGAAGCGGCACAGGAACATCTGTTTTCAAGCAGGAAGAGAAGGATTCTGGGACCCGGGACACATTAAGATATGGTGCTGACGACGGCTCTCCTGTGGAGGCCGTCGTTGACGATATCACGTCGGGCTCGGATTCCGATGACGAACCACCCGAAGCGACAGGACAGATCAAAGTCCTCATGTTCCGCGTACTGGCTTCTGGCGAGATTAAGAAGGGAGAGTATTCACCACAGTTCGATGCACATGACGATGATGACGATGCCAATCGAGGTGGCATCAACGGCGGTGTGGAGGCCGATGTGGAACATACCACCAGCTTTGCCAAGCCAAAGTCTCTCGACCCGAAGACCATCAGTACTCAGACTGTGACTGGCATTGATGGCCCAGAAAGACCTTACGCAGCGTTCACCTTCTTCTACCGGGGAGAGAGTGAGTTGTCCCCTCCAACACTGGGCGTTCACAATCCATACGATGCTGACCAGACATGCAGGGCAACTACAGAAGATTGGTGTCCTTTCTTCCTCCAAGGCGGTTCAGGTCGCGTCCAGCTCGGCAAAGCGACGGTCCGGACAACTTGATTTCTCGCACCTGGGTCCCTTGAAAACAACGGGCACTGTGGGATTTTCGGCGTTCCGCGACCAGGATACAGAAGCTGCGAGACGGCGTAAGGCCCGGAAGAAGAGCACGGGGAACGTTGGGACTGCCCTCAATGACAGCGAGGATGATGACGATGACAGCGACGGCCTTGGTAATGTGGAGGATGTTGACGAAAGGGACTTCACCCAGAAGCTACCGGCCGAGGAGGCGCAGTCTCACGGCGAACTTGCCGATGGCGTGAACCGCATTCATGTGAGTTGCTCGTCTGTTTCTGGCAGGGCCAGCCCCATGCTAACGAGGGGGCGACTGTAGCTGAAGAGAGCGCACTCTGGTGATCCCGGCACCAACAGCCCGCCAACCTTGGCCTCTACAACTAGCAATCTCGACCCTGCGACTGCTGAACAAGCGGCCTCGACTGCAGCTGCATCGGCGCTTGCTTCAGAGTCTTCACTTCAGGACTCGGTCTTTGGAAGCCCCATAAAGAAACATCGGCCTAGCATCTCCGGCCAGGGTATTGACTCCGCGGCTTCACGCAGCGCGACTACGGCTCTGGATGCAGCCGTTTCACATGCCAACGCCCCTGCGTCCACGTGGTCTACGCAGCCGGTCAATGAGCCGCGGACAGCGAATGTAGCGGAAGCGGAGGAGGAGGAGCTGTAATCCGTCCGCCCTGTCTATATTCAGACGAATAGCGAGTGTGTTTCCGGCCCGGATACCTGGATTGCAAGGGAGTAAAATGATACTAGGGCCTGTCTTTTTCTTTCGCGACCAACTACCTTAGAGCCTATCTGGCTAAGCATTCAATCATTGTCGTCAGAGACGTGAGGTTCTGGACATGGTCTGTTTCGTACGTTTCTAGAATGTCTTGTGAAGCCCCTATCTGGACGTTGAATTGAAGTTGACACGCTAGTATCCCGGATACGAAACGTGGTGTGGGTTAGGCCGTCTTGGCTGTGATAAAAGAAAGGGTGAGACGAACCACGCGACGATCAACCGACTGGTTGGGGACCCCGTGCTTCAGCGCTTCAACACTGGCAAAAGATGCTGGGACAGACTCACGCACATACCTCTCTGGGGGTGTTTCACATCTGCTGCGAAACGAAAGGGTTCATACGTGGTTGGCGATGCTGTCTCCCCCATCTACTCCTTTCTCGCAATCCTGGTCGAACACTCGGAGCTAAACTGTTCGATGTTTTATTGCTGAACCACTGCCTTTTAAAAGCCTCGAGTACCCAGCGACCGCTTGCCATTAGACGCTTCCTATTTTACAATATCGTAACGTTGAATGAAGCCTTCCTACTCCCCGTCCTCAGCTCCGCCTTCGTAAAAACCGTACTACAGACGTCATCAACATCGAGACGACGGCTACTGTATTCTGTACACTGACTGTTGTGCTCTCTGTCTCTGTCTCTGTCTCTGTCTCTGTCTCTCTCCCTCTCCATCTCCCTCCCTTCTCATTCTCCATAATTACAAAGTGCCTCCTTGGCCTACCATGACATACCCAAATGGTGAGCATTATCTGCCCACGTTATCGTGTCGTCGGTTGCTGATAAATGCCTTCATGTCATAGACGACGAGTTCCTCTATGCGTTGAGTTCGAACCAAGCATGGGCGAGCTATAAGTCTCATCAGAACCCAGCATTCTTTAAGACATTGACCAATGAGCATGCGCCTTCCATCCGTATGGTCCCCCCTTCTTCCCCCGCAGCAGACCTACGCCTGTTATCCTTATATATTCTGTCTCGCGTTGGGATGCCTCCGCTAATATCACGCCGTGTCACTCTCAGTCTGGATTGGGTGCGCCGACTCCCGTGTGCCCGAGACAACGATCCTCGGCCTCCCACCTGGTGCCGTCTTCGTCCACCGAAATTTCGCAAACATCATCTCACCCACAGACATCAACACAGCGGCAGTGATCGAGCATGCCGTAGTCAACTTGAAAGTCAAGCACATCATCCTCTGCGGTCACTCAGCATGCGATGGTGCTCGCGCGACCCTCACTGATAGTCGAGCGGGAGGCGTACTCGAAACGTGGCTCACATCTCTCAGGGTCGTCCGGGCACAACTTGCGTCCCAGTTGGCGACTATCAGAGACGACCACACCAAGGAGATTATGATTGCAGAGAAGAACGTCGAGGTTGGCGTGGCCGTTCTGATGGCAAATAGCACCGTCCAGGAACATATCAAGAGCAGAGGATTGGAAGTTCACGGCTGCTTTTTTGATATATCAAGCGGTCGAATTCGCGACCTCGGCCTTGGGACAAGAATGTCCACCCGGAGAGCACCCAGTACGAACGGCACAGCCGAGACTGTCCGTGGAAAGCATGCTCAGTTGGTGTTCAGGGAAGGTGGTGTTGCTGGCATGGAAGCTCGATAAATCGAACAGCTTTGTCTCCAGACTCCGGATGAGTACAAAGTAGGACCAAGACCGGATGGTCAAGCGGTGGCCAAACGTCTCTCTGCTCTACTACCCCGACTTAAGTCGACAGGCCCGAGCTAGGGAAGCTCGTATGTAAATCCATAGATAGTAAGGGGCATTGGAATATATGCCCGCCAACGATTGCAGGAGAATCGTCAGTTTAGCTACAACTGCTACCAAATGACATATGATTTATGACGTTAAACCTCGTTTATTCAGTTCAGAGGTTCATATATTCGTGTTTTGGCCCTCCGGAGAACCCCCTTATTCTCTAGGCCAAACAAAGCCATTGTCATCAAGACAGCCTGCAGGACCACGTGGTTCTTACAGAACAAGCTGTGGCCTCCCTGCCTTGCTCGCCTTGTTGTGGAGCATCCATTACTGGCGATGCTCTGCAACAGGGAACAGTAGTTTACGCGTCTTCGCGTCTGTACGAGAGTCTCTTATTGTTTACTTAATTGCCTCCTGACCTTAACAGTTCGACACTACCTAGGTCTCAAGCCGAGGTAGTCGCAAGTTGCAACAGATCACAGAACCTCCGAGTCGCAAAATTCACTCTGCGCCGTGATAACGTGACAGACTGTTCACGCAGGAGCGAGGAGCACTGTCAGCTTCACCCGCTTAGCTGCGCAAGTCAACTGACCGACGGAATGTCGCATTATGTATCACGGATACGCGGGTGTCTCAGAAGCTACGTAACCTAGTTCATGCTCCGTTTACCTAACCGGGTCGCCTCGCCGTGACAGCGTAGCCCGCATGAGAGAGTGCTCACCGCTTCCGGGCCCCGGAGCTTGTCGCCAACGTCTTAAGTCCCCACCCCCCTCTCACGACTCTAGCCGAAAATAAGCTTGAAGATGTCGTTGAAGACGAAATAGCCGCCTGATGGGTCTCGCATGAGTTGGAAGGCTTGCGTAAAGTTCATGGGTCGTTGTTCCTCGTCCACCTAAGGCAGCTGAAGTCAGCGAAGAGTACTCGCAGTGGTAGAAACGTCTCCTTGCTGGATCACTCACCAGTAGCGCCCCGGTAATCAGGATCAGAATACCACCCTCCACGGTGGGCTGAGAGTCTAGGGTCGAGACCTGGTGCTTGACCTTCTCAAAAGGGAGAGACTGTAGCCACGGAGGAACATTTAGTAATCCACGGACGCCGAATAAGTTACGTTGATTGTAAAAAATAATTGGGCGACAAGGACGCCAATGTTGTGGAACATCGAAGAACAAACCACGGGTAAAGGGGGTAAGACGAACCGAAAGCTTCTCGACGATAGGACCCGCACCAAGAACGGAGCCGCTCTCGAAAGTAAGCATAGATTGCTCGCGCTGTGGTACAATGAAGTATCAGCATCATACTTGAGAATGGTAGATAGGAGGAATCGGGAACCAAGGGTATCGATCTCTTACATAAAGGCTGGCAAGCCCCTTGCGGTCCGAGTCGAATTGGTTATAGTAGAACTCGACGAACTGCCCTGAAAACACGGTGACGTTCAGAGACAACAATCCACAGAACGGTATCTCTATCTGATCAAAGGCGTAGCTTGGAACCTACTCGCAATCTCACTGAAATCGTCTATGCCGAGCATCGTTAGCAATCATTGTTGCCAAGAGAAATAAATGATGGGGAAAAAAGGGGGAGGAGCTGTGATCATCTTACTGGCTGCCATGGTGGCTATAGGTTTCGGCAACGGATAGAAAATGCGATCAAAAAAGATAGAAGTTCTCTTGGACTTGCGTAAAAGCTCTGACACCTGGCTGGGTGAGAGTAGGGTTGCGATGGCAAAATATTGCTGCGTCAAGTTGTCTTATGGTAGAAGGAGGGGTTTGTGATGGGGACTTTAGGAAGTTCTTCATATGTCTGCGCGGGGTTCAAGAGTGGGGTGGGGTGATACAGACGGGCGCGTTCCAGGTAACGACGTACAGAGCGTGGCACGGGCGTCCCAGATAATACTTCCCACATCAAAATGCACTAGGTAGAGCTCCGACATCGAGAAGCCCACTTTACTCTACACCGTATGTATTTATTCAATATACAGGGTAAGAAAATACATTCAGCAATAAAAAGTACTCGCGAACGGATATTACATTATGCTTATTACGAACATACCTATTTAGGACGGCACAGACTCTAAGAAATTTTTCATGGACATGGAAGCTCACGTCTCCGTACACGATTTCTCTTCCATCCGAAAAGAAGCGGTTTGAAGTCCACATCAATCAGGTTCGTACATTACTGTTTCCCTATCCTTTTCCTTCCTACACACCATGATGACATTCTCTTCTTATACGATCTGAATTACTATGTGGATCACATTTACATTCAAGCTCAACAGTCTGATACGACTTTTTTTCTCTTGCTTCTTTTCGTGACTTTTCGCACAAAGATGCATAGCTAACTCGCCTTTTTCAGTTGTATAGCTTCCATCCTATTTCTGCGCAGTGTCTCCATTGATCTTACAAAGTAGATGGAGTATCTATGCTATACTCATATTTCCAGAACATGTACAGGATCGAGCTCGGGCACTCGCTCACATTTTCATGCTGCGGGCGAGGCAGATATATGTTTGCCTAGCCTTAGTCAGGTATTGCTATATAGCACTTAATATAAACCGTTGGACGCATATCACTGGCCGAACGATGTTTTAATTTTTCATTCAGCCTACCACTGATCAGGCATCATGCGCTGGCTACAAAGTAGTTCCGGCCTCACTCCCGGGTGGAGGGTTTAATACATAGACATAATAGCCTGTTCTTAATATTCTCTGATTTAAGTACGGTATTGTCCCTCCAGGACACAACAGACAACATCGACGAGGTAATAGAGTGCAGGTCCCCAGAAGCATTGCGATGTCATATACGAGGTAGCACGATGAGTCCGAGAGGTATGAACTTCCGAAAAAAAGTGGAAGAAAAAAAATCACAGGTATCATAGCATAGACCTTTACTCCTAATTGACCTCTACCAACTTTTGCTGACCATATCCGCAGAAAGAGAGATGTAGAGAACCTAGACCAGCATCATCATATAGGCTGAAGGAGTCACTCCGAGATTAGCCATGCACATATTCATAATCGTTTTTTTAGACCTTGATGGCAGCTTCAAGGGCCTTCCTCTTCTTCTCCATGCGGTCCTGTGCCTTGGATCCCATGATGCCACCACCCCACTGCTTCCTGGTCTGCTCAGTATTCTCCAGATAGCCCTCCTTGACGGCCGAGATGAGCTTCGACAGCTCGTTCTTGTCCTCGGAGCGGACCTCGGTCAGAGCCAGAACGGCGGCAGTCTGGGCCAGCTGTTAGTGGGCATTTCATCCAGAATAATACGGGTAACTTGCCTTCTTGTGAACAACGGTTCCCAGCCTAGCCTTGCCCTTGATGATGGCATAAGGAATGCCCATCTTGCGGCAGAGAGCAGGGAGGAAGATGACCAACTCAATGGGGTCGACGTCGTTGGGGATGAGGACAAGCGATGCCTTCTTGTTCTCAATGAGGCCAACAACGTGGTTCAGGCCGTACTTGACGGTGTAGGGCTTCTTGCTGACATCCTCCTTCTTCTTGCCCTCCTTGACAGCGGTGGCTTCCTTCAGCAGGCGCTCCTTCTTCTCGGCCTTGGTCTCCGGCCGGTACTTGTTGAGGAGCTTGAAAGCCTGGGCGGCGGTGTTGCGGTCGAGAACGTGCTGGAACTGCGCAATTGCGGGGGGGACCTTGAGGCGCATACGGAGGATCTTCCTCTGGCGCTGAAGGCGGACATATTCAGGCCACTTCACCATGCGGGACAGGTCACGGCGGGGCTGGATGTCCTGGCCGATGCCGAAGTTGCGGGGCCGCCTCTCGAGAAGAGGGTTCTGGCGTAGAACATGTCAGCGCTTAAAGGGCACGACATGACTGGGAATGGAGATGGGACCTACCTTGGGAGCCTTCTTGCCCGCCTTTCCCTGAGGGAAAGGGGCCGGGGCCACCTTCTTACCGGACTTGGGAGGCTGTCATTGAGAAAGAAAGACATCAGCTAACTGACCAAATGTCGTAATGTCTTTCCTGAACTCTAAAGAGACGGCCGTGGGCAATGGAATTGCACCACAGACGCCGTCTCCAGCCAAAGTGTCACCTCACCAGGGCAGGATGGATGGCCATCCAGACCCGTTGGAGGGACGAGAACGTCAACATCGCATGTGCTTTCGCCACTACGAATGTTGATTGAGAATAGCTTTCCGAGTGCATTATGGAGTGGAACTCCGCATTCGCATGATCTCAACTTACCATCGTGGATGTCGAGGTTGCTGTCGATGGTGGGAAAGGTGGTGGTTGTGCGAGGGAGGTCGAAAATCCACGGACGTTTTGGGCTGGTTGGCAGATATTCAAGAAGTAAAGTTAAAAAAAAGTTGTGTGCGCCGGTTAGGTTTCCCCGGAGAAATACCGAAGTATCGGGTCACCGTCCAAATGTAGGTGCTTTCCGGTTTTTCGTGGGGACAGTATTATGTCAGCACCCCAAATTATCGGGACCCCTGCTTGGTTTTGATCATCGCCTTACCATTACCAACCAGATGCTACGTACTTTGATCCAAACAATCACCCCGCACGCCACTCGACGAAGATGGCTCCCTCGATCTGTGCGGGATGCAAATCTGCCCGGGCGGTTATCAAAAGACCGAAGAATCACCACAAGCTCTGCAAGGCTTGCTTCATTGCCGTATTCGAAGACGAAGTGCATCATACCATTGTCTCATCGAGACTTTTCACTCGGGGAGAAAGAGTCGCTATTGGGGCGTCGGGTGGCAAGGATTCGACGGTTCTTGCCTCTGTGCTCAAGACACTCAACGCACGCCACGACTATGGTGTAGAGCTGACGCTCCTGAGCATCGACGAAGGCATTAAAGGCTACAGGGATGATTCTCTGGAGACGGTGAAGCGGAATGCTGCGCAATACGACCTCCCATTGACAGTACTGGGGTATGACAGGCTTTATGGCTGGACAATGGATCAGGTCGTCGATGCGATCGGCAAGAAGGGTAACTGCACTTACTGTGGCGTATTCCGCCGACAGGCTCTTGACCGAGGAGCCAAGATGCTGGGGATCAAACATTTGGTCACCGGCCATAATGCGGACGACATGGCAGAGACTATCCTCATGAATCTTCTCAGGGGCGACCTACCTCGCCTCTCACGGAGCACAAGGATTGTCACGGGCGATGACAGCAGCGAAGTGAAGCGGAGTAAACCTCTGAAATACTCATACGAAAAAGAGATCGTTCTATACGCCCATTATAAAAAGCTAGACTATTTCAGCACCGAATGCGTATACAGTCCCGAAGCGTTCCGAGGCACTGCGCGTACATTAATCAAGAATCTCGAGCGAGTAAGGCCTAGCGCTATTCTCGACGTTGTACGGAGTGGAGAGGATATGGGTCGACTCGTGCCGGGTATCGCGCCGACGGGTTCTTGTGCCTGTTCCTCCACCGACGCACTGGAAGAGGAAGTCGAGAATTCGGGATGCGGTCCGAAAACGGGTCTCGCAGGTGGCAGGTTGGCGGGACTAGAGATTCGACACAAAGAGCACACCACTGGAAATGGCAATACTATGGAAGCGGATTTGACCGCAAGAATTTCCGACCACCAAGGAACAAAGGAAAACAGTATTTCCAAGACGGCTACCACCGTTTCTGGGGGGCAAAAGCTGGGAAGGTGCCAGAGCTGTGGCTATATGTCCAGCCAGACATTTTGCCAAGCTTGTTTGCTTGTTGAGAGCTTGAATCGGAACAAACGGGGAACTCAAATATAACTCTGTGACTTATGCTGCCGTTCTCATGGCCGACTCCCACCACCGGCAGCGACTGATCAGAGTAACCATGAAACAGTCTATTATTGGCGCCAACCATCCAGTCTATGTACGGGAGAGATAAAAAGACTCCATCATCGTACGTCGTGGGACCTGTCACGAGGTCCATACCTCGGGCGATGCATCGTCCTTCAGTTCTCCGCATATATGGCGCCTGCATGGATTCGATGTGCCAGTTTCGGCTACGAGATCCTTTTCTCCAGCTGTAGAAAGTGTCAGCCGCAGTTTCATGGCTCAATGCGCTGGGTCCGAAGTGCAGAACGAACCCTCCAGGGATTGTTTAACTCGAAACCTGTAGGTGCAACTGGGGTATCGGTTTGGCCTCGTAGGTTTCCTGTCAAGCGGCGGTCCCGATCCATCACTAGATCCAGGATTAGCAGGTGGTCGTCGTAGGAAGTGTTCAAAAGGGTATTTACTTTGCTGAAGAGTAGTTAGCATCCTGCCGACAAGATCAAGGATACGCTGTGGAATACAGAGCAGAGAACAACATACCTTATCCCACTGATCCAACCCAAAGCGTGGCTTCTTTCCTCCGTTCTCAATTCCCTTGACGATAGCAAGACCAGTTCCAGTTATTCCGAACATCTGCGGGGAACTTTAGTGTTGCGAGCTTGACATTGATGTGGGGGAATTCGCTATCCGTACGGCAATGATGATCCCATACGGGATGAGTGCTTCGAAAGGGACCGGCATGGTGATGATCGGATATACGGAAAGCTGGTCGGGAAATGTGTTGGCCGATGAGGCAGCGATGGTTCCGATTGCGCAATGCCTGCGAGTCGTATGGGCTGTTGCTGTTTCACGAAGCTCTATCGTACGAACGCGGAATGGAGTTGACGGATTGATGTCAATCAAGACCGAACAAATCACATGACTTCCTTGATAGCCTACGTAAGTAACTAAGCGAATTATCGTTGTAGCTAGTAATACTTGTGCAGATACTGCCTACTAGGTACCTAACCTTAGCCAAATACGGATAGGCTTGATGTGAATGTCCTTAGTAATCCGCATTGCCCATCGCGTGCCCCCGTGATTACCGAGTACTTACCCCGTATCCGTCCATTGCTCTTGATCATTTCGCGTGACGACACGTCGAGGAGCCTCTAGAGTTTCAACGCGAGTCCTCCAGTTCTGCACATATTATGGATCAAGCCACGATTCTCTACCGTACAGACAAGGATACCATGCGACATTAAGACCTTTTTGCACGGATTCAGAACCCGTATCGTCCGTCAACTTATATCTTACCCATCCTCGACGAAACATCAACCCCCGGAGGGATGACGGACGCCCAAATAACGGAAGAGGAGTTACAACAGAGCGTGGTAGTGTCCGAAGAGGACCTCGAATCCGAGGACACATGCATTATGCGACATCTGGACGGAAGCTCTCTAGACCAGAACGACACCACGGATATGGCTTTTTCGTCGACTAGCCGAGGCGCCGACAACGGCCCGTATTCCCCCCCAGCGGCAGGGACAGAGGACGTGACAATGGCGTCAAATATCGAGGCGAAATTTGAACGAAACGAAGACTCAGATGGCGAAGAAGATGCGGAAGGAGAAGAGGATTTCCGCCAAGGGAATGCAATGGTAGTGGAGACCGATCAACGATATTCTGATGAACCTGTGTCCGACGACGGAAGTCAGAGCAGTCGTTCGAACCACAGTACAAATGGAGACAGCGAGGAGGAGTACAGTATACGTGGCGATGTGGGCAATGTTGTGCGTGGAGGATCTAAGGATGACCAGAGTGTAGATGGGCTCGATATGGCAGGGAAGGACGAAAGCGATTATGACTCTGTTTCCCGGAGGAACACGTCGGAAGAGTCTGATGCGGAAGTGGCATGGGAAGATGCGCCAGAATGGGACGACGAAGACGAATCAGAAGCGCTGACGCCCAACCTCTGCGTGTTCTGCAAACAAGAGGAAGAACACGACCCCGGAGAAGAGTTTGAAGAGCCTTTGGCATGTGTGGGCTGCGGGGAGAGCTGTATGCATGCATCATTCCGCCACTTGGTTTATCACTGGCTAATTGGTGATCTAGCGCACCAATATTGTGCTCGAGTAGCCGGTTCTTTGGGGCAATCTGGGGGTAGGTTTCCCTGCGCAGTGAATTCTCTGTCTCTTCTATCAACTAAGATGTTTCTAGACACCCGCCATTGGAAATGTCCCGAGTGCGCGTCGTCGGAAGATGATGCTAAGCTCCCCGTTGGTGCAGTCGACCATGCGAGCATACATGCTTCTCGAACCTCCTTATCCTCTACACACTCAACTCAACAACAAGCAATGGGAAGCCTACAGTTGGCCCAAGATGGGCTTGGTGGACACAATGACACAAGTTCTGTGGGCGGCCCAGGCTTTATAGACGGCGACTCCCAGGACGGATCCCGGTCGCTTCGCAAGCGGAAAGCATCATCGTCCGTCGGAACGGATGCTACGGCCATGTCGCGTCGCAGACGTCAGGGACGGGTTCCTGACGATCGAAAATATAACTCTGATAATGCGTCACTACATACACGCTCGGAGACAGCAGATGGTGAGCGGCCACGCAAGTTACGCCTGAAAGTTGGACGTAATAAATCGGCTGTGACCATAACGCGAAGGGGTCGGAGGATGGTCGTCAAAATGCGTCTTGACCCAGATATGCTGCGCCAAGTCGTATCCGAAAAGTTGAGCACAGGCCGAAAACGAAAAACCCAAACCGACGGAAGGAGGGCATCGCGAGCACCACCCGTCAACTGGGAGGCGCCCCTCATGTCTTCCACCGCACCTCAACCATTCTATTCTTTCATGGAGCGGGAAACCGATGAGATGAAAACTAGACCATACGGGGGGATCCTCAACGATGCCGAGGCCGACACATCCAAAACCCTACCCACCAACGACGATCGAAAGCGATTTGACGAGGCAAAACAGAAAGCCGAGGAGGAGTGGCGATTACTGCACGTCGTCAAGCATGGCGACGATGCTCCTGAGAAAGGCCGGAAGCTCAAGAAAAATTCCGGACCTGCCAGCCACATCGAATGCATTGAGTTCGGCGGCTGGGAAATTGACACCTGGTACGCTGCACCATATCCAGAGGAATATAGCAGGAACCGCATTCTATATATCTGCGAATTCTGCTTGAAGTATATGAATTCGGACTACGTGGCTTGGCGGCATAAACTCAAATGTCCCGCCAAGCACCCTCCTGGAGACGAGATTTACCGACATGGCTCTGTGTCGGTTTTTGAGGTTGATGGGCGAAAAAATCCTGTCTACTGCCAGAACCTTTGCCTACTCGCGAAGCTCTTCCTCGGGTCCAAAACGCTCTATTATGACGTCGAGCCATTTTTATTCTATGTACTATGCGAGTATGACGAACTCGGATATCACTTCGTGGGTTATTTTTCGAAGGAGAAGCGAGCGAGCAGCCAGAACAACGTCTCCTGCATCCTAACGTTGCCAATACACCAGCGCAAGGGATATGGCAATCTCTTGATCGACTTTTCCTATCTTCTCACCCGAGTCGAGCGGAAAACGGGCTCACCCGAGAAACCCCTGTCCGACATGGGTCTCGTGTCGTACAGAAACTATTGGCGACTAGTCATATGCCGGTATCTACTGGAATGTTGGCACGATGCGGAGAAGAATGACCGCCCTGCAGGGTTGAGCCTCAGACAAATTTCCGACGACACTGGATTAACGCCCGACGACGTGATTGCGGCCCTGGAAGGGCTGAGGTGCCTGATTCGGGATAGTCGGACCGGCCTCTATGGTTTCCGAGTAAACCTTGCCTACTGCCGCGAGTACATGGCCAAATGGGAGTCAAAAAATTATGTCAAGCTTAACCCCGAGGCCCTGACGTGGACACCGTACGTTATGGGACGCGGCAGTGCTACCAATTTCGAGTTGGGTCCCGCCATAACCGCCATCGCCCCTCGCGAGGAGGACGAGGGTCGCGGGGTAGCGGGCGAAGCATTGGAGTCCTCGTCGAATCACATTCCCAATGGGCTCGAAGTCGGGCCTCCGGACAAGCTACTCACCCCTGTGCGTGAGTGTGGCTCGTTGGAAGGTTCGAAAGAGACAAGTGCTTTCAACGACGTTGGGTCAAGTTACACACAAGTCAGACCGTCCACTGAGCCACGCGATATGTCAGATCAAGAAATGACAGATCGGGTTGAAAGCCTGCCACCTGGACAAAGGGAGACTGGCTCTAACTGTGTCGAGACGAAAAACTGGGCTGAGGCTTACAAGGACATCCCGGTGTCGAGGTTCGAGGTATTCCCACCACTCAGCGGCCGGCGCACCGATCGACCCCGATCTACAATTGCGCAGCCGACGAAGGCACACTCTTCTGGGAGAATCCCAAGGCTGCAGCGTTCAGCAGGCAGTAGTGTACGGCGAGCAGCGGTTAGGAGCACTAAACCCAACAATTCGTCACGCCGCAAAACCGGCGGGACAGGCCGTGGCCCGGGCCGTTGGCCTAAGGGCACTAAAAAGAGCGACTACGGGAATGCTGCCAGTGGTCCTGGGTTTCCCCCTGCGTGGATTGAGGAAAGGCGCAAGCTTGCTGAACTTAAAACCAAGAAACCAACCGAGGATGAAGCCTCCCCGAACGTTGATGCTTCTCAGGCAATGGACACGGTTCGGGTTCGATTTGATGGCTCGGAAGCAGGATCACACCCATCTGGGTCATCGGAGGTGCCCGCGACTACCGCCACAACCAACATAACCTGAATCAACTGCAACAACGACTAAAATACCCGCTGGATACATTCCAGGATGGTCGGCGTATTTTGAATGACCAGGAAAAAAGAAACCAAAAATTGATTCTTTCATTCAAATAGACAAAACCTGCGGGAAAGGGGTAGCAAGTCGTTCTCGGCGTATCCTGCTTCGCAACTTGGCTTATCCAGACCATGGCCAAGATCCAGCTTTGCGGATGCGGTGGAGTGGGCGACGAGGACCTGCCGTGGCGATCAACACCCGTCTAATCATAAGGTACAGAACGCTAGGACAACTGGCTGGCCTGTAGGGGAAATTGGTATTTATCTTTTGTGCATGGAGCAACAGGAGCGCGGCGTGTGTTGATGGGATCGTATTGGCCGGTGATTGTCTGGCTTGCTTTTTATTTTGACGAGGCTGAAATAGTAGGGCGTGAATACCAAATGTCAATTACGTGGAATACACGAAGCTTCATAGCCTTCGCTTCGCAGACAGTAATTATGGCTCGGCTTTTCGCAAACTCTGAGTGCGAGACGGTGGTCTGCGTGGAAGCAAGGCAAAAGACGAGTGCCTCGACGCTTCAATGTCGCTTTACTGACCTTATATGGTGTAATTACTCCGTAAAGGAGAGCACCTCTTGCCTTAGTCATCATGCCTTGGACTGGCCTTTCCACCCCTCCTGATTACATCACTTCTGAGAGACGTCCTTCATGCGGAGACAAACGTACTGCAAGGTACCTATAATGTAAGGTGCTCCGTATTTGTAGGTACGTAGCTGGTACTCCGTGCAACCCTCTCCACACCTTGTTTCTTCGTGCGTACCTACGCCACCCGCCTCGATTGACCTTCTGTCAAGCGCCTCCACAGACACGGGCTAATTTCCGCAGATCGCCCATCCAGACTGTTCCTTTTTGTTTCTGGCAGTTGGGCCGTTGTCGCGTTTGTGTTCGCTCTACCCTAGATTGATCATTGACTCGGCAGAACCGACAGCCCTACCTCCTCGCGCCAAGTCCCGTTACGCATCCGCTTTATCCAGACCCAGATACGGTGTCAGTTACGCAGTACAGTATGTGTTGCTCCAAGTGAACTTGCATACGTGTTTCCTCGTCTAACGCTCGTGCCTTTTTAGCCGCAACCATCTCGTTCGCCTCGCAGGCCTCGTCATCTTCGTGTTTTGCCGTTCCGAATCGAAAACGATCGCTCGCGACGACAGCGACTTGTCGGCAAACAATACCTGGGGCCGAGTGCCAGTATCTCTGCTGCCGGTCGGGACTCTGGCTCAATGCAGGAGGACCTTTGAGCTTCTGATCTGCTGTTATTATATCATCCTACCGCTTTGCCCGACATTACAACGATTCCGCCAGACCATACTTATAGTTAGGCTGCTCAGAGCCTTCGCCAAACCGCCTGCCCATCATGTCGAAGGTCATTCGCAGCGTTAAAAATGTCACCAAGGGCTACTCAAGTGTCCAGGTGAAAGTCCGGGAAGGTTGTAGCTGGGTTTTAATCTTTTTACATCGGTCTATGTCCTGACATCTTGTGTCGCAGCTACGAGCAATGACCCGTGGGGTCCGACTGGCGCCCAGATGACCGAGATCGCTCAGCTGACTTATGCTTCGTGAGTGTAAATCTACAAAAGTGCGAGAGACTCCGCGCTTTGAGACTGACCTGATGTACAGGTCGAACGAGTTCTACGAGATTATGGACATGCTCGACAAGCGCATGAACGACAAAGGGAAGAACTGGAGGCATGTGCTCAAAGCTCTTAAGGTCCTGGACTATTGTTTGCATGATGGCTCGGAGCTTGTTGTGACGTGGGCACGGGAGAGCATTTATGTCATCAAGACACTACGAGAATTCCAGTACATCGACGATGATGGCAGAGATGTCGGGCAGAACGGTAGGCTCGCCCCCCCCCTTTCCGATCGAAAACGGAGTATCCTCTGGCCTTGTGGACTTGGTCCTGACCTGAAGCAGTTCGGGTTGCGGCAAAGGAGTTGACTTCGCTCATACTGGATGAGGAAAGACTGCGCAACGAGCGAAGGGATCGAAAGACATGGAAGTCCCGTGTGACTGGTCTAGAGGAATATGCGCCACAGTCTCAAGGACCGCCCCAAAGACCGGCGAGGGAGCGTCGACGCCCCAGTATCGACGAGGAGGATGCCGAGTACAGACTGGCGATTGAAGCGAGCAAACACCAAGAGGAAGAGGACCGCAAGAGGCGAGAAGGTCGACCGGCGGACGACGTTGAAGATGACGATCTGGCGAAGGCCATCAAACTCAGCAAGGAGGAGGAGGAGCGTCGTCGTCGGGAGCTCGAAGGAAATAACGCATTTTCCGTTTTCGACGACACACCTTCGCAGCCTGCCGACCCTCCCCAGGTCCAATATACCGGATTCAACCAGGGCTACCAACAGGGTAGCGCTGTGGACTTCTTCGCCAATCCCATTGATCAGAGCCAGCCGGCCCAAGCACAGCCAACTGGTTACATGCAAGCTTCTTATACAGGCTTCCCTTCTCTCCCGCAACAGGGACAGGAGCAACAAATGGCCATGGGCTTTGCGAACGGGTATCCGGGCTATTCTATGCAGCCGCAGATGAATATGGGTCCATTCGGGCAACAGCAACAGCAACAGCAGCAACAGCAGCTGCAGGTTACTGGCATGCAGGGCTTCCATCCCCAGCCTACGGGCTACAATATCTACCAGCAGCAACAGTCGCCCTCACCACAGGACTCTTTCCAACAAGCCGGCAGTAACAACCCCTGGGCGTCGAACAGCAGCCAGCAGCCGCAATCGCCAATGCAGCCCATGGTGACTGGCTCCAACAACCCCTTTGCATCCTCAATTGGGCGGCCGCAGACGCATAAGGCCCCGTCCATGCCGTCGCTCGGGACTCTCCCCGAGCAGAAGACTCTGTCTACCTTCAACCAAGTCAATTCTTCCGGATCTTTCGGGTCAGGTAGGAAAGATCTGAACGAGCACGAGGTCAGGTTAAATGCCCTGCTTTCTAGCGGAGACGGCATGGACACCTTTGGAAACACCGGCCAGCTGCGTATCCCAGCGCAGCACACTGCACCCGGTACATTCGTCAACAGCGCCGGTTCTGGTGCTCAGAGGCTCACGGTGGATGCTACCGGAAACAATCCCTTCCTGCGCACTCAGTTTACCGGTATGCCGACAGTATCGTACGGGCATGGTCAGGTTCAATCTGCAGCAACCGGGATGCCTGGCAGCATGAACGGCCAGGGCAACAATAACCCATTTGCAGCGAATCGGCCGCAGCCGCAAAACAACCAGAACCAGGATTTGATTCAATTTTGAGTATATTCGCATATCCGCAGCCGGGACGGGACACAGGAATAGTTTAATCCTTCCGTCGGTTGCTGGATGCGGATCGTTCGTCAGACTTCTTTTACCAGGGAATGCTAGACATTGAACTGGCCTTCCCACACGCTCTGAGGCAACAAGCAGGAGTGGAGGGAAGCCGTGTGATCGTGGAATTGTGGTTGCTTCAGGCATTTTGGGACATATCTCCTCGACCCAGAGGACATCATGGCGGGTTTTCTGGTACAGTTATTGTGCTTGTTGTCCTTCGATGATTCCTCCCTTGGGCACGAGCATTTTGGGCTGCTTTTGGCGTTGCATTCTCCGTACCATGAATATAGCTTCGAGGCACTTTTAGGCTTGTCGCAGTACTAGTGAGGATTCCCTCCTGCAGATGCTCATACGACTACTGACTCTTGCGTGGATGAACTTTCATGTGACGGAAAGACCAAGATTCTAAGGTTGATCTCCTACGTATAATATAAGCCCTTGTGTACCTTGGCCTATTATAGATCCCTCTTACCGTATTAATGAACGCCATGATGTACGCCGCAGGAAGAAACAAACGTCTATATATATGGTAATAGATTGAGCTCCGTCTTCTTGCCATCTTGTCTTGTTTCCTATCCGCTTGATTAGCTTAGTTAACTAACATAGGTACATCTCCAGGGAGTCGTTAGACGATAATTCCACAAAGTTAAGAAATGATGTGGAAACGTCCTCTGAAGAACCGGTGGGTATCCGTACAGTTAGTGTAAGTACAGGGCCGTCAAGGTTACTTCGTTGCACTGAGACAAGGGGTAATTACGAATGCCTCTAGCGGAGGGGAGGAATTTAGGTAGTGTTTGCCAGGTAGCCGCTATTAATGCTTTACTCCGTACGAAGTAGGGAGGTACAGACTTTGTACTCCGTATCCGTACAGTGAGTGGAAAAGGTTTCTACGAGGTCAAAAGTATCTGCATTGACTTCTAGGCAGAAGCGATACATAATGACGCGTGGCGATAGTTTCCCCTGCACTGTATTACAAATGCCTATTGAGGCGTACCTCCAATGTATTACATAAGTCCTCAGGCAGCAAGGTGGTCCCACAAAACTGATGCAAGGCGTATTTTGTCACCTTTCTCTTATGCTTCCTTCCACCTAGCACCTTTGTCCATCAACATCACCTGTTCCTTCCCCCCATCGTTTTGGAAGCGAACCAGCGCAAAGCGACGCATAGCAAATCAGCCCATAGGACGCTGGCATAAAGTACGTACATCTCCTTGGGTATTCTCAGTCTTTTCTTCCGCTTCCCTCTGAGCTGTTTCCTGCATCATATCGACGCGTCGTTGACCAGCCCTTGGCTTCTAGTTGCTGCTCCCGATTTCGAGGTTGCAATCCGCGCACGCCTGGAGAAGAGACGCGGCAAGGGATTCTGCGGCACACTCCGCGCCGAGTGCCGGACGGTGTAATCCTCTTATACGCCTGCCCCCTTCGCCCGCAACGGTCTTCCAACTAGCTATATTCGCTCGCGACCTCATTCCATCGCTAAGACACGGTACGACACGACGCGTCCAAGACTCCCGCACCACTCTCGGCCTACTTTCATGCGTCGCTCGTCTTGAGCTCTTTCACAGCTCTCAGAATCGACAATCACGCTAACACATCACTTCATGCTTCGTTCTGTACTGTAGCCAAGTCGACGACCTGCGAAAGCTGAACCATGTCGGGATTTGGTAGCACCGGCTTTGGTGGCTTCGGCCAGAACAACAATAACCAGCAGTCGTCAGGCACGGGATTCAGCGGCTTCGGTGCAAACACTTCGGGTTCAGGTAAGTCAAACTAGGCTCGTCTTTTCTTCTTCTTTTCTTCTTCCTTTTCTTATGAGCTGTCTCACTAATTGCATGCGCTTATTGTTAGCCTTCGGTTCGACCAACACTCCCAACGCTTTCGGTTCCAACGCAAACACGGGTGGTGGTGGCTTGTTTGGAAGTACGACAGGAGGAGGATTCGGCTCAGGCACAACATGTATGTCGGCATATGGCTACCCCCAACATTTTTTTTTCCTTTGCTTTTGTTGAGCGCCTCAATAGGCTGCCTATACTAACATGAACTTAGCCTTCGGTTCTGGAAATACCAATACTGCCTTTGGTGCGGCTTCGAATCCTGCTACAACCAGCTTTGGCACGAACACAACCGCCGGTGGTGGCCTATTCGGCGCCAACAACACCGCTGCTTCGGGCTCTAGCTTTGGCGGATTCGGAGGCAACACGGCGACCACGAACACGTCCAGTGGATTCGGAGGCTCAGGTGGGTTGTTTGGCAGCTCAAAGCCTTTCGGTCAAACCACTACTACTGGCACAGGCTCAACGTCGCTTTTCGGTGGCGGGAACACCTCTACCGGCAGCTTTGGGGGCTTTGGCGCCACGAATAACCCTGGTATCGGAGGCAAGGTCGGCGATCCGCCAGGCACCAACGCCACCCCGTTTCAGGCTCACCAAGAGAAGGAGCCTACTGGCACGGGTAACCAGTCCAACTCCTTCCAAAATATTCTTTTCCAGGATCCGTACAAAAAGTGGTCGACCGAAGAGCTGAGACTCACCGATTACAATCAGGGCCGCCGCTATGGTAATGCGGGCGGTACGGGTGCATTTGGCGTCTCCAACTTTGGCAACACCACTGGCTTCGGCACCACCAATCAGCCGTCCTCTACGGGCTTCGGAGCCACCCCCGCAGCGGGAACGTCCTTGTTCGGAGGCGGCAACAACAACGCGACCACGTCTGGTTTTGGGACGGGGACGACCAGCGGTTTTGGCGGGGGAGGTCTATTTGGCAGCCAGAACAAACCTGCCACCTCCGGAGGTCTGTTTGCGAGCACAGGCACCTCCCAGCCCGCCCAGACGGGCGGACTTTTTGGCGGCACTAACTCGGGCGGAAGCTTCGGCGGTACAGCAACAACGACGCCTGGTTTCGGCGCGACAGCCTCCACTGCAGGAGGCGGCGGCGGCGGCGGTCTCTTTGGTGGTTCCAACACGCAAAACAAACCCGCTGGTTTCAGTTTCGGCAACACAGGCACTACCGGGTCAGGCTTTGGTGCTGGCAATACTACTTCCGGGTTTGGAACGACCGGTTCGAATACCGCCACGGGCGGCGGCTTATTTGGCAACACCACAAGTAGTGGTACAGGGCTGTTCGGGGGCGGTCAACAGCAACAACAGCAACCGCAGCCGCAGCAGCAGGCCGCCGGTACTGGAGGATTCGGGGGCGGTGCATTCGGTGGTCAGGCACAGCAAACCGGTTCATTATTTGGAGGCGGCCAGCAGAAACCCGCTGGTGGCCTCTTTGGAAGTAGCACTGGAACTTCAGGTGGCCTCTTCGGCTCTGGGGGTGGAGCCGGTACTACGACGACGTCTTTCGGGACTGCTGGCAATACAGGAACCGGTGGCGGACTGTTTGGTGGCCAAAAGCCTGCCGGGACAGGGACCGGCCTGTTCGGGTCGAATACCGCCCAGAATACGGCCGGTTCTGGCACTGGTGGCCTGTTCGGTGGGGCAGGGGCGGGTGCCTCGGGACAACAAGCGAACACGGGCCTATTCCAGTCGAGCACTCAGAATCAGGCAAAGCCTGGCGGTCTGTTCGGAACGTCGCAAGCCTCCACCGGAGGCGGCCTATTTGGGTCCCAAAATGCGCAACAACAACCCTCATTTTTCTCGACTACAACGAACCAGCAGCCTCAGCAGCCTCAGGGAGGCTCCATTCTCAGCGGATCTCTTTTAGGCACTTCGCAGAACGCGAATGCTCCTTCCCAACAAACGTTGACTGCCAACATCTCGGACGTATCGGCATATGGCACCCCATCGCTATTCTCAAATCTCGGCGCCAACGATTTGCCGAATCCCGGTCCACTCGCAACTCCGTTGTCGAGCAAGTCCAAGGCTCGGCGCAGCTCCATTCTTCCTATGTACAAGCTGAATCCCGCCTCCGCGTCGCGATTTGTCACGCCTCAAAAGCGAGGCTTCGGGTTTTCATACAGCACGTATGGTACCCCGACCAGCCCCTCCAGTGTGTCCAGCACGCCGGGTAGTATGAACCGCAGCCTTCTCGGCTCGAGCCTCAACAAGGGCCTGAGCAAGAGTGTGTCGTCCAGCAGTCTCCGCAAGAGCTTTTCGGCGGAGGACAGCATTCTTACTCCCGGAGCATTTTCCGCCAGCTCAGGTTCTCGATATTATGGCAATACGGGCAGCATGAGAAAGCTCGTTATCAACAAGGACATGCGGAGTGACCTCTTCTCCACCCCGACGAAGGACAAGCCAGCCCTGGACCAGCCTAATGGGTTGCGGAAGCTTTCCAAGCGGGTCAGTTTCGATACCAGTACGACAGAGGATGGCCAGGGTGATGGTGCTGGGCAGGATGCTGTCACGCCGCGGAACTCGACGACAGCTGTTGAGGAGCAACAGGCTGCTGTGCCCAACGGCCCTGGGTCTGCTGGAAGCGGAACCCTCGTCGGTGCGGATGAGACGAGCGGCAAGGAATTGGCCGTTGTGCACGAGGAAGAAGCAACCCATGCCCGCCAGCCTACCCACGACAGCTTTGACAAGGCGCCTGGCGAGTACTGGATGAGCCCGACTCAGGATGCCATTTCGGCAATGAACCGAATGCAGCGCCAGAAAGTTGCCAGCTTCACCGTGGGTCGCGACAATGTTGGCTATGTGTGCTTCCAAGTTCCAGTGGATCTCACCAATATTGATCTCGGTGACATCTATGGGGTCATCGTCGTCCTGGAGACTCGGTCTGCCACGGTTTATCCTAATGCCGCCAAAAAGCCGCCCGTCGGCAAGGGACTCAACGTTCCTGCCATCATTTGCCTCGAGCAATCGTGGCCCCGAGGCCGGGATAAGCGGCCCAGTGTTGACACCAAACGCATCAATAAGCATATCGAGCGCCTCCGGAGAATCGAGGACACGACGTTCATTGATTACAATGCTGACACGGGCGTTTGGAAGTTCTCTGTGGAGCATTTCACGACATATGGTCTCGATTACGACGAGGAAGACACTGATGCGGAACCGCGTGGCGATGCGCACGGCGAGCAGAACCATGCGTCGGGCGTCTCGCCACACGGTAGCCTTGGGGATGATAGTATGAGCGATGGTCATGATGACACCTTCGACTTTCAGCGGAAGCGACGGGCCCTACCTGGCGCGTTCGACTCCCGTGCGGTGGGATTGGATGACGATGAGGAAGCAATGGGGGACTCGACCAGCCAAGGCGACGCCTTCTTGGGGTTTGGTTCGGCGGGCCCCAAGTCGAATGCGCTGACTCTCTCGACTGAACGTGATGGAGCGATCGAGGTGGACGACGAATACGACTCGCCCGAGGCTGGCGAGGAAGAGTTTTCTTCCTCTCCCGAGCGTCATCTTGGCGGAGAGCAACGTAGTGAATCGCCTGAAGGTAGGGGTGGTTCACCGGTTGTGGAGACGCCCGGAGGCATTCTTCGCGCTAAGATGCGCGCCATGAAGAGCTCGATGGCTCCTCTGCAGGTCGAAGTTGCAGATGGCGAGGACTGGATGGACATGCTGCAGAAGACGGTCAGTCCCCAGAAGCGGGACCGCGCCTTGTTGAAGAGCGCCGTGGACGCGGGTGTGCTGGCAAGCTCTGTCAACGGTATGCCGAAACAACGCGAGACGCGGATGGTGTCGGATGGGCGTGGCTTCGCTACCAGTATCGATCTTATGAACTCTCTATTCGACAAATCGAAGGCCACGGCACCAACGCACAATGCACCTGTGTCGTCGGTTGGATTTGTTCAGGTTGGTCCCCGCATCGTTGCTTGATGGTTTTCTTTTCTTACTTTGTTCCCAAAACAATACTGTGGTTAGCGTTGACAGGCCTGGGCCGACCGGTGGGGAGCCTGAGGGAGGTGATGAAGTGTAATAATCTACGTGTAGTAAACTCGTTGAGAATGAAATGCTGAGATTTCTTCATTATCTCTAGTGGCCGTATGAGCGACAGAAGAAGACATTTGACGACCTGTCCGGGCTCAGTGAAAACGATCGCGCATTCTATCGATCCTCGAAGCCTTCGTGGGGTCCTGACGGGACCTTGGTAATGCCGGCGACGTCGGCGTCCTCGCATGGTCGAGAGGCAGCGAGAGGAGCGAGCAAGACGGGCATCATGTCGGTTTCAGGCCCGGTCCCCAAGGAAGACGGCTCCGGCGTCGCCCTGTTCAAGTTCTCCAACGAGGTATGTCAGATAATGATTCCTCAGAAATGGACGTCCGTCCCGCTGAGTGGGATGTCAACTAACGCGTGGGACTTGCAGTCGTCCGCCAAAGCCATTGACAATCACATGCGCCTGACCCGGGTCAGCGTGGTTGATGACATTCCCGCCGTTTCTCTGCAGCCCGACAGCTTGATGAATCTATTTCACGACGAAGACGTGAGCAACAGCGCCGCGAATGCTCAGGAAAAGCTTGTATGGGAACTGGCCAGCATCCTGTTTGACGATTCCCCATCGCCAGCATCAGGAACGACTCCATCACGGAGGGAGCGCGTCTCCCGGTTCTGGGAAGAGCTAGTGGAGCCAGCGACGAGGCGGTCGGTTGCACTGGCAAAGTCGACGGAAGAAAAGGCGCTGGTATCTCTGGCGGGGCATCGAATTCAGGATGCTTGCAAGTATCTCATCGAAGGGAGGAACTTTCGGCTTGCGACGTTGGTCTCGATTATCGGCACTTCTGAGCAGTCCAAGCGCGACATGCGCACGCAGCTGGAGGAGTGGTATGGCAACAACGTGCTCTCCGAATTCGACGATGCGATTCGCGCCATGTACGAACTGCTCGCCGGCAACGGCTGCGTTTGCGAAGGGAAGAAGGGCGTGCCGGTGGCCGATCGGATGGAGTCGTTTGTTATCTCGCAGCGGTTCAGCCTGAACTGGAAGCAGGCATTCGGGCTGCGGTTGTGGTACGTCATTTCGCGGCAAGACGAGGTTCCGGCTGCGGTGGAACAATTCGCGGATGACGTCGCGCAAGACCGAGAGGGCTGGCCGCAGACGTGGTACGCAGAACAGGGCATCGAACCTCTTTGGGACGATGAAGACCGAGGGCGGCGTCAGGACTTGCTCTGGGGGCTCCTCCAGCTCTACTCGAACGAGGCCACGGTTGTCGAGGCGGTCCTGCGACCGGAGAACTTTCAACTGTCGCCTCTGGACACGCGGCTTTGCTGGCAGCTCTGGCAGGGTCTGCTCGCGACCGGAAAATTTTTCACGGCCTCGGGCACATCCGAAGCGGCGGACGCGGCGACCTTGTCGTTTGCCGACCAGCTCGTGAACGAGGGCAGCTGGCTCCAGGCGACCTTCGTGCTCCTTCACCTGAGCGAGCCGACGATTCGGGCCAAGGCGGTCCAAGACCACCTCGCTCGCCATGCCGGAGAGATTGGGGCGGAAGACAGCGAGGCATTCACGACGCTGACGCAAACGTTCCAGATTCCGTCGGCGTGGATCTGGGAGGCGCGGGCGCTGTATATGCGGAGTGTGCGGGACGACGCGGTGGCGGAGGTGCAGTGTCTCCTTCGAGCGTTGTCGTACAACGCGGCTCATGAGACGCTCGTCCGCAAGGTGGCACCTTGGGCGATCGTCAGCCGGAACTACCACCAGCTAGCGACGCTCCTCGACGAATTCGAGGGCCACGAGGAGTCGGTCAAGGGGTGGATGCTCGGGGGCGAGATTTACAGGTCCTTCCTGGGGGTCCGGCGCCTCCACGAACAGCGCAAGGAGGTTCCCATGGAGACGCTGGAGGCTCTGGTCAAGGCCCTGCCGGGTGTTCGTGAGGCGACTGAGAGTTCGGACACAGTACGGTTGGCTGCGGTGTCTGAGATGGGTGGCTTCGTGGCGAGGATCATGATGGACACGGCTGAACCGGCCATGGTAAGCAAACAAAACCCCTTCGAGCCTTGGGAAGCACCCAGCTTTGCTTCTGGTGCATACCTTGAGTGCTAACGACGTTTTCTTTTTGCAGCGGGATGCTTCCCGGATTCTTGGACTTCCTCTGACTGAGGGCTCGTATTTGCAGCACTCGCTGCACCTCAGCCACGCCTACTATCAAGGCATCATGGCGGGAGCAAGGTAGTTGGGGAGCGTTCTGTCTTGGACATTGTGTGTTTTCTTTTCTCCTTTTTTCCCCTTCTTGTTTTCTCTCTTTTCGTTTTGTTTTCCTTTTCCCATTTCGTTTTATTTCCCCTCTTTTTGTGTCTTTTTTTCCTTCTAGGTGATTTTAAAAAGGAGGACGGCCAGGAAATAGATGCAACGAAGAACAGTAGCCAGTCTTTGATTTTTTTATTATTATTCTTTCTGTTCTCGCCTATGGCGCCCACGAGGGAGGAGATGGAGCGACACTGTTGTACCCAAAAGACGGGGGGTTTTTTTTTTCTCTCTCTTAATGTGTAACCTAGGTAGCTTTGTAGATAGGTAGTTTAGATTCCTCAATTGACGCAAACGTCTTTCAGGGGCTTAGAAAGTACTGGATCCTGTTCTACCGGTGATATTTTCGTCTATGTACCTAAATGATGGGACACCGAACGAATGCCGCACTTTGATACTTGCCGCTACCTAATAAATAGGGGGACGAGCGAGTACGGAGTATCACAGCAATGTATTTGAGCAAGCTCCAGAGACATGGCTACGGTAGAGGAGCACTGTTTCTTAGCATATTACGGCGCTCCGCTAGCATTACTAAAGGAATGTAGGTACAGTACCTACCTACCATAATACCCTGTGACTCGTGACTCGAGACTGTGAGTGACATCACACCTGACGGTCGTTACCTCGATGTATGTACATACATACCTTACCTTGACATCTTGAAGCACCACGATTAAAAGTGATAGCCGCGGCTCCTGATAACTTGCAACTTCCTCTCGCCGTCCCAAGTGGCGTTGGCGACACCATGACCGCTCACAATGCCACGCTCTCGAACACACGGTTAGTGTAAAATCAAGGCCTCGGCCCTGGCAACATGGTATTGAGTACTCACCCATCCCAGAGATGTGACAGCAAGTCCCGTCAATGCCATCTTCATCGGCGCCGGCGCTGTCGGTTGTTTCTATGCCTCCCGACTTCACCATCCTGACCAGAACGTCCGCGTCTCGCTCGTCGCGAGGTCCAACTACAAAGCCATAGCAGAATCCGGGGTGCAGCTTCATACGCGATCCTTCGGCGACTACACCTTCAAACCCCACGCCGTCTTCCCCACCGTCCAAGCCGCCGCCGAAGCTACAGGTGCAGAGAGCTCGGGGAAAGCCCCCTCATCCGATACCTCGGAGGCACCGGTGATTTCCGCCTGGGATTACATCTTCGTGACGACCAAGGCCCTCCCCGACCGCGCCGACGACTCGGCCACCATCGCGCCGCTGGTAGGACCGACTTCGTGCATCGTGCTGATCCAGAACGGAGTGGGCGTCGAGGAGCCCTACCGCAAACGGTTCCCCACAACCCCGATCATCAGCGCCGTGACAGTGGTGAGCGCCGAGCAGACGTCCCCAGGCGTCGTCCGTCAGAACAGGTGGACGCGCATCAGCCTCGGACCGTACACGGATGGGCTCGGGTCAGCCGATGCCGATGCCGATGCCGACGACAAAGGAAGAAATGGCGAGCTGGGTCGCAAAGGGGCCCGGCACATCGAACGGCTGCGCACCTGGTGGGGTGGCCCAGCTGGGGGCGGCATCCGGGACGTGGACGCCTACGACGAGGTCGGGCTCCAGACGGTGCGCTGGCACAAGCTGTGCATCAACGCGGCCTTCAACCCCAGCGCCGTGCTGAGCGGCGGGCGGGGCAACGCCGACATGCTGACGGACCCGGAACTCCGCGCACATCTGCTGGGCGTCATGGACGAGATCTGGGACGCCGTGCCGCGGATCCTGGGGCGGCCGTTCCCGGAGAGCATGGCGACGCCGGAGCGCATCATCGAGAGCACCGAGCGGAATACGGGCGCCAGGCCGAGCATGCTCTTGGATTGGGAGGCCGCCCGTCCTCTCGAGCTCGAGGTCATACTGGGCAACCCGGTCAGGATAGCACGCGCTCGAGGAGTTGAGCTGCCGCGGTTGCAGAGCTTGTATGCTCTGCTCAGGAGCGCACAGAAGATGAGGTCCCAGGGCGGACATGACCGTCAACAGCAGCGAGAGAAATCCAGAATCTAGTTTCGTTCTTCACAAAAGGAGGACTCCAAAACATGCACCATGTTAACAATGTTGGTTGCGCCCCACGACTCGAGTGCGGCGCAAACACCATCATCTCGCTAGCCCATGTGCTGTCTGTCCATCACCATCCTAAAGTAGACGTGCAACTGATGCGCCATGGCCGAGTCGAATCATGACTTCTCGTGAGTGCTCGACTCATTCCCATGTTTGTCCACACTATCCAGTCCACTTCCCTTTGGGGCGGGGGGTTTCTCTTCCTTTCTTAAATATATATATACACACACAACCAAACCCATCTCTCGACAGAACGAAAAGCCAGGGCACAAAAACGCCGGAAGACCAACAGGCAAGCAAGCTGGTGGTGTGTACGATTTCAAGTCAGGGCAGAATGGCAGGACCCTTGTCCTGCTAGGTCTGCACGTAGCTTGCCCAAACCGTCTTCAGATAACCTTCCGTCAGCAGGGGCCGTGGATCGAAACCCAGGTCTTCATAGTTGGTCGCCGTGCGATAGCCTCCCGACAACCCCTCCATCTTCTCCGGATGAGGTGCGGCGGCGGAAGAGGAGGCGGCAACGTCGGCAAGCTGCTGCAGCAGACCCTGGCTGCCGCCCGCTTGGCCCAGATGTTCTGCGATCCTGTCCCCGATGATGCTGTCCCATGCCGAAGGAACTGCCGGCAGGCTCTTCATTTTCAGCTCGGCCAGCAGCTTATTCGCCTTTTCTTTCGTCCCCTCCACTCTGCTGAGCTCCATGAGAGCCAGCAGGGCCAGACCGGCAATATGGTGATTCCACGGGCTGGTCGGTTGCGGTGTTTCCCCAAGCAGCCTCACGATTTCCCTGCAAGGCCAGAGGATGTCGTTCCCGTTGGATGATGGGTGAAGAAGATATGCGACGAGTCGCGCATGCCAGTATGTCAAGTAAATAACTTGGTAGGACGCGGGCCCGTGGTCGATGTGTTGGGGAAGGTCCTCGCGGAAGTTCTCGACGTAATCGTTGAGGAAGTCGCCCAAAATCCTGGCAGGTACCGAACCACCGCTCATCGGATCTTGGAGGCTCGAGATCACCGTGGACACCTGGCTGAGGATCTTGGACGCGCCTGTGAGCAGTACATGTATCAGTAAAGCCGTACGCCGTACCATCACGGACGGCGGGTATAATAAAATATTTGCTACATTGAGGTCACTCACGGATCATCAAAAAGGTCATCTCGTCAACGATGCTCTCGAGGCCATGATAGACGACGGTTGACTCGTTCCGGATCATCGTCTGGGTTCCCGCCGCAACTGCATGCCACCGGTCGAGTAGCACCAACGACCACCAGAGCTTGACCCGCAGGTGGCTTTCCGAGTCCGAGTCCGAGTCCGAGTCCGGGTCCGGGTCCGGGTTAGGCTCGCTTTCGCCCTCTAGCGGCCTGTCCACTCGAGCATTGTACAACTTCATGGCCAAGGCTGCGCCGACGGCTCGCCCCAACAGGGATTCCTTCAGGGGTCCCGAGCAGGCCGACGGCCGGGTATCCATCTCAATAAGCAGGAGGAGGAGCGTCTGGAGATGGATGATATGTGCCGATGACGTGCGTGGCTCGCCGTCTTGTGATTCCCATTCGGCCAGGATTTTCATCGCAAGACTGGCGTCGCCCGTGGCCGCGGCCGAAGTAGATGGAAAGCAATGGATGGTGCCCGAGAGCGCCTCCAGGAATGCCTCTCGAAGCAAGCCGGAGCACTGCGCTAGAGATGCCTGCAGTCTGGCCTTATTCGCCGGAAGTATTGGGAGATACGGGTGGATGACGGAAAGATAGCTGCGAGAGAGAGATTCTTGTTAGTTAGTTCCTGCTCTCCAATCTTCTTTTCCCGACAGAGCAAGGCGTGTTAAATACGACGGTCAGGACCATGGGCACCTACCCTTGGAAGATGTCATCTGGCACATCGCGTGGCTGCGTAACGCCGGAAATACCAGACATGGACATGTCACCATCCATATTGGCCACGGGTGGCCTGGAAGGCAGATCCGGCTTGAGAGCAATGGGCTGGGGCGCCAGATTATTGAGCGAGTAATGGACCTGATTCCTCTCGGGGGTGAGTGTTGTGATAGGGCGTCCATCAGAGGCCCAGGCCGGACTGGCCTGACGTGGTGGTGCCGAGTGGGTAGGCATGTCATTTCCGGAAATGCTTGAGAAGGCCCTTTTCCGAAGGACGTCATCGCTTGCGCCCTCTCCCAGCCGACCTTCTATGCTGTTGATGCGGTCGGCGAGCTCTTTAATGTACCTGCAAATTGGACCCCAGAGTCAGCCCTTCCGACTTCTGGCCTAGCGGGGATGGGTGGCCTTCGCCAACTTACCCCTTGCTTGGTCCACGCTTCTGGGGGATGCGGCTGAATGAACATGGTTGGGATGACCGCTTGCAGTTACTACACGGCGCGTCCCCCCGATCGGACTGGGCATCACATCGAACCTTTTTCCGCCGGCACTCGTCGCAAGCGCGGGAAACCTTGGAACGTTTCCTCGGGGGGGTAGGGTCGTTGCCTACTGTCGGGAAAGAGTGGGACAGTGACGGATTCATCGGCGGCACCTGGTTCTGGGGTTGCGGGGCTGCGGCTGCGGCTGCGGCTGCGACTGCGACTGCTGCTGTGGCGGGCGAACCTGGCACCGCCTCGTCATATGGGCGGGCCTGCGAGTCGTCCGGATGAGGAGGCATGACGTGCACGTGCCGCAGGTTGTGGTCCTCTCCTTGGGATAGTCGCAGCTGATGTTCCTCCGGATGGGGCATGATGTTTCGGAGGGGAGGCTCGTCGAACTTCATGTTGGGGTCCGTAACCGGCATCATGGGTTCGGCGGCGAGGTCCTGGCCCAGTTGAGCCGCCAGCTGGAGTTCCTCGACGCTAGCGGCATGGGACGGTTGATGCTGAGCTGCGGCCGGGTCCTGCTGCTCAGACTCTCTCGGAGGCGCAGGCGCTTCATGCTCATCATGCCCATAGTAGGGGCCCGGCTGTTGGGTCTCACCCTCAGGCGATGGGTACCTTTGGACCCTCTCCTCCTCGCCGGCTTCTGCTTCCCCTGATGCGTTCATATCTAGTAAGATATATATGTCAGATAGGTAGTCCTAGTGTGATCTGCCTGCAAGCAGCAGATACAAGGATGGCTCCAAGCAGCTAGCTCGATCCACGGTTCTGATAAGATTTGGTAGAGAAAGGGAAAAAAAGAAGAAGAAAATCCTAGGACGCGTACGATACGGAAGAGAAACAAACTGTGAAGTTAGATGAGATGATCTAGCATAGCACAGGGTAGAATCCATCCATAGTTCGCCAACTTGAAAGTTGCGAAGGAATACCGCGTCCACTCGGCGCATTTTTGATTGCCTTCATCCCCGTTCATCCCCGTTCATCCCCGTTCATCCCCGTTCATCCCCGTTCATCCCCGTTCATCCCCGTTCATCCCCTTCGCAAGCGCGACGATGTCGATGTCGACTCGACGCATTGGAAGCGGCAACTCGAAGGACACGTGTATAGAGAGGCCCATTTGCGGACGGTGAAGAGAGGGAATTTGTATAGAGCGACGAGCGACAAGAGAAATGGGCTTATTGGGGAAGACGTTGGCGTCCAAAGACTTGAACTCACCTCTCAGTCGCTTTCTCTCAACGCGTTATGTTGATTAGTTCGCGATTGGGAACGGAATAATAGACGGCGCTGGTTGACGGAATAGGAAGAACCACATCGCCGAGCGAATGTCGAGACGCCCCGGAAGAAGAAGTGGAATGGAAAGATTTCTCCAGGTTGTGGTGTTGCTGGATAAATGTCGGAGCGAGTCTGCATCTGCTTACGTAATGTGATCACTGATGATGTCTACCTTAAGGTAGGTACCTTAGACGACTCCTATGTTAGATCACGTGATGTTAAGCGCTTGGCGTGGGAATAATTGCTGCATATTCGTATCGTAATTAATTAGTGGGAATAACCAGGGGGATCACAACAATCCTCGCAATGTTTCACGAAATGTCCATGTACCTGCTAGCCCGGCCTTGAAAGATCTACATCTTTACCTACTGGTAGATCAAAACTCACCACTGATCATGCCAGCCCAGCCCAAAAACTGGCCCCAGCACCTGCCCTACCACCCATTGCCCATCCGGAGCAAAGGACTTACACCACGACAAGTGGAGACATTAACGCAAAAGCGACCAGGCGAGCCCTTCCTGGCGGCAGACCAGACACCAGTTCCCAGTCCCCTGGTGAAAATCACATCGATCGACGACCCGAGCCATCCAGCCTGTGGCCAGCACGGTCTCTTCGCAACGCGCCATCTCAAGCCCGGATCGTTCATCCTATTGTACGTGGGTACCGTGCACGCATCGTCCGGGCCCGACGTCGAGGAATCCGACTACGACTTGTGGCTAGACCGAGACGCCGGCCTCGCCATCGACGCTGCCAAGGGAGGGAACGAGGCCAGGTTTATCAACGACTACCGCGGGGTTGCCGAGCGGCCTAATGCGGAGTTTCGGGAGGTCTGGAGCCAACGAGCTGGGCAGCGGTGCATGGCGGTCTTCGTGCTCCCTGTAGGAAGCGGCCCGAATGCAAAGTCCGCACCGACTAGGCGAGGAATCGCCAAGGGGCAGGAGATTTTGGTGAGTTACGGGAAAGGGTTCTGGGGTCATCGGTAGTTGCAGTCTCTCGGGGGATTTACCCTCTTGGCGAATATAAAAAGCCTGTAGGATATCCTGTTAGTCCATATGTTCTAGTGAATCTTCCGAGGGGAGGAAGGGGAAAGATTAAGATGGGGGATATGTCCTGTCTCAAGCCGATCACGGATCAGATGGGGGGTACGAGTCCTGCAGGCGAAGCCTTGAAAAGGACGCGACCTCCCACGAACACCGACTACCCTAGGTGCGCGGATGAAGAATGGACAGGAGGCGAACGTGTAAATGGGAAGGTTTGCTCTATGTGACCGAGGCAAAAGAGACCGAGACGACGAAGAGAGACATCGTCCGCAACGCAGTGTAAAAGCAGGGGAAAGAAAAAGAACAAAAGAAAAGATAAAAAAAGGCCGTTATATAAACGGAAAAAATTTCAGACATCCACCCAAGTTTATAGCACACCAAGAAACCCAAGAAAAAACCCGCGCCGACACTCCGACTATGTGCGATCCCGCCTGTGATGTCTTAAATGTTTTAAACCTGCCCGCAACCCGCCCCATGCAACAACGAATGCTCTGTGCGCCATTCCGGCCGTGGTAATGCAAAATATTCCGTCCCTCCTCCTCCCGCCGCATGAGTGTGTCGTCTCTCTTCATCAACCCAGGACAAGGCGAAAGAAAAAAGGAAAAAAAAAAAATTGAGCGCACTGCAAAACACTATTGGGTATTCCAAAGATCAGTGTTCAAGGGCACACCATCGGCGGAGTCGTAAGTGGTAATGCCATCGTTGAACTGCTGGCCCCAAAAGACGGGGTCGTCTTCAAAGTTGAAGGACGACGCGCCACTAGTGGCCCCGGCGTCATCGAGCGAGGACGCAGCAGGAGGGGGAAGATCGAACTTGCTGGACGAATGTTTCAGGAAGGCATCGTAATCGATCGCCCCTAGGTCGGGGCCAGAGAAGAGCTGGTTCGAGCGCATGTAGGCGGCCGCATCGCCCGTGTTGAAGGCGTCCAGGTCGACGTCGCCCGTCAAAAAGTTGTCTTCCACTTCCGAGGCCTCGCACGAAGTCGACGCCGTGGCGGCGAGCGTGGGGGCCTGCTCGGAGCCGGTGCCCCAGTCGAACACGCCGTTGAGGCTTTGGCCGCACGGCTGGCCGTAGCTGGACGGCGCGAAGCTTTCGGTGCCCCTGTCCGGGAGCTCGATGTGGCTCCAGTCCACCGAGGCCGCGCTGAGGCCAGCGCTGAAAATGGGCGCGTCTTGCTCCGAGTACCCCGCGCCGCCGAACAGGTCGAAGCTGGCGTTGGGCATGTAGCTGGGGTACTTGATTCCCGACAGGTCTAGAGGCGGGAGCTGGGCGCTGAGCTGTTGAAGACCAGATGCGCCCGCCAGGAGGGGCGACGTCGCTTCCGACTTGACGCGACGCTGCCGGTGGGAAGACGGCATGACGCTGGCTCCGCCTGGGGTTGTGTCCCGGACAGAGCCGTCGAAAAAGCCGTCGGGGGAGCGGGATCCGAAAGTGCCGGAGCCGTGCATCGAGTTGACACGGCCGAGCTGATAGGGACTGGACTTGGACGCGATCTTGTTAGGCTTGTGGATGGGTTTGTGGTTGCCGTGCTGATCAAAAGTGAGGGGGCCATCGGAGTGCACCGTGTTTGCCCGACGACGTCGAACTGGAGGTCTCGGCCGCTGGTTCGCAGTCTCCTTGACGTTTTTGGTCGAGTCTACTTCCGGGACCGGGTCGAGTCCCGGTTCCTTTATCGTGTGACCGCAAGTGCATCGACCGCCATGGTTGCAACAACAGGTTTCTGTCATGAGGGGGAAAAAGAAAAAAAAAATCAGCACATCAGGGCCTGTCCTGACCCATGGCGAGCGAGGAAAAGGGGGGGAAACCGGGGGAGAAGAAAGGACAAGGTAGCTCAAGTCTTACCTCGATGGCCCTCGATAGTGGGTTGCAAATGGGCGCACTTGCTGGTCTTCTCCCCGCAGTCGCATTTGATGTGCGCAGCACGGGACTTGCGCATAGAACGGCAGTGTTGACATTGCGAAACCGGGCGCCCTTTCTTGTTGATATGTTGGAGCGGACGATCTACGACGAGACGAAGAGACGAAGCTCCGGTTAGCTGCAGCTCCCTTCCCGGGGATTCTTTGGTTCCACAGCTTTGTTTCCCCCGAAACTTTGATCTTTTGTCCTCGAAGATTGCCTCCCTCTTTCCTACACTTGTATGGGGAGAAGGAGGGGGTTCGGGCTCTTTTTTCTTTCTTTCTTTCTTCTTTCTTCTTCTTTTTTTCTCTACTTCTTCTTCTCTTATATCCTCAGGATCACGCCCCACATGCTGCGTCGTTCTCCGGGTCGTTACTCACCAGCATGCTGGCAGTTGCTCACGCGATGGCCCCTCACGCAAGACTCGCAGGCGTATTTCTCCCCGTCAATTATCATGTTGGCGAATTGGTATTAAGTCGTCCTCCGTGAAGGGCCTGTCCCCCCACAAACTGGGTTGAAGGGAAGGTTGGATGGGTTGGAGAGTAGGAGTAAGAGAGAACCGGAAGGTCGCGGAGGCTGTGCTTGGATCGGATCGGAGGGGGGAAGGCGGGTGAAGGCGGGGTGAAGTCCTTGGTTGAGCCCTCGGTGGCCCTTGGTGTTCTTCAAGCTAGCAAGGTTCGAAAGGCTTGTGCCAAACGACCACCTTGAATTGTTCGCCGCAAGGTTAAATCGCCAATGGGTTAAGGTTTTTCGAGGCGAAACAGGTGGCCGCCGGGAAGAACAGGGGACCTAAATCAGGGCAACGTGGGGATCTGGGTGCTGAGGAAAATTCATCGCGGAGCAGGACGTGGACATGGAGAGAGTTCAGTGAAGAACGTAGGAAGGGACCGAAAGGACCGTGACAACAACAGAGTACCACTGGTGTACGTGCTTGGGTAATTCGTGGGGGAGGGGCCCAAAAAAAAGAAAGAGGAAAAAAAAAAACTTTTTTCTATCTTGTTCTTTTTACTCATTCTTACCCCCTTTCTCACCCCCTTTCTCTTCTCTTATCCCACGCCCTATTTTCGCAACTTAAGCGGTCGCCGTATTCCGGCCGGAGAGGTGGGAACTCGGGATGGTGGGAATTATTTGTCCTCGCTTTTACTTAATGGGGCGTCTTTGGTGTGCTCACAGGTCTATTAGCCAAGAGCAATGGGGATTGGCCGTAGACCCGAAACGAGTAATAGTGTTCTCTTGACAGCCGCCTGGAAACTGGGTTTCCAAGGGCAAAACGATGTACGCAAGTACTCAGCTCCACATCGGTGCATAGGATAACCGCGTCTTTACGGCTTAACAGGTCCAATTCTCTGTCGCGATTTGATGAAGGTGGGGATGATGGGCTTTTTTCTTTTCTTTTCCTGATCGAAGTGGGAGTTTCGCGATGAATAATAGCCGGGTTTGGCGGATGGCTTGGCGATGACATCGCACACTTGGTACCTACGTTGTACAACGTACGAAAGCCTGTCTTACCCTGAGGTAGGTAAGGTAGTTACGAAGTACCTGGGCAAGGGCGGACTGACTGAGGGGAGGGGGAGGGGGAGGGGTGGCTCGGAGAGAAGAGGGCGAAAAGCTGACATTGATACACAGATGAGAAGAAATCCCACCAGTTCGCTCAGGGTTCTTGGGGGACCAGGGCCCCGCCCCGGGGGGCTCCGTTGCTTTGCTCGGATAACCTATGCTCCGCGCTCTGTCTAGGTATTTACGTTGTAATTGACAAAAGCCCGTCTCCCTAACGGTTGGCGCGGATACCTTATTATTAGCGAGACCAATTGCAACTTTGCAGGTGGACAAGTGACAGGTTTCGAGTGGGATGGACAAGACAGATGGACCGCCGAGCCCATCCGAGTCCAGTCGCAGCTCGTCGCAACAAAACGGGAATGAAAGGGGGGTCACAAGGTGGGGGGAACGGGAGGGTGAGGAACGAAGGTCAAGAAACGAGGGACGAAGGACGAGGAACTGCAGCAAAGAGAAGGAGGTCGGCCGACTGCTGCTTGAAGGGATTCCACGGGCGCGGCGAGGGAGGGAGACCCGAGCGTCTCCTCGTACGGATTACGGAGTACGGAGAGCGGTACCTAGGTAGGTAGGTACCTACCTTACCTTACATACCTACCTTACTGGTACCGGATATATCCACACTTTTGGCAAAATGTTGCGTGCCTTACCTTGCCTGTAGGTACTCGGCGGGTTCCACGGTTTGCTTGGGGACAAACGTGGGAGAATGGCCGACTTGTCCCCCTTCCCCTCAAATGTAAAGAACAAGGGGCATGCATCAAGTCTCAAAGTTACAGTCAAGTGACGAAGGGGCAGCGTGGCAGTTCTTTTCGATTGACATGCGTTTGCCTTTGCTGTTCAGAGTCGGTACGTATAAGTTAGGTACCGTAGTATTCAAGGTACCTTTACTGAGTAAGGTACGAAGTACAGTACAACGTACGGAGTACGTCTGTCAGGGTAATCGCCAACCTGGCCCGCCCCCCACGACTTTTCATGGGTTGGGGTAACTTCTAACAGGCAAAAAGCTCAAGCAGACATTAATCCACTGTTCGGGGTGTTTTTGTCCCATGGATACCCCGTACTCCGTACTCCGGCCGTACCGCACCTACCTATCTCGGGCATTGGCTTGTTTATTATTTATACGCACAAACCCTTTTAAAAAGGGTAATTATGGCCTATACGTATTCTCCAGCCGTTGTATAATGCAACCCGCTTCAATGTTGAGCTTTGTACCTACTCCGTGGGGCCAAGCCAATGCCAGTTCCGAGAGTGAGCCGCAAAGTACGAAGAGATTACTTGGTACTTGATAGGACGCCGTTATAAGGTGATGGTGATGGATGCATGATGATGTGCAGGAATGTACAGGTAGGTGGTGAGTTGAGTGTGGGGGGCTGACAAGCTCCCATTCCCAATCGTCAGTAAATCGGGGTTGGACCTCTGGACCTGGGCACAGACAGATGGCACCATCATGACAGCCCATATAACCCCCCCAACCCCCTCTCTTGGAACCGCTACCTAAGCCCCCCTCCCTGGGTCGGAGCGTGGGAGAAGGCAGGTCGTCTCCCACCGAGCATGACCGCATCAAGGTCTCAGACTAAATATCCGACGCATGTTGAATTGCTTAGCGGCTACCATACGGTTACTGAAAGATGATTTTGATGGGATACTAGGGTGGTGAAGAGCTGCCTTTCTTCCAGGTTGATCCTCACCTCAAGCTCCAGGGACTGATTCCGACTGCCGGCGTCTACCATGTAAAACCGGCCTAGACGTAATAGTGTACGGATACTCGAAATTATATTTATATTATATTTATATTACATGGGAAACGCGGCTGTGCGTCCCCTTACTACTCTCAAACGTTCTCCCTTGGGTAACCGGTCCTGACCGAGCCATGCCACATATGTGCATGCAGTACTCCGTACGGAGTACAGATGACCTCCGACAGATTGATCCCATGAAGCCAAGGCGTTCGCTCAGCCGTCTCCTGGTGGTCCCACTCATGTACCGTATGTAGTTCCAACATTAGCCGGCGCCAAAAACTCGTAACAGGCAACGGATGAATGATACAGGTACACAGCTTTTGGGCCACGGTTCAGGGCAATTCGGGAAAGAAAGGGAATGGTAAAAGGGAGGGACGTTGGATCCAGCCATGACATGTAAAAAAAATAAAAATAAAAAAAAATAAAAAGTTGAAATCTTACGTGTACTCCCCATAGCAAATTGCCCTATCAACTACGAATAATAGCCCGTACTCCGTACCCGTACGTCGGGATAGGGGCGTACAACGTACAGTCATCAACAAGTGGCCAAGGACGGGGTTCTCAGACCCCCTCCCCTGTTGCCCCGAGGGCGGAGGGAATGACTCCCTCCGACGGGCATGGTCTTTCAACCGCCCTCGGTCTTTGCTGGGCCGTTCTCCAAAACCACTGCTGTCCGATTTATGAGCGGCTCGACCAACTTGGGCAAGTCCGCCGGTGAGGTCTTGGCATCGGTGTCCAGCCCCTTGCACCGAATCGGCCCTTCACCGAGAGAGCCCGTTTCGATCCAGCCACACTGTTGTTCCAATTAGGTATTACAACCTGTTAGACCGGGAGTAGTATGTTGGGAGTCCGGAGTTGCGGGACGACCATTCTCTTCTGCCTCTTTTCTCACAATTCACAATCGTTCAAGTCATATGACAAAAATTCACAGATGGTGGGTCGGTGTTCGCGGGCCGGGGAAGAGAGGGCACTGCCATACTACGGATACTTTATACCGAACTCGCATTTCCCCTAGGGTACCGTACCTACTGTACCGTACCTATGTAAGGCAATTACTAAGCACGGAGAATCATCGGAACATTGTTCCTTTGCTGCTTGCTGCTTGCTGCCTCCCCTCTTCTCCTTACTGTCGATACATTCTTCTGTCTTCATCCCGAGCTGTCACGGGTCGATCTCTCGGCTTTTAATTTAGACACCCGTCGAATCTTTCGGACGTCAAGATGCCAGTAATTGTTTCCCAGTTGCTCTTACTTCGAAGATGGTTTGTTCCGGCGGATTAGCGCAGCATCTTGTCCCCCTGGGTCACAGCAAGTCGCAAAGATTCAAACAACATCATGCTTCTCTCCAACAGTTGCCAGATGATGTACAACTAAATCGTCGCCCAAGACAGTTTCCCGTCGGCAATTGTGACCTCGTCAATTACCGCGCTTGCCATGTGGATGAAGTAACCTTGGGTAGTCGATGGGCTTGGAAATCCAGTCGTGTCCCTGCGCGGTCCTGTTGAGACATACTGCCTCTGCCCCTTTTTGAACTTTTTTTTTCGTTTCCCCCGGCATTGGGCACTTTGGTTCGGCCCACTATCAATCCAAAGACTTCCGGTGAAGTCGCAGAGGAAAAAGCAGAAGAAAAAAAGAAAAAGAAAGAGAAAAGAAGAAAAAGAAAAAGAAAAAGAAAAGAAGAAACCCCCCCCCGGCTACCTACCCATGTGCCCCACTACGTGACAGGGAAAATAGACATCGAAAACAATGTTGGAACATGTGAACCACCTTCAGATTCGGGGCCCTAATTATGCAAGAAAAGCGTGGACGGGCTGTTTGCAAGCCGCAAGGCCAGGAGGCTCCATCACCGGAACCACCAATTAGCAGACACGTTGAGTCGTCCATCGGTATGGGTGCTCTTGACGCTGTGCCACCACCCCGTAGGGATAAACAGGGCATCGCCAGGGCCCAGTCGCGCTTCGAGTATGTCCCCCGAGGCGTCGGAACCCCAGACAATGGCATTCAACGCAACCCTTTCCGGTCCCTGCATCATCTCCGTCCCACGGATGCGGCTATTCGCCGGCCGCCCAAGCTGCGCCTGCACTCGTCGGAACGCCCGGTCTCCAGCCTGCGGAGACAGCAGCCTGACCGTCTTGTCACTGAGAAGCTGACAGAAGAGGTTGGGGTTAGGGTCCCGGTGTAGCGGGGTATATGTCGGCTCCAGGCCCATCCAGACGCTGGAGTTGTACACATCGCCTTTGCCTGCTTCCCTGACCAGGCGCGGCGTTGGCAGGTCTCGCTGGAGATGGGCGGGTAGGTCAGAAAGCGGAGACTGGGCAATGTAAAGTTGCTTGAGGATGATGTCGTCTTGCGACTGGTTAAACTCCACTGCCCTTAGAAGGAGTAGGAGGGGGGCTTGGAAGAGAGAGAAGCTCGGTCCAGAACCAGCGGGAGGCTGAATCGCGCCTTGGAGAATCCCGGAAAGCATCGTGTTCATGTTCACGGGATCAGAGCCGGACAGCAGCCAACTGATAAACCGCTGTATAGGATCTACCGAGCCATCGTCCTCCTCCGGGTGCTGAGGAATGGTGAGCTCATAAGGGAATATATGATGGGCGAACTGGCCCATGTAGGAACTGAAGGCGGCATGGGCAGGACCTGGGGCCAGCGAGCTAGCCTTGCCGTCACCGTCAAACCATTTGAGTAAGGCTGGGAAGGAGCTGTCTTTTCCTGACGAGCCTCTGGTGCCTTTAAAGAACCATGGACGTCCAGGTGAGAATGCCTCGTCACGGAAGCGGGCTATGTCGACAGAAGAGTATGGGGACGAGCTCGAGTCAACGAGGCGCGCTGTCGTAATAAATGTTCGACAACCCCCTGTCCTGGCAAATAGAGAGGGAATCCAGCGTCCTTTGATTGCCCTTGCCAGTCTCATAGTTCAAGAGGCATCGAACGTGGTTGAGGCAGGGTACGGTAGGTAAAGATGGAAGATACCTTGTTATATGTTGCTTCAACGAAGAGGATGTCTCGTCCCGTACTCCTCTTATCTGAGATCGATGCGCGGCATCTAAGGTACGTACCGGTAAGACATTCAGCCCTGACGGTACATCCCTACCTTGTTACCTACCTTACCTTACCTAGGTAAGGTAAGGTACGGTAGCCTAGGTACCTTACTCCGGTACAACCAATTACGGTACGTACTGCTCGTATTCATCCGTCTCCTCCCACTTCAACGGGTCTGCCGACCCTCAACACCACCGCCGAACCAAAAGTTCGCATCAAAACGCACATAGGGCGACTCTATTTTCCCTTGCTGGAACTCCCGTCTCCCCCACCACCACCGCAAAAAGACTAGGTCGACGAGATCTGCCACGACCTTTTTCTTTCTTCCGTTTTTTTTTTTTTTTTACTTTTTTTATTCTCCCAATCCCTTCGCCCCTTCGCCCCTTCGCCCCTTCGTCCTCCTTGTCTCTGATATCATGCGAAACGCCCCTAGTTGAATATGCACCAGGTTTGACTGAAGGCGTCCCATAATTTTCTACCCCGCGATTCCATCGTCAGATCTGGACCCCTCGACTTCGAATTTGCCGTCCAGTGCTCGATCGAGAGACGTGCCTCGTGCCCGTGCCCCTGCCCGCGCACGCGCCGTGAAGCCGACGCTGCCCTCACTCACCTCCCATCATTTCATAGAAACCCTCGCTGCCACCCACCGACTGGGGGGGAGGGGGGGAGCCAATCCCAGCGATAATGTCCACGTCCTCCGGTACACCCGAGTCGTGGGTGTCTTCCTTCTGCTCCCTGTTGGGCCATGAATATTTCGCAGAGGTGTCGGAAGAGTTCATCGAGGATGACTTCAACCTTACTGGCCTACAATCACAGGTTGCCATGTACAAGGAGGCTCTTGAGGTAAGCGAGTTCGTCCCACAAATGCCCGCTCCCTCCCACGTCTGCTTTCTCTGTTAACACATACGGGCCGTGTGGTAGATGATTCTTGACGTGGAACCCGAAGACGACGAGGAGGACGAGGAGGAAGAAGAAGAAGAGGAAGAAGAGAACGAGTCGGGCGATCCGGAGCGAATGACCGCGCGACAAGAGCGGCGTCATACCCGCATGGCGAGCGACCTCAGCGTCATCGAATCATCGGCCGAGATGCTGTACGGCCTCATCCACCAGCGCTTCATCTGCTCAAGAGCCGGCATCCAACAAATGTGCGAGAAGTACGAGCTGGGCCACTTCGGCTTCTGCCCGCGGACCAACTGCGACCAGGCCAAGACGCTGCCCGTGGGCCTGTCCGACATCCCCGGCGAGGACACGGTCAAGCTCTTCTGCCCGTCCTGCCTCGACGTCTACGTGCCGCCGAACAGCAGGTTCCAGACCGTCGACGGCGCCTTCTTCGGCCGCACCTTCGGCGCGCTCTTCCTCCTGACCTTCCCGGAATACGACCTCACAAAACGTGGGGCCAGCGAGATGCTCCGCGGCAGCAGCGGCGGCGGTGGCGGCGGCGACGGCGACGGCGCCCGCGTCCACGAGTCGCAGTACGAGACCGTCAACGGCATGTACGCCCGGAACATCGCCCCCGGCCTCGGCGTCGGCCGCCTCTACGAGCCCAAGATCTACGGCTTCCGCGTCTCGGAGATCTCGCGCTCGGGCCCCAGGATGCAGTGGCTCCGCGACCGGCCCGACGACATGACCGAGCTGGACGAAGCGCGGCTCTACGCCGAGCTGCATCCCGATTCCGACGAGGACCACAACATGAATCCGAACAGCAACACCAGCGGCAGCAGCCGCCGCCTGGTCCGGCGGCGCCCGCCCGGTAATGCGCGCCTCCACCGGAACCAGGCGGCGCGGAACGGGAGCCCGATGAACGTGGAGGCGAACGGTGGCGCGGAATCGGAGCTCTAGACGGTGTCGTCGTTACAGATGAGAGGAACATATCATATACACCAAACGATGTGGTTTATTGGCGGGAGAAGGGGGTTTCGCAACCCTCGAGCCTACTCTACTACTTCTTTGCTTCGTCCCAATTCGGAGCCCGCGGCGTTGCGGTGAACTGGTGTACTACTGGTGTACTACGGTCAGGTCAAGGTGGACATGGCAGAAAGGGGGGGGGGGGGGGGGGGGAGCCAACAAAAGGCAAAGGAAGAACAACAAAAGGCAAAGGAAGAACACGATGGATGAAATCTGGGCTCTGTGTCTTTCTATGTCTGTTTTCTCCTTTTTTTTTTTCTTCTTTTTTTCCCCCCCATCATTGTTTCCTTCTCATACTTCTCTCGGAGCATATGGTTCAGGGCCTCACAGCAGCGGCCTTTCCTCTTCCTCTCCCCTTCTTGTTTTACCTTTGCTCGAGGTGGCCTTGGGATCAATGATCAATGAGGAGGTCTGAAGATGTTGTGGTGCTTTGCTTCATGCGGGATAGAGCTTTGTAGGTCACAAATATGCATGCATCCTACTCCAAGCGTACTCGTCGTGGACGCCTTTGGCCTTGGGTTGCGCCATGAAATGCCTTCTCATCGGTCCCTCGAGCCAGGATAAAGGCAGCTAACTGCATTAATTGTATTCCTGTATTGGTGGCGAGCATCCGTACCACGCCCGTCCCTATGTGTTGTCATGACTGCCGTCCATCCATCCCATCATCAAATCCTCCAATCCGAGACAAGAAACGAGAGAGAGAGGAGAAAAAAAAAAAGGGGGGGGGGGGGAGGAGAAGGGATCCGTGAGATAGTTCGTTCCTTCAACGCCTGCCTTGTTGACCTTGTGGCTTGCGGGAGGCCGTCCTCTACTCCGCAAACCTGTCTGGTGAGCCACCTGCCGGGGTATCTGCTCCCTCTCTCTCTCTCTCTCTGTGTGTGTGTATGTGTGTGTGTGTTTTGATGGGCGGGTTGTCCCTTCAACTGCAGTACTATTTTCGCATCTCCTTGTCGTGCCGCTGTTACGCTTTTGTCTTATCTCGGTTCCCAAACCACCCGCCAAGCTCCCATGCACCTTCCGCATAGAGACACGACGTGCGGACACCGTCATCGGCAATGCCGAGCAGCAGCGTGTTGAGCCGCTTGAAGTCGATGGGCTTGGGGACCCAGCCGTCAAAGCCGGCATCCGCGTAATTGTCCCTTTCCCGCTCCACCAGCGAGGCCGACACTGCGAAGATGGGGATGCGGCCGTTGCGTGCGGCGAGCGGGGAGTGTCCGCCGTGCTGATTTGAGCGCTCCAGTGACCGGATCATCTTAGTACTCGCGATTCCGTCGACGATGGGCATCTATTAGGGGGGGTGGGGGGGGGGTTGGCAATGTCAGGTCAGTTTCTAGTTCTTCGGGGTTTGATATGATAGCGCGGGGGTTTTAGTTGAGTTGGGCTGCTTCACGGGGCTGACGAACCTGCATATCCATCAGAATCACATCGAAGGACCCGGACGTTTCGCGGAATGCGACGGCGCACTCTTCGCCGTTGACCGAGTTGTGAACCTCGTGGCCTGCCTTCTCTAACCGTTTCCGTATGATCTTCATGTTGATGGGATCATCTTCCGCAACGAGGACATGGAGCTTCGCAGGAACGGGGGCAGCAGCTGGGACGTTCGCCGTCTTGGTCTTGGTTTCTGTTGCCGAGACGGGCGGTCCAGCCTCTGTGGTGGCGACCCGAGACGACGCATCGGTCAGCTGGGGCCTGTCGGACGGTGCAGGTGCAACACGAGGACTTTGGGAGACTTGTTCTGCGGGAGGTGCCGCCGGTTGGCCATCCCCGCCATCGGCCTTCGGCTCCGGGGGGCGAGCAAGCGCGGTGGCGTCTTGGGTGCTGTTATCCCAAGCTGGCATTGCCAGCTCGCGGATATCGTCGTGTCCTTCCTGTGCCCGGTCTTCGGAATCTGGCGCCGCCTCTCCATCGAGGGGCAGGGAAGTATGGAGAGCATTGATGAGAGCCTCGGCATCACCGGGAACCGGCTTGTCCCGCTTGCCCATGGTAGGAATGGCTTGGTCTTTTGGGCTGTTGCGACTTGCCACCCTCGTCTGCGAGGCAGTTCCAGTTCCAGTTCCGCTTCCGCGATCGATCAAGGTTATTTCGCCGTCAGCCGGAGACGCAGGCATGGAGACTGGTGCGATAATCGACCCGGTCACAGAGCAGGCCGGTCGACTCTCGTCTTCGGACGACTGCATCGCCTCTTCAGGCAGGTCGAACGGCAACTGAATCACGAACCGAGATCCTTGGCCTTCCTCGGACTTGAGACGCAGCTGGCCATTCATGTTTCGTACGACGCGTGCCACAACAGCGAGCCCAAGGCCCAAAGTACGGCGCTCAACGCTGGGTTCGGACTCCCGAGGCGACTGTTCCGCTTCCAAGCCGACCTGTTCGAGGTTGCGGAATAAGGTGTCGAGCTGGTCGGAGCTCATCCCTGTCCCCGTGTCTTGAACGACAATCTCGACCCGGACTCGACGATCCAGCACTTCGGTCACGTACAACTCCACCTGAACCACCCCCCCGGCGCCGGTGCTGGTGCCGGTGTGCTGCACGGCGTTGGCCACAACGTTGGAGATGGCTTGCCGGACCCGTCGTCCATCGCCACACACCAATCGGGGGAGGCCCGGGTGTTCGACGACGGTGTATTCGATGCCTTTTCTTCTGGCTTCATTCGCGAACATATCCGTGGCCTCGCGGAGGCACACGGACAGGTCGAAAGTCTGGTCCGTAACGGGAGCCTTACTCTGCTCCGTCTTGGTCAGGTCGAGAAGGTCGTTGATGACATAGATCAACGACTTGGAGGCGGAATGGGACTTGGCCAGGTTGTCCCTCGTCTCCTGGTCCAGGCTTCCTTCCAGCGCAATCTCGAGATAGTTGATGATGGCGTTGAGAGGCGTGCGCACCTCGTGTGCCGAGTTGGCGAGCAGCAGCTGCGTAAGCCGACTGCGCTGCATGGCCGCTTCGCGCTGGCGCCGGACCTCGATGAATTTGCCGTACACGAGACAAAGAACGGCGGCCGTCTCGACCTCGTCCTCGGACCACTCCTTGCACTTGCCAAGCACCGTCTCGCGCCAGAGATGGAAGCTCTTTCGGGGTTCCAGGTACGCCTTGGTACCCTCGCGGATCGTCTTCTCGTACGGGTTCCCGGCCCACTTGACCTCCTTGGCCTGGCCTTTCCGGAAGAAGACGACAAAGTCGTCGCCGGCGACGCTCAGCGGGACGTAGAGGAGCCCGGCAATGACGGAAAAGCCGGGAGGGTAATTCAGGTCGGGGAAGTCGGCGCGAATGTCTTGGGACACGGTGACGGCGGTCAGCTGGCGCATGCGCAGGTATTCGAGCATGGCCAGGGCCTCCTGGGTCTGCTCCAGCTTGCCGAGGATTTTGGATTCTCCCTGGATGGAGACCAGTCCAAAGTCGGCGTCGAAGAGCTTGAACAGGTCGTCGGAGGATGCGGCTATGTAGCCGGAAGGGTTCTTGTCGGACGGGGTCGTGTTGATCAGTTTCCGGGCCTGGAGCCTGGACGCGTACGACAGCCGCTCGATGTTGCGCGAAGCCGTGTCGCCGATCAACCGACACATCTTGCGGACGGGGAAGGACACGCGCATGCCCTTGGGCCCGTAGGAGTGGCAGGCGATCAGCCCCCAGAGCTCGTTGAAGGCGGTGATGGAGACGGACATGGAGGAGCGGACGGCCATGTTCGCCAGGTACTTGACGTGGATGGGAGACATGGCGCGCAGGTACGAGTGGCTCATGTCGAGGGGCTTGTCGAGTTCGTCCTTGGACCTGCAGACCAGCCTCGCGGATTCCAAGTCGCGATCGTAGAGGAGCCTGACCCTGTTGAGTCTGTAGAGCTCGCGCGCCTGTTTCGGGATGTCCGAGGCCGGGAAGTTGAGGCCCATGTAGAGGTCGAGGGTGTGGGTGGTGTCGACGAGCTCGGTGACGACCTTGCCGTTCTGCGCCTTGTCAAACTTGTAGATCATGACGCGGTGGAAGCCGGTGAGCTCCTTGACGATGCCGACGAGGATTTTGAGGAACATGTCCAGGGAGGTGGCCGAGGCAAGCTGTTCCTGGACCTGGGTCATGATGTCGAAGACCTGCATGGCGCCGGCCTCGCCCCTGCGCCTCCTTGCGGACCTCAGCACCCTCAGAGGCTTGCTGAGGATCTCGGTGCTTTCGGCAAGCTCCTCTCGGGTCGGGGTCGACTGCAACGTCTCTTCGGGGGTCTCCGGAACGAGCTCGCCCGGGGGACGGAGAGGGTAATCGCGGTCATCGTCGAGTTCGAATTCGCAGATGATCAGCTCGGGGTGGGCCCGGTTGATGTGGATGGCGCACCAAAGCCTGATGGTCTTCTTCATGGGCGGGCGAACCGAGAGGCTGAAGACTTCGGAGCCGCTAACCGCCGGGTCGGCCTCCTCGTCCCGGATGAAGTCGATGTGGTCCAGGAGGTTGTCTTGTTGTTCGTCGGTCAGGATGTCGAGGAAGTTGGAGAGCTGGAAGAGCTGCTGCGGGGTATATCCGATGATCCTGGCGGAATTCTCGCTGACGTAGCGGACCGAGAAGTGGCCGTCGTCCTCCTCGCGCAAGGCCACCAGCAGGCCAAAGGCTTGAATGGCACCCGGCGTATGGATCGGCTCGTCTTCGCATCGCTGGAGAGTCTCCTCCCTGCCCGTTATGACAGCATGGCCGTCGTCGGTCATGACGTGGCGGAAGCGAGTGGTGAACATTTCCTCGTTCACGGGCTCGTCCAAGATTTGCGAGTCCCCGGCACCACCCCCCTGGCTTGTACCACCGGCGGCGGCGGCATTAGCAGCATCATCCCGTGAACCCCAGTGTTCTTCTTCGGCGTCGTCACCGGTCTGTTGGAACGAGAGGGGTAAAGATGACGACGGCGACCGGTGGCGGGAAGAAGCAGAAAGCGAAGCAGAAGCGGTGGGCGCAGCGTCGGTTGGTATGTTTGCCGTCGAACTGGTCAGGGTATGCTTCGGCAGTGACCTGACAGTGGAAGGGTCGGCCGACGATGTGAGAAACGGGGAGAAGGGACCGGACGATGTGTTGGTGCCATAAGGCGTGGCAGGGCCGAGTGACACGGCATCCCGGCCGCCGCGGACATGGTCGGAGTGGGAAAGGTTGGTGACGTCGCCGGCGTAACTGGAATCTCGCCGGACAGCGGTACTGAGGACGGAACGGATGGGAAATACTCGGTCGGTTGAATCTGATGTGGCACTATGACTGAAATGAGCGACGGGTCCGGCAGGCCGTAATGATGTAGTGTCGGCGGCCGCACTGGCCACCTGCGGTTGAGGAGCTGGTTGAGGAGCTGGCTGAGGAGCTGCTGGCGACAGCGGTGGCTTGTCGGTGGGATGGCCGTCCATTCTCTGGGGGGGCTTGGCCGGCGGGCAGCACACCGACAAGTTCTGCAGGAATATTGCCGCGCACGTCCGTCTTCTCACTGATTTAATGTGACGGCACTTTTAGAAGCAAAAGGCTGGCGGGAGGGGAACGGGGGAGTTTGTGGGGGCAAGACAGCGAAGGGCCGAGACAGCCAGCGAGGAGGCCACTCGGAAAGACGTCCGTCCACTGGTTCTGCAGCATCAAAGTCTGGGTCTGGGCCCGGGTCTGGGTCCGGGTCTGTATCCGCTACTAGTAGCTAGTCTCGTTGCCAAGAGCGTGGATTGGCCAAAAGATCGAAGCGGTTGGATGGAAGGAGTGAAGGTGATAGAGAAGGTGATAGAGAAGAGAGATTTGGGGGGGGATGGACTTGAAAGAGAAGCATAGGATCCGTATCGCAATGTCAGATTCCTGGGATCGACAAGCCGATATCAACCCATGGTCAATCTTGGGGGGAGAATGGCGAAAGGTCTACGTAAAGCCCTGCGACATTGCCAAGTGAAAACCGAAGCCGGAGAGAGAGCTTTGGGAGCTTTGAGAGGTGGTTAATGGTGGTTCGTTTAGGTCGTGGGAATGTGGGATGTGGACTCGTGGAGTGGCAAAAGCAATGAGTGGAGTTACTCCCGTAGGTACGTACAACGTACACCTACTGCACGGCCACATCATACACGTGTACTACAGGTACGTTGTACATGGCTTGTGTGGTTCCTGCGTAACTAATAAGCCACATATTTCGGAGCAGAAGCTCCTAGACCCCGGTGCTTGGGCAGTAGTGTAATAGCGGGGAAGCAAGTGGCAAGTGTGTAAAAGAATTTTTTTTTTTTTTGGAAGAAAGTGCTTACCTTACAAATTATGGAGTATCTGTCTCTTAGGTATCCGCAAGGTACACAGCCTGCACTGCAGTAAGGTACACTACGGTACCTAAGACCTACAGTGCCTACGTACATCAGGCCGACGGGTTCTCTTTCCTTCTCTTGGTCTTTTCCCCTCGTTCTAGCGTGGGTTTTGCTTTTGCTTTAGGAGTAATCTCCGGAAAAAGGAAGGAAAAAAGAAAAGAAGAAGGAAAGAAGAAGGAAAAAAGAAGAAAAGAAGAAAAAAAGTGTACCGGCTTCAAACTTCCCCTTCCAACGAGAAAAGCTTCACGACAACCATCAAAACACAAAACGCGCAGAGTATATATAGTTTATTAAATATAGAAAAGGAAATATAAATAGTAGGCCGGTGGCTCTCGCAAGCTAATTTTCGGAAACATAACCCGGTTTCGACTGTCGATCTATAAGGTAACCAAAGACATGTACACTGAGCACACCCTTACCACGAACTCAACTCCACAGATCTATCATCGAGGGAAAGACCATCTACACCCGTCTATGGCTTGCAAAATAGACGGCTTGCCCAGCTCTTCTTCTCATCCGCCTTGGCATATCCCTCCTCCTGCACATTGTGCCTGCCAACGATGGTCAAGAACACCTGGTCCAGCGTCGTCGGGCTCACGCTGAAATGCAACACGCCGAGCTTCTCCTTGGCCTCCTCCAAAGCCACAACCAGCCGCCCGAGCACGCTGTCCGAGAGATCCTCGCCCGACCGCGTGATCTGGTTCTGGTTCTGGTTCTGGTTCTGGTTCTGCGGCTGCTGCGAGCCGAGGACCGCATTCGCCTCGCTCGCGGGCACCGAGAACCGCATCTGACCGTGATACGTCTTGTCAAACTCCGCCGAAGGGAACTTGCTGGTCACCCAGTTGCGCACCCGCTCCGTCTCCTCGGCCTTCGTGTACGGCGCGCTCTTGCTGATCAGATGCACGTGCAGAGCGTCGCCGAACCGCCGCCGCAGGTTCTCCGTCGTGCCGAGCGCCAACATGCGCTTGGCGAGGATGCCGGCCCGCGTCGCCAACGCCGCCGCCTCCTCCATGCTGTGCGTCGTGAGCAGGAGGGATCGCCCGGGGATCGTGGCCGCCAGCGTCTTCCACATGATGCGCTTGGCTGCCGCGTCGAGTCCCGAGGACGGCTCGTCCAAGAGCACCACCGTCGGGTTGCCCATCAGCGCGATCCCTAGGCTGAGCTTTCGCTTATTGCCCCCCGAAAGGGAATGCGCCATGCGGTCCGAGAACGCCTGCAGCCCGACGGCAGTCAAGATGGCCTCCACATTCCCTGCCACGTCGGCGATGCCACGGACCCTGGCGTAAAACTCGAGATGCTCCCGTACCGTCATCTGGTCCAGCGCGTCGTGCTGCGGGCACACGCCGAGGTTCACTCGCGCTGCCGCCAGCTCCGAGAGCACCGACTTGTCCTCCACGAAAATGTCACCTCCGTTACGGCTCGGCTTGAGGTCGCCGCGAATCAACGAAATCAGTGTGCTCTTTCCGGCACCGTTGGGTCCGAGCACCGCGAACACCTCGCCGCGTTTGATCCCGAACGTGACGTTGTCCACCGCCGTGTTCTTGCCAAACGACTTTGTCACGTTGACCACCTTGAGGCCATTATCATCCGTCGAATCCGGGTTCTTGATGCGCACCTCCTCGCCTGCCACCTCCTCGTCAATGTCGTCAACCTGGGATTCCGGTACACCCTTCCTCCGGAAGAGAGAGCGGATGGACGACCCTGGGGAACCGCCATCTGCCCAGAGCAAGAATCCCAGGAGTAGGGCCGACTGCACCACGAGATACAGAATCGGTCCTCCGTACTGCAGCATACCCGCGGGGTTGGGAGCAAGCCGGTCGTCTTCGCACGCCGTCGAGAAGATGTTCAGCGCCACCAGGAATGTTCGGAAGATGGAAGAGATGGGCGCAAAGATGGACATGACGAAGTGGACAATCAACAGCGACCTGTCGACGGTCTCGATGGGCGCCGAGGTGAAGGTGAAAAAGTAACCAATCATGTAGATGAGGAAGACCACGGCCTGGTACAGGGCGACGCTTGCATAGGCCCCCAGCTGCGTCTTGCTGAACAGCGAGACGCAGTACGCCAGGAGGATGGACGCCAGGCCGTAGAGGATGAAGATCAGGTACAAGTATCCCACGTGGTACCAGATGTCGGAGAGGGCCGCCCATAGGGCTATGCAAATCGCGGAGGATACCAGCACGATGGAAAAATCGAAAGCGATGTAAGCCAACCACAGCGGCAGCGGCCGCACACCGTTCGAGTACTGGAGACCTCGCACGTAGCCCCGCCGCTCCGTGCTCGGGTACAGAGCGAAAAAGCCCGGGTAGACGCAAAGAATGAGCGTCATGTAGACCAGCAGCTGCAAGGAATCCGTGTTTTGATCGGCCCAAGGGATCTCAAGCGGGGCGTAGCGTGCAGACACCGTGACATTGGTTAGCAGCATGTCGAGTATATTTTGACCGAGCAGGGCGTTCACCATTCCGCCCCTGTTCCCGCGGTAGGCTAGGGTGGGGGGGACGTCATCATCGCCAAGCCAGAGCCCTCCAGGCATGAGCTCGGTTCGCCGGTCAATGACCGACTCCCTGAAGGACTCGAAATCGTCGACGATGGTCGTGTTCTGCTGAAGCATCCGCACCAAGAAAGCCATGGCGCCGCCGTCCGAGTCCGAGTCCGGCCCTCCGCCGCCGCCGCCGCCGCCGTTGGAACCACCGCCGGCCGCGTACTCGAAGCTGGGACCGAGAACCGCCGCCGCCGCCGCCATATTGAGCCTGCTCGAGGGGCCGATGACGAGCCCCAAACCGCCGCCGCTGAGGCTTAGACCCTGGGCTTCGTTGCTGAAATTCTCCTCCGGGGGCGCGCAGCTTCCCAGCTGGCCGTCTTGGATAAAGATGGTGGTGAGACCTGCGGCTATGATTGGCAAAAGAAAGGCGGCGACGAACGGAAGCCAGTTCGTCTTGAAGACGGTGCAGCGTTTCCGGAACAGGATCCATGCTTGTTGAGGGTACGAGATGGGCTTCCCGTCCATAAGGGTCAGGCCCTTTTGCGGTGAGCTTGTGCCTGTCAGCGCATCCTTCTTCTCGGACAGGTCCGCGAAGCCGTCCTGGGAGCTTCTTTCGGAGTCGCCTCGGGCCTCTTCGGCCAGATGGAGGAAAACGTCCTCGATGGTCGGGCTGGAGAAGCGATAGCCACCAATGCCGTGAGCTTCGAGGGTGCGGATGACCTGGGCAGCGAGCGCGGAAGATGGGGCTACGTAGGTGATGACGTCGAAAGCGACCTGCTTTTGGACCCCTTCGACATCGGGGACGTCGGTGATGCCAGTATCCTTGGGCACAATCACACGGTAACCGGCACCGAGGTCGTTCTTCAATTCGACTGACGAGCCGCTGGCGCGCAGGGTCCCCTTGGACAGGATGACGATTTGGTCCGAGAGCATATCAGCCTCGTCGAGGAAGTGCGTGGTGAGGATTATAGTGCGCCGCCCGCGTTCGGCCAAGAGAATGTCCCAGATCTTGCGTCGGCTCAGCGGGTCTACGCCGCTACTGACCTCGTCGACACAGCATACGGCACTGCCACCCGTGAGCATCATGCCCAGCTGGAGCTTACGCTTCTGGCCGCCAGAAAGGGTCTTGGAGCGGGCCTTCCTCTTGAGTTCGAGGTCGATGGACTTGACCAGGTCCCGAATTTCCTCCTTCGAAGCGAGTTTTCCAGGCGACTTGAGGCGGTTGAAAATCCTGACATGCTCCTCGACCGTCAAGTCATCCCAAAGCACGTTCTTCTGCGGGGCAATTCCGAGACCGCCGGTGCCATCGATGGTAATAGAGCCGCTTGTGAGCTTGTTGGTGCCGGCAATGCAGTCTAGGGTAGTACTTTTCCCGCTGCCGTTGCTTCCGAGTAGCTTGATGATGTGGGCGAGAGGTTAGCGAACAAGAGGGAGAGTCAAGAAGAAAGAAGAAGAGGAGAAGAACTCACGCCTAAGATTTGGCCTCGCCGCGCTTCCAAATTCAAGCCATCAACAGCCCGGACGGTCTCACGCGGTTTCGAGAAGACGGAGAAGACGCGCTGGAAGAAAGTCGGGGGATAGTACTTGCTAAAGCCTTCGAGGCGGACGGAAACATCGCTATCGCTGCTGCCGTCCGTGGACAGCTGGCCATAATGCACGACCCGACCTTTGCTGCTGGTGCCGAAGCGGTGAGCCTCGATGAGGGCTCCGATGGCGGGATAGGCAAAGATTTGGATGATGGCGAAGACCCAGAAGACAATACCTGCGACGTCGAAGGAGCTGGTTGGGGCGACGTTGACGAGGTTCATGCCGATGCGCTCTCGCTCGTAACTGGCGACGGTGACGAAGAAGTAGACGTAGTTGCAAGGAATGAACAGCAAGCTAAGGGCAATGACGGGGCCGGTGCCGGGCCTCGTCAGGACCTGGGCCAGGACGCCAAGGAGAGCGGTGGACAAGAGGGCGGTGATACCGCTGAGCTGGGCCTTCTGGAAGAAAGACGAGATGAGAAGAGCGGCTGAGGTCATGGCCAGACCGGCGATGATGTAGTAGATAAGCACGATGCCCATGTTGGTGAAGGAGAAGATTCTGATCTGCAGCACGATGGCGCTGATGACCCAGCCCGGAAGGTACAGGAGAGAGAAGGTAATGTGGTAGGACAGGATGCGGGCAAGCTGGGCGATCCAGCGTTTCCGAACGGGCATCATGGCGTCGATGAGCTGGATCATGCCACTCTCCCTCTCGGCGGCGATGAACCCGGTCATGTGGTAGGCGACGAGAATGATGGTGGTCAGGAAGGCGACGGCTAGGAAGTTGATGACGCTCGTCTGGTAATTCCTCCGCACGTCCTCTCGGTACTCTTCTTCGGTCCTGGTGGTGAAGGGATAGCGGTCGATGGTGGCGGGAAGATCGGCGGGCCGGGGAGCGGATGAGTCGGCGGCATCGTCGGAAGCGTTCGCGCGGGCGACATCGGAAATGGCCCCGTCCACAGCCTTCTGAAGCGGTAACAGGTAGCGGTCCATATCGTTGCGGTTGCTGTTGACGTTGATGCGGAAACCGGTGATGGCGCCATCGTGGAAGAGGGTGTAGCTCCAGATACCGGCGTCGCCCTCGGTAGGCGACGAATGGAAAACGACGGCACCGAAGCAATCGGTCACGGCTCGCTGGCCGGGCTCGCAGTCTACGTTGAGGTCGCGCTCGCTCTGACGACGGAGGACTTCGATACCGTCGACCGACTCGGCTTCGGTGACAAGAGTGTCGATCACACGGTCGATCGGGCCATCATCGAAGCCGCTGTTGACGAAAACGATTCGATGACGGGAGTCGGATTCTCCCAGGGCCTGAGAGAGGGAGCGGATGGGAGCGGGTTCGCCAACGCCGAAGGTGACGGGGGGTAGGAGGAGGTTCTGGGCCACGCCGAAGAAGATGGCGAGGATAACAGGCAGAATAAACGAATTAAAGGCGAAAGTAAACGGGTGTCGTATGAGTATGATGAAGTTTTTATGGACTAATGTCCCCGTTTGGCGAAGGAAGCCCATGATGGTGGTGTCTAGTCGTAATCGCCAGTTGAAGGCCGGCCAGCCTCTGAACGAAGATACAGACCTCTCCTCTCTATATGTTGCCTGTTGCCTGTTCCTACTCACTGTGCCAATGTCTGTTTGGGGTCAGTATGGCAGAATTAGGGTGTAATGGAAGATCGTAGAGGTGATCAAGGATCATCACCAGTGACCAACCCACCACACATCTCACAGGAGCAAAGGGGGTAAGAGAAGGCTCTAACTTACTCGAATGGTTATCAACGGGTAAATTGTTATTCCAGTCTTGAATATTCAAGTCAAATGAGACCAGGCGGGAAGAAAAGGAAAAGAAGAAGAAGAAGAATAAAAAAGGAAAGGAAAAAATCGAGAGAAAAGGAAGGACAAGTCAAATAGGCTGTTACAGAATTCAAGGTGGAAATGCACCACCAACCCTGCTCTTGGGCTCTGAACTCAGAGGATCAAGAAGCAAAATAATACTGGCAACAGCGTCAGTGTCGAAACAAAAGAAGGGGAACTATGAATAATAACCAAAAGGAGTGCGGGGGGTTCTAGGAAAAATAATAGACAAGGTGAAGCGGAAGCGGAGAGAAATTCAAAGGGAAGCATGAGTTGGGGAGATCTCGTGGGATTCTTGATGACGACGACCCTTGGGCTATCGCTTTGATCGGTATTTTCTAAGGCAAGGTACCTAGGCAGGCAGTCGACTTTAGCTGGGCGTCCCCCATCTTTCCTTCCCTTTCCCCCTGTGGCTGAGCTCCTTTTGCGCCTTGGGGAATGAACGAACGCGGAAAAAAAAAAACCGTTGTCAATTTCGGGAGCTGCCCTCCAGGTATGGGGTACTTCCTAGCTAGGTAGGTACCTGTATGGATTGGATACTTATTTCGGCGATGTACTCCTTATTAGCCCCCCGCTTCTGTATCATCATCAGCCAGTCAAGTCATTATCCGTCATACCTCTCTGCCCTTCTCACGAATACGGTCAGGTATTCCCTTCGGAAAGGAAGCCAGCTACGGGGTGCCAAGCTTACCGAAGGCCGGAAACGACGCTGCATGGGCCAAGGGTATAAGTGCTTCCTTAATTGGTTGGCTTCTTAATCGTTTTGCGACTTAGGGGCAGGAATTCGGGTATGATTGCGGATGTCTTGGCCTACCTATTGTACTCGGTACTTACTCCGTACATTACAGGTAGGCAGATTTAGGTAATTAGCTAGGTACCTTAGGTCCTAATAAGGCACCCTCGCCGGGCTACATGTGCCCCTGGTGCTTGTACCTAGGGCCCCTCTAACCTAAAAACCGCGCTATCATCGTACAGCTAACCCCAGAAACGTCCCCTCCTCAAACCACAACTGCGTCAGATGCGACTCATCAACTTATCGACCGTTGGACCTAACGCCTATTTACAACGTACAAACCGAGACCGTTAGCATAGAGCACTCTTGCTCTTCAACGTTGAAATATCACTACCTAAGTACGGAGTACTTCGTATATTAAGGTACGTTATACATTTAAAATTTAGGCCTCGCGTAATTACCTGCGCGCCGGACGAATTTCCGTCCGTTGTCCATCCTCTGCCCCACGTTTCGGTCCTGAATATGTTCCGAGGTCCGAAGTCCGAAGTCCGAGCCATTCGCTTCGTTTTGTTTTGCGGAGAAGTAATAATGCCTTGCTCCGCCACGCGTCTTGGCTTCCCGATACCGAGGTTCCCTGGAGACGCTGCCCAGATCGGACACATCTCTACCATTTGACTCTGCTTCGTAAGGGATGAAAAAGCAACCAGACAAATATGATGATTCATTGTAAATCCTATAGGTGCTTTTGCTTCAGAGCGCCTCGTCATGATATACAACTCGGAAAGAAATAAAGGAAAAGAGAGGGGGAAAAGAAAAGAAGAAAAGAAAAGAAGAAAAGAAAAGAAGAACCCCCCCCCCCCATTCGAAACATCCGTCTTGGAACCAATCAATCCGGAAGGAATCCACCCCCGCCGCCATCACCATCGTCGTCGTCGTCCGGGACCCAATACTCTTCTATGTCATCACTGGGTGGACTCTTCCTCTCCTCGGGGGGCCTTGTAAGCGACTCGTTCTCAGCAGCACCACTGCCACTACCACTGATCAATCGTTCTTCTTCCCGCGCCCTCTCTTCCGGGTCCACGCCAGCATAAATCCGTTCGCGAATCTGCAGCCCCACCAGAAATCGTTTCCACATGCGAAGCGCACGCGCCACCCGCCGTTCCGACTCCCGCTCCGTCTCCGCATCCCTCAAGCCGTCCATTACGGCCCGCACAGCTTCCCCGTGTTCTCGTGCGATGACAATGCCGTTGAGCACCGCGGTGCCCTGCCGTCCCTTGAACTGGAACCCCACGAGTGCCGGCGCGTAGTCGATGCGTAGGATGAACGCCGCCCTCGCCGCCAACCGCTCAAGCTTATGTTCATGCTCATGCTCATGCTCATGCTCATGCTCCTGACTTTCGACATCTGCTACGTGGACTCCCCCCTCTGGCACCATGGTGGGAACGTAGAGGTCGATGTTGCCGAACTTATTCTTCGGTACCCGGCCGTCCTTGACCGGAGGTGGTCTGTAGAGGTCCGTCTGCTCCATCGTGAACAATGGCGTGCCCGCGGCCTCGCGCTCGTCCCCTCCGTAGCCATCATCGACGTAGTCGCCGACCTTGGCGTTGGCTTTCCGCGGCACGAATTTGACCGGCAGCTCCATCGCCCTGACTTGACGTCCGAGCCGGTACCACTTTTCTCGGCTCCGCACCAAGCGCACGTCTTCGCGCCGGTAAATCTTTTCCAAGCTCCCCTTGTTCCCCGCCGCTATAGTTCCGGCCGGCTGGGCATTGGGGACGAGGACCTCGTGCCGTCGGAGATGCCTTTCGAGGGCGTATACGGGATGATCCTTGAAGTCCGCCACATTCCGAGGCATGGGCTCCCGCAGTGCTATCGCTGAAAGCTCGTTGTCCTCGATTTGGTCGACGTCCGTCGGTCTGCGTCGGGTGTAATACTTCATGGCCATACGCCACCACCGGCCGCCATGGTCGATGTCCGAGTCAATCCGCAGTCGACGCGTCTTTGCCGTATAGGCCTTGGCGTACCTCCTCGTCACGTCGCGCGCCGTCCCGTCTGCTTCAAATGCCACGACATAGCTCATGCAGTTGTCTCGATCTGACGCTGGAGGTTCTAACTTGCCAGGTTTCCACATGGATTCCGTGACTATCGGGTCGACAGGTTGCCACTTTTGGTGGGCGACATCGAGAACCTCTACCCAATACACGGGGAAAGGGGACTCCCGTATTGGCTTGGCCGCCTTCTTGGGACTAGCCACGGGAGATGGTGGCACCACAGCGGGGATCTGATACGCTGCGGCACGTGAGTACCCTAATCGTCGCCTGGCCGATGGTCCGGTGCCGGGAGAGGGCATCGAGGAATTCGGGGTAGGCCTCGCTGGTGTAGCAGCGCCCGTTTTGGCCAGGCCCGGTTGGCTCGTCGTCTGCCTTTCCCGCGGCTTCGGTAAGGTAGGAGCGCCGGCCGCGAATGCCAGGGGCTGTAGCGAGCAGATGAGGCGTGCTCGGAGGCCTGCGCACCTCAACAGGGCGCAAAAAAGTTGCGCCCCGACATCCCGAGAGCCTTGCAAGGTCCGCGCCGATCCCCGAAACTCGTCCGTATTGAGGCATGAGTCTAGGTCGTCTGGCGGATCGTACTGCAGACGATCAGTTTTCTCCGCTCAAGAGTAGAGGCAGCCATCGCCAGGGAGGATGTCCAAAATCGTAGAACTACCTTGGATAACAGCTCCGGGTCATCTGCCCACATGGCCCTGCGCAGACCACGCTCGGTTATGTGGAACTTGGCCCGGAACACTTTACTGATCTGTTGAAGGCCGTCCTTCAGTGCCTCCGTTCGGCCAAACTGGGACAGATTTGCCCGCGGACGGAAACAGGAGGTAATCTTTGGCGACAACAATTTTCGTAGCCGTTGCTGGACTTCCTCATCATTGCACCACCGATTTCGCCGTGCCGCGTGTACAAGGAGACAGAGAACATGAATCTTGTGGGCTTGAATGCGACGCTCTCTCTCTGCTCTGGTCATGGGCTTTCTCCTGTCCTGGACTCCCTTTCCATGGGCGCTCGGTTTGTGTGCGCTAAGGTTCAGCTCTATGCTGGCAGTCATCTGCTCGGCGGGCCTAGTAGGACTGGTCGAAACGGCCCCTATGTCAACGTCTTCAAACTCGAGTTCCTCGTCGTCGTCGCTATCATCGACGTCCGAGTCTCTGTAGATGGTCTGGACGTTAGGCGCTGGGATCACCACGTCCTCAAATTCTACATCGTCGTCATCTTCCTCCGGGTCTTCCTGGGCATCTACATCCGCGTGCTTTCCTGGGCTGTGTGCACTTTTTTCTCCAGGTCGTCTGCGCTTTCTCGAGGGCTGGTCGGGTAACGAAGGGTCACCAGCGCCAACCTCCTCCAGCATGTCATGGTAGATGTTGGGAACGTCAGGATCCGAACGCGTCGCCCGAGAGGGTGCCTTGCGCTTGCGACCCGCCATTCAGGACGTCTCGGGTAGAGACTGGGCGTGCAAGAGGGTGATGTGGAAAAGAGCATGTCAGGTTCACGAAGTCGAGAGGCTATTAGTGACAAACTGTTGGAACTTGGATGTCTGTGTCTTGGGCCCACATCCCGCTACCGTGACGCGAGGTCACATGACCATGTCATCCGGGTATTCATCATTAATCGCTGACGCCATGCTTATGTGGGTCGTCACGTTTCTCTGTACCGGTCTTTGTTCGGATCGTGCGTCGGCCAGGCCAGTCCGCATTTTACTACCTAAGGTACCGACCGTACCTAGGTAGTGTAGATCCGCGAATATACAAAGTCAACATGGTGTTGAATAGCACGTTCCTGGTGACAGAGAGCAGATTTCTGGGTCGAGCTTTGTTTCGAAATGCGTAGGGACCGGCTAACATACTTCACTGCCACCTCTGATGACGATGCCGGAGCTATCCAGCTCCCGCAAACGGCCTCGGTATGCTTAAGAAGCGGCGATACAAGCTACCTACCTTGGACACGAATATCCAAGGTGATAACTGCAAGGACGGAGTACAGTTAGGTACTTCGCATCGTCAGGGTAACACAGAACTGCTGATTAATGCCATTTCTCAGCCGAATTATACGTGTAAATGTGGAATGCTCCATAAGGTAAGGTACTAAGGGAAGGTGCCCGGTAAGGTAAACAACAGTCACGTCTATATCCACTTGGATGTCCGATATAACTTCAAGATCCTCCTAATACGAACCCCATCCATCCCATCATACTTCCCCCACTTTTACACCCACACACATACATCCTCCCATCTCAATCTCGTCTTGCCACTTGGCACTTGCCCAGCTGTTCTGTACTTCATTGTAGGCGCTGTCCTTTCAACAAGCGAAGATGATCGACCCCGCATCCTATCAGTATCCCTCTCCGTTGGCAGGCTTCGAGAATGCCGCACCACTACCGGAAGAGGTGGCCGAGGATGGCAAAAGCCTGAAGAACTCGCCAAGGGCAGATGGGCTCAGTAAGGCTTACGAGGCATTTACAGCCCCCTTGGATAACGGTCGAAGGGGTGGCTTGTGAGTGTCTTTCTTCCTTGCCCTGCCTGCTCTCTGTCTCTATCTTTATGTGCTTTCACTTCTCGCTTCATTCTCCGTCCTCAAGAGTTCAGCAATTCATGCTGCAAAGGGACCAGAATGGCGCGTCGTAGCTGACAAGAGCCCAGTGATGTCCACATATATCACTATCAGAATAACCCGACGCAAGTAAAATACGCCAAAGAGCTGTTTGAGCGGATTCGACGAGAATGTAAGTTCATTGACTGCCCCGCCCCCCTATTTTAATGTCTTCTTCCGAAACCCCACAGAACAAGGGCCTCCCTAGGGCACCCCTAGGGCACCCCTCAGTCAGGGAAACGTGGTCACAGAGCGCGCCGCTTACCATTCCAATTATCAACTCTTTGAAGTCCCCGAGCTCAGAATCTATCGCTTCTGGGACAAACCCGTTGGGCCGCATCCCGTTGCCATGTTTGAGGTCGATCTCTTCACCCCGGCGCAGTTCGGCGCCTTCATCTCGTGGCTTGCGATTTATCGTGGTCCTCTTTCGGTCCTCGTTCACCCCAACACAGTAGAGGAGGATGTACCTGAGCTGCAGGCAGAGCTCAGGAATCACACGCAGAGAGCACTTTGGATGGGCGAGAAGATCCCCCTGGATACCTCCATTTTCTACCGGTCTGAGTGAGGAGTTCAGCAACGGTATGTTCAAGACGGGGACTTACACGCCGGTTGGGTCGAAGGGTGGAGTTGACAATAAGATAATGCACAGCTGTATGTAGGCTAAACTGCCTTCCGAAGAACACATATATTTTGATGTTTTGTCCTTTGTTTAGAGAAACTGACCTCCCTTTCTCTTCTTAACCCGACAAGGCAGGCCACCCTTCATCGGTAAAGTGAGACTGCTCTTGCTTACCCTCTCGCCATGATCTGTCTCTATGAAATCGAACTTCAAAACCATGACGGCGATGACTTGCGTGGCCATCAGCTCTGCCATCCGCTTCCCCAGACATGTCCTTGGCCCGCCATTGAAAACAGGAAACTCGGATGCGCTTCGGGTGATCACTTTGCTCCCGCTCTGGTCCAACCAACGCTGCGGCTGAAAATCCTCCGAGGCAACCCCCCAGGTGAGACGTGACCGGTTCATGGCCCAGGGGCACCATACCACCACGGAGTCTCTGGGCAGGAAAGTCCCGTCTGGTAGGGTGGTGGCCTCCATGGACTGTTTGATCTCGAAAGGAACTGGAGGATACAGCCGGAGTGCCTCGTTGAAGACCGCGTGGGTAAAAGGTAAAGCTGCGACATCACCGAGGCAGGCGGGTCGAAGCTGGAATGACGAGCCGATATTCTGGCCGTCGGCACCAATGACGCGTGACACTTCGGTGCGGATCTGGGCCACGACGTCGGGATGCCGCATGAGAAGATAAAAAGTCCAGGTCAGGACTTGGGCCGTGGTATCCCGACCAGCTGAGAGATAATTAAGGGCGGCGTCAGCGACCAAACTCTCGTCGCCAATGGCGTCCAGGAAAGACTGTATGAGGCTTCCTTCGACTTGTTTCAACCCTCGGCCACCGTCATGCTCGGATTCGTTTGGTTTCGCCTCGGAATCTATTCGACGTCGATCGCGAACTGCGTTTGCTACCATGGCAGCACCGTAGGATTTCACAATGGAGACGCTTCGCCGAAACCGAGATCCGAAGAAGACCTCCGTAACGAACCATAGCGGGTTTTGAAACCTTTCGGCCGTCACTCCTGAGGCATGATCGAATGCGACGCTGAAATTATCATCGGCATGCATTTCCATCTACAAGGGGAAGGGGGCAAGGGGGGATGAGTTAAATATCCGGATGTAGAGGCCAGGAAGAAACACAGCACCGTCTGCTATTCACTCACATTGTATGCCATGCTCCCCATGAGCTGGGTAGTGATTTCATGGAAAACAGCTTGCAAGTCCACGAGAGATCCGGCCGCCGCTTGGGTATCCAGAAAGTCTATACTCTGTTGAAGGTATTGGGGCAGGGCGGTTTGAGTCAGGACCTTCAAGTTTGTCGTGTTGAGAAATCTCAGACCAGCCTTTCTCTGGACCTTCCAGACCTCACCATCTGCGTTAATGATGCCATGCCCTGCCAGCAGCAACAGGGTCAGTCGAAGGGGTTGTTTTCGCGGCATTGTTTATGACAGAGCAACAATTGAGGTGTCCTTCCTTGACGTACCGAACAAGTCCCAGGACCGTTTCTTCACAAAGTCGCCCTTGGAGAAAACACCCTCATTCTTGAAGACATAGTCTAGATTTCTAGGATCACTGATGATGATCCCTGGAGGAAGGGAGGGGACTGAGATTTGCAACGTTTCATATCCGTACAGACGCTCGCACTTGGCGAACCAGGAGAATAGCTTCTGCCTCTCTCGAAGAAACACGATGCCGTTGCCTACCAGGGGCCACGTATTCGGAGGTTTCCTGGCGAGGTGTTAGTGTGTTAGTGGCGGTATCCAGTCAAGATGGAAGTGAAAGACGTTTCCCGTTTCCCAACTCTCGAGTGGTTTTCTTGTTTGACTCTTTGCCGCACCTCAGAACAACACCGTTGCGCCGTAGCTTACTCTGGCCGAACAAGACCCAGAAGAGGAACAGGAGAAGCGGGAATGAGCAAGCGAAGAGTATATGCCCATCGACAAGGGCCATGCTGAGGTCGATGGAAGGGGATCATTCAGCCAGACGCCCAGCTGTCTCGAGGGACTCAAATTTCCGGCCAAATCTTCTGAAGACGGCGAAGAGCAGGGAATGATGTTGTTCGGACTGCTCCTTCCTAACGCACTGGCTGGCACTCGTGCGATTCGTACTTTCTTACATAACTCCGTACTTCGTGTCGCACCCAACAAATCTCCCCTTCTCCTTCCCCCAACAACCCCAACCCCAACCCCACTGTTTCTCCAGAGTACTCCGCCATGGAAACAGTCGCAGTGGTGACGTTGTCAGACAACAAAGAACAAGGTCCACACCGAATAGTTTCGGAGGTACGGGTAAGGTAGATCACAAGAGTACCTTACCTTAACGTGAGGTACCCCAAAAATTACCTTGAACAGAAACCAGTCCTCAACACCATCTCGACTCAAGGTATCCGGCTACTACCAATTGACATCGTCCAGAAGTGTTCAAGAGAAAACCCCTTCGCTTCTGCTTCATGCGTTAGAAAGCCCGATCACAATGGCGCCATTACTGCCTCGCTTCCACCTCTTCGAGATAGACGACCAGCCCTGGTAAATAAATCACCCTTAGTGCTTTCCCAATTGACAACGAGAGCGAACTGACCTGAACCTCCCGATGATCCAGGTTTCCGTCTTTCCTCCGTGCTCACGTTCAAAATGTCCTCCAGGAAGCCTGGGTCGCACGCATCCCCGTCCTCCAACGCGACTCTCCTGCCCGTATCGCCGCGACCCTCCTCCACAACGAGCTAGGCCCGTCTCTCTCCTCCCAAACCTACGTCGACTTCTGCGCAGGGTCCGGCGGACCGACCCCCACCATTGAGCGATTCATCAACCGCCGCCTCCACGACGCGTCACTGCCTCCGGTCGACTTCGTCCTCACCGACCTCCACCCCAACCCGGAAGCCTGGGCCCGGGCCTCCGCCAAATCACAACACATCCTCTATGAACCCGGCCCCATCGATGCCTCCAACCCCGGCGACGCATTTCTAGATCACTACGCCAGCCGAGCGGAAGACCGAGCACCGGAACCCAGCACGGCAAAGAGGAGGGCCACCAACAACAGCAACGGGACCAGCATAGACCCCGGGACGCCGCCGCCGCCGCCGCCGCCGCCGCCGCCGCCGCCGCAGCAGCAGCAGCAAAAGAAGAAGAAAAACATCTTCCGCCTCTTCAACCTCGCCTTCCACCACTTCGACGACCCCCTCGCCCGCGCCATCCTCAAAAACACCCTCGAAACCTCCCACGGCTTCGCCATCTTCGAGCTGCAGGGCCGCGACGCAGGCTCCTTCGTCACCTGCCTGCTCCTCGGCATCGGCTTCCTCCTCACCGCGCCCTACCACGCCTGGCGCCTGCGCTCCTGGTCCCTCCTCCTCTTCACCTACCTCGTCCCCGTGCTGCCCTTCGTCGTGGTGTTCGACGGCTGGATCAGCTCCCTCCGGACCCGGACGCCGGACGAGGTCGAGGCTTTGATGAGGAGTTGCGGGGCTTCGAGCGTCGACGACTGGGAGGTGCGGAGCGGGAGCGAGCTGCATTTGTGGCCTTGTGGGAGCTTGCATTGGATCATCGCGACCAAGAAGTCCTGACCCGAGAGCAGCGTCGTTGGTTCATTGCGGGGTGTGCTACGTGTATGTTGTGTGTATGGATGTGGTACAGTAGAAAATCGCGGAGAGTGTGGTAATCTACGTGCGACCCCCAAAACAAAGACTACACACAAGCCCTGCCTTGCCGACGTTTCACATACTGATGCAGCACACAAAGAACTGCAAGTGTATTGAACGAGGTAGTAAAACTTCAAATTGCCTGCGCTTTGCGAAGCGAGGCACTTTCATTCTTCTAGTCCTACGGCGCGGGGTATATCCCAGCCCCTTCAATTCGTTGTCCTATAAACTTCATGAATCTCCGATTCTCATGCAGCCCTACCCAGGCCGCGATTCCATTAGACACCTAGCACATATCGCCATGTTTCTTCAGGCGTGCAGGTTGATTTCCATGTGCCCCCCTTTCTTTTTGAATAAACAGTTGATGAAGAAGAAAAAAGAAGAAGAAAAAAGCAATCGCGAAAAATTGCGATGATAATCCTGACCATGAGCCCATAACCTATGCGCAAAAAAGGCTGGAACAAAAAGGAATAAGGGCAAGAGGAATGATGCAATTTTTTGGGGTCCCACATCACACATGCCTGTCAATCAATTTTTTTTTTCTCTTTCTTTTACAAGACGGGGCCGGCCTTGATGACCTCCTCGGTCGCCTCGCTCTCGTACTTCTTGAAGTTTTCGACAAAGAGGCCGCCGAGTTTCCTGACCTCGTTCTCGAAGCTCTCAGTGCCGGCGGTCCAGGCCTTTCTGGGGTTGAGCAGCTCCGCGGGGACGTTGGGGCAGGTCGTGGGGACCTGGAGGTTGAAGACCTCGTAGTTCTCGTACTCGACGTTGGCGAGCTCGCCCGAGTGGATGGCGTCGAGGATGGCGCGGGTGTACTTGAGCGGGCACCGCTTGCCGCCCTGGGCGAAACCGGCGCCGACCCAACCGGTGTTGAGGAGCCAGGCGTTGGCCTGGTGTTGCTCGATCTTGTCGGCCAGCATCTTGGCATAGCGCATAGGATGGAGGGCGAGGAACGGCTGGGCGAAGCAGGAGGAGAAGGTGGCCTGGGGCTCGTTGACGCCGTCTTCGGTGCCGGCCATCTTGGAGGTGTAGCCGGAGATGAAGTGGAACATGGTCTGGGCGCTGTTGAGCTTGGAGATGGGCGGGAGAACGCCGCGGGCGTCGCAGGTGAGGAGGATGATGTTGGTGGGATGCGAGTCGGACTTGCAGGGGATCTTGGCGTTGTTGATGTACTCGATGGGGTAGGCGCATCGGGTGTTCTCGGTGAGGGTGCAGTCGTCGTAGTCAACGACACGAGTCTCCGGGTCGAAGACGACGTTCTCGAGGACGGAGCCGAAGCGGATGGCGCCGAAAATGTCGGGCTCCTTCTCGGCCGACAGGCCAATGGTCTTGGCATAGCAGCCGCCCTCAATATTGAAGACGCCGTTGTCGCTCCAGCAGTGTTCGTCGTCGCCGATGAGAGAACGCTGGGGGTCGGCAGACAGGGTGGTCTTGCCGGTGCCGGACAAACCGAAGAAGAGGGTGACATCGCCGTCCTTGCCCTCGTTGGCCGAAGAGTGCAGGGTCAGGACGTTGTGCTTGACGGGCATCTCGTAAAACAGGACGGTGAAAATGCCCTTCTTCATCTCGCCGGCGTACTCGGTGCCGAGGATGACCATCTCCTTCTCGGCGAAGTTGATGGCTACTGAAGTGGCCGAGGTCATGCCGGTGGTGTAGCGGTTCGCGGGGAAGGAACCGGCGTTGTAGATGGTGTAGTCGGGGTGGAAGTGGGCGAGCTCTTCCCGGGAAGGGCGAATGAGCATGTTCCTCATGAAGAGAGCGTGGTAGGCACGCGCGCAAATGACGCGCACGCGGATCCTGTACTTCTCATCCCATCCTGCGTAGCCATCCACGACGTAGATGCGGTTTCTTGTATTAAGGTAGTCAATCGCTCGCTCGCGGTTGATCTTCCAGACCTGTACAATTCTCACGTGTAAGCCAAGAGCTATGCTATGGTACGGATAAGGCAAGACGCCCGGGTACTGTCGGGAAAGGGAATCAAGTAACAACGTTTGGCATTGGTACATAAGAGAAAGGGGATGAAATTGTGGGGATGGTTTTGTGGGGCAATCCGGGGAAAAGGGGGAAAGTGTGAAGCTGACTCGGAAGAATCAAGATGCCCCTATGACGACACAGGTGGGACGTTGCGGGGAACGATGGGGGAAGCAGTCTCGGCTCTACGGCCAACCCCAACGCAGCCGAAGTCGAATGCCGCGGTGGAGGAGAGAAACTCTCTTTGCCCCGGAAACGAAAGGGAAGGAAATGCAGGGAAATTGACAGGGGAATGAATGACTTTCTGGCAAATCTGTCCCGGGAAAAGGGGATCATGATGTATGCACGTTACAGGGCAAGGCGGCGGGCGGCGGGCGATGCAGCGCATTGCAGCGGCTCAAGAGGGGATAGGAACAAAGTAGCCCGGTCCAGCACACCCTGTTTCTTCCCCGGATTATCGGTGGCTGGGGCTGGACCATCGGGACGTGCATAACGGCGCATCATCAAATCATTCCATTCGCTTGCTTACCTCGGGTGACATGGGCTTGTTGACAGGTCCCCACCTATCAGAAAATTCGTGTTAGTAACAATGAGCACATCGGAAAGCAAAGACCTGAGTTTTTTTGTCGAGGCGGTAGATTGAGACCGTAACATACCAGATGTCATTCTTGGATGAATCTTCCTCGACGATACGCTTGTCCAGTGGTGACCGGCCCGTCTTCTTGCCTGAGTATGCTGTCAAGGCACCGGTAGATGTGATGGCTGAGCCAGTCTCGTAGACAAGAGCATCTTCATAGAGCGCGGGCACGGAGGCATTAGGAATCTAGAGTTCGGATATCCGCTGTTAGTCACTTTCAATAGAAGCATGAACCGGAAGAGAAATGATTCTTTTGAACATACAATGGAAACTCGGTTGTAGTCGATGTGCGCGGTCTCAAGGAGCTCCTCCTCTATTGCAGCGAGTTAGTACCATCGCTCTCCATCGCCTAATTGTCTGCCACGCCATTGACGAAGAGATGTAACCCAATGTTCAACGAAGTCGGCCGAACATCGAGGTGGGCTTCGATTCTAGTCAAGGGGCAGGTGGTGTTATCATACCAAGCTCGGTGTGTTCCTGGTGCGGCCTAAGAAGTATCACTAGGTCAGTCCTGAATCCAATGGCATTGCCTACTTCTCTTGGTAGATGCAAGAGAAAAGAGGGAGAAGAGAAAGAGGGAGACGGAACAGAGAGGAGACTTACGCAACACCGCCAGGGTGAAGAGGGGTCTTGTTGACGTTGGAGGGATACACTGCGGCGGGTCCCATGTTAGCGTCGGCGGTTGACACGATTTGTTTGCACGTGTAGAAAAGTGTGATGAAGACGTCGGACGAAAGCGATGTTGGCTGGGGGGGCGAGTTGAACGGAGTGGAAGACGGGTCGATTGTATCGTTCAAGTAGGAATTGGGTAGGAGTTGTGGAGGGATGACGGAATGGGGTAGTGGGAGGGTGAGGGGATGACGGGATGACGAACTCTTGCGAAAGTCTGACTGATATCCTTCGGTTAAGATCTGTGACTTGGGACCTTTGACTGTTGGATCGACATAGGGGGAACGCGTCCTAGCGATGGGGTCCTTCATGTTTATGTATTCGTAGAGTTTGAACCGGGTCGGGAAAAGCAGTGTAGAAAGCCAAGTGACGGCCCGGTATCTTGCGAAGTGAAGAGTCGAGGTACGTTGTATGAATCTAGGCTTATTAGTTGCCCAAGCGTTGCGTTACGTCTCCCGATAGGTGGTTTCCTGGGCTGGCCTGAATCTTAGCGTACCCGCGATGTCCACTTGGGGAGTATTGCACAGGTGTGGAGCGTAAGAAAAGAGGAAAACAGTAGCGCCCGTTAGGAAAATGCGAGAATGCACAAGCCGAAGCCGAGGATATACAAGGCGGACGACTTGAGGGACACGAAAGATATAAGCGGATGGGAGTTCGGTGTGGGGTCATGGAGGCAAGCAACAAAACGTCACTGGCTGGTCTGACGTCGATACTTCTAACAGTGTTCCAGTTGTCGCAGGGGGGCACCTGGGATACGAATTAATACCGGAACGTGCGAGGAACGAGACCCTTGACCTTCGAGACCTTCTACCTTCTCTCCCCCGCATTGGGTCTCTGCTGCCATTTTTCTGGCATTTCGGGTCCGTGTATGCACGTCGTGACAAGTTGGTACGTAATTATTAACAAGGCCAGGGGCAGGAATGGAAGTCATCTCCTTCAAACCCCCTGTCGACAACATGGTTCTCGATGGTCCCACAACAAGTACCTATCCGTACACCACCCTTCGCACTCCGTCTCGCGAGGGCAATTGATTGAGGTTCTAGGTGAGGAGCATGAAGTAGCACTCTATATGCGGCGCCGTTGTTCTCCGGGACCCCTTGTTGCTTTCTTCTGCTTCTTCTTGCGCTCAGAAGCCGCGCCCATAAACCGTATCTGGCGCTGGACCGAGTTACTGACCAAAGGCAAGGGATAAATAAGGTAGGTAAGGTAGATAACATGGAATGGCGGCATGTCGACATGGAGCCGGACCCCTATTTCGTAGTACTGTTGACCCATCACCTGCCATACTCCGTCTGTCTTTCCCGACTAGTCTGTCCAATTGCAATGAAAAATTCACAGAGGCCACCCCGAGGAGTCAGGTGCGAGCCCCCAAGCAAGGAAGCACTTCGTACCAGAGACCGTATGTCACCGGCTTGGATCCGTCTCCAACGGCCGACTTACCTTGTAACCTACGAAGTACAAAGCCGGATGTCGAGGACGGGATGCTGGGGAGAGGTGTGAAAGAATCTTCAGTCTTCTCCGTATTATCGGGGCCCGTTTGCCGACACTCTTACCGGCTCGCGGGGTGCCCAGGGGGTGCTTATCTTCGCAAAAAGGTAACGAACGATTTGACCCTACCGACCCTTGATGAGGAAAGCGGAAAGCGTCACTTGAGGTAGGGCTGAGGAAATTCTCCATCAAGGCGGCATGGCTGCCTCAGGGGCTCAGAAGGACAGAACAGAGGCTTCCGAAGTAATTAATTACGGAGTACACATACTGGTAATTGATGGAAGGGACGGACCCCCGGATTTAGAAGACCTGGCCAAGAATTTCATCACAGGTACTGCCTTCCGCTGAACTAAGACTCTAGCTAAAGTTGTCCTTGGATTGGTTTCTTGCCCCCCCCTCCCTTTGACTCAGCACGCGGGGGCTCTGGAAACTGGGACCCCCGGAGTTGAGATCTAGATTGAGATCCGGATTCAGGTTCCATCTCCCCCAGACTGAGCCAACTAACCCAACCCTATTCGTACTTCACAAGTCTGACAGCGGTGATGATCATGACGATGTATCAGAACAAATGGAGGATGAACGGGATCGTGGTGCTTGTCCGTTCCCTTTCCACCCGGCTGAACGGAAAACATTATCATATTTCGCCGTTTCGCTTCCTCACATACCTTATCTACTTTAGTACTTATCAGGTACTTCGTACCTTGCCTTACAAACCCGGGAAGCCTTGTTACCTCCAATTTCCCACTTGTCTGTGGAGGAGTGGACGTATCATCCCCATAATAAATGACGTTACTCGAGTCCGACCTGCCAGCGTCTGCACAGGAAGAGCCGCTTCCCCTGCGTGCCCGCTGTGGATCCCTAATCCGAAAGCCGCCATTGGCCGTATCATGACAACAAAATCACCTACCACATGCAACTTGGCTGCGGTCAGCCTGGCTTTTGTTCCGACTTCTCCCGACCTCGTACTGAAAATCCCAAATCGTACCTGGTATCTTGACCGACGATACCTCGCGTCGTGATCAAAAGCCATACTTCTCCTTTCACGAAAAAGGCAAGGGGAACAGAAGTCTCGACCTAGTCTCTCCCGGTCAGCGGTGAGACTCGTGACGCATAACTCCACAGGTCGCAGGTCTCCGTACAAAACCTATTATTATTATTTTATAGGTCGCGTGTCCTCGGATACTTCCAGATTCATGTCACGGGGGTCATGAAAACCGCACGCTTCTCATCTCGCCCTGAAAGCTTCGATGGACGGTCTGGTCCCCTCTGTGCTGGTGAGTCTGTGACAAAAGAACAGGGTCTGGCCGAACTCGTGACGTCGAGACCTTGGCCTATCCATGTACTGTACACGTAGCTCCACACCGAAATCCTCCGTTGGACCGGGGGGTTCAACTGGCTTGGGGCTGAGTAAACCCAGCAACGACGCCATGTGAACCATTTCGGGAGACGCTCGGCTCCGCATTCCGCTCCTTGCACCCCTGCATCCCTGTCGACCTGATTGAAGTTGCAAACGGAAGCCCGATCAAACATTTAAACCGATTTCAGCCCAACCACCTACGTATGTACAGTCCTTGCGCTTTCCGGCTTGTTTTCGTCGCCCTGTGACTTTCTAGGCCTTTTCTCTTTTCCAGGGGTCTTTCCCCGACACGAGAATCCGCCGGAATCCAGTTCATCTACACGTAGAGGTCGTCACGTCTCTCAAGTCACCTGTCGGAGGTTAGGTATGATCGGGCTATTTCTGTCCATGCGACAAGATGAAGATGCTGGAAAATGTGGAGCGTACGCTGTGATAACGGATAGGCACTTGAGCTCCATGAAAGTAATTCATCTGGCCCTGGAAAGCCTATGTACTCGTTCTATTGCATTTCACGTAAGGCTCTATCATGACGGCGACCATATGCCCCCCAGCCGCCCCCCTGCTCCAACTACTGGCATGCCGGTCTCGCGTCATCGCTAGCATCCCGCTTCGTCTCGGGAATTGTTTCCTCGGACTGTTGCCGCGATCCATTTATTCCCCTCCCCGGACACAGCTGTTCTGTGCCAAAGCTTCGACAGACTGCTATCTTCACCCGGTTCCAAAGACGTTTCAACGTTTCGGCACAAGAAACAGGCCCTTGGTCATCTATCAGTTCCGTTTGGTTCAAGACGAGTCATCCGTGATCAGCTTGATGATCTTGCCAATAGCAATAGTTTGACCCTGTAGTATAGTATTAGCGATCCACATCCCCCCCGAAAAGTCCCAGCAAGGCGTTCCGTTTTGTCCAACTACGTACCTGGTCTCGGAGAGTGAAGCGACCCATTTGTGGGTAATCTTCGAATTTCTCGACGCAAACCGCGCCGGCGCCGCCAGTCACTTCCAGGCGGGCGATGATGCTGTCTCCCCTCTTGGCGTGCGACGGCGGCAACTTACTCTTTCGGTTGGTCCCCTTCTGCAGCTTATGAAGGAGGGCCGCGAAGGTCACCTCCTCGATGGCCGCGTGGACGTGCAGGACGCAGTTGAAACCGGCCGTCAGGATGTTCTTCAGTTCCAGGATCCTGATCTGCGCCTCGAAGGCCGTCACGGTGTGCACCAACCGCTTCGGCGAGCAGAGGACGAATCCCGGCGAGAGCTCGTCCTCCTCTACGCCCCTGAGGCGCATGCGCACCTGGTCACCGCACTGGGCGAGCTGCACCTCTTCTTCCGTCTCTCCGTATATAGCCGCCACTTCCACGGTTTGCTTGTTCGGCATCATGACGAGCGACATGCCCTTCTTGGCCACACCGGCCTCGATCTTGCCTTCGACCATGGTGCCCAAGTCACGGTACTTGCCCGCGACCGCCATCATGAACGGCGCGTTGAGCTTACGCTCCAGCGCCTGCATGCCGTCCAGGTATTCCAGCAGCGACGGGCCCTCCCACCACGGCGCCTTATCCTTGGGCACCCTATCCTTGATGCCCATGCCCTGCTGCGCCGCAATAGGCATGAACGTTACGTCCGTCTTCAGATTGTAGCCTGTCCCCTTCAAGAACTGGGCGAGCTTGGTCGTGCACTCCAGGTATCGTTCGTGGGACCACTCGACCGTAGGATCGTCCATCTTGTTGATGACCACGATGAGCTTGTTGACGCCCTGGGTCTTGGCAAGCATGGCGTGCTCTCGAGTCTGGCCTCCTCGCTCGAAGCCCGTCTCGTACTCGCCCTTGCGAGCCGAGATGACGAGGATGCCGACGTCGGCCTGTGACGCGCCGCCAATCATGTTGGGTACGTACGTCTTATGACCGGGTGCATCGAGGATGCTGTAACGCCGCTTCTCCGTCTCGAAGAAGCCCCGGCCCACCTCGACGGTCTTGCCCTTGGTGCGCTCTTCCGATGTCAAATCCAAAGCCCAGGAAAGGTACCAAGTCTCGCGACCGGCTTCCCTGGCGTCTCGCTTGTACTTGTCCATGGTCCGCTCGTCGACCATGCCGGTCGCGTAAAGAATGGAACCGCCGAGGGTGGACTTGCCGGCGTCGACATGGCCGATGAAAATGATGTTGACGTGTTCCTTTCCGTAGACTTCCTTGAGGGTGTCCTCATCGACGTCGGCGGACTGCTCCGCCTCGACAGCATCTGCCGCCCGTGATGACACGCCTTTGGAACCGGCCGTGGGGCTAGACCTCCCCGAGGAAGGCGAGGGAGACGTCTTTCCTGATTTAGCGGTACTCTTGGTCGTTGCCCCCGTTTTCTCGATGGCCTTGGATGCGGTAGCCTTGGCGCCGACGGCAGCTGCAGTGGGGCCGCCATCATTCTTAGACGCCTCCGGAACGACTTTCTTTTCGACCTTGGCAGGCGCAGTACCGCCAATGGAGAGAACTTTAGTCTTGGGTTTGGCGGCGTCTCCTCCATCGAGGCTCAGTACTTTGACACCACCCTCCTTCTTCACTGACGGCTGGGGAGCGGGAGCGGTCGCAGGGGCCGGCTGAGCGGCGGCAGCCGGAGTCGCTTGGGCCTGTCGGTGCTGGGGGGGCTGCTGCTGCTGCTGCTGGTATTGCTGCTGCTGACCCTGGCGGCCTTGCTGACCCTGCTGGGGATACTGTTGGCCTATAAAGGTGGAGAGCTAGTCGTCAGAGGCGAGGGGCAAAACAACCAGGGGCGGCTTGGGAAAGGGAAGACGAAAAAAAGAAAAAAAGAACAAAAGAAAAAAAAAAAGGACAGGAGAGTTGAGTAAAACGTACCGTAAGACTGGTTGTAGCCTTGCTGACCATACTGTCCGTAACCTTGTTGTCCTCCGTACTGATCAAACCCTTGTCCGCCGCCGTATTGAGGATAGTTGTAACCCTGGTTGTAGTACTGCTGGTACTGGGCCGCATAGCCTCCATATTGCTGGCCTGGCTGGAAGGTTTGTGCCGAGGGCTGGAAGCTGGCAGCACCAGGTTGGAAGGTCGGCGCTTGGGGGTTCTGCTGCGCGTTGATGTTGAGCTGCTGCTCGGCCTGTCGCGACAGGTTATCGTCCTGCTGGGCAGCACGGTCGTCTTCCCAGGAGTTGAGGTTAGACATGACGACTCGTTTGAACGCTGATCGGTCGTGGGGGAGCGACTTTTGTGTGACGTTGACTGGGTTTATATGATGTGACCGGACGTCCGTCTGGGGCCAGGACGTCAGTAGTCAAAATTGATGGCGGGGTAACTGCGCGGCTTCGCCTTGGGAGGGAGGAACTCGCGCTCGACGGGGAGAGGTAAGACGCCCGGGCCGTCGTCCAAGAGCCTTAATGACCGATTTTGATGGGTGAAGGGCGTAGAGAGGTAGAGAGGGGTGAATCGTCCTTCTGTTGTATTTTCTCGTGGCACGGTTACGAGAGGCAGCAAGTCTGAAGATTTTGCCCGAGCAGAAAAATTGGGAAATCTGCGCCTGACAACTGGAGACATTGTTACTCGTTAGGGGGTGCTGTGGTTGAGGGTGCCCCACCAAGCAAAACAATGCGGGGTGGCGATGGATGGTGCCTTGCCACCGTGCGTGCCCCTTAGCATATACGTTGTATACACGGATTTGTAAGGTAAACACTAGAAGATGCTGGGCTATATACACAGCTACTTATTCAAGCGCACTGTATACGCACGTTCATGTGTTTGGGGTCACCAAACCAGGCAGCAAGACTCGTGAATGGAGAGAGTAAATAAGGTACCTACCTGGGAGGTATCTGAATGGTATCTACCTACCTACCTTATGTGAAATTCGATTGCCATTGTCCAAGCACACGATGAGAACAACACTGCTTGGCATCTGGTACAAACGGTCTTTATTCTCTTATCCAACAAGACTCTCCAGAAGTGAAAAAGTGGCTTTCTGGCCTGGGGATGTGTATAATTAGTACACCGTTCAAGGTGCAAACTTGGCCATCGTGCTACATCATCTCACTACCTCTGGAGATGGGAACCGGAAGCTCACCATGGACGCCCTTTTGTCTCATCTTGGGTACCAGGCACTGAATATGGCCATGCGATCTGGTATCGCTCTGACTTCGACATATGCTGTTTCCCAGTGCTCACGGCTTCTGAGGAAAGTGGACGACAAGAGTATCCTGGACGAGCTTGAAGGATTGCAAAGGCAATTGAACAGCAAGATCAAGGTTTGGACTGACTCGGCCGCCTTCGATTTTGTCACCGTCGAGCTCGCAGGATGCTAACTAAGGTATATCTTCTCACCTGCAGGTCCTTTCACCAGCCATTGATCTCATCGAGCTCAAGTAGGTGCCTGGCCGTTCCTTCCTTGCCACCATGGAGTAGGGGTTTTTTCTTCTTTTTGCTAATGCTATTCTGGTTACTGGTTACAAGGTCAGGTAGAGGGAATGCCTTCCTCGAGTCGGCACTTCCACTCACCAGATCCCTGCACCGAGACATTAACTTACTAGGAAGGGAACTAGAAGAAGTTGCCTCGGCGGTTGAGGATGCTCACCAGGGCACAAGTCGGGCAAGGACCACAGAAGCGCAACGGGACCAACTTGGGCGTATTATTTCAGACATCAAAGACTTACTCGGCCGCATAGACCGGGAGATTCCGCTGCTGCACATGGCCATCACCGCCTCGGGGGAGAACCTCGCGTCATCACTGTCTCCGGGGGTTTCGCCATCTAGGCTGATGCAGGCCAGCGCCTTCCTTTTCTTTGGCGATACCTTGTACGCAAGCGACCCCGAGCGGCCGGTCCAGATTGGACCCGCCTTTACCCTCTCGCTCTACATGCTTTTCCTTGGTCATGCGGATCACCAGCCCTCGTCCGTCTCGCAACCTGATGCGGATGGCAGGTTCCCAGGCACCGGTAGTCCTGGTTCGCCTCTGAGGTCGTCCCAGAATGGATGCTCGGCGAGACCGTATGGGGTGGAAGAGGGGACAAGGAGGCCTCTGTGGAAGGAAGTCATCCACAAGGCTAGGGTGCGTCTCTGTCGAGTACCCTACAGTTATGTTTTTGACGGGTCGCGCGGATATCGGCCAAAATTGTCAAGCGATACGCCTGGCCGCAGCAGCGTCGATCCGGCAGCAGGAGGTCCGGAACAATATGGCTACCATATCGAGATCATCGAAGACCTAGACGACGGCAGAGTCCACGACGAGGAAGACGAAAGGGCTTCACCTTATGATGATATGGTCCGGGCCGGCCTACGCGAGTCCATCCCCGTACACCAGATATCCAAAGTCTTCTACGCGGATACCGGGCGTATCCTCAACATCGGAAACAACGCAGAGGGTGAGCATAACCCCGTTTTGCTTCTCAAGCGCGATGTGGACGCAAAACCCCCGATGGAGATGAGGCAACAAATGGCTACGTGCGAAGATGTATTCGAGGGGGAGGATAGGGAGCCCGGCGACGAGCAAAGGGAAATAAACTGGCAGTTGCAGCAAGATTGCCTGGAGGCTGGGGTTTCCGGCGTCACCGATGTACCTCGAACGCCCAGCGAGTCTGGATCGTGGGGATTGCCCAGCGACCTCGACCCGGAGTGGATCGCTCTGGAGGTGTTCGAGGAAGATGAAATCAGCGAAGATGGGGAAGATGTGGCAGATGGAGACAGAGACTTTCCCGAAGTGCTGGAGGGCATTCCGGATCGAAGCGGAGCGGAGCAAGAGGTGGTTGGCGGCACCACTGAACAACCGCCAGCAGCCAACGATCGAATTTCGACGGTCCGGGTTTCGGTCGACACGACGTTGACCCAGAGGATCAAGAATATATCTTTACTACAATCCTCGCCCGTCAACTCGATACATAAGGCGGAGTCCCATGCGCGTGCGAGCGTGTCGCACTCTATGGAGAAGACGCACGCGACCGTAGCAGTGGCCAGGTCGCCATTTGGCGCCGTCACGACGTCGCTGTCCTTGCTCGAGATGTTGATTCGCCTGACGAGCCTGCAGGAGTTCCAGCAAGCATCTCATCTGACCATCCACGACCACGTCCTAAATTTCTTTCTGGAAGAAACATCTACGACGGGACTCAGGGGCGAGGAACGGTGGAAGGCACGCAAAGAGGCGAAGCGGCGAGTTGGATTCGATCCGTATGCTGATTCGCCGACAAAATGAAGAATAATTATTTCGTACGAGTCGGCAGATGTATGCACCAAGACGTGATGTGATGAAGAAATACGGGTGCTCTTGGTTATGGGGCTGTTGTGTACTGAATTTTTGGTTGACCGACAGGTCAGTCAGTGTTCCTCGTCGAAATTCAGGGGCACTCCGTAATACCTTATCTTATCATGCACCTAAGGTGCCTGCTGACTCAGAATGTAAGTACAACGTACTCCCTTTTTATGTCAACGTATGAGGTATTTACCCCGCACTGTAGAGAGTACAGGTACATTCCACATGAGTGTAAATTGTGAGAAATTAAGTAACTGTACATGACGCTTTGCTTTTCGTACCTCGACTCGGTTGCCCCTGGAGAAAATTATGTCATTGTAAACGGAAGGCGAAAGGCCAAACACGAGGTCTTAATAAGGTACCTTTACTTTTCCTTACCTTATTACTCCGTACTCGAGTCCGCAAATCAACACCAATTCAAACGTCCACATCGCCCCTCCGCGTGGCTCTTACATTCATTCAACGGCAATCTTCTACATATACGCCGAGGCATCTTGTCTGAAACGTCGTCTTGCGCACCGTTTGTGAACAAGCCTCCTGGTTGGTTTGTAGCAGAAGCATCGCTGGTTGCTGCCTATGAGGTGAGGACCACCCTGCCCTCGGCCGCGTTCTGCGTCTGTTTATATCATCTTCGACCTCGGATCTAATCTATGGTTGATTATCTCATCTTGTACATGATAAATCCAGGAGCTGACTTCTTCTGTAAACCTACAGAAAGCCAGGTGCTTGTTTTGCTTTTAAGCCCCTCAACAGCATCGCATCCGACGATCAACCCAACCACTTGAAGACACACTACATCCCTCGTTCAGAGGCCGCGCGCAGCCACGACCACAAGCTTCACGGTGCTTCTCATTCTGCTTCCGTCATGGTTAAAGAGAGAGCGCCCCCAAAGGGCCCTCTGCGTCCCATTGATCTGAACGAAGATGCCCAGCCCGTCGCACATCGCCCAGAGAAACACCGCCCCCAGGAGCTGGATCCTGATTCTCTAACTGATCAGTTCGACTCCTTGCAGGTGTCGGACTCCTCTCGAGAAACACAACATCCGCACCGGGCCAATACAGCAGCGCGCAGAACAGACCTTTCCGACGTTCTTTCGTCGCTCGCGACGCAGAAGCCTCGCCAGCCAACAACAGCTCTGGAACAGCCCAAAAGCGCCCAGAGGTACAGCGACGACGACGACCTGGCCTCTTTCTTCTCGAATATCGGACGTCGCGATGATCCCTTCCACTCGTCTTCCTCGAGTCACCCAGGGTCGGGCCATCACCCCAAAGTCATGTCGTCCCGGAAACAAAAGGCAGCCGGTGTGTTCAATGAGCGCAAATCTCGGCCCGAGCACCACCGAGATTATAGAATCTCCGTCCCTGCAGTACCCGTATATCAGGACCGGAAGCCAGAACCTGCCAACCTGTTCAGCTCGATTGCTCCCGATGCGCGCCCGGCAACATATAGACCCAAAGTCGAGATGGGAGAGCCCGAATTCTACACCGACCCGGCAAAGGCATCCGCCGACTTGAAGGCACTACTCGAAGGCGGCTTGGACGAGGACGAAGAAGATCACAACGAAGGCACGGGCAAAGACGAAGACGAAAAGAAAAAGGACCCGATCCAAAAAGACGGTTCTGTAGAAGGCCTGAAGGTCAAACTACTACCTCATCAGGTCGAGGGTGTGGAGTGGATGCGAGGTCGCGAGCTCGGACCCGTCAAGAAAGGCAGAGTGCCCAAAGGCGGCATCCTGGCCGATGACATGGGCCTGGGCAAGACCCTTCAGACCATTGCCCTGATACTGAGAAACCGCAAGCCCAACAAGGATGAAGAGGGCTGGAAGGAGCCCTTCAGCCGGATCGAGAAGACCACCCTCGTCGTCGCTCCTCTCGCCCTGATTCGGCAGTGGGAGGCTGAGATCAAGGACAAGGTGGCCAGGTCTCACGGCCTGAAGGTCTGCGTCCATCACGGGCCCCAGCGCACAAAGCGTTTCAAGGACCTGGCGTTGTACGATGTCGTCGTGACGACGTATCAGGTCCTCGTCTCCGAATACGGCCAATCTTCCGATACCGAACACGGTCTCAAGGCTGGGTGTTTCGGCTTGCACTGGTGGCGCGTCGTGCTTGACGAGGCCCACACGATCAAGAACAGAAACGCCAAGTCCACAAAGGCCTGCTACGCACTTCGGTCCGAGTACAGGTGGTGTCTGTCAGGTACACCCATGCAGAACAGCCTCGAGGAGCTGCAATCTCTCATCAGGTTCCTGCGCATCAGGCCGTTCGACAACCTGGCGGAGTGGAAGGAGCAGATCGAGAAGCCCATCAAGAGCGGCAAGGGCCACAGTGCCATTCGACAGCTGCATAGCCTTCTCCGGTGCTTCATGAAACGGCGGACGAAAGATATCCTCAAGGCCGACGGTGCCTTGAACCCGGGCGGAAAGCCGAACGAGGAGGGGAAGGAGACGTCGTCCACGGGCTTCAGGGTCACGGAGCGCAAGGTCGTCACGGTCTCGGCCGCGTTTTCTCCCGCCGAGCGCCGGTTCTACGACAGGCTGGAAGCCCGTGCCGACGAGAGCATCGAGAGGATGATGCAGCGCGGCATGAACTACGCCAACGCCCTGGTGCTTCTGCTCCGGCTCCGACAGGCGTGCAACCACCCCAAGCTGGTCGAAGGGAAACTCGACAAGGACCGCGACGCCCTTTCGGGCGAGGCGTCCCAGAAGGCTTTGGACGCGGAGATGGACTCGCTCGCCGATATGTTCGGCGGCATGGGCATCGTGGCCAAGACTTGCAGCATATGCGGCCGGGGCCTTTCCGTTGCCCTGGCCAAGAGCGATCAGGATATTTGCGAGGAGTGTTACGGTGACTTGGCCTACTTCAATGAGAACGAGACTGTCAAAAGGAAGAAGCCAAAGCATAATAAGGCAGGGAAAATCAAGGAGAAGAAGGTTGTCAAGAAGGTTACGGTGGAAGAAGAGGAGGAGGGAGCCTCGCCCCATGGAAACAAGCAGCAGCAGCAGCAGCAGCAGCGACGGATCAGGAACCGGAATGCGGTTATAGATAGCGACGACGAGGGTGACGAGGGGTGCTGGCTCGTGCCCGAGGATCAGCGTGGTCAGCTTCGCCTGGGTAAGGCTGGAGGGGAGGAAGATGAGAATGCCGAGGGAGGGGGCGAGTGGCTCGGGAACGAAGATTCGTTGCATCCTTCGGAACAGGGGGGTGATGACGACGGAAGCCAGTTGGACAGCTTCGTTGTAGCCGATGAGTCTGTCAAGGAGGAAGAGGAGAAGGCGTACGAATCAGACGACACATTTCCGTCTCTTACAGAGCTGCCGGCGCGGAAGTCCGAAGCCCCGAGACGGTCCTTGTCCGAGGGGGAGACGAGCTCTTCGGCCTCGGAAGACGACGACGACGATGACGATGACGAAGATGAAGATACCGGCATCGACGAGTCGGAGGTCTACAGCGATGCTGATTCCTATCACCACCGCTACCAACACGGCCAGCCCAGTCAAATCCTCGCTTCTGCCAAGATCCGGCAGATGATGCAGATTCTCCGTAAGGAGGCCGACGAGCACAAGTTTATCATCTTCTCCCAGTTCACCTCCATGATGGACCTTGTCGAGCCGTTCTTGCGCAAGGGAGGCTTCAAGTTTACGAGATACGATGGGAAGATGAAGAACGACGAGCGCGAGGCCAGCCTCCACCGGTTGCGAAACGACAAGAAGACGCGCATCCTGCTATGCAGTCTCAAGTGCGGTAGCTTAGGCTTGAACCTCACGGCGGCGACGCGTGTCATTATTGTTGAGCCGTTCTGGAACCCTGTATGTCGTCCCCCCCTCCCTTTTCTTTTTCGGCCCCTACCACAAAGAACTCTTGCTAAGGATAAAAATGTCCAGTTCATCGAAGAACAAGCCATCGACCGTGTCCATCGCCTGACCCAGACCATCGACGTGATCGTCTACAAACTCACCGTCGAGAAGACGGTCGAGGAGCGCATCCTCGAGCTGCAGGAGAAGAAACGCCTGCTCGCCCAGACCGCCATCGAAGGCGGCTCCAAGAAGGACTTCCTCAAGCTCGGCTTCGACGAGATCATGGACCTCTTCCGCCGCGGCACGAGGCCCGCGGAGCCTGCCAGCCAGGGGAGGCGGGAACTCGCCGGTACCAGTACCAGTACCGCTGTTCCCGCGCCGTCGTCGTCGTCGTCGTCTCTGGGTCCGGCGATCAAGAAAAAGGGACCGAGGACCGAGGATGGGATTTATGGGCGGCGCTGGTGAGGGCCGAAAGCCGTGTCGCTTTTGCAGGCGGCGTCACTTGTCCTCTCTCCCTGGTCGGGCGTTGACTCTCTTCGGATTTGGGTTGTCGATGGGACACCTTGCTACTTACTACTTACTCTATGGGCAGGGCATGGGCAGGGCATGGACAGGGCATGGACAGGGCTGGGACAGGGCTGGGACTGACATCTATGCTTAGGATGGGGTGGATGGACTCTTGGGCGTCCAAATATGTGTTCATGACTTGCGTGGTCTTTTTACGTGAATAGACACATCGAGGGCGGCGACACACAGCTGTGCGACCCTTCATTGTTTGCCTTTTCCTTTCGCTTTGCGTCTCTCCATCCGGCTTGCTGCCTTCCCCTCTCCTGCCATGCGTCTTTATTCGATCCCCGCCGCCCCCCCTTTCCATCTACGAGCTTTTGAGCACAGCTGGGCAGCAGAGGAAGCCCCTTGCACCCACGATATCATTAACCAGACACCCAGGAATGCGAATGGTAAAGGGTCGGAAGGAGAAAAATATTGCTTTCGTTATCATTCATTCAAGCGACTCCTCCCATACAAAGCCATGAAAACCCACTTCAAATTTACGAAGAGACGTGTTGCCCAACACTGGCTCTGCAGTTTCAAAAAAAAAAAAAAAGATTAAGCAGGCGTACTAGGTTGTTGTCAAGGGAGCGAAAATCGTCTCCTCTACTGGATCTCCCCCCCCCATTAAGAAGTAGAAATATATATCCAACCGCCTCCCCTACCATTGCGGGATGTCGCAGGAATGTGGACTCTAGCACAGGTTCTGGCTCCGGTGGTAGTAGTCACCAGCCGCCGGCACGCTAGGGCCAACCCCCCGACGGCGCACTAGGCGGTACGTACGCCTTATACTGCGGCTGCGGCGACATTTGTCCGCCGTGCTGGCTTGGGAGCCCCTGCCTCGCGTCGTAAGCCGCGCCAGCGGGTTGCAGGGGAGGAGGGGTGAAGGCGTCCGTACGATCCGGTCCAGACGGTGCGGATGGTGCGGACGGTGCGGACGGAGCCGGGCCTGTGGGTACGGGGGGCGGGGCCTGGGAAGGCGCGCTGCTATAGCCATCAGGGGCGGCTGGAGGGGCCGACGGCGGCTGGTAGCTCTGGTACGAAGGCTGAGAAGGTTGGAAGGCGGCGGGTGCTAGCGCGTTGGCGGAGCCGGAGCCGGAGCCGGAGCCGGCATTAGGGTAATTGCCGTACTGTTCATCGGGGGAATAAGCGGGAGAGGAGTAATTGTAATTCGCTGAGGACATGGGGTTGTGAGGTGCAATCGGAGAATCATAAACGGATGTGGCCAGTTCCTGGGCTCCGTACGTGCTTTGGCGATGTTGATCGGGGGGCTGCTGCGGATATGCGCCATAAGGATTGGACGGGGTGGGGACCGGGGGCGGAGACGAAGTTTGGATGGGCTCTGGTTGGCGGGGGTCCGGTTCATGAGGAGGGTAGGGCTGGGCTGGAGGGGGCTGGGCATGGTGGGCATGGGCAGCCTGGGTCGGGATTTCGGTGCCGGCTACGTAGAAAGGGGCTGAAGCGGGTTGGCTGGGGCGTCGCAAGTTAGGCGAGGGGCTGGAGTGGGGAGGATATTGAGGTTGGTCTAGGAAGTCACGGGTCAGGATGCATAATTCTATTTTATTCCTCAAAAAGCTCAAGTCAAGGCAATTCACCTTGTGGTGTGGGCGCATAGTAACCCTGTTCTTGCTGAGGTTGCCCGTGAGAGGCGGGAGGGCCTTGTGGATGATGTTGACCCTGGGACGGACCTTGAGGGGCCCCTTGAGGAGGGCCTTGAGGAGGGCCCTGGGGAGGGCCCTGAGGAGACCCTTGTGGAGGATAGCCCGACGGGGCCCCAGAGATTCCCGGTCCGCCCTGCGGCCCGGCTGGATAACCGGGCTGGGCGGGTCTCATGGCATATTGGCGGAAGCTCGGCTGCGGAGGCTGCGACATGGAGGATTCCAGCAGAGCCTCGTAGTCTCGCCGCGCTTTGATAAACTTTTCATTAAGCTGAGTGAAGTCGTCTGGCGCGAGAAGAAGGAGGAAATATTAGCCATATTGAACAAATTCACAACGGCCTGTGGCTGTGTGTCGGATGCCTATCTCACCCTTCTTCTGAGAATACTTCTCAATGAGCTTGATGAGCTTTGGCCGAATGGCCAGCGTTTGATGGTACAGTTTCTGATAGACGTGTCAGCATATATATGATGGTTCCCTCCCAACTTGGTCATCAGACGTGGTGGCGGCGGGGGGGAAAAAGAAGGGAAAAAGAACGAAAAAAGGAAAGAAAAAAGAAGACGAGGGCAAATAGAAATCGTACCGATATTTCCTCATTGTCCTCCTCCCTGGGCCCGCTGTTCGAGGTGCTCAGCAGGGTAAGCAGCTTCTCGACATTCTTAATCTCGGCAAAGACCTCGGCCTCCATTTGCGCTTCCCGCGCCAACTCGTCGGGGGTCGGGTCGGTGAGCTTCTCGACGTAGTTGAGCGGAAAGATACCCGTCTTCCCCTTCAGCGAGCCGCGCCACCAATCCTTGTAGACCGACTCCAGGACGGCAATGACGTCGCCCTTCTTGAACTCCAGTTCGCCGGGCTCGGACGGCACAAAGTCGAAGAGGGCACGTACTCTCGACACGGTGGCGGCGGTGGTGCCGGCGGGGACTGGCTGGGCCTGCGGCTGCTGTTGGGCGGCAGACTGGGTGCCGGACGGACCGGCACCGGCGCCCTCGGACGGAGAGGCGGGTTCGGCGGCCTTCTTCTTCCGCTCCTCCTCCTGCAGCGAGAGCTTCAGGGCCATTTGCAGCTCCTCGTCTTCCTTCTGGCGATCTACGTCGGTGAGACCTGTCTTCTGGGGGGCCGAGGGGGGTTGCAGGGTAGGGTTGGTCTGCTTCAGGCGGTAGTAGGCGTCGTACATGATGCCCAGATCGGCGTCGTTGTTGAACATATCGGACCACTCCTTCATACGCTCCAGGATCTTCGCCTTGACTTGGGAGTGGGTGTTTCGGTCGTTGGCCAGTTTGAGCAAGGCGTCGGTGAATGCTCGGCTGGAGAGTTCGCGGTGCACATCTTTGCCGCAGTTTTGGCTGAGCGCGTTGGCGAGCTGAATGTCAAGGTCAAGTACAAAGAAAAAGCAGGGGTCAGCGGTTTGGAACGAACGACGACGGATATTGTTTCCAAGGTGCAGGTAAAATAGAAAAAAAACTCACCTCGAGTGTGTAGAGCTGGACGTTGGCGTTCCTATGTGCCAGACGCTTGATCATACTCTGAACCACTTCCTTGGGCCCATTCTGGTCGCTACCAACACGGTCACACAGCTCGATAATAGCACCCCAGTCCTCCGAGGTAAGGTTCTCATCGGTTGCCTTGGCTGTGCGTATGGTATGGTCAGTCAGTATAAGGGGTGAGGGGTGAGGGCAGTGGGAGAAGGAGAAGAACGAAAAGGAGAGGAGAGAAGGGGAGATACGCACCAACGCCCTCATCATAGGGCCCAGCGGCGGCGGCTCGAAACATGGCGACAAGGAAAGCGTCGTTCGAGCAAGCTAAGTATGATGTGGGATGTGGTTGAAGCTGACAGACTGTGATGGTTGTTTATCGTGCGGCGTGTGGCGTGTCACGTAGCAGCGGACAGCGGAGGATGACGCTCGTGACGAATCTCGGTCCTCCTGTCGTCTGCGATGATGTCAGGCTTTGGGGGACAAATGTCGGTATGGAGAGGGGAAATGATGGAAACGAATTCCAGATAAAAAGGCGTGAGCGTGAGGTCGATTGCGAGAAACAAAATTAAAGGCTATGGGAAGTGAGATGAGAGCCCCGTGTAGTCCAGAAGATGGGGGAAAGGGGAAGGGAGGGGAGAGAGGGGAGGGGAGGGTTAGGAAGCAGGATAGAAGGATGTAGTCAGTTTGGATGGATGGCAGGCAGCCTTGCCTGGTGGGTGTAGAGGAGCTTCCCAAGGTACAGAGTACTACGGATGCGCTACGCTATCTTGGTTCTACCGTACAAGCACCACTACGCCACTGTAACTGTAGGTAGCTTGTTAAGGTAGTGACAGCGCCTTATGGTACCTTAGTGACGTGCTGGTATAAGGTAGCCACCTTCATTCAGTACCTTAGGTAATTACCTTACGTTGGTTACGCCTCACAGTTGCCCCATAATGCTTCGTCATCATAAGTGCACCGCCACATTACGTCGCGCGACGCTTCTCACCGCCACATGCTGTACCACGGACTGTTTCTGCGACTCCTGAATTTCGTAGCCGTGATAGCGATTTAAACAAGGGGGGAAAGCGGAAAGGAGGAAGAGGGAAAAATAAAGGGAAAAAACAATTAAAAATTCCAAAGTTCGAAATCGCATCTTAGTTGGTCTTATATAGCATTCTTTATACTCTCTACAAGGCAGACCTGCAAGTCGCCTATTCAGAACCCGAACTGCCCAACTCCCTAAACCATCACCATCACCATCACCATCACCCATCACCCATCACCCCTCAGCCCAGAACCATTTACGTAAAGCAAGAAGAAGAAAAAAGAGGAAAAAAGAGGAAGAAAAAAAGGAAAAAAAGAAGGGGAAAAAAAGAAGAAAAAAAAAACAACGCCATCATAGCTGGAGGACAAGATCCGAAGCCAACACCGGAGAAGAGGGCCTGGCCGAGAGACACCCGCTATGTATGAGAGTCAAGCCAAACTCCAAAAAAGAGATAGCCCATATGAATCCCCCATCCTATGGTGAGCTGATGAAACCGAATAAACTACCTGTCTGCCATCCCGCTTTTCTTTCTTTTTCTTCTCTTTTCCTTTTTTTTTCTTTCCCCTGGACTACGTCCCGGGAACCCTTGGGTTGCCCACGCCTACCCAATCCCTGTCTGTGTCCCAAAATAGTATCCACAGGAACGATGTTTCAGTGTTCCTACCATGAGCTTTTCATATGGGGAGCTCACCATCCCCTTCGAGAAACGCCGCGGGGTTCAAACTCCGTCCGGCCTCCCGAACCGGAACCTACATGTCCGCCGCCCCGTCCCTCTTCGACGCTGCGTCTGCCTTGGGCATCCATTTCCGACATGTCGAAGAGCAACGGCTCGTCGTCCATCGTCTCGTTCTCGCCGCCGCGGCCGTAACCATAGCGCCCAATCGACCCCGTGAAGCTTCCCCTGGAAGACTGGGGCGGCGTCTGGCCCCGACCCGCCGCCGCCGCCGTCATGCCCATATACCGTCGTCTCCCAAACGGCGAGCTCGACGGGGCCGATATCAACCCCCCCGGAGGCTTCGACCCGTCGGAAGACCCGTGGTGTGTCGTGTGGTGGTGGATTTCCGCCGCCGGTTGCAGCGATGACGACGACGCGCCGTCGCCCGCGTTCGACGCGGCTTCCGCCTCCGCGTGACGGCCTAGGAGCATGCTCAGCGTCGGCGGTTCGCGGTCCTCGGCCCCGAGGCTGACGCTCCTGTTCGCCGCGAAGGCGAGATCGCCGCCGTCCTCCTCATCCGCCAGCGCGCGGTTCTGCTGCGCCGCCGAGCTCGAGCGTCGCGGATGCGTGCCCATCCTAGGCGACATCGGGATGTCGATAGCTGTGGTTCCCCCCTCCTGGGTCGTTGTCGTCGTCGTCGTCGTCGTCGTCGTCGCCGTCGTTGTCGCCGTCGTCGTTGTCGCTGTCGCCGTCGCCGTCGCCGTCTGGGCCGTGCGTGTCGCGTCTTCCCTCCCGGCTTCGCTGGGACCCTCGCGCGGTGTACTCGCCCGCCGCTCCGTCCTGGTTCGAGACGTACCATACCGAATGACTGCGTTTTCGCTCAACCGCGATGGGACGATGGGCGTGTGCGGCGTGTGCGGCGACAGGGGCTTCCCCGGCGAAGAGGAGATCGACGCCGACGCCGGCGCCGCCATGCTGGGCACATTGGACAGCTGACGGCTAGACGAGCTGGAGGACCGCTGCATCTGCAGAGAGGACGCCATGTATTCGGTCAGCGCGTTGTTGGAATCCCTCATGGCGTGGAACTTGGAGAGCTGGGCGACCGTCCTGTTGGTTGCGGATTCGCCCCTTTCCGTGGGCTCGAAGCTTTTCAGCGTCTTCTTGCTCTCCAGCGCCTTGAGGAACTCTGATATTTGGTCGTCGTCAGTCTGCAGGGACCCCGAGCTAGCATTGGCCCCAGCTTCCGCGAGGAGACCCGACCCAGGTTGCGCAACGGAAGAGGAGAGGCTCTGCCGTCCGCTGCTCCCCTGCTCATCATCGGCTCTGCTCGCGCCGCTGACGGAATGTCGTCCTCTGCGATGGGTGAAGCTGCTGCTGTACCGACTGGTGGAGCCCGGTCTGGGAGAACCCGGAGGCACAACCTCGGCGGGCGGCGGCGGTCCACCGCGGAGGGAGGCAGGCATGCCAGCCGTCAGGGACGTGCGGTTCCGCGGCTGATAGAGCCCCGCCGCGCCTGGAGCGCGCGTCGTCGCTGATGAGGGAGAAGCTGGCGAGTCCGAGTCCAATGTCCGCGACATGGGAGACCCCGAGAGCGAGCCGGCTTTGAAAGGCTGGAACGACACGGAAGGACGCCGCGCACCGCTGCCAGCCACGACGCCGCGTAGCTGGGGTCTCATGGCCGTCACGGGAAGAGAATGGGGGGGGTTCTGGTCGACACTGGCTGGAACGGAGCCCGGCGGTGAGCTCGTGTCGGATCCTGGCGGCCGGACGGCTCTGAGAGCAGTGATAGGACTCGTCGCGATGGCTCCTTCCCCGTGAAAAGTAGACAGGCTGCCATACGTCTGAGGCGGCTGGAAAGCCCCCGGCCCGCGGCGATGCGAGGGGAGCGAGCCGACTTCGGTCTCTTGCCGACGAGGAACCGAGCGCTGGGGCAAGGAGGGCTTGAAGAAATCCTCGTCGATGCCCATGAAACGTGAGCTCAGCAACGACTCGGAATTCTCGATGCGAAACGTGCATTCGTTCCGGTATGTTACAGAGGTGACTAGACGGCCCACCGGCACATCCAGGTCTCCAAAGACGTAGTCTGTCGCCACGTCGCCAGGCCCATCGTACAGCGGGTACCGGACAGGGTCGAGGCCGTGGAGATCGGTCTCGCCCATTCGGATGCGGCACCGCGGCTCCAGCGCAGGATGTACACCTTTGGTGAGGGCTTGTTGGGAGACTTTCCAGGCCGGGATCACGCGAGTGGTGACGAAGAGAGAGCGGAAGAAGACGATGATTTTCTTGTAGATGGTCGGCAGCAGGGGACCGAATTCGTCGAGGTCGAGGGACGAGTCGGTCTTCAGTTGGATGCGCCACCTTTCGAGGACGACCTCGGTGGTCCGTCGTGCAGGGGGGCCCGGATGATCGTCGGTCGAATCGAAGGAATTGAGAGCCTCCATGACGTCCCATCTCTTTCCATTCTCGTCCACGACGACAAGAGTCTGGCTCGGGTTTAGACGTGACGTATGGAGGTATGTCTCGATTACGAGCGGCGGCGGGTGATTGTCGACAACACTGCATGTTCTCCAAGCCCGAAGGTCTTCTTTGAAATCCTCGAAGTCTTCGGTGTCGAGTTGAAACTGCAAACATCCGAGGGCGTCAGTGAGTGTTGTTTGAGGCTCTTTGTAACCACGCAGAGGCGTGCACGTGGGAAAAAGGACGTACCCATTTGTTGATCTTCCTAGTCCCGGAACCCTTGCTCCCGGAAGCATATCTGAGGTTCATGCGCGAGTCGAGGATGACCGAAGCGGCCTTGGTATGGAAATTCTGCGCAAGACGGTCAGGTCAGCCTCGGGTCTTCCCGTGTCGCCTTTTCCTCCACCATTCCTCCACTCCGATCTCGGCACGGCGGCAGCAACGAGTAAGCATGTGGGCTTTCTTACCTGGATGATTTGATCCAACTTTTTGTACGACTCGGCAGACGGACTTGTATCGGGACTGGGAGAGCTACTCGGGTCGTGAGCCAAGGGCCCCGACCCAGCCCTCCCATGAGGAGGTGCCGGTCCTTCTCCTTCTCTCGGGTTGTTTGACCGAAAGGGGTTCATCTGGGGAGAGGAAGCGGGGGATGCAACTCGCGGCGGATGGCGAGCTTGCTGGTGCATGATGCCGAGTAGAGCGGGGGATGATGAAGTGGCGCAGGAGAAAAGTCGGAGGGGGGCGGTTCGGGGTTCGGAGTTCGTTCGCTTGATAATAAGATAAGGGTAGGGGCTGGCACCCAGCCCAGCCTGGGAAAGGATGCAACACTCAGTCGTTGTGTTGTGGTGGATTAGGCTGGGAGGTCGGTGAAGTCGGTGAGGGCGGTGATGTCGGAATCGATCTCGAAAAGCCACCGAGCCTGCTCATCCATCCTTGGTAGCGCCTCTTTCCTGGCTCTTGTCTTTCTTCCGGGAGGTACCAATTTGACTGCGGCACCGACAGCGTCAATCCACCGTGACAGGTAAGCGCACAACGAGACTGGTGGAGTGCTGGTAGAGATAAGAGCGTTGAGGCGTAGGACCGTGTTGTGTGTGTGTGTGTGTGTGTGTGTGTGTGTGCGTGTGTGTGTGCAACAGGTATGTCCGGCTTGAAGAAGAAGAGAAAAAAAGAAGAAGAAAAGGTAAATGGACGCAGCCCCTTGACCGGTTGCCTTGCCTAAAGCTATTGATGCTTGGTAGGAGGACAGCCCCAGGCCGAGAGGAGTCGAGTTGGGGTGGTTTGATAGGGGAATGAATGCTGGAGCAATAACCTACCTACCTAGGTTAAGGCGTGCGGACGGACGTGTGGGCCGTATGGACAAAATACAAGAGAAGGGAAACTACCACGAATGTATTTCAACGCGGATGGGTGAAAGCCCTTGGGAGAATGTAGAATGTGTGCGAGGATGAAGACGAAGACGACCCGGATGCCCATGGTCAAGGGGACAGGCCTCGTGATGTGGAAGTACAAAGTAGGAGTAGGGAGTCAGCTAGAATGGAAGTCTGATAAAAGGTACCTTACCTTAGAGTCTAGGCAGTTCTGGGGTTGTTGGTACGAAGTACAGTATCTAGCCGTATCGGCGGCTTTGTGCCGTCATCGAGAAAGCCTGGACCTTATGCTTAAAGCAGTGTAGCTCCGCTACCGGGTTCCTTGAAGGTGCAGGGGCAGGCCTGTCATGGGTGGGCCGGCTGATGGGTACAACGTAATGGGACCGGTGGAAGGCGTGTGGTTGTGGAGCACTTATCTTTCCAAGTGGAAGAACATCGAGTGTGGAGCATTGTACGGAGTACCCGTATACCTTACCTAAGGCTTTCGTACCAGTACATACCCCGTACTCCGTACAGATATCGAACCCGTCCTCTCTGTAAGGTAAGGTACGGTATTAGTGGATAGCTTCTCAAAGTTGCCTGAGTGTACGGGTACCGTGAATGGTCCTCCCTCTACCATAAGTCGTCAATCTACTTGAAGTACAATTCAGAGAAACGAATCATGTATGATGCTGATACCTTGGAGTTGGCTCTTACCTTACCTAATTCCCCTAGGTACCTACCTTGGGTAGTATCTGTACCTTTCATAGATAACCGAGAAAGGTCAATCAGTCGTATCCGTACTTTCGAGTCTACCGGGAGTGCCTTATCTGCACAAAAGTTGCCATTTTATTTATACCTACTACGCTGAGTCATCAGTCATCCAGGTCCTCATGAATGACAACTTTCTCCACCCCTTTATCACGAGCAGTCTGTCTGCCTGACCTCCCAACATCTCGACAACCACTCATCGACCGCCAGCCAGGTGTCACTGCGTTATCCCCTCCCCCTTCTCTCTCTCTCTCGACTCGGCCAATTAAGCTCATCAAGGCCTGATCCATACACGAAAGCAAACGTACGACGCTTTCTTATAGCTCCACTTCCCTTGGTCTGCACCTTCCAGTCTTCCAGGTTCCCAAGTTCTACGTGTGTCGTGATCAGACACCGCCCTCGACTTCATCACTTACACCGTACCGTACCCACTGCAAGCACGGCACAGGCAACGCAGCTAGCTGTTTCAGCCGATCCACGTGTCTGTCTGCCGGCTTCCACCCGACATCTACGGGTCCTTGGTCGCAACCATAAGACGAGAAGAAACTGCATCGTACCTTTGTATCCATACGTTGTAATGCAACTACATGTAGGCAATGCGAAGTCTTAAGTATCCCGGCTCTGAGGGATCGATGCCTGATGCAGGAGACGAATCCCATCATCTGTGTCGCCAACGATGTGGTGTGGACACACAGCTCCCGAATGACCCCAGCCCGCGGGGCCAACCAATGTTCAGCAGTTATCCGACTGCACTTTGTTGGCTTTTACGGGGTAAGGTAACCAAGAGCAAGGGTATTGGTGCAGTACAGGCCCTACATTCGATGACAGGGGACTTGATAATAAATCTCAACACCCGTTCAGATGTAAATGCGGATACGGATACGCAGACGCAGGCTCAGAATACCTACCACCCTCGTCAGCTGTAGCCTAATAACTGCGTGCTATGCAGCCAGTATCCTTCAACGGCGAAATGAAAATCTCGTAGGAATATGAGGCGGCCGGCGCCTTGGATGCTCCGTGGCCACCCATAGGAGTTCGCAATCTTCCGCCCTTGCTTTTTTCTTCCTTTTATTTTTCCTCTTCCTCTTCTTTTTTTATGTTTATTTCATTCTATCTCTAGTCCGTCGTCCGTCGTCCGTCATCCTTTTATTAGGAATGCTCTGTCTCCTGTACCATCTTCTGGGAACATCAAACCCAGTCCGGATATATTCCCCAACTTAAACTTACTCTAACATATAAAGCATTATATCTTCAGTCTTGACTTGTCAAAACCCGTTTGTTCTCTCGCGAGCTTTGTCCTCTTCCCACGCGTTCTAAAGGACAAGCCAAAATCCATCTGTGTTTGGCACCGTCCAACCAGGAAGGGGAGGGGGAAAAAAAGAAAAGAAAAAAGATAAGAAGAAATTCCCCCGGTTGGATGCCAAACCGACCTAAAACGCCATTCCTCCATAATATCACAAGATAGCCTGTGCTCCGGAAACACACCGCCTGGAAAAAAGGGGGAGAGAAAAAAAGGGGGAGAAAAAAAGGGGAGAAAAAAGGGGAGAAAAAAGGGGAGAAAAAAGGGGAGAAAAAAAAAAGGGTGGAGTGGAAAAAGGGGCTTGCCCAAAATACCCCTTAGACGTCCCTCACCCGTCTATATATCCACGCGCCACGGCCAGGACATACTCTCATGCTGCAGTAGTAGAGGCCCTACCACCTCCACGTCGCCCCCCTCTTCCCCTGCTGTTCTTCTGCGGTCTAGCACCCTGTCCCGAGCCGCTGCCTTCCGCGACAGCCCCCACCTCACGGTCCGCACTGTCGTCAGCTCCTTTCCTGCCTCCCCGCTCCCGTCTTCCACGTCGACCCCCACCACCTCTCTGGCCCCCTTTTCCTCTATCGTCCCGTTCCTTCTCCTTGGCAGCCCGCCTGGCCTCTTCCTCCTGGACCCGACGGCTCTCTTGGTCCCACCACTCCTGGAACTCTTGTTCTTGCTGGATTTCCTGCATCGACCGTTTGGCCGCCGCCGCCCGCACCGCTTCTTGTTCTCGCCTCTGTTGTCCGATGATGTCAGACATGCTCAGTCCCAATATCGGCTCCGCCTTGCGAGCCGGGGCTATATAGGTCCGGGAATGCGGAGTGATTGGCTTCGAAGAGGAAGGAGGAGTGGCAACGGAGGCTGAGGCTGAGGCCGATGCTGCGGCCGGCGACGTGGTCGAGTTGCTGCCCCGAGACTGTCCCGGGAAGCGTGTGTCCGGAGACGCCGTGCGCCGAATGGACTGGGCCGGAGACTCGGCCGCCACAAGGGGCTTCCTGATGGACGCAGCAGTCGTCAACTCAGACGCAGACGCAGACGCAGCCGCAGCCGCAGGGCGGGATGACTCGGCCGCCATGACATCACGCAGCGGCGCCTTGGGCACACCCGAGACCACTTTCCAGGGCGCTGCTTTGCTCTTAGAAGTCTCGGGATCCCATGCGACCTTGGGTCGTTGAGTCTCGGCCGCATGAGCTGCCGCCGCATGTGCTTGCTGCTGCTGCTGCTGCTGCTGCTCCTGCTGCTGCTGCTTCTGCTTCTTCCGCTCTTTCTGGGACATTTTTGGTTGCGGCGGCGCCGGCCGGACCGACGCTTCCCGCGCCGTTTGCGCCTCGATGCCCGCTGATAAAGCAGACTTGATCGGGGTTGCCGCCAAGAGCTCTCGCAAGTCCATCCTTGAAGTCGGCAAGGCAGCGGCCCCCCAGGGACTGCCGCCAGATGCTGGACCTTTGCCCTGAGAGACCTGGCTGGGCGAGCCAGGTGGTGTACGGTGGGCGAGAACGGACCTCAGTGGTAGGCTCGAAGCAGGAGATGGTACCGAACCACCCGTCGGTTCCTGACCTGACAGCAAAGGGATGCGGGAGACGTCCACAGAGCCCTTTCCGTTGACAGCCCTCTGTGGAGGAGAACATGTGGGACTTGCTGCAGGAAAGCCCTCTTCGTCATCCATATCAAACATGAGGTCTCCGTGGGATCCCTTGGCCCGCAGCAGCGGGCTTACCGAATCTGTTTGCGCAACCTTGGCTTTGCGCCGTCCTTTCTCCTGGACAGGGGAAACCGTAGTCGCGTCGTCCAAGCTGCCAAATTTCGTACGGAACGACGAGGACAAAAACCTTCTATCGTCATCTCTCTGAGATGCTCTATAGGCCATCTCCTTCACCCGTACTTGGTGTTCTTCCTCAATGTCCGATGCCAGCTCGGGATACCGTTCGAACATCAGCGCTTCCGTTAGCCGGCTGCGAGCGAAGGGGCATTGAGCACCCTGGTTCTGGCGGACAACGGCGTCCAGTTCTTCCATGAGTTCTTCATCCAACCCGTCCAAGTAGTGATTTTCCAACATCGTTTCCACCTGGAGACAGACGTACTCCAGGCCCGCATCTTTAAATTCGGTCACCGAGCAAGGACTGATCTCGTTAAGAAGCCCGGCGACGTTCCGCGTCGTGACGAATCGACCGAGGATGCGCTGGCAGACCTGGGACAAACGGTCCAGCATCAACTCGTTGGCAATGCTCATCACCTGCATCACCGTGTCCGAGAAATCGTCAACGTCCGACGACACGGTGTCGTCGAACAGCTCCGTGCCTACATCCGCGTATAGGTAGCGCAAGACATAGCGAAAAGCATCCGGATCCAAATGCGTCATGTCGACGGTCACCTGTTCTTCCTCGGCCAGCATCTCCCGGCGGCCCGCGAGCCACATACCGCCGGACCGGCCGTGGAAGAGTCCTTCGAAGAAAGCACACCGTAAGCGGAGAAGCTGACTGTGCACCGGTACCTCCTCGCCATCGAGGGCGATCAATGCATCAGCGTCTTGAAAGAAGCGCGGATCGCGGATCGCCGCCTTCATATCTCTGTCCAGAGACCTCTCCACCCTGGTTTGCATGCGAGCCGCCGCTTCGAGCTTTGTCAGCTGCAGTTTCGACGCCACCTTCATCAGCTCCACTCGGATCTGACGATATCTGTATGCCAAGGGCGGAGCTTGGCGGGTGAAGTTCCAGACGGGGACGACGGTGTCGTCATAGCAGTAGACGATCACGTTGACGAGGGACAGTAGATCTATAGACTGGAACTGGACTAGTGTCTTGCCCTCGTGCTCTCGGATGACAAGCGTCTCCGGCATTTCGTATCTTCCAGTGCGCCTGTACTCTGTAAACATCCCACGCAGGATGGAGCTTCGGGCGGCGAGAATCCAGCCGTGCGCGGGGATACGGACGTCTGGCGACGAAGATGTGGAAAGCAACACATCAAAGTCAAAAGTGCTGGACGAAACAAATCGCAGATGTCTCGCTAGGTCAACGTCGAGGCCAGGAGATCGGAGGAGTTCATACGGGAGATCCCCGAGCGTGTCCCTCAGCGCATCAGCGTCCCAGAATCTCAAGGTGTGCGTTCCGTCACGTCCTGGGTCGGAGGCCTGGAAGCCTCGGAGCACGAGCAGCGGAGACAGATCATCCCGCAACGACTTGCTTTGGACGCCGATCTGGGTTCTCGTGACGTCGCAGTCCTTTCGAATGGCCGCAAAGGCTCCAAAGGTTGAGCTTCGGACCGCCACAGCCTTGGTGACACTGGGCACACGTTGAAACTTGAAGTCGCCACGTCTGGTGTCGGCCGACTCGGAAAGCCTGGTATCTTTGGCTTTGGTCCGCTTCACACGCCTCCACACGGCGCCTGATTCTGTGCAGATGATGACAGACCCGTGCTCACCAACGCTGACCGACTTGACACCGTCTTTCCGGGCCTGCCAAATGCACTGAGGCGTGGTCAGGGCTCCCTTGATTTTGGCCGGGTTGGTCGTCGACGTGGCTGCCGGGGCGGCCTCGGCCCGGTGATTCAAGTTGACAGTGAAGAGGTCGCCTTGCCCTGTCACGGCGGCAATCGTCTCCCCTCCGGACGTGATATACGCTACTCGGTTCCGAGATGTAGTATCCTGCTTGGAAGACACAAAGCGGGAGGCGAACCGGTGGTTGGCAAAGGCATCTGGCACCGGGAATTTGAGGAAATTGAAACCATAGCTTGTAAAAACGCAGACAGAGCTGTCCTCTAGCAGACAGGTGGTCGCTTTATCAATAGCCGACACGGCAATGATATTGGAAGAGAAGAGTGATACGGCGACTCTCCGAGGAGTTGGCTGGACTTCTAATGAGCGGGAATCCGCGTCCATGAGGCCCAGCTGCCCGAGGTTCTTTCCCCAGCAAAACAAAGAATGCGATGTGTGGGCAACGGAGTGCACAGACGAGGCAGCGACGCCATTAATGATTTCCTTCTTGAGCGGCCCAAAGACCTGCCGAGGCGTGGTGCTCATGGGCTCCTCGTCCTTACGAGCAGGAGGCAAGGCATATCCAAGTTGGGCATTTGAATTGGAGCCCCAAGTCCACAGTTCGCCAGTGTCGGTAAGGGCCATAGTGTGACTCTGACCAAGTGCAACTTGTATGACCTTCTTGTCGGCAAGGCCGCCCTGGACAGGAAGGAACCGAAACTGGGTGTTCAGGTCCCCTAAGCCAAGACGACCGCTGAGGCCAATGCCGCAGATGTATAGATTGGAGACAGGGTCGGCAGTAAGGATAGCGCTATGAAACTTGGAGAGAACAGCGTCCTGAAAAAGGAGGGGCCGGTGTCTTGTGAGCGCCGGGATCATGTTCAGGTCTTCGACCTCCAAATCGGATTGGGATACACCCGAGGTTGGATCGTTCCTTGCTCTTTCGAGATATTCGTCGTAAAATCGACGGAGGAGGCGATCTGGTCGCCTAAGTAGTATCCTCTCGGGGAATTGGCGATCATCTTCGTCGCCCACGCCAAGAGAGAGATTCTTGTTGCTGCCGAACATGAATATTTCCTCACCCACGGTCGCCTCGCGGAATGAGGAAACGGGCCCAGCGACGAGATCTTCGTCATCATCGGTATCCGAGTCACCCCCCGACTCTGAGCATCTGTCCATTGTATCTCCAAGGTGCTTAAGCGACCGCGTCGCAATTGTCGAGTTATAAAGGTCGAAGGGGCTGCTTCCCTCATGATCCTTGGTCTTGATAAGCTGGCCTACCCTAGCAACGGCGGTGCTCGAGGTCTGCTCAGTCAAGAGACGACGCTCTTTCTCGAGAAGAAGACGGGCAATCGTTATATTGCCGGAGTAGAGGGCGCGGTGTAGGGCATTCCAACCACTTTCGGTATCTCGTGCGTAGAGATCGATGGCCGGGTGGTCGAGCAGGGCCTGGACGAAAAGTAAGGACTCGGGTCTGGTGGAAGCAGCGGCACGAAGTAGGATGGTCAAGCCCGCATAGTCGCGGCTGTTGACCTCAGCCTTGCCTAGACCATGAGATCCGGAGCCTTTGCCTGTGAAGGCGCCAAGAACGGTGCCAGAAGAGGCCTTACGCGATTTATTGGCCGTTCGGGGAGAGGAATTCGGAGCGGCCGGGAAGCCGGAAGAGTGGTTCCATGATCCAGCAGGAACGGCGGAGCTTTTCAATGGAGGTTGAGAAGCTGTCTGGGTGGCTGGAGCCAGCAGACGTCGAAACTTGTCGACATCGTTGTCCCAGTAGTATTTCCAGAGTAAGTGACTCATGGGGCAAGGGTGTCCTCGGGTGGCTTGTCCTTCGTGCGCGAGCGACTGCACCTCGCTGTGACTCTCAGAGGATCACGGCCTATTTAAAGGTGCTCGAAGCGGCGCACGCGCGAACGCGAAGGATACAATAGAAACGGAGAGTCGATGATTTTTTTTTTCTTTTCTTATGGCGTGATGCTTGCAGTGTCGGATGTTCGAACAGCGAATTCGGGATGGAAATGAAGATGGCGATGGCGATGGCGATGACTGGGCCTGCAGGTGCTTGGTTCCGGTCTGTCGGGATACCTCCAGTCAAGGTTATTTGATCGACAAAAAAGAGACAAGAAGCTCAGTTGTCTTGGGGTTGGCGTCGAAGGGAGGACAAGGAAAAGAATAAGACAATAGATCAAGGAGGCAATGATTCCCGCGTCGTAAATGTGCAATAATAGCTCGGAGGGGGGAGGCAAAAGAGGATGATGATGGGATGCGATGGCAGGGATCCGCGGGTAACTGGTAACTGGGAGGGATGCAATTGCTGCAGCTGTGTGCGCGTTAAGTGCCAAGTGCCCCACGAACCCCACCCCACTCTGCGCCCCCTGCTCGGAGTTACTGGTGATGTATATATACCTTGCAACGTACCTTATCTCTTCAACATCCCATAAGGTACCTTACCAATGGCTCAACCACCTGCCCTGCCTGGCATTTGGGGCTACACAACTGCAACCTTGGATTCTAACACGGACATAACCAATCGGAGCCGCTACCTGCAGCTTGTGGTCTAGTTGTAGGGCTTCTATTCTACTGCTTGATGCAGTCGCGATCCTCTACGAAGTAATATTCATACAGCGCTGCTCCCACTTCAACAAACGAGAGCGAGAGAATTAGGACGCGTTAAATAAAGTGCAGATTCCGTAAAAGCCCGACTTTAACCCCAGCGAGTATCTAATTGCTAAGGTAGCGTTACTCAACACGTTACGTGTCGGGATACCTCCGCATGGGACATGACGGGTAGATTCACAAAGGTAGATATACAAACAGAGCAAACAAAAATACCTAGGTACTCGGGTCTCTGCTGTTGGGACAGGGAACAATGTGTGGTGAGACGAACGCATGGTCCGTCATTCAACTGCCCCAAGACATGGCTCTATTGTGAAGTATGTAAAGTAAGGTACCTAGGACTTGGATCATAGGACTATTAGACCTGGGCCAAGTTGCATTGGTTCTGTTGTCTTCAACATCGTTTAAGGTACTCACTCGGTACTTCCAGGTCTTCAAAATCACACTTAAAATGCGCAATAGGAGATAGAGAAACTCTTGCTTATAAATTACATCTGGATAAGGCCTTTCGGAATCCAGAGCAGCTTCCTCCTTCATCGGATCGCTTGAAGGTGCATGATATCCCTGAAGCGCAATTGAGTCGGTGGTGTTCTTCACCGACGCCACACCGATTTTTTCTTTCCCTCACCGGCCCGGCCTACCTACGTTAGGTATAAACTGGCTAGGCCAATCGATAAGCGCTGTGGATCAGAAAGCACCGATAACGGACGGACTTACCCCATTAGGGATGTTCCAGGGACAGATGGGCCCGTTGCTTCGCTAGTGGCTAGAAAAAATCACCAACGGTACCCTGGTAGTAGCGCACGGAGATTTTGGTGCATGTCCGGAATCGCGCCTCCACACAATCCATTGATCCTCGGACACCACAATTGTATCGTATCGCGAGCTTCAGCACCTGCCATCTCGATTTGCCCTCCTAATAAGCGCGGCCGCCATTTTCAAGTCGACTCCACCTGTCAAAATGTCGCAAGACAAGCCTCTTCCCTTTGTCTACCAGTTCGCCGCAGGTTCGTCTCCAATTGGTCTCCCCTGGCCTCCCCGACCTCGTCGCCCCTTCCGAATGTGCCCCGCGTAACTAACTCGTTGATGAAGGCGCCATTGCCGGTGTCTCGGAGGTTAGTACTAGGACTTGTATCCGTCGTGCTTACTAGCATCTCACTGATTTCCTCGATTTAATGTCTAGATCCTGGTAATGTACGTCTTGGACTCTCCCCACACGACATGCGTGTTGCTTGCGCTGTTATTTATGCGATCCCTGAGCGCCAGATCACCCCTCTTGCTACTACTCCTGCTAACTCTTGTTTTCCTAGGTACCCGTTGGATGTCGTCAAGACAAGGGTGTAGGTGCTACGACAAATACCCTCCCGAGCCTCCCTCCCTCCATCGACCAAACTGACACACGAGACTCGTACCTTAGCCAATTGCAGACTGCTAACGCAACCGGCGCCGACGCTTACAATGGCATGCTTGACTGCTTCCGCAAAATCATAAAACATGAGGGGTACGAGCTGTCCCGACTCGGATGTTATTTCTAATTTTCCCCCTCGTGGCGCCTGGTTTCTCCTCGTTGCCTAATTCGTGGGGAGGGGGACCGCCAGAAGACTAATTTTTGTTGTTATTGTGCCCCAATCTCAGACCTTCCCGCCTGTACCGCGGCATCACCGCGCCCATCCTGATGGAGGCGCCCAAGCGAGCCACCAAATTCGCCGCCAACGACGAATGGGGCCGGATCTACCGCAACATGTTCGGCGCCCAGAAGATGAACCAGTCCCTGTCGATTCTGACCGGTGCCACCGCCGGCGCCACCGAGGCCTTCGTCGTCGTTCCCTTCGAGCTCGTCAAGATCCGCCTGCAGGACAAGGCCTCGGCTGGCAAGTACAACGGCATGGTGGACGTGGTCCTGAAGACGGTGCGGAACGAGGGCCCCCTGGCCCTGTACAACGGCCTGGAGAGCACCCTGTGGAGACACATCCTCTGGAACGCCGGCTACTTCGGCTGCATCTTCCAGGTCCGCCAGCTGCTTCCGACCGCCGACTCCAAGAGTTCCCAGATGACAAACGACCTCGTCTCCGGCGGTATCGGCGGTACCATCGGCACCGTCCTCAACACCCCCATGGACGTCGTCAAGTCGCGCATCCAGAACAGCCCCAAGGTCCCCGGCCAGGTCCCGAAATACAACTGGGCCTGGCCCGCCGTCGCCACCGTCGCCAAGGAGGAGGGCTTCGCCGCCCTGTACAAGGGTTTCATCCCCAAGGTCCTCCGGTTGGGACCTGGCGGCGGTATCCTCCTGGTTGTCTTCACGGGCGTGATGGATTTCTTCCGGACAATGAAGGAGACGTCGGCGTAACGTAGAAGCTTCTGGAGAAGGCGCCACGGCATATGACGGGTCCGGGTCTGGCTTGTTATATCGGTGGCGGGCCCCGCATTATAGATTCCCCGGGCCTCGCAAAGGGATAGAATTGTCCGTTTTGGGATAGAAAAGAGAATAGAAAAGATTTTCTTTGCACATGTCTCATGGGTTGAATTGACCACGTCACTGAGGTAGTGATGTCGGGTTGTCTTGGGCAAACAAAAGTTGGTTTCTTGTTCTCCTCGTCATAGCGTCAACTCGACGCTGTCCACTTGACTGGGGATGGTCATCCGAAAAGACATGTTCATAATGTTGTGTTGCCCATATGGTGATGGGTCAGCAAGATATCGTCTTGGCGCGTAGGATGAATGATAATTCGGAATGTTGCCGTTTGTAATTGAGGACTAAGCATTGTCTTTGTATGTATGCCACTGGTCAGGAAGCGGGACGGATGGTCCATCCTGATATCTGAGAGCTCGGAGCTCGGTTTCCTGCCGAGGTCCTAGTCAGTACTCCGGAGTACCGGTATATTCTATGGTACGGTACACTCTACCGACCACTAAGGCAGCTAGGTACCTTAAGGTATCTTACCTAAAAAGGGATTTCCAACCTTGTATGATTACGTAGGACGTAAGTAAGGTACTAACCCGCTTTATAGGACAGCCCGATGACTGTATCGCAACACTTGGAACTTTCTTATCTGGCTCTGGTCAGAGCAAACTTCTCTTGATCGAGCTCGACCTACACTACACCACCCGCCCTCCCCGCGTAGGTACCTATCCGGGTTCAATTAGGGGGTTATAGGGCAGAGCCTGAAAACTGGTCAGACTGTTGATACCTTAGTCTTAGAATTTTATATTAACAGAAATATCTCTGTCCTGGCTCTGACCTATATCTTCTCTCCCTGGTAGGTACTCACTTCGCACATCCTAACTCTGTACAACAACATCGTACTTCAGTAGAACACCAAATCGCGCTTGCCCCCACGCCCTGCTGCACAGTCGGATCCCGTATCTCACCGCCTTCGGGTAGGTGTTAAGCTACCACGCTCTTTCCCAAGGCCGTTCGTCGTTAACAAATTTCTTCTGCCCCACATTGAACTGCCACCGCCACGTATTGACAAGTCAAGTTAAGTTCTCTTAAAACTGCCTACAACGTATAAGTCAATTTGTGGAAAGCTACCGAGAGCAGGAGGCAGCCCATAGGGTAAGGTTTTACAAGGGTACCCTATCTTGGCATCGTCACGGCGGGGTATCTTACTGCTTCCTGTGCGACAGATACGAATACTTTTAAGGCCGACACAACGAAGCGAACCTGACCTACCTAAGGTACCCAAAGCACTTCTCGTTACCTTATTGAGAACCGTGGTCTCCCACCTGGAGTCTATTATTCAACATTCAACACCGAGGGACTCTATCCTCTGTCACGACTTGCGATTTCCGCTGATCTGCTGATCCCCCACCCCCGCCACCTTCCAGAAGACGCGTGCTTTTGCGCTCATGGGGTTCCTCGGACTTGGTAGGGGCTCCGGCTCCTGGTTCTTGATCCTTTGCCTGGCCTTGATCTTCTTGCCAGGTAGAGCGCATGCCTTTGGAGCTGGTAATATCCCCAGCATCGCGCAGATCGAAGGCTTCAACTTTCGTCATGGAGACATAGAGGACTTCCTCTCTACTGTCGTCTTCCTGAAGGGCAAAAAATGGTCAAGCCTGAACATTTCCCGTGTCTACTTCGGTTCGTCCCTGCCATCCCTCCCAGAATGACCTTGGCTTTTTTTTTTGTTCTTTTTTTTTTCCCCCCCCCCCCCCCCCTCCTTCTCTTGGATCGATCAGTGCTGACAACAGCGAAATAAAGGAAATTGGCTTAGAGACTATAGTCAGGCTATTGACACGGCCAGCTTGAAGGGTGCCAACGCGGCGACCGTTCGGATTCTGGTTTGTCTCGCCGATTTTATGGCTAGTAGTGAGAGCGTTGTGCTGACATATATGTCCCTTTTCAGGTATGGGTTCTTTCTTTCCTAGCGCATGGCTATGCGACCGAGGAGTTTGAAGTCACCGAAGAGAGACTTGGTGTCTACAGACCGGAAGAGCACACCGACAACCCCCTCGGCTACCCTGATGATGGGCAGACCTACGATCCTAGGCTCCGACCCCCTGTTCGTGAAGCCGAGATAGAGATAGACAGCCGTACAGGCATGAAAAACTACATTACCAACGAATCCGGCGACTGGGCCACGAGCTCTGGTTATATCCGATTCAGCCTCAAACGTTCCATCCATTACGGCAGGGTCTACACGAGCGGATCGGGAAATAGCTCCGGCAGAGAAGAGGATCTTTGCGAGGCGCTACGCTGCTTGGGACAAGCTCTCCATACCCTGGAAGACTTTCCCGCCCATAGCAACTATTGCGAACTCGCACTCCGCGAGCTTGGCTACCACGACGTGTTCCCCCACTGCGGCGTGGATTCGGAGATTGACCTGCAAGGGAAGAGAGTATATCCTCTCGTCACCGGCACGTTTGGAGGTGTCGATTTCCTGCATTCCGTCATTGGAGAAGTGAACGACAACTTGAGCCAGTCCGAGCTCGATGAGCTTAATGCCGCGGTCGCCAATGCTCAGAGCTTGACCAAGGTCGATTCCGGCTCTCAGTCGCGCGGGCTCTTCGGGCCATCATCCGGCGGCTCATCTCCGGGCGACTTCATTTCCCTTGTCAGCCAGTTACCCGGCATCGGTGACGGGTTTGCCCGTGAGGCACAGGCCTTGAAGGCTTCCTCCGACGAGCAAGCGCAGCAGAATAGTCGGTCTCTTTTTGGCAGCAGCGACAATGCCAATGTCGTCCCTGGTATGAGCGCCGACTTTGACCCGGTCAAGACGGCCCGTCGAATCTACCCCATTCTCCAGTTTCGGGACAAGATCGTAAAGGCCATCAACCGTTTCATCTCCAAGGTCCCCGGTCTGGAGAAGCTCCTCGACCACATCGGCGAGACGCTTACGGCATTCGTCCTGGGGCTCCTTGCCCCCTTCATCCAGCCGATCGTTCAGCAGGTCTCTCAGATCCTCAAGGAGGGATCTTCCACCGTTATCGGTGCGAGCGCCAAGTCCCAGTTTATCCCATGGGACGACCCTACAAGCACCAACCCTACTCACTCCATGCTGTCTAAAGATCACTTCACGAACATTCTCAACTCGTGCGCCGGAAGAATTGCAGTCACCATCCTGCAATACGCCGTTCCGTAAGTCATGAACCCCCCGGTATCAAGTCCAACTATGCTGAACAAAAAAACGCTGACCGAACCAGTCGTATTGTGTACGCTTGGGAGAACCCCGGTGTTCCCGCTGATGAGGTCATCGACGACATTCTTCGTGTGTACCACCATCCAGCAATCCGTGATGAGAGCATCGAGATTCAGCGCACCATGTTCAATACCGTCCAGGAATGGGCGAACAATCATCCACTTCGACACGAACTCTCTCACCTGCTCTCTTCAGAATCAGTTAAAGACCACAAGAACCACGTCCTGAACCAGCAAACACAGCGAGACCGAGGTATGGGTGGCTCGCACAGTTGTGGCGGCGGCATGGGAGGTCTCGGCCATGGGAAAACCAAGAACTCCCTCTGGAACCAGATTAAGACGCGCGATCGCAGCGCGATGGATGGCTCGGATCGCGGGCCTCTGGCACCCGCCGTTGAACCGGCGGCGCAAGAAGAGTACGGTTATCACCGGGAGGAGGACAGGTCTCATGAATACAGAGGCGAGGGGGGAGGGGAGAGCGCAGGCTATTACGGGTCCGCACCCGTCGCGGCCCCGCCGAGTCATTCGCCTCAACCCGGTGGTTGGGGGCAACCGTCCCGTCCACCCCCCGGCCAGTATGGTGGCCCGCCGCCTGGCAGCTATGGGGGTCCTCCCCCGGGTCAGTATGGTGCTCCGCCCTCCGGGCACTATGGAGGTCATGGCGGTTATGGCACCCCACCGCAGCCGCAATACGGATACGGTCCTCCTGGTGGATATCAGCAACAGCCACCCGCTCACCACCAGGGATACGGAGCTCCGTCGCCTGGATACCACCAGCCGCCTCCCCCAAGTGGAGGCTGGGGCCAGTACCCTGGGCAGTATCGTTACTGAACGGAGGTGACCGGGTCAAAGAGACTCGCCATGATATTCGAGGTGGATACCTAGATGATTGCACACCGATGTCACTTGTGGGCCGCGTAAGGTAGGGAGAAAGGATGTTGGGTAGATAGTTAGCCATTTGATTTTTGCCAGTGTTTTTTTCTTCGCTATAGTATGCGTATGTTACCTATTCCCTCCCGTGTTAACTCGGTTATGATTGTACATACCTGTTGGCTGTCTCATCAAGTGAAGAAAAGGAGAAAATGCCTACTGTGCCCTGCCCTATTAAGGTGTCGCATAAATTGCGTACAATGGTTGTTGTACACCGTCGTAATGAATTACGTGTAGCTCGCTCTAGCTCCGATTGCGGTACAAGGTACGTACGAAGTTCTGACGGGTGGGTCAGTTGAACCTCCCTCCTGCACCCCCCCCCCCAAACTTTCGAACGACAAATAACAGAGATTATATGAGTCGGTATAGACCTGATCGAACATCGAAAACCGACTTCTATGCGGGCCCCGTAGCGAGACTCCCTCGTTCCACGACTGATCGAGTCCCGGCTATTGAAGACAAAGTCGTGGGATTGCGACGTAAAAAAAAACCCCCTGCCCACCATGCCTCTCGACGATGATGATAATCCTTCGGCAGCACCGTATCCTCCCAAAGACGCAGCAGCCCCCGATGCCGAGGATGACGCCGAAGACGGCCCGTTCGACATGAAACTTTTTACGTCCATGTTCCACAAGAAAGGAATCGCGGTACAATCGGTTCGGAAGGGCCAGAAGGACTTTGAGTCGCACGGGACCAAAGCGCAAGACCAGGCGCTCGAGGCGAGCAGGCGCGTGATCGAAGAAGTGCTCAGCTACACGCGCATCCACAAGGACGACTGGAACAAGGGCTGGTACTTCCCGGACCACTGGCCGCAGGCGCTGGAGGAGATGGCGAACGGCACGGAGGAAGCAGCGGCGCGGCCCGAGTTTGTGCGCAACATCGACCCCTCGATTCACGTGCGCGACTGCGTCGTTGTGCTAGAACAGACCAAGGGCCAGTTGTTCAAGTCGATTGGTCGCTCGGTCAGGGGGCTCAAACCCCCGCAGCCGGCCATTGGCAAGACGTGGCTCCTCCCGGAGGAGGCGCTGTTCCTGGTCGAGCGCGGTTCGTTGGATCTTTGGTGGCCGGACGTTGCCCTGGGTGAGATTATTATGCCTGCCTTCAAGGCGAAGAAGGCGGAGGCGGGGGATGCGGCTTCCGGTGCGCGCGACGCCGAGGCTCCGGTTGTTATTTCTAGCAGTCCGACGGGCAGCACGGGAGCGGATGGCGAGGAGGAGGAGGAGGAGGAGGAGGAGGACGACGACGACTACGAAGAGTTTGCCAACGGCCTCCCTCTGAGCTTACAGGCAGCGTACGCTTTTTTTATCGGCCTGGAAGGGGAGAGGGGCAAGGTGACACTCCCGAAATATCAGGTGTATGCTCACCTGAAGCGATCTGGCTACCACGTTCTCCGAGCCCCGCCGCCGGCCGCAACAAGAACCGTCGACGACGACGAAGAGGCGCGACGGACACGGCCACGAGAACCACAGCAACAACCGTCGACGACACCTAGGACATTATGGCAGTGGCTGTTTTCCCTCTTGAGCAAGGGATCAAACACGGGACCATCCCCCGTCGGACCTCTAGTCAAACCCGGACTGTACCGGAGCTACGTCCCTGTTTACGATCAACTCGAACTCCTCTGGCGGTACAAGCCGCTTGCGGAACGGCCGGAGCCTGCGGCGGCGCCCGAGGCACCCTACAAGGTATTTTACCACGTATGGAGGCCGTCGAAGCACGCCGTGTTTACCAAGAGCGACCCGCCGCCTCCGGATTTTCGCATCGCGGTCGTGGATGCCCGAGACACGTCCGTGCCGAGCCTGGAAGAAGTCACTGCCCTCCTGGCCTCGACGCCCCATGACGCCGCCGACCCGGCTTGGGTCGGGGCCGGCAAGATGTATCAGCGGTTGAAGCACGGGCATCGCAACGTTCTCATTGCGGTTGTCGACAGGGGGCTTGTCAACTTTATGCGGTTCGGCGAAGGGACGTTTGGAGAGGAGAAGCTGTTTGAGCGGTTTGACGGCAGGGGCAGCAACCAGCGGGGTGGCAAGAGGGGAGGTCGCGGTGGGAGAGGAGGGGGACGCGGTCGAGGCCGTGGCCGAGGAGGAAGACGAGGCTGAGAAATGCACCTTTGCTTTCGGCTTTCGGGATGGAAAGATCCGGGCGGTCTGGCGCAGAATACGGACAACGACAAAGAGAAGAGAAGAGCAAAAACTTGCCACTTCGATTCTCTCTCATTCGAGATGACCCGAGACCGATGCTGGGTTATCGATGCTACCACTATAGGCAACAAAGAGTGAGACGACGACATTGTCCGGCAGCCTCATCACATGCTTGGTCTCTTGTCAGCCGCATAAGAGTGCAACATCCAGGCAAGCAGTCATGATTCTACACTATCTATCCATGGCTGCGCTGCGATTCGTACACCGAGGGCCCAATCGTCGAATGGGGGACAAGTTCAGTCAATGTCGCATGGCGACATGTGCGGCGGTCCTTCAGCAGCCAGGTTGGGGAGTGACATGTCTCACATATCACGGGTGACAGCAGAATGATTGCTTTGCCTCGTCCCCTTCTTGTGTCTTGTTGTGGTTGTCGATTAATTACGTTGTGGCTGTTTTGTCACACTGCACACTGTCCTTGTCAAGCCATGATTACGGCGATCTCGGGGTTTGCCTCGGCTGGGGTTGATCAGTTACGAGCCCTGTTGCAGGGGCTGCAGGTCACAAAAAATCATCATGCCAAGCTCAGGTGGCCTCTTCCCTTCATGGCGGTTGTCCGGAGTACATATTTGGAACAAGCACGGTACCTTGGTCAATACGGATTCCGATACGGAGTATAGAACAAGGTAAAATGACTGGCAACGTCGTATCAGTTCGACAACGCACTGCGCCAACCTTCCGCTTCCGCGGCTAAGGTATTTCAAGTTTCGTGTTTAGACTAAGGTACCTGAGGTAGGTAAGGTACAAGGTACGCGACGGTGCGCATCGATTCCTCCTGTCTGCACCGAGCTACATTCGTAATTATACGGACTCCGTCCCTTAAAGTACCTTACCTTGGTTCGTAGTGCAGTTTAATTCAGTGCAGCGCATGCATTATAGTGTAATTAGGTAGTACAGAGTACGGAACAGAGACCTCTTCTACGAGTACCTTACCTTAGGTACTCTACCTTAGTCTTATCCCATCCCCCTAACTGCATTGTTTTGTTATCCATCTACGGACACGACACTACTACTCCGTAGCCGCCAGATGGTATGAATATGATGTGTCAATGTATGTGTCAATGTTTAACTCGACAGTCTTCTCAGGACAGAGGTATAAATTCACAGTCAGGTATATGCGACCAAGTTCTTAGTCAACAATTTGTCGCGTTCATGTCCGACTTGCCCGAAACTTTGAGACGACCTTGATAGGTTCCAGTTTCAGTCAGCATTCTACCAGTGACAAAGTATCCAATCCGTACCTACCGACTTGGGATCCACGAGAGCACCTTCCTTCCATCTCTCGCTCTGCCATAAGAGCCAGTCACCTCCTTCTCTACCTTATCCATGGCTTAAGGTAACTTATTAAAATCGAACCCACCTGGCAAGTACGAAAAGTACGAAGTACCTTCAGCATCAGCAGTTGTCTCGTAGTTTCCCAATTCACCCAGGTACGAATTCACTACGCGAACACTCAACTCTGGCCAATGTCGACTCTGCCCTCCCCTCCTCTAATTATTATTATCCCGCCACATTTTTTCCAATCTCTCGTTTCCCTCCTCCCTCCTCCCCCCCCTTCCCTGCCTTATTACTCTCTTTCCCCCCTTTCCCACACTTAATCGATATAGGAAGAGAAACATCGCTTCCCACCTTTCCACCACCTCTCACTCGTCTTTTCACCCAACTCTCTCTGATGCATCGTAATTACTACGACTACTCCCACCACCACCATCGCCGACAACAAACAATAACAACTTGTTTCCCCGACGTCCTGCTCCTGGTCTTGCGCCAGGTTTAGTTCCCCATCCTATACCCGCTTTTCGCCGGGTTACGTCCCCGTCGATGGGGTTGTCGAGTATCACTTCTTAAGGTAAGGTAGTTTAGAGCTGTTCCCTCCTCTGTTTCCATCCGTCTCTTCACTGCATCTGCATCTTAATCACAGTCAACCATCCCCCATCTTCCATCCTCTCATCTTTAACTTGCCTTGACCCCTGAACTCCCCCCCCCCCTTCACCATCAACACAATGGAGCCTCAACTCTTTCCCTCATGTCAATATGTTTCACCATCCTTGGATTTATGCCAGTATGGTTCACTATCAATTACCCAACTTATACCTATTGTCTTATCTTTTTGCAATTCCAATTACCAAGCTCTCATTGTCATCCATCAACCTACACCCACCTACCTACCCAGGTCATCAATCATTTCCACCTTAACCATCTCTACTCGGAATCTCCTGTCTCTGGCCACACTCCACTTCCCTTCCCTTGCCTTGCCCTTTCCCTTTAATCTCTATAGTTCTTGGCCGCTGATACGTAATGGCAAAGCAGCTACTGGCGCCCTTACTTCATCGACTGGAGAGTGAAAACATAAAACCCGTAAACTCCCGACGGATTTATTTATATAAATATTTATCCGGCCAGCTCTGCCATCATGGATCAAACCAAAGTCGAATCCAGGCCTGAGGCCCCTCCGGCCACTTCAGCAAAGCCTGTCTCGAGTCCTTCCATCGACAGGGAGCCCCTCGAGTACGTCAAGCTGCTGCCTCACTCATCCACTTCTCTCTCTAGCTAACCTTCAGATCTCCCTTTAGCCCCAAAACCACCGAGGACAATGACAACAACCCTCAGCCCCACCAGCATTCCGCCGAAGACGACGACGAACTGAGTCCTCCCCCCGAGAACATCCCCAGTCCCGCGCTTCCCGGTAGTCCCGCCAGCTCCCCTCCGGCCGACGAGCAAGCTTCCGACGAAATCATTGTCAACTCCAATCGGAATGGCCCGGATAGGCCGTCTCCGTTCCACGTGGTTTCGGACCCGGAGGATGAGACCATGCCCGACGCCGACGCCGATGACGATGACGACGACAATGACAATCAGGATCAGGATCAGGATCAGGATCGGGATCGGAGGTACCCTCAGACCACCGCATACCCCAAGCGCAAGAGGACCTCGACCTTCGCCGACCTGAGCGAGAACACCATAGATGCCGTCACCATAAATGACATAATGGCCGCCGCACGCTCAAGGCCGGTTCGTCGCCAAGCCGCCGGGTACAACAATTCCGGCGTCGTCTTGGGCTATTGGCGCGACTCCCCCGTCGCCGACGACGAAGGAAAGCATGCCGTTATTGGCTTTATCGATGTCCGCGATCGGCTGCGCACCCGTATCCAAGTCGCCACCAGGGCCGGGGAGACAGCCAAGGAGCCTGTGCCCCCCGGGCCTGGTGGGCTCTGGGTCACCTTTGAGCGCATCGTGTTCGAGCCGTATCTCGTGGGCCTGAACCACCACCAGATCAAGGAGTTCGTCAAGCGGCGCGCCGGCGCCCGAAACGAGGACCCCGACGCCAAACTCGAGGCCGATCTTGCCGCCGTCGAGGACGCCAAGCGCCGCGTCTTGGAGAACCCCCACTCTGACGCCGCTCCGGCCCCCGCCGTCGCCTACGGGCCCACCCTCCCGGACGATGCCATCATCTCCGCCAGCGCGAAGCGCCGCAAGCTCGCTGGCGGGCCGGCCACCATTCTCGGTGGCGCTCCTATGGCGCCGCCCCCGGTGCCGGCCCAGTCCTCCCGGTCCGCCGATCCCCGGCGTGTCCTGCCCTCGGCCAGGAGCCCGTCGGAGACGTCGCCGCTGCTGGCCGATAGCGTGCCCATCTTCGACCCCCTCACGGGTACGCGCCCCACCCGCATCGTCGTGGGGTACTGGAAGCCCTCCGAAGCCCCCGACCCGCGCGATCGCCATGCCGTTCTCGGCATTCTGGGTCACAACGACAATTTCCGCGTCAAAGTGATCCGCGAAACCCGGGACGGCCGTTATGTGGATGGCAATTTCCCCTCGGGCGCCGGCGCTCTGTGGATCCAGTGGTCCGAGACGGAGCTGGAGCCCCATATCAAGCACCTCAGCCGTGTCGAGGTGAAGGAGTACGTACGCGTTCGCCAGTACCAGATCGACAAAGGGGAGAAGGCCGAAGAGAGGCCGCACAACGAGACCCACGCCGTCTACGTCGCCCAGCGGCGTGCGCTGCACATAATCAGGACCGGCGCGCTCCCGACCAGCAGCTCCCAATCGCAGATGGAGGACGGGGCGGACGACGCAAGCCTTGCCGAGCCGGCGTCGGTGGGGGCGTCGGTGGGGGCGGGGGCGAGGAACGAGGGTAGGTCATCTCTCGGTGGCCAAGACCACCTCCGGACCTCCCATCGCCGCCAGTCTGTTGTTCCGGCGGGACGCAATTCCTTGTCCGACCTCGACAGCCGACGGTCCTCACGCTCGCCGCACGCCGTACGTCGCGACATCGACTCCCAAGCCCGTCGCGAGGTGGGCCGCCTCGAGCAGTACGAGAGGAGCCGTGCGCAGTCCAACGCCGACCGCGAAGCCGACCGCGAAGCCGCCGCCGCAGATTCCTCCGAACGGACCACCGCCGCCCGTAGCGCCGGTCTCGCCAATGGTTTCCACGCTCGCGACGAGGTGCAGCAGCTGGACGACATCTGGCAGAAGCAGGAGGAGCAGCGCAGCCGCGCCAACAACGAAAACATCAAGTTCTACGGAGGGACCAAGTATGAGCGCAAGTCTACCGGCCCTTTTGTTGGGAAATTGGTGTCCCAGGGCGTCCTCATCAGTATTGATGGCGAAGACTACGTCGAGTACAGGGTTCTTACGAAGCCGTCTTTCTGCTGAGGTCCAGGCGGCCCTCCTCTCGTCGGCTAACACACGATTACAATTTACGAGGCGGGTTTCTTTTATTTTTCTCTTTTTTTCCCTTTTCTTTTTCCTCCCCCCCCCCCCTCTTTTTTTTCTCCTTCCTCTCTTATACCACTTGCTATGCTTGTTGAAATCGCAACCGGTCTTGTCCCATCCGTTCTCTCCATAATTTTGGGCGATGGGCTTTTCCTGTGTACAACCAAACCCTCTAATATTTTTTGGCACCCTTCGCCGCAGTCTAGGCAACCAACGGTGTAAGATAGGAAAGGGCTGTGCTTTTCATTGTTTCTTTTGTCGCCTTACTATTGTTTCCCTGCAAGCGAATGGAAGAATGACATCCAGTGTTGTACGAGTATGTCAATAAAAAGGGCCAGGCGTTCCGGTACGTGCGTAATGAGGCGGAAGAATAGGCTTGGGAATGGGGAGCTCTGGCTTCATGATAACCTTTTGGACTGGGTGATGGGGAACGAAACACACAGATTGGGGAGCGTTCGAACGGAAATGACGAGGCTGAGGCATGTAAGACGTCCTTCTAGGGCTTGGAGGCTACAGTCTACCGCGACTAGGAAACATGGGGGTCTTCTCCGTCGATATTCCAGCTCCCTCTTTCTTGCACTGTCCTGATGAAGACGACTTGAAGTGTGTTGATATGGCGACTATATGGCCCATGTCTTCCTTGGTGGCCATGCCTAGTGGGTGCTGCGATGACAGCGAGGAGGAGGGGGGGGGTTAAAGCATGAAGAATGGAGAGAGGCGAAAGGAAACAAGGGGCAAGGGGCAAACACCACATTCTACCTACCTTACATCATATGCCTAGGTAGTGAGTTGGTGGTAATTGATGTTTCTATGAGAGGAAAAGGAACAAGAATCAACTTGTCGCCGCCTTATTAACCGTCCAACGCCATAAATCGTTAATCCAGGACCGAAAGATACCATTTGCTCTCTCCCTGTTCATACCCCTCATATCATCTGTCCTGGTTTTGTTTGCCGTCTGTTCTTCCCGTGATCTCTTCGCCATGTGCCTCCTCTACCCGCTGCCACACTTCTCCCCGAAAGCGTCGTAATGAGAGTAGGGGTGGAGAAGAAGAAGAAAAAAGGAATAAAAAGGAATAAAAAAGAAGGCGGGAGGGGGGAGATATGGAGCGAGAAGAAAAAAAAGAAGAAAAAAAAAAGGAAATTAAGAAAGCCAAACACGACTAATACTGGATATCTCCTGCGCCCCCTTTAAGAACCTCATGTCGTGAACCCCCTCCCCGTGTCCTGGACCGGCAATGAACATTGTGACTGGAGTCATGTGGACTGTCACTCAAACCAGGCACAATCAGGCCTGAATGGCGTTAAAGAAAACAAAAGAAAAAAAAACCCCCCGCGAGTCTGTCAACGTTGCCATGCCGGCAGTTAACCGACGCGACGACGCTTAGTGTCCCTGGGTCTCCCGCTATTTCCAGCCAACCCAAACTCATCAGCCCGGGGAATCTCCTCCGTCCCGCTGGGACTCGGGTTATCGCCGGCAGGGGGGTGGCCTCCCGCGGTCGGATCCACGGCGGCGGCGGCCGTATGGTCGTGGAGGATACCAAAGTCGAATTCCCCGCCAGCGGCGCCCGCGGCACCGGCGTTGAAGTCCATGTGGGAAAAGGTGTTGTTGGGGTCAAAGGCGTCGGTGTCGAGGAAATGGTCGAGGTCGAGGTTGTGGTTCTCGAAGTAGCCGCCCGCGTTTTCCATGTCGTCGAGGCCGGGGATGCGGCCCGAGGGGCTGAGCGGGCTGAGGATGTGTTGGATGTTGGCCAGCCGCTCGTTGCTGTCCTGCGTCATGCGGTGGAGGGTGTCGAGCTCGCCTGACGTGTTGCTGATGTGGTTGAGGCTTGGCGGCAGCGGGTTCGCGTTCATGACTGGCGAGAGGGAGAAATTCGCATTAGCCGGCGGCGCAGGTTTCGAACCACCACCGCCACCGCCACCTAGCCCGGGAGCCGGGGAGTGAGCCGGGACCGGTGCGTGGCCGGCGGTGGTTGAAGTAGGAGCAGGGATGTTCGGGAATGAGGCGCCCGAAGTGTTGCTGGCTGTGGGAGCAGCAGCAGCAGTAGCAGCAGCAGCCGTGGAATTGGGAACAGGTGCGGTGCCGGCTTCGGGACCCTGCGTCTGTGCGATCATGTTGTTGAGCATCTGCTCCCGCTGATCGTTGGTCATGGTGGCTGGCGCGTTGGCTACCACCTCCGGCAGGTCCAGACCTCCTCCTCCTCCTCCTGCTCCTCCTGCTCCTCCTCCCGCCGACCGGCTGGCGTTGGTGTCTTGGATGATCTTCATCATGCTCTCGCGCGGATTCGATTTGAGCTCCTGCGCCAGCAAGTCGGAAGCAGCCGGGCTGGCGGTCTCGGCTCCATCCAAGTGATCGAAAAGCTCGGTCACCGTGCCCGATACCGAGTTGGCGTGGCTGTGATAAGGCGATGGCGTGGCCTTGCCCGACGACGACGAAGATGCCATGCTCGCCCGGCTGCTGCCTGCATTCACGCCGTTGACGGGAATGGGCGGGAGCAAGCCGCGCGCCCTCTTGGGCCCGCTGACGGGACTGGCGCCGGATACCTGCGACGACACGAAGTCACCCAGATCCACGACACTGCCCTGGGGGATGGAGTTGTTGCCGTTGCCCGGCATGATGTTGGCCAGCAGCTCGTTGACGTTTTGCGAGTTTTGGTCTTCCAAGGTCTTGCGGAAGACGTTGGCGAGGAAGTTGAGGATGGCGTTGATGGAGTTCTGATGCCGGTCGTGCTGCTCCTGAAAGATGACCGCTTGCTGGTAAAGAGTGGAATTGTCGCGTTGGATCCTGCTGATGGCGTTGAGGATCATCTTCTGTTGCTCCCGGACCTTCGCCAGCTCTTCCCGCACCAGTGCAATCTCCTTCCTATCGAGCGGCATGTTGCCAGAGGGCAGCGCACGGCCACTCTGGGATCCTCCGCCGATACTCTGTCCCACCTCCTCGACACCGGCTTCCTCGTCCGTCTCTGCGTCGTTTTCCGGCGGCTTCTGCCCTCCCTTGGACTTGCCTTTGCTGCCGCTCTTGGGCTTGTTGATCAGCCACAGCAAGTTCGGATGACCGCGACGGAAGTACGGGTTCGAATACTCGCTCGGGCTCTTGTTCTTGCGCTCGCTGGCGCGCATCGAGTTGTCGGAGAGACCGACGCGTTTGTGAAACCCGTACATGTTGAGTTGGCGAACAAAGGAAGCGTAATTGTTGTGTTTGAAGAGCTCGGGGATGAGCGTCTTGGCGAACTCGTCCTCGTCGAGAACGACGAAGGAGTCTCCTTTGTCGGACCACCGGATCAAGTCGACATTCTTCTCTTCGTCCAAGAAGCTAAAACGAAGAAGACAAAACGGTTAGTCAACGCCGTCCAAATGGGGAAGCATTTTCTGTTGGGGGGGACGGGGGGGATGCCTGGGACGCCTGCTAACCTGCTGAGCTTTTGTACGAATGGCGGGATCTGCTTGCGTTTGGCTTGCGCCTCACGTTTGGCCTTGATGGCGAGCTCCTCCAGCGCCTCGATGCTGCTTTGTTCGCTCAGGCCGCCGTTGGTCGTCTGGTCAAGGAGAGTGGCCGGGTCATTTGTGTTGAAGGGCCAGGCCTCCGCGTCGTCGAAGTGGGGGTGCGCAGCGGTGGTAGGAACCAGGGCCCGGTTCATGTGTCGACGTGCAAGAGCGGTGGTGCCATTCGGCGTGGAAGGTTGGGCGTACTGTTGCGGAGGCGGCGGCGGTTGCGAGGCCATCATGGCGTACGGATGCACGGCCTGCGTGGTTCCATCGGCAAAAGGTCCGGTAACGGCGGGGTCGTGCCACCTTGCTAGATCGTGGTTGGGGCTGGGGTAAGTAGCTGCTGGACTGGAGTATCGAGGCTGCATGACAGGCATAGGCATAGCGGGAGATGCGCCTGGGGCCGGGCGTTTTCTTGAGTTTGCGGTCATGGAATGGTCGTACATGCGATCGGGAAGACGTGGGGATGGTGGTTGTTCCAAGTTTGAGGGACGATCGATTGCGACCCCTTGGGGAGCAACGCAACGCAACGCAACGCAACGCAACGTGTATCGCAGAATCTGTCGGGACGAAGGACTGCTTTAGGGTCGCCTAATCACAGCCCAGGTTCGAGAACAGAATTGCCTTGGAAAGCTTGGACGAACGCCAGCAGATCCCTCCTTTGTGTGTACCTTTGGCCTTACGAACGTTGAAATGGCAAAAAGGCGTTGGGAGTCGAGCGTCGAACGTGGAGCGTCGGGCGCTCGGAATCCCCAAGTGATTGGGAGAAAGGCGCGGGCACAGTAATGGAAGCGCAATGGGCGAAACTTTTGCCAACTCTTAGCACGATAGTATCGTAAAGGGCTGAGGAGAAGAAGAAAAGGCTCTGCAGTTGATCAGACTAGGACAGCTAGAGGATGAATCCGTCGCCTTATCTAAATAGTCGTCTATTCGTTTCGCTTCTGTGACTTCTGAGCTGTCTGAAAAAAAGGGCACAAGAGCGAGAGAGAGAGAGAGAGGCAGAGAGACCCTGGTGATTTGAGTCAAGAGCAGAAAGATCCTGGTTGACAGATTTCTTTCTCAGTTCCGACAAAGGGAACAATGAGAATTTTATGCGATCGGAAACAGGAAACAATGAGGATGTTTACTCTCGTTTCAACGCAAAAGAGAAGATGGTTTGTCGCGGCGAGGGATGGACGCAAAACTTGTTTTGAGGAGGGGTTCGTTGCGTTTTTTCGTCTGTCTTTTTTGTGGCGGAGAAGGAAAGAAGGAAGGCCGGTCTTGTCTGCAAGCCCCAGTTGTCGAAAAGGGTCCTTTGTCTTGGCGGAACGTATGGAATATGAGATGTTCTTTTCCGAGTTGATCATAAAACTATATTTTCGCTGCCTGTATCGTGGTGTAGACCGTGGTTCGGGCCTTTGACTGTGTCGTAACTGAGGGGTTCACCAAGCGGAGGAGAGATTGTTGAAAGGATATATTAGAGTGGCGCTAGTTCGTCAAAGAGAGCCTCTTTACCACATGATGTGACGTGGTGTATTCGCATCCGTATTGGTGGCGTTCTGTGTCGATGTTTATCGCAGTGGCAGAGGGAGAGGGCGGCGAAACATTGATACAGTAGTGATGGTGGTGGCAGATGGTAGGTGGTGATGGAGAGAGGTTGTTGTTGAAAAGAACAAGTCAAACAAAGTCCGCCGTAAGTGCTTAAAGTGCTTTACTTCGTACATTTCCCCCGTGACGGGTCGTTTGCGACCCAAGTGGAGTTCAGTTCGCGTGTTTCCCCGATGAACCCGGGACACCCATCACCAGCTGTCGATGTAAAAGCGTGAAGTACCAGTACAAAGTCTGACTTCGGTATGCCACTATAGAGGGGCCCTCGACGGTGTATCAGCCAATCAGAACCTTGTTCCGCTTCATAAGTAGGACCCCCACACTGTCATACAAACCAATAGGAAATCTATTTGTGGTGAAGATGCTGTCTATAGGCATAACTAGTCGCTCTATGCGGGGACGCCCGCGTGGTACGTACCCAGAACCGGGAAAGCCCCACAATTGCTGCTGATATCACGGATCAGGCCACCTTTGCAGGAAAGCATGTACACCACAAGTACTTCCAGCCCGAGGTGAGGCCAGCTGTATGTATCGCTGTTGCTTTTACTGCCCCACTTCCCCGCCATCCGAATCGGGTTTTACTCTGCCGATCGGCGTGTTTATAATTAAACAGTGACTTTTATTACACTTTCCTCAAGAGTCATGCAACTCCGTTCACTTCAACGGAGGAGTTGTTCCTAACTTTATGTACCCACGTTGTACACAGATCTTGATGCTTTACGGTAGGTACATCGTGAAAGGTGTATCCCGACCTCCACTACCTCGAGTACAGAAGAAGCGTTGCACCCAACGGTATCGTCGGCATCGCTCGTTGTTAATATTGTGCTATCGTTGGTATTGTTGACATGATGTATCCTTGGTATCCTTGGCATATTCCTGCCACTATTCTTAACAATAGCAACTGTTTCGACGCTACTTTGCGCCTCGGCCTGCTAGCGCAGCCGTACTCGCCATCTTCGCGTTCCGAGCCTGGTCCCATTCCCGCCCCGTGTTGCCCATCCGGGCCTCCCGTCCCGCCCTCTTCTCCTCTTTCAACGTCCGGGCTTTCTCCCGGGGATCGATAACCATAAGCTCCTCCTCCGCCTTCTTCCGATAGCTGAGATCCTTGCCGAGCTTATCCGCCTTGAAGCTGAGAGCGTGCGACATCCAGCCCTCGTCGTCGCTCTCCTCCCCCTTCTCCGCCTGGTCCCACGCTTTGCAACTCTGGCAGCCGGCAATGAAGTGCAGGTCACAGAGCTCGGCCTCCTCGCCCGCCCCTTGGTCTTCCCTTTGCTTGCTCCCTTCTTCCTCTTCGTCTCCCTTCTCTTTTTCTCCTGTTGTCCTCCGTCTCTCGTCCTCTTTCTTCTCCGCCGGTGGCCCCTGTTCCAGTTTGCTCTGGAACGCCTTTAGTAGCTCGAGCGCCGATAGGTCCTCCTTCGTCGGCGCATGACCCCCTCCTCCCGTCCTCCGCTTCCGGCCCCGTATGGACGTCTCCGGGATCATTTCTTCGAGGGGATTCCTCTTCTTCTTTTCCTCTCTGACAGGTGCTGTCGCGTCTCCCGCCCGCCGCATCGATGCCTTTAGAGCCGCAATCTCCTCCTTCGTCCGTTCAAGTGCGCTCTTTTGTGTCGCCCTTTCAGGTTCCGGCGACGATTCCACTTCCTCCCGTGGCGGCCGTGAGGCTTTTACTCTCGGCTGCGGAGAAGGCTCACGCCGTTTCTCTTCCTTTCCGTTGGTCCCGGGTGGAGAGGGCGGCGGTGCAGACCCTGTTGTGGTATTCTTTGTTTCCTCCTTCGTCTTCTTTTCCCTGCTTTCCGCCTTTTGCCGCTCCTTGTCTTCCCTTGAGGGGGCGACGCCATCCTCCACGTCCATCACAATCCTCGTGTCGAACTTGGGCTTCTTAAGCGCGGGCGTCACGATTTCCGCATCCCCTTCCTCGTCTCCGAAACTCAGCAGTTGTTTCCCTCCGACCTTCCTCTTCTTTTTCCGTTCGACGACGACCGTCTTCGGGCCTTGGTGCGCGATCCTTTGACGCTTCTGCATGTCCTCGAAGGGGTTCACCAGAATCTCGACGCTTGTGATTTTGACGGGGTACATCGGTCGATCCGTGCCGGCGGTCACTTCCGCTTCTCCCATCTTGGCGAGGTTGTAAATCGTATCTCCGGCGATTCTGCCGAACAACGTGTTCTTGTTCGTCAGTTCCTCGGCCTTGTCTAACGTGAAGAAGAACTGGCTCCCGTTCGTGTCGGGCCTGCCTTCGTTCGCCATGCCGAGGAGCCCGCGCCGGTTGAACTTGAGCCTCGAATGGAACTCGTCCTTGAAACCCACGCCCGACGGCCCTGCATTCTGGCCACGGCGCTGGTCCAATGGCCACGGGTCCAGCTCGCCGCTGAGCGCTCCGCCATCGTATATTGATTCGCCGCCGCTACCCGTTCCTGTGGGGTCACCGCCTTGCAGAATGAAGCCGGGCACCAGTCGGTGAAAGATCGTGTTGTCGTAATAGCCGTCCAGGGCCAGCTGGAGGAAGTTGCGACATGTCAAAGGCGTCTGCTTCGCCCAGAGCTCCACGGCTAAATCGCCCTGCGTGGTGTGCAGGATCACGCTGCCTGTGGGTTGAGGCTCGAGATTGTATATGGCCGACATCCTGAGGGGCGTGTGGTTGGAGTGGCAGGCAGACAGAACTGTCCTTTGCTTTGTTGCACTCGGGGTTTTTGTGGCCTTGAAGGTTGAGGGTGACGCGAATGCAAGTGGGTCGTCGAAGCTTTGATCATCCGCTCAGCTCGTTATCGATAAGGCCCCTTTCCTGCACGTGATCCAAGTCGCCCTCAATTCTTCCCATGATTGTCTGCTCCGTAAGGTAAGGTAAGTGTAAAGCCCTACTGCTCTGTAAACTACCTTAAGTATATGCAGCAGATATTATTCTCGGACTTAACACGAAAGAGGTGAGATATAATATTAAAGTGTGGTGAATTTCCCATAAAGGGTTCACTTCAAGCCACACATGTGACAAACACCAACCTCGGTCTTCAAGGATGCAACTCTATGATTATCATGATCTTTTTGTTTGTTGTGTTTACTCTTTTCCTAAGTAGCTTGACTTGCCGCTGACCGATCCCGGGCAAATGTGTTGGCCACGACGAAAGGGAAGACTAGTGTGGCATCCGCATACACCTGTGTCCGGTAAGGTTAGAAATCCATGGGGTGCAATGCGGAAGAAGACGTTCGACAGTCGCTGCAGGGACTGCTCACCTTGACGGAATCGGCACCAATTTTGATCTTCCCCCATGAAACGGCTTCGTCCGGGCGGGCGCCGGCATCACTACCGTCGAATTCCTGGCCCGTATTTATGTATACGGCAGACTCGGCGCCGTTGCGCATCAGGCACGCGTTGGCGATGTGATGTTTCACGACGCCGCCGCCGAGGACGATCATGCCGGCGCGCTTGGCCCTCACGGAGATGGTGTTGATGCGGCGGATATCCTCGACGATGTCGCATTTCAGCTGTCTGGGCGACGCCTTGAAGGTGTGGAAGTACAGCATGTCTCCCAAGCTGCCGTCGGTCAACGCGGGGCAAAAGACGGGAATGTCGTTCTTCCAGGCCCAGTAGTAGACGGATCGTTCGTCGTCAATCTCCTTGCCCAGGCGATGGATCATCTTGGAAGGGGTCCAATTGATTTCCGCGTCGGTGCCTTTGCTGGCCTCTTGCTCGTCCAGCATCTTGTCGAGGATGGGGACGACCCAGTCCTCGAAGGCGCGGTAGTTGGAGTTGGGAACGACGAGGTTGCCGATCCGGTTCAGACCTTTCTTGCGGAGGTCCGCGCCCGGGGTCGCGAAAGAAGACATGTAGGTGTCACCGAGGCACTTGATGAAATCTTCCTCGACGCCGCCTGCTGTGGTGACGATGCACGAGATGTGCTTGTGCTTGACGAGCCAGCGGAAGACGCCTCTCATGCCCGAGGATATCAGGTTGGAGGTATAGCCGAGGAAGATGGTTGTCTTATCCCCTGTCTCCGGGTCTCTCCATGTCCTCTGGGAGGAAAGGGTGTCAGCCAGTGGGGCGTTGATTTCTCGCCCTTCAAGAAGGCATACGGGACACACAAGTTTGAAAGAGGTTTACCATGTCATTGATGATTCTTATGGCTTCTGAGAGAGATGACGCCTGAAACCCCATGTGCCTCATACCACGGAACAAGTCATCGGCTGTAATATCACCTTTAATTTCGTCGAAATCCAACTCTTCGACTTTTTGAGCTCCTTCGGGCATCTCTTCCGACACAACCAGGACGGCCTCTGTAGCAGTTGCCGGCGGGGCATCGCTGGCGGTATCGGTATGATCCATGGTCATTGTGGAAGGGCAACAGCAACCGACTTTTGGGGGGAAACTTGAGAGTTGTGATGAGTTACATCAAAATGGCGATGGGGTGGACTAGGCGGACTAGGCGGACTAGAGATCCTGTATAGTTTCAGAACTGGTCGGTGTCCCTGAGAGTAAATATTGAGCCGTATCCATCAGGACTGACTTGGCGTGGTCACAATGAATGCCCCACGTTCCACTTTCAGCACCTAAGGAATGTGAGAAAAAAAAACCCCGAAGGGATTTTCTTTTGCAAGGGGGTTCAAACGCACGGACCACATCGAATTCGATGATTAGGTAACTGCAGGTGAGACTGCCGAATTAACGGCTCAAAATGATTTAGCGTGGCTTAAGGCACGGGTGGATTACGCCAAGCGAATTGTGATTTTGCATGGATGGGGAAGACGATGGATTAGATGATTGGCGGTTGGAACCAGCGAAACCTCGAATTTTTGCTTCGTCTCGAAACCAAGGTACCTACCCAATTACCGGATACATTCCAGGGTGTACTGAGTACCTTACATATGTATACTAGCACACGTCGTGTAAGGTACCTTAACTACAGGGTACGGATACCTTACGTACGGATACTCTAAATGTGTACACTGTGGTCTTTGTACGATTTCAAACACAGGAAGGCATAACACAGTATGACGGACAGGTCTCCGTAATTTATTCGTCCCTAGCTCAGTAGTGGTTTCCCCGGTCGCTCTAGCGCCCCTGCCACTTACCAGTCGTAGTTGCCTGTTTGGTTTGGTGTGCGTGCGTCTTCAATCAGGGTCCCCACTATTATTACTGGGCGAGAGTTCGAATCCTTTCAACACCTCCTTCGTACACAGCGTCGTACACACCTTCGTACACACCTTCGTACACTCCCACCAGCTTCCAAAACATCAACTGCCTTTTCTTCCATTTGCCCCAACTCGAATCATTCGCTTTCTTTATGGTCCACATCGAACTGTTCCATTTGCCAGTGGGGCACCAAAACTGCCAAAGCCGAAGACCCTACTGCATTTGCTAGCCCTTTAGTATCTATACCTACTTCATCCCAACCCTCACCCTCGGATCGTCCATTCATCGTTCCCTACCGCCTTGCTGGGGGGAGGTTTAAGGGCCCCCTTATCCGCGGTTGACGACAGTCAGACGCCACTGCCACCCGCCACCCATCAACGACCGCGGTTCTCACATTATTCGATCTGGCTTCTCCACCGGATGATACGGAACCTAATCGATAGGCGTTTTCGAGGGCATTAGCCCGGCCCAGTGCGATGTGAGTAATCTTGACTTCCTTCAACGTTTCCAACCCAGTACGAAGTAAAAGATACCCTGCCATCGCCAATCGCACATGACGACGTCTCGAGGCAGAGGATCACTCTACCGTGACTGGCGCGATAGTTGGAACCGGGATGACCATGGCTACGATGATTACCATGGTCATGGTGCTTATCATTCTCGCAGGGCTTCAAGGTACTCGTCTCGGTATGACGGGGGGGACCGTCGCTCTCGATCTCCGCGTGACCGCTCTTTAGACCGCTACGAGCGGGCATCCCAATACAGTGACGGTGACAGGAGACGTTCATCGGCTGAATCTCGCCCCAACCCTTCCGCCTTTCCGAACAACAGAGACAACTTCCGCGACAGCCTCGCGCGAGAACCACCCCGTGGGCCCAAGGCGCTCATAGATCCACCCAGCGGACCTAGGGGAGGCGGTCACGTAGGCGATTTCGGCAGCCGAGGTGGACGAGGAAGAGGTCGTGGACGCGGTTGGACTCGCGACAGCAGCAGAGATCGGACGCGCGACCGGGATTTCGATTTTCGAGATAGAACATGGGACCGCGATGACTATAGAGATCGGAGGGACATCGCCTACAGAGACGATCGGAGCCGAGAGCGGGAACGAGACCGTGAACGTGAGCGCGATCGTGACTGGCGCGATCCCAGGGATGCCCGTGATCCCCGTGACCCACGCGATCCGCGGGATCCACGGGATCCACGGGACGTCCGAGACACTAGAGATCCAAGAGACGCAAGAGACTCGAGGGATCTGAGAGATCCAAGGGACACACGAGATACACGAGATCCCAGAGATGCAAGAGACAGCTTCAGGGCAAGACGACCATCTCCCGGCCGAGGCAGATCACCACCCGCCTTGCGAGATTTTCGCGACAGGGAACCTGGTCTGGTGGTAGACCCAGACAGGTCCAGGCGCGGCTCAAGGGACGGCGGGCCGCCGTCTGCAGGATCAACCACCTCCGACCCACCTTTCGGCTTCTCCTCGTTTCCACGGGGCGGCTTCCGTGGACGAGACCGCGGCCGAGGCGGTTGGGACCGAGGCAGAGGCAGAGGAGGAGGCTACTACGATGACCGTGACCGAGACCGGTTCGCCCCGCGTAGTCGTTCTCAAGAGACGCGCTGGGCCCGTGACCGAGATGACCGCGATCGCATCGATAGGATCGACCGGGTTGACCGTGGGGACCGATGGGCTGACCCCGAAGCCAGAAGGGATCCCCGAGATGATCGAGACACCCGTGACCGCGAGCCTCCCCGGCTGAAGTTCGAGCGAACTATATCATCATCACAAGCGCCCTCTCCCGTGAATAAGGATGTTTCGCCTCCGCCCATCGCACCGTCAGCGCCTGCTTTCGGCTCTGTTCCCAACCGCAATGCTGGCCTTAACGATGCATCGCCTGCTGCCGGAGGGACCGGGAAACCGCCGCCGACCGGTCCAAGAGCCTTCAACACCGATCGCCCTGTGTCCGCCGGGCATTCGGGTGCAAATGACGCCCACCCGGTCTCTTCCGCCTCCTCCGTCGGATCTACAAAACCTCCCGGTCCAGACGGGAGCCCTCCCATTCCCCTGGGGCCCCGCTCGCAGCAGCAAAAGCAGCAGCGGCCCTCCAGTAAGCAATGGATTAATCCGGCCCTTGCTGGGAAGAGGATCCCCGAATCTCCCAAGTTGATGAGATCGCAAAGCTTCGCTCAGCAACAGCGACCCTTCCCGTTCCGACCGGATAGTAACTCTCATCCCGACCCCCTCGAGTATGAAGGTCGCCCGCGCAGTAGTGATGCCAAGGCCGACTCTCACGCGACCTCACCGACGACTCAGCTGCGGGTCGTCTCCGAGCCAGAACCGGGCGAGATTATCATCAAATCAGAGAGGGACCCCAGGTCGGCGCGAACCTCGTTGGAAAGGGATGTGAGGCCACTCGATGGATTCAGGACCACTGACGCAGGCACGCCAAGACGGGATTCGAACTCGCAGCGTCAGGACGCTCGCGATGCTCTGGGCTTGACTGACGGAACCGCTCGGAAGCCGTCCGTAGGGGATGTGCCTTCCAAGCCACCCCGGCAGAGCAGACTTCACATTCCCGTTGTACGCTTCGCCCTACCACCGCGCGAGGTACCGGTATCGTCATCCGAAGAGCCTTCCGAGTCGGAGGACGATGAGGATTTTGGGGAATACTTTGCGAGCGAGATCGCCAAGGAGGAAGCCGAACTGGCCAAAATGGAGGCCGAGGGGATTGCCGACGACGGCCTCGACCGAGCTGCAGCACGTTATGCGCACGCCTTCCACGACGCCATGGTCAAGGTAGTGTCGGAACCTGAGGGTTTGGTAGAGATGCTAGGTCCGATTCCCCAAGTGGTTCCGGGCCCGAAATCGGAGAAGAAGGATACTCGGATGGAACCATCTGCTGAGCCAGCTGCTGGGGCGCCGTCTGACGGCACTGCTGCCGCGGCTCCTGTTGCTGCTCCTGTTGTTGCTGTTCCTCCTGCTGCGGCTGCTCCTCCTGCTGCGGCTGCTCCTCCTGCTGCGGCTGCTCCTCCTGCTGCGGCTGCTCCTCCTGCTGCGGCTGCTCCTCCTGCTGCTGCTCCTCCTGCGGCTGTTGCCGCTGCTGGTGTCGGCGCTGATGTCAGTACTGGCGCTGGTACTGATGCCGACGCTAGAAAGGATGGAGACTCTGCTGAGCTTTCCGGTCTGGTAGAGTCGGGACCCAAAACCGAGGAGATGGACGTCGACAAAGTTCCGCCTACGTTGCCTGCGCCAGTAGAGGAGGCCGACCGCCGTGACAAAGCCGACGTACAGATGCCCGATGCTGCAGACCTTGAAGTTGGCACCACGTCACAACCCGTGCCAACCACAGAAGCCGAGGATGAAGCGCCGACAAGGACAGACGCACGGTCGACGGTCCAAACAGGTCTCCCTCCTAATGCACCTATCGAGACGATCGAGCGGGAGAAGGGTGCCCCGAGCACGCCATCCCAAATGGAAGATGACGGAGACGATACCTCAACGGACTCAGAAGTAGACAGCGACTCGATGCCTATCGAGTCGATGGGTGGGTGGTCAACGCCGCCTCTCGATAGCCTTCCCGACTTTGCTTGCCCGCCATGGAACAAGGACAAGGACTTTCTTCAGTCGCTCGAGTCGGACCCCATTGTCGACCATCTCATTAGCAAGGAGCTTGAGAGGGTCTCCCTACAAAAGACGGTGGAGCAAGGGGCAGCCCGCCAGATGTACTCGGCCAACTACATGCAGTACATGAGATTCACACTGTCGGATGATCCGGTGGCGTCCAAGAGCCGGGACAAGTTCGACATTAAGCCGCCACCAGCAGACAACGTTGTCACGGCTCCTGCGCCCGAACCTAAGCCGGAGGGAAGAGGAGGACGACGATTCGCCAGTGAGCGTGATTTTGAACGGATTCTCCAGGAGTCCAAAAAGGAAGACGAAGAACGCAGGGAGCGCGAACTGCGTGCCCAGAAGGATCGGTATCGCAGCGAGAAGGAGGCCATCCCACCTGACATGTATTGGGCACCCGAGGATCGCGAGAAGCATGCCTTTATCGACACGAGCGGCTTCACTCCGGTTGAACGGATTGTGTCTGCTTGGCAGTTGTTACCCCCGAGCAACAACTTCACCCCGCAAGAAGCCGAACAGTTCGAGAAGGGATACCTAGAGAACGTCAAGCAATGGGGGGTCATCGCTGAGTCGATGGAGAAGCGAAACTTTAGGACATGCATTCAGTATTACTACCTGATGAAGAAAGAGCTCAACCTGAAGGAGAAGCTCAAGAAACAACCCAAGAAAAAGAAGAAGGCAGGCCGAGCGAAGACTCGATCCAGTGCCTTGGTGTCGGAGCTGGGCAACCGGGAAAACGAAACGGAGGAGAGCCAGGAGGTCGGGGAGAACGGAGAAAGACGGCGTCCCAGACGGGCCGCTGCTCCGACCTGGAACTTCGAGCAGCCTCCGACGGACTCAGACAACGGGACGTCGACCGGTACGCCAGGTCGTCGGTCCGCGAAGGCGGAGAGCGGACAAGAGAAGCCTGACGGTAGGAAAGGTCGGAAACCTCGTAAGGAAAGGGAACCCAAAGCTGCAAAAGCAAATCAAAACTTGAATTCGAATTCAGCAGCAGCTTCTCCCTCGGGCGCTGGCGCAGGCGCAGGCACAGGTCCTGGCTCTACCTTTGGCGCGGGCTCAGGCACGGGTACGGGCAAGGGACGGTCGCGATCGGGCTCACGCGTTCAGGGTGCTGAAGTCCAGACATCTCAGCCGCCTGTTCCCACGGTCCCCGTTGACAACCGCGTTCCGACCCAATTCGAGGGGTCTCCGGCAGGAATGCGGCCACCTTTCGTGGGCATCCATCCCCATCCGCAACACCAGCAGCAGCAGCCGCAGCCTCCTCCGCAACAACCCAACCTGCCTCCTCAGGACCGCCCAGTTTCCCTTCAGCCATCTACCATGTCCGACGTGATGGCGCCTCCGTCTCTTAGACCGGAACCTCCTCCCCCTCCGCCTCAGCCTACTGTTACTACATTCGACCTGGGACAACCGCAGCAGCCGCAAGCCCCGGCCCAACCCCCATCACAGCCTCACCCTCAACCTCAACCTCAACCTCAACCTCAGCCCCAAGCTCAACCCCAGCCTCAGCCACAGCCAGAACGCCGAACGCACGTGCAGCCCTCGAGCTACTGGAGCGTGTCCGAGAACGAGGTCTTCCCTGGTCTTTTGAAGTCATTCGGTTCTGACTGGCAGGCCATGGCAGCCCACATGGGTTCCAAGACGGCGGTCATGGTCAAGAACTATTATGCCAGGCAACGAGATGCGGGCAAGATTGAATGGGAGGATTTCGTCAGGGAAGCCGACAACAAGAAGGCCCGGGGCGAGAAATTGCCGGATCCCCCGCCTCCTCCCACGCAGGCGGGGAGGAAGAAGCACGATTCGGCGTCAGGAGGCCATGGCCGGCCTTTGTCGTCCGCCAGCAGGGAACCTCTGCACAGTGATGCCAGCCAAAGCAAGCCCGACGGTGCCGGTCCCCAACAACTCCTGAACCAGCCCTACGGCCGCTTCTCCGTGCCCATCGCTCAGGCACCTCCTCCGGGTCAAGCGCCGCCTCTAGCACAAGCGACACAGCAACCACCGCCGCTGCTCCAGATCCAACAGCACACTATGCCTCAGACCGGTCCGGTGCACGTCATGTCCCCAAGCAGCCGGCCTTTGCGACCTCCGCACCAGCCACCCTTCTCCTTCCCGGAACGAGAACGAGAACGTGAACGCGAACGCGACCCTGCGCAGGTCCAGGTCCAGGTCGAGGTCCAACAGCAACCACCAGTACGCATATCCCAAAAGCCACCCCCTGGCGGGCCTCCTGTTCACGAGCCTATGCAGCAGCCGAGACCTCTTGCGGCTGCCCAGCCTGTTCAACCTACGCCGTCGACGCAGCCCGAACCGCCAAGGGAAAGACGGACGGCGGAAGCGCAGCAACCCCAGCAACCCCAGGAACTCCAGGAACTCCAGGAACACCACAGGCAGCCAGAGCGCACGCGTCTCCCCTCGGACCACGAAGCGGCACCGACTTTGGGGCATCCTCCTCACCCTCGTACTTACAAGCATTTCCCCCTTCAGCAACCAGTCCGTGCAGCGCCTCCAAGGTCCGAGCCGCTTGGTGCAAGTCGGACAATTCACGAGGCGGTCCCTCGGCCTACCACCCATCCTGGCCCGCAGCCCTTCGGCCAGAGCATACAGCGACATGGAGTCCGTGGCTTGCTCGGCGATCCGATGCAGCCGCCTCCGGCATCTTCCGGTCCGCCTGCTCAGCGACCGATCAGTGCGGCGCAACGACAAATGGCAGCCCACATGCCTGAGCCGTACCCTCCCGCGCAGCCGCCCCAAGCACCACCGGTTCCTGCGGCGGCGTCTCCCGCACCGGCCGCGCCTCTCCGTCCCCAGCATCAGGAACGTAAGACGTCGAGTATCATGCAGTTACTGAACGAACCGGCCGAAGAACTCAGAAGAACCAGCGATCCTGCCAAGACGCCGGCCCCGCAGGCTGCGAAAAACCAACCACTTCCCGGATCCATGCTTCGCACCCAGCCTAGCCAGCCGCCAACAGGCCTGGAGCTTCGGCCCGAGCCTCCCTCCCGGAGCTATCTGTACAAGGAGAGCAGCCAAGCTGCGCAGTCGGTTATGCCGCCGCTGAAACCCAGCTACAGCGCATCCCCCCAGTCCCAGCACCTGAACGCGCCTAGGTCGAGTATCGTGTCGCCGTCTCATGAAGCGGCCGCGGCAGCGGAACGGGAACACTATAGGCATCAGTATCAACAGCAACAGCAACAGCAACAGCAATACCAGCAGCAGCACCAGCAGCACCAGCATCAGCATCAGCAGCAACACCAGCACCAACACCAACACCAACACCAGCAGCCGCCTACGTCGGGCTCGCCAAGCACTCATCACTATGCCACATCCTCGTCGCAACCCCCTCGGGAAGCCTATCCCGGCCAGGGAGGGTATCCGCCCTATGGCAGCGGTGGACCGGCTTCCCACGCAGCATCACCGTCGCAGTCATATGCTTCTCAGCAGCACGTCGGCTCCAGGCCGAGAGAACCGACTGGTCCGCCGACAGCACCTAACCGAGAGACAGGCTGGCCCAGCGGGCCGCAAGGCGGCCACGGTATTATCCAGTCACAGCCTCCTCAGCAACAGGCGGGATGGCCTGCTGGTTCGCACAATACTGTTTCCAAGCCGGGAGGGCCACCTCCTCCGTCCTCGCAGCAGGCAGGATGGCCATCGCCTCATGGCGGGACGCCGAAACAACCAGCAACTGGTTCCGTGGGCCAACAACCACCGCCTTCGTGGGCGGTTGGCCCTCCCCCTCCCCCTCCGCCTCCCCCTCACCCATCGCAACAGCAGCCGCCGCCACAACAACAACAACATGCTCACCTGTCTATGCGAGACGAGAGGCCAACGCTGTATGGGCCACCGGTTGGGCAGCTTCAACACCAGCCTCCCATTCAGCATCAGCATCAGCATCAGCAACAGCATCAACACCAGCATCAGCACTCGCTATCCGGGCGGTTCCCCCCGCCGCCACAGTCCACTCCACGGGCGCCGGAGCCAATGGCGGCACCTCAGACGCAGCCACCTTACCCACCACGGTACGCCACGCCGGGGCCACGGGAGCTTCGGGAGCGGGAGCAGGTACCGGCACCACCGTCTCGCAGCTACACGCCCGTATCGGCGTACGACACGCGGGGTCCTCCTCCTGGAGCGTACCCATCTGATCCTAGAGATATGCAGTTGCGCCCGGGTGACATGGTGCGCGACCCCCGAGATCCGCGAGACCCGAGGGAAGTTCAGCAGCAACAGCAGCAGCAGCAACAACAGCAGCAACAACAGCAGCAACAACAACAACAACAGCAGCAGCAGCAGCAGCAGCAGTCCATGCTGGGACGGCAGCTACGACCTCATGAGAGCTATGAGAGACCTCCAGACCGGTTCCGATAGTTTTGGGATTGGCAATGGTGAGAGTGTCTCACTCGTGGACCTCTCTGTCAGAGGCTGTATGGAATACATTATCATACCTTATAAGATGGAGTATGGAATGTTTGAACTGGAAACGGGATCGATGATGAGGGCTGTCCTGGTTTTGTATGCACATGGAGTCGGGGGCATGAGACTACGTCGTCTTTCTATTTCCCTTGTATTTGTTCTTGTTCTTGTTCTTGTTATTGTTCTTTTTTTTCTTTCTCTTCTTTTACGTTTGTTTCTGTATTGCATAGATTCACTCCTTTCCGAAGCCTCATAGGAGAAAGCCTAGATGCTGGGTTCTAAGGCTGGCCTGGCGGATATCGAAAACAAAGCATCTGTTTCCCATGGCTCTGCTTGCTTGTCATTCATATATAGCCGTGTTGTCCCAGATGGATTCAGTGCCATAACAGACTCGTTGGTATGAGAAAAGGAATAAGCCACCTATCGACGCCAGAGCATTAACAAAGGGAAAGCCCAGATAAGCATAATGTCAATAAGACGAGCCCCTGTCTAACACACATACTATGGTTGTGAAGGTCAAGTAAAAGAATAGGACAAAATAGGGGGGCGGGGGGGTATTTGCGTCCTTTTCCTCCGCTAAAAGAGAAGAAAATGAAATGAAAACCCAAAGAACAAGAGAAGAGAACAAAAAAAGGTGGTAGGGATATTGTATATCAAGCCTATTGAACATATGTGGTTAGAAGACAAAAAGGGGTGGGTATAGAGAGGAAAAGGGGGCTTGATCATAATACATTCCCGCTCCCGCTCCCGCTCCCGTTGACGCCCCCATCGACATTAACGACCAATTCAGCTCCATTCTGCCCCGGTTCGTCCGCCCCGCCTGTGCCATCCTCAGCTACTCCGTCTCCTCCTCTTCCTCCAGCTCCTTCTTCCCCCGAAGACGTCCCCGTCCCCGTCCCCGTCCCGTCTTCGCCGGCCGCCGACCCTCCCGAAGCAGCGGCGGCAAGGGCAGCATCACCATCCCCGTCGAGGCTCGCCCCGCCTTCTTCCCCCACGGGTTCCATGGGAATGATGCCATTCTGCCTCTCCCACACCTCGCGCCGGATGCGGTCGTCCTTGGCCTTCCTCGCCCTCTCCACCTCCTCGAAGCCGCCCGACTTCTTCAGCTTGCCGTCCTGCACGAAGCTGGCAATCTCCTGCTGGAGCCGGTTGTCCTGCCGACCGGCGAGTTCGCGCTGGCGGAGCTTCTCGGCGCGCTCGATGGCCTCGAGCCGGTCCTCGTGGTTGGGCAGCAGGGCCCTCACCTCGCCGAGGACGCCCTCCTTGGCGGCGGAGGGGTCGACGGGGCCGCCGAGTCCGATGGTGCCGTTGACCAGCAGGCCCTTGGAGAAGTTGCGGGCGGTGCCGGCGGAGGCGCCGGTGCCGTTGTCCTTGAGCTGCTCCTTGGTGGCCTGCTCGACGAGGGCGAAGGTCTCCGAGGCCTTCTCGAGGTCGTCCTGCAAGTCGACCATGAGGTCCTCCATAAGGCGCAGCTCGTCGCGGCCCTTGCACACGTCCTCGAGTTCCTTCTCCCAGATCTTGGTCCAGATGGGCTTCTCCCGCTTCATGTACTCGTCCACCTTGTTGATCTCCTTGGTCAGCAGCGTGATGTCCTTGGCGACCGTCTCCAGCTGCCGCGGGAGCGGGCGGACGCCGCGGTGCACCACGTCCTTCCGCAGGTCCTCGACCGTGTCTTGCAGGTCGTCCACCTTGTTGACCAGCCTGTCCGAGTCGGCGTTGAGCTGCTCTCGCCCCTTGGCCACGTACGAGGCGCCGACGTCGGATCCGATGCCGGGGACCGACATGTTGAGCGTGGCCGCTTTGAGGTGGCTGGCCTTGGTGCGGATGGTGGACATGGACCCTTGTACTTCGGATTGGAAGTTGGAGTAGGTCTGCCGGAGGACGGCGAGGTCGCGACGTAGAGTCCGGAGTTCGGAGAGGTGCGTCGAACTGAGCTTACGTCCCGAGGCGGGGCCGGCTGTTGTTGTTGTTGTTGTTGTTGTTGTTGCCGCCGTTGTTGGTTTCGAGCCTTGGGGCGGCGCGGCGGCGAGCCTCGCCATTTCCGTGGCCGTCTCCTGCTGTCTCTCCGAGACGCGCTGTAGGGCGATGCCTTGATCGTCCACGTTCTGCTTCACCTCTTGCATCATCTGCCGCAGCACGCCGATCCCTTCGTCGATGTGCCGCTTCACCTCGTCCAGCGGTTCGACGTTCAACACGAGCACCGTGCGGTCCTTGATGTCGGACAGGTCCTCCAGCTCGTGCCTGACGCCGGAGACCGGGTCCTGGATGTAGATATCCGGGAGGTCTGCGCCGTTGGAATGCGTATTCCAGGAGAATTTCTCGATGAAGGCCAGCTGCAGCCGACCTATCGAGAGCTCGCTGTACCCTTCCGGCAGGACGAACTTTTTCACCTTGGACTTGTATTGCAAGAATAGGGTCAACTCTTTGGTGAGCGGCGGGGACGATGCCTCCTCCTGGGCCGAGTCTTCACGCTCCTCCTTCTTCTTCTTCTTCTTCTTTGTCTCGGGCGTCTCCGCTTCTTCCGAGGTCGCTTCCGCCGCCGCCGCCGCCTGTGGTTTCGACGATTCGGGATACGGTCCCGTGGCCTTCTCCTTCTCGGGCGAGACAGGTGTCGCCGTCGCCATGTCGTCGGAGAGCGGCCCGCTTACCGTGGCGCTGAGCTGGGGATACTTATTGTCCCTACGAGTCGCCTTTGCCTGGGCAGCAGCAGCAGCAGCAGCAGCCGAAGTCTCGGATTTCCCCGCCGGACGTCCTGCAGCAGCAGCAGCAGTAGCAGCGGCGGCGGCGGCGGACTCGGACTCGGACTCGGACTCCTCGGAAGTGCGATTGGGTGGTCTGGCGGGAGACGAATCGGACGGACCGCCGACGCGGGACTGGTCGGACGTGCTTCGGCTCGGGCGGACGGGTTCGCGAACCTGTACGGCACGCAACGACTCGCGAACCTCACTTCGGCCGCGGTTGGGCACGGGGGTGGTTTGCGAAGGCAGCATGGGTACTCCATTCATGGACCCGCCCAGATGCTTCGAGATCTGGTACTGGGAGTATCGCCGCGAGGCCCTCCTCTCGAGATCGCCGCCCTTCTGCAGGGCAGCTAGCGCGCTGCTGGGTTCTTTCGGTGGCGGCGGTGGCGGGGGGAAGGCGTCCAGGCTCAAGTCGGCAGAGGCGCTTGGCGGCATGGGCGTCGGTGTTTGCATTTGCATTTGCATCTGCATTTGCATCTGCATGGGCGTCGGCGTCGGCATCGACATGGGCATGGGCATGGTGTTCGAATCACCTGGATAGGGTGGTAGCACGGGCATGTTCTGCATCGTGTTGCTCGAGAGCGACGACTGTTCCGAGGCGACGGAGCCGCGCGACTGGTCCCTCGGGGGGAATCGCCGGCTGGGCGAAGTATTCACGTTGGGGGCATGATGGGCGGCGGAGGAGTCCCGACTCTGCAGATCTGACCGATAGCCGTGCTGGATGCCCTCGTCCAGCAGATTGGTGAGGCCCGTGTTACCGCTGCCGACGGTGCTCGTGCTCGTTGTGCGCTCCGGTACCGGGGTGGAGGCGCCAGCTTCCCTCTCTCGTGCTTGTTTCTGTCGCAGCTTCTGCTGTTTCCGCTTGAGCCCGTGGAGCAGGTTGATGATGATGTCTCGTATTCTGGGCAGATACTTCTCGAGGCTTTCGGTGCTCGCTTCCTGGCTCAAGGTGGCTTCCAGGATGTCGCGGAGCAGCTCGGGGACGTTACCGAGGTCGGTGGTATCGACGTTGATGGCGGAGAAAGCGCGGCAGGCCATGTTGAACTCATAGCCGAGCCTGACGTAGACGTCGGAGACATCGCCGTCGGTGGCCTGTCCGCGAGACCATTGTGTCAGGGTTTCGAGGAGCTGCTTGGTTGCGACGAGCAGATGGGTGACGCTCTTTTCGATCTGAGAAAGGGAGGTGCTGGTTGAGCTGCTCGGGTCCTGCAGAGAGGGTCGCGATAAGGAGTTAGCTGGGGAAAGAGAATGGACGCATAGGATGGTGACGTATGGATAGACGCACCTTGCCTCGTCTCGTGCTGCTGGACTGGATGGATCGGTTCGATGCCGAGGAGGTCCGCGGTGCTGCTGCTATTGCCGGTGGTGGTGTTGGCGCTGCTGCTGCTGCTGCTGCTGCTGCTGCGGAAGAGCCGACAGCGGGAGATATGGAGCGAACGGGAACACTGGGTGGAGGACCAGGGTCTGCGCCTGGGGAACGGCGTTGTATGCGTGAAGGGCCCTGAGCTTGCATGACGGATGACCAGTTTATCAAAACGCGTAGATGGACGATGGAAGCGAGAGAAAGGTCGAGATCGAGATCGAGGAGGACTGATGACCGCTCGCCCTCTTACTCCTGCTTCGTTCTGCGTTTCTTTCTCCTTCTCCGTTCTGTCGCACCCGCTTGTTCCAGCTCCTGCTCGAAAGGCGCTCTTATTTTCCACTCCCCCTTCTCGGTTGACTCGGTTGACTCGCGGTGGTCAAGTCGATATCGGCGTGGAGTTGTGTATTGATGTTCTTTGGTCGTAATATCCAAGAGGTGTCGAGAAATGATGGGGTTGAAGCAGTTGGAGGAGAAGGAACAGGGTCAAAATGCCGAATATTATGATTAAGATGGTAACAACCGGCCAACCCGCTACTCGTAGAAAAGAAGACAGCGACTGGAAGCAGAGGACACAGTGAGCAGTATGGTCGTGGGCCGTGGTCGTTTATCGTCGGGTCGTTTGTCGTGTTCGTGCTCGTAGGTGCGGTGGTACTGGCCTCTTCTTTCTATTTTCTTCTTTCTTCTCTTCGTTCCCTTCGGCGAAGTTATGGGAGGTGTGTGCCGCAAGAGGTGGTGGAGGATAAGCGGTGACCCTTGCGATGTCGTGGGACAGGGGGACGGGGAGACGTGGGATGGGTCGTGGATCGTGGGACTTGGGCCTGCGCTGGGGAACTTGGGACTTGGGACTTGGGGGGTTCGTGTCCTGCTCCGAGCCCCGTGTCTGGGCGGCACGTTTAGTGGCTCCCGGTCGGGCCCGTGATCACTGGACCGCCCCTGATGGTCACTGAACCCCTCGCTACCGATACCTTGGGGGTTCAGAAAGGTACACACACAACGTACCCCGGTACGGGTACTTTGTACAGCGGAGCCAATTCTGAGTCACGTGACTATCCCGTAACGGGTGCACCTCGGGAATGAAATGAGTGGGAGGGAGAATGGCCGTGGAGAGAGACAGACGAGCCTTACCACTACCTACAGAAATCCCACCCCCGACTTCACCTACCTCATCGGCATCACCTCAACACCCACATCCGCCCACCTCAAACAATCGCCCAAGATGGTCTTCGCGTGGAAAGCCGCTGGCCTTACGTGAGTTCAATTGGCATGCCGTTCCTCCCCGTTTTCTGCCCAGTTTGTGCTGACTGTCTTTTTTTCTTCGCTGGCACCGCAGCTACAACCGCTTCCTGGCCGTGTCCGCCCGTGCCGTGCGCCGAAGCTTGAAGGAGGAGAAGAGACTCGTCGCCGAGCGACGAGGCGAGATGGACCTTCGCTTCGCCAAGTGGGAGGTAAGAAGAGGAGAGAGGAGAGAGGAGAGAGGAGAGAGAGACGATATTTCCCCGACGACGGAAAACAGAGTCACGACTGACGCAATTACCTCGACCGGGTTTTTTTTTTTTTACAGGACGGCAAGCAGGGCGACGTCAAGCACTTGGCCCAGGCCAACACCGCCGCCAACGCCGCCTCTTCCTCTTAGACGAATACGATCACGAAGCGAAAGAACTAGGAGGACTTTCGGGAAGAAAGAAATGAGAATCGCAAACTTGTGGTCAACGAGAGTCGAGGGAGGTTGATAGTGATTGATGGTGATTGATGGGAAACCGCTGAAGGGAGGAATACAATACCCTCCATGTTGCAACTCGTCTTGCCAGGCCCGTCGATCCGCGGAGGGTTCTGGTTGTATCATAGACACATCGCATACACTCCATTAAATCGATGCTGTTGATGCGTACGGAGTCGTTGCGGAGGGTACAGGATACGCTGCTGTCATATTGCTTGAGACCGCGTTGCTCTCTTTGCTCTCTTTGCTCTGCAGTCGGTTTTTTTCTTTTGTCGGTGCTCAACGCCGGGCTCCCGATCCGTCCCGGGTCAATGGACCCGATGTTTGCCAGATCTGCCAGCCGTTGTCAGTTGAGAAGAACCTCCATGTTTAGGTACTTGGGTGTAGGATGTACCTATGGTAAGCCAGTACGACCTGTAGACCTAAGGTAATTAACTTTGTCGGAGATTCACGTACGTGTACTTCGACTGCTGAAGTACTATGACATACACAGTACTTCGGACATACCATGAGTATACCTGCGTACATAAACCGCAGTTGGGGGAAGAGCATCTCACAGAAACCCTCCTAGACCTGATCCTATTTACGGATTCAACTTTGATATACGGATACCGACAGAGGACTGTCCACCAGCACATTTGATCTTCTTCCAAAGCCAAAACCGCGAGACACCAATTCCATGGCCGGCCCCGCCATGGCGGCACCGTTCGTCGTTGAGGCGTCACAACGTGAGGACAACGAAAACCCACCCCCACCCCCATGGACTGCGTCGTCGGTCTCAGTTTACATTCACCTAACCGGAGACCAGACCTAGCGAATCTCAATCTTGAAGATGTGAATGTGCCGAAGGACTCTCAGTCTCGTCCAACTCCTCCACATCCCCCCCAAGCACCGCCAGGGAGCATTGTCGCCTTTGACATAACCTCCAAATTCCGCCATGCCGTTCAAAGTACGCTCCTCCAACACCTTTGGCTGGCTGGCGAAGAGCCTACTAAGATTATGCTAATCCTTTTCGTAGCTCTCGGGCCAGGTGAGATCGTTAAGGATGGCTTCTTCACACTGCACGAGTCTGTCAGCGCCCTAGAGGTAGAAAATAAACCCTCTCATCCAGCCATGAGCCATGGTATGATTTGACCTAAGAGCTTTGCTGACCTGAGATGGTCCCAGATCATGGATCCTAAGATGGACAGCGGGTGCTTGGAGCACGGGGAGACGCTCGATGTCGACTACGATGTCACCCAAGCTCTCCTTCCCGAAGAAGTCGTTGGCATCATCGACCAACTCCTTTGTCATGAGGTCAGTTCTATCTTCGCGTTTCCACCGTTTTTGCACATGAGAGACGGTTTCGACTTACCAGCTCGGCAGATGGCCTGGCATTTAGGATATCCTCTTTCTCAAACTGTCCTCACTTGCGTCTACATCGAATCTATCCTCGTGCCGCAGCCTGCAACCTTGGAGGAGGCTCACTTTATACGAGACCCGAACAAGGCCACCTCTTCTCCCATGCACACTGTTCTGCGTGCATACTGTCTTGGTCTCCTCAAGGCTTGTGGCCAGGTAAATGCCAAGATTATCAACGAGCACTACTACGAGGTATCCGACGCCCCCTGATACAACACCCTTTTTTATGTGTCTAATTTTCCTCTCCCCCCCCCTTTCCCAATCTCCTCGTTGCCTTGCCTGCTGACACGCCACTCCTAGGAAGAAGACTTCGTCACAAACACGTACAACAGAGATCTCCTCGACGACTTTAGTGTTGAAGCCATCTGCCAAGTCCTCCGACATGCCACCGCCCTTCTTGACGACCTTTCCGAGTCGGTGCCCCAGCCTGTCACTGATGCTCTCCGACACAGGCTCCTCCTCAGGCACACCCTTCTTGGCGCCGTAGACAGCCTGCAGGAGCGGAACGACCCCTCCTTCGTCAGAGCCTCGTGGCAGCGTCCCTGCCGGGAGGCTTTATCGAATGTCGGCCGCATCAAGGAGACCCATGCACTGGGGAGGCCGGTCCCGGCCGCGTTCAGTGCCAAACTACAGCGACGGCTGGCCAGCACAATGCCGCCTAGGCCCATCGTGCATCTGAGTTTTGACGATGCATTTGGTCACCTCCTTCGGCTCTTGAAAGACGGTATCGAAACCGCCAACGTCCTGGACTACCATGACTCCCAGTCTCTTCAAGTAAGTGCGCCGCCTGATTCCTGCTTGTGTATGTATCTTTGCCGTCTTGCCGCCTTGCCGTCTTGCCGTCTTTGGCTCACCTGGCGGGTACCAGACATTCGTCATGATGTTCCAAGCGGCAAAGCCCCAGCCTCTCGTTTTCGTCCGGAGCCTGTTGCAAGGGTTTTTGTTCAAGGACATGGAGATTCTGGGCGGCATGAGCATCCGCCAGCTACTAGATGACGACTTGTCCATGCTCGTCCTCCCCAGCAGCGTCCTCCTCGACCGCGCCAATGACGAGGTAGAAACGCCCCATGACCCTCGCTTCATCATCGCCGAGCAGATGGAGTATTTCCGACAAAAAGCTGCCCAACCGTTTCTCGACATCCTCCGCACGTTCTGCCAGAACCGCTGCCGCGTGCGCAGGACCTTCTGCCATGTCGTGCGTGACTGGGACAACCTGCAATCCGACGCAGACGACATGGACCAAATCCTCCAATACCAGACCGGGGACAAGCCGATCCCTCGCGCACTTCCAGATGGCAGCACAATCGCCACCTATGCACGGCCTCTGTGGTCCTGGGTGTTTCTGTACAAGCTCAAGCAGATGGAATGGATCGTGTTCCTCGGCTTCGAGCTGGAGGTATACCAGCCGGACGAGCTGGCCGGCATGTACTATTTCCTACACGAGCTCGCCAACGTACACCTGCAACATATTGGCCACATAAGAAACGCACTCCTCCACAACATCGGCGCCATCCGTGGCGGGCCAAGACCGCACGTCGTACCCCCACCGGACGCGCAGCTGGCCCGATCGTTGACATTCATCCACTACGAAGAAGTCGATGCCAGCAACACCATGTACCTGGCGCAAGCCCTCTCCTGCCTCTACGTCGCACTGCATCGACTCTCGCTGCTCCGGCGGCCCCGGCGGCCCTACGGCACGGACGAGCTACGGTACGAGCTCCGCATGAAGCCTTTCCTGGGCATCTCGGACCCCCGGCCTCCGTCGTTCGCCGAGTTCGAGGCCTGCACGACCATGGCGGAGTACTCGACGGACGATCTGCTCGACACGGCAGCCCAGTGCGCCATGGCGGCGAAGAAGGGTCTCGAGAGCATGAGCAAGCTGTCGGAGAAGGATTGTTTCGCCGTGGGGTCATACGAGCAGTGGACGCAAAGAGTCAAGTCGGCGCTGAAATCCGGCATCGCCACGAGCCTTGCGGTGTCCATGGTGCAGAAGGCGTTGGCGCGGCCGGGACGGGACGGGAACCTGAACATCAGTGTCGAGGTGCCCAGGCCCGAAAAGGCGTATCACGAATGGTGGATCGTGCCGCAAGTCAGGGCCTTATCGGCGTAGTACGGCCAATGGGACTGGAAGCGAGAGCCCCGAAATGATTCAACCTTTTTTTCTTTTCTTCTTGAGGGCACATCTGGAGCAACGTAGCGTTATCATGACTACCTCTCTATCTCTCTACGTCTCTCTACTTTACCCTCCCCCCCCCCCCCCACTACATCGCTTGCCTAAGGTAAGGTGCCTTTTGACAAGAATATCTTGATACATCATAAAAAGGACTTCCCACTGGTATTTCCCCTGGGGGGGGATTCTTTCGCAAGAATTCTTAGCACTGTAGGCAGCTCGTCTTAAAGTATTCCGAGCTCTGAGGCTACTTGAGCGGGGTCGCGATACGCGATCACGTAAAAATAGAAGGGGCACGCTTAAGCAGCGAGAGCCTTCTTGGCGGCCTTCATGCGAAGACGCACAGTCTGCTCGTAGAGGACGTCCTTGAAGGCGAAGAGCAAGGCAGCGGTCAAGACGCTCTGGGTGACCTTGGGTCCGATGCCTGCGAGGGATTTTAGTCACTTTTCTTTTCTTTTCTTTTCTCTTCTCTTCTTTTCCCTAAATGAAAGACGACGGCAAAACGTAGGAAAAAAACGGGATGAAAAGAGAAGAACAAACAAACCCTTGTAAAGACCCTGATAACCTTCCTCCCCGACAACACGGCGGATGGTCTGGAAGACGCCCTTCTTCTTCTCGTCCTTGCCGGCGACGTGCATCTGGCTCTTGACAGTGATGTAAGGGTAGGTGACGGTGGTGGCGAACAGTTTGCCCAGGGCGCCGAGGAAGAAGGCCACGGCGGGGGTCACGCGCCTCTTCTTCTCGACGGCGTTCTTCATCTGCTCGAAGAGGGTGTACTGGAGGATGGGGTTGATGACCAGCACCAGGGCGGGGACGACGCCGGCGAAGAGGGCCTGGGGTCCTTCCTCCCTGAGCAGCGCCATGAGGGTGCCGAGCGTGCCGGCACGCTTCACCTTTTTCGGATTGTCAACGGAAGGGGCGCCGTCGGTCTTGGCCTCGGAACCGGCCTCCTCCTCGTCGCCGAGCTTGGCCTTGGCCTTGCCCTTGGTCTCCTCGGAGGAAGGGGCGAGGGAGCGCTTCTGGGTGGTGACGCGGGTGTTGACGACCCAGATGGGGTTGGTGATGATGACGGTCGCGCTGCCTGCGAGGGCGCCGGCGATCATGGACTCGACGGTGGTGAGTTTGCGGCCGGCGCGGCCGGCGCGGGCGGCGGCCTTCTCGAAGAAGGCGCGGGTCCACTCGTACCAGTAGTAGTAGACGAAGTTGGTGATGCTGATGCCGAAGAGGGCCGAGTTGAGGCCCGAGTAGAGGCCCGAGATGCCCTCGCGCGCTACGATCTTGTGCACGGCGTCGAGGAAGCGGGAGTCGGCGCGCTTGGATTCGACTTGGGCGCGGGTGGAGAGGGTAATGAGCGGATAGCTGATGGTAGAGAGAGGAAAGGCCGGATGTCAGTGTTAGTTTTCTTGGACAACTTTCTTTATTTTTTATTTATTTCTTTCTTTCTTTCTTTCTTCTTTCTTTTCCTCTTGATATTATATCGAGCGGAGGAGGAAGGAGAGGAAGAGCCTACGTCAGGGCCATGGACAAGAGGCCGCCTCCTGCGCCGGCTAGGGCGTGGGCGACGTTGTCATTCTGGGGAATGGTCGGCTTGGACATTGTGAAATTAGATAGGTGCTGAATATCTGAGGAGGGCGGGTTTCGTTAAAAGGAGCGTAGAGAGATAGATGGTGGAGAGGTAGACGGAGACGACAAGAGAAGGAGAGGTCAGATGTCAGATGAATGGAAGACAATAATAAGGGCTAGATTTTGCGATTGCGTCGCAACTCGAAGGACAGGACTAGGATGGAAGAAGTGGGAAGAAAAGAAGGCAACGCATTAATATGATTTTAAAAAATAAAGAGGACCTAGGTAATGGTTCGGAAGACGAGGCACGAGAAAGGGAGGGTTAATGAGAAGTGCTCTGAGTATCATGCCGCATGCCGCATCGAGCCGAGGTCAATGGATTTGTATGGTGTGTGTCTACCTAGGGGGGGGTGTCGGCGACTCGGCGCCGGTTCATGCAAACCCCACTCGCCACTGGTTGAAAGTGGCCCCCTTCCCCGGCTATGTCATTGAAGGCTGGGGAATGACCAGCGGAGTTGAATGAATTTTGTGTCCGTGCTTCGTGTTTTGTGTTATGTGTTTCGTACTCGGTATGAGTGAGGTACTCAAGCGGAGCGCTCTGTACGTGTATTTGTACCACCTAATCCGGCTACATCTGTACTCTCTACTTTGTACTTTGTACTTCGCCCATTGTTGTTACCTTAAAAGGTATGTGTTAATTATGCCGCATGCCCCAGGCATGTGAACCTCCGATAAGGCAAGAACATGTACCACGTGACTTCTTTTATCAAAAGTTCGTCGCAGCACAGGAAGGAATGGGCCACATCGACCATTCCTAATCGGGACAATAGTAAACAAATGACCGTATCTTTGTATTATCGCTGCATCGATGCTCTTTCCATCGTCTCTCGTCTTCGTCTCTCGATACACGTTCACTACGGCGACATTATCCCTTCACCTTGACAGCATTCACAGCTGGGACCCTTGTTGCATATTGCTGCCACTATTGACTGCTCTTCCGATATTATCTTGCATTCTGAAACATTTCTCTCATCTCGTATTTACCGAGTCCCTTAATCATCGCCTCCTCCCACCATCAATTCACCAACCTTTCTAGACTTCTACGCCCCCTCTACCTCTACTCTACTCTAATCTTGCAAGTAAGAGTCTCGGCTCTATCGTCTGTTTTAGCCTTCCGCACCGCTTGTGGGTCGTCGTCATGGCGACTCCAAGCAACAGCAGCCTCACCGATGAGGTTCTATCCTCCCCCGATCCCCTCAATGCCTCACGCGACTCGGCCCTTCTACCCTCCTCCCGTCGCGTCACTCGCAGCCAGCGTTCCCAGAGGTTCATGTCCCTCGGCCGGAGCAGCTCTCCTCGGAAGCAGAGCTTCTCGCTTCAGATTGGCGATTCCCGTACGCCGCAGCGCCTCTATGTCACCGTCGAGGCCGAAGGAGGCGAGGAGGTCATGGCCAGCGGAGGGGAAAACATAGCACGTAAACTCTTCCAGCCACCGACCTACGACTTCGACTTGAACGCGCGCAAGAGTGGCGGCTCCACTACCGTCGCGTCAACCACCAGCGTTCCCCTTCGCGACGGGGATGCCCAAGGTGCCATCACCCCGAAGCGCCGCGGTCGCCCCAGGAAGGACGCGAGTCCCATGAAGCAGACCCCCGGCCGACGCAAGAGTAAGACCGACGGCTCTCCGGCGAAACGGACACCTGATCGAGCCAAGAACGTCAAGGCCACTGGATCAGACGAGAGGTCCGCGCCCACCCCGAAGAAGACAGAGACACCCCCGCGTCGACAAAGCACCAAGGCAACGATGCCTCAAGACGAGCAAATATTCAACTCAAACAATCTATCCCCACCCCAATCGACTGCGACTGCGACTGCGACTGCGACTGCCTCCACGAAGCAGACCCGTAAACGCAAAGCGGATTCGGCGGCCGAGGATGAGACGCCCTCCTCCGCCCAGGCTACCAAACGGGCCCGCGGTCGTGCCCGCCGGCTGGCTTTGGTCCCCGAAGACTTCAACGAACTTATCGAGACGAACGGTACCCCCGAGACAAGCCTCCGCCAGACCACACCGAACGAGAACACCAACCATACCGATCATGTTGTTGTTGCTGCCAAGGACGAACATGAGATGCATACCGCAGTGGAACCAAGAATCGAATACGAAGATTTGCTTCCTCCGTTACCTGTGGAAACGGAGCAGGAAAGGGAACAGGAACCGTCACAGAATGACGAGATGGATGGCCGTGTTTCTCGGGAAGCGGCTCAAGAGGCCAGATATACGGCGGGAGGGCCTTCCCATGAGTTCACTCGGGAACTATCTCAAAACCATACCGCATCTGAGCCAGACCTCTGGCTAGCATTGTCCGACGAAGGGGGGCCCTCAGCCGCCGCCGATGACGAACATTCCGAACCCCGCCCTGGAGCTGAAGATGAAGACGAAGACGAAGACGAAGACGAAGACGAAGCTGAAGCAGAGGCAGAGGCAGAGGCAGAGGCAGAGGCACTCGGCGAGCCTCGCTCGGAAACAGAGGATGCTCTTGTCAGCGATACCATTGAACGTGCCTCGGAAGGGCTTCCCACTGACGACACCGTTGCCCAAGGCGAAGACTTCAGCATGATCTTCGCCCATTCTATTCCCTCTCTGCGTGGAAATGCGAGCTTCCAGCCCCTGGAAACCCATGACTTTGGTGAAGCGACGAGCCTCATCATCAACCGAACCTTGGAGGAACTCCGACAGTCATTAAACGGAAACAATTCTCAAGTTGAGGCGGACGCCGAAAGCTCCACTACCAATCGCGACGGGGCTGGAGCTGGCGCCGGCGCCGGCGCCACTGCGCACGACTCCCCCGAAGACGTTTCCGCAAGCACCGAGAGCTCCGGAAGCCCTGATAACTCCATCCGAGATGATGGAGAAGACGACGCTATTTTGAGCCCCGTGGAAGATGACGAAGGTGGATTCCAGAGTCCGTTCCGAAACAGCGTCGAGGGACCCTCACGGCAGAATAGCCTTCATGAGACTGTAGACGAGTCGCCTATCAAACTTCCGGAACTCCCTCCCTCCTCCGCGCCGTTGCCCGTTGACGACATGACGGCGAAGAGCAGCTCTCCCCTCCCGAACCGACTTACACCGCGGTCCAAGAAGGACATTCCTCTGAGCCAGCGACTATTTAAATCCAAAGCACTTCAGGCCCAAATGAGCGCCGCGGTAAACTCGCCATTGCACCCCAGCTCCGACGCCGATGTCGGTGTGAGATCCGACGATTCTTGGTCCAGCGTACCCGAGGACATATTGACGCGCATGGCCCCAGGTTATGAATCCCCGAGGGGAGCTGAACCCGAACCCGAACCCGAACCTGAACATGAACATGAACATGAACACGAGCATGAGCATGAAAATGACCGTGGACATCAACATGCACACCCTCAACAGGACGCCAAGCCTGCTCCTACTCCCGGCTCACATCCGGAGACAGCTCATCGCTCACCCACTCTGTCCGAGGAAGCTGCCACATACGCGGATGATTCCTTTTCCACCATTCCAGGCGAGGTGCTAGAGAGAGCAGTTCCCACCTCACCATGCTTACCCGATATTTCGTCGCGGCATGGCGGAGAGCACGAGTCGCCCGACAGACTGGCGCAAAGGTCGCCCACGCTGTCGGAAGAGGCTGCTGCCTACGACAATTCGTTTCCCTCGGTTCCAGAAAAGGTGCTGGAGCGAGCGGCCACCGGGTTGCCACTACACTCAGATGCGACTGAAGCTGAAAGGGCCATTGAGACGCCGGCTCAAGATCGTCATGCAGAACCTCCGGTCGAAGAGAAACCCATGTCGGAATCGAACCAGGTGGGCTCTCAGTTGTTGGTTCCTCGGTCTACCGAGTCTGGCTCTCGGCCATCTCTTTCGCCCATCGTCAGAGCTGGACGGGCTCTTCAGAGCGTGACATCCGACGCGTCGTCTCCTCCCTCCCGACAGCAATCGCTCGGAAGCCCTTTCAGGGCGAGCACCAACGCAAAGCCCGTGCCCGTGCCCGTGCCTGTGCCTGTGCCTGTGCCTGCTCCGGCCATGCAAACAACGACGTCCCAACAAGGGGGTCATGTAACAGATGAGGAGGAAGATATCTGGGGCGTGGAGGCTCGTAGGGAGACCAACCATGGGCGTCTCCGACAGCAACCTTTCGGTAAACACCGGACCGTGCATAAGCCACGGCCACACTCTGTTCGGGCTTCGTCTAGCCAGTCTAGCAGTAGCATGGACCAGAAGAAGCCAGGGAGGCCTGGTCTCCTGAATCGTCTGAGTATTCCCACTCCCTGGAAAAATCAACAACAAGGCAAACCTGCTCCGACGCCCGCCACGGCCCGCTCAAATGCGAAGGATAGCACGTTTGGGGGTTATTCCATTCTATCACAAAACAAAACCAGACAAACTCCTCTCGTCAACGCCCAGGATAATGGTCAAACGTCGAGACGGTTCGATTTATCTGCTTTCTTCTCGTCCCCCGCCCTCTTGCCCGGCATGGAAAACGCACAGGCCGTGCTAAAGAGGAAGAGAGAGAGCATGGCGGTACAAGAACAAGAGCACGAGAAGGAAGACCGGCCCTCTGCGAAGCGCCCGCACGTCCTGCAGACGACTACCATGTTCCCGGAGGCCCGGCGCGACTCCCCGGCCGCCCCGGCGCGGGACCCAGTTCGCAACGGCGGCAGCAGACTCATGTCCCGCGAGGACATCCGAAAGTGGCAGCAGCAGAGTTCGGCGGTAGAGGAGTCCTCATCCCCCGACACCCCGACGCGGATCGTGCGCCCTCTACCCGAGAGGAACGCCTCGCCCACCAAGTCATGCCTGCGCTCGCCCCTCAAGCCGCGCACGCCAGGGCGGGTTGTCGTTTTCGACAAGGAGGCTCTTTCGCCCGTTGAACAGGCGCGGGTGCGGCAGGAGAAGCAAGCTGCCGCGGCGGCTGCTGCTCGCCAGGCTGGGATTGAAAGACGACTGCGGGAATCGGCGGGTCAAGGTCAAGGGCAAGGGCAAGGGCAAGGGCCGCCCGTGGTGGTTTCATTCGCGCCGCCGAGAAACGAGGACGAGGACGTGGAGATGACCGATGTCTCCGACTACGCGGAAGAAGAAGAAGAAGAAGAAGAAGAAGAAGAAGAAGAAAGGAGCGAGGAAGAGGATGGTGCTGAGGAGGTACCCGCCCCCGCCCCAGCCCAGTCGACCCAGAGGGGGCAGAGGCTTCGGCTTTCCAAGGTGGTCTGGACGAGGGACCACTGGATCCGCATGGACGAGCTGGTCCAGGAGCGGCGCAAGGGACCGTTCCGGTTCGATTTCCCGGCCGACTTCGAGTCCGAGTCGCGCTGGCTGGTGGGGCAGACCATCAGCTCGCACGGCGAAAAGTTGGTGCTCAACCCGTGGCACCTGAGCATCATCGACGCGTTCAAGGTCGATGTGGGTGGGGTGTGGGACGAGCTCACGCTGGCTCGGAGGCTTTTTGGCGTCATTGTCGCCGAGGGACTGCGGAAGGAGGGGCGGCAGCCCAAGGTTCCATATGCCCATCGGCGTCGGCGTTGAACTTTTACATGCCATGGGTTTCTTTTTTATTTATTTATTTCTGTTCCTCTCTACGATGATTCTATACCGGGCCAGCATTGGGGATGGAGGATTGGATTTCTCTGCATGGTCAGGAGTTACAGCATGCCAGCCACGGCGGATTGCTGCCATTGTATCACCAGGTTACCAATCGCCCGGTGTGTTGGATCAAGGTCGGAAAGGCGGCCATGGCGTTTTAGGGAGGTTTTATCACGATTATGACGACCCATAATGAATATGTCGGGCGAGAAAGCCCTGATTTGTTTTTGGTGCAGAGAGTGGGAAAGGCCTCACGGGGTGTGTAGATCACCAGTGGCATGGTCGCAACGACGTGTTACCGAGGCGGAAGAAATGCAGTGCATGTGCATGTGCATGTGCCTGATATTGTTACAGTGCAAAGCTTGCGACTACCAATACCCCCTTTCCCGTTTCCCGTTTCCCCTTCCCTTGTCCCCTTTTCAACTTGTTAACAAATCACTCCAACTGCGAGGCCTGGTTCGTGTATAGCACATCGACGACATTGCTCAGCTTCTCAATAGTGGCCAGGGCGTGGTCGTAAGCGTCGTCGCGTTGGGCCTCGTCGAAGATGATGAGACAGCCGGCGCCCTGGTCGAGGACGCCGGTGATGACCTTGTCGAGGATCATCTGGGAGAGCTTGCGCTCGACCTGCTGGGTGTCGAGGCTGACCATCTTGGCGATGTGGCCAATCTCGACGCGGGAGAAGGGCTCGATGACCTTGATGAGGTTCTGCTCGAGCATGGCGTCGTAGAGGCGGCGGAGGTGGTTCCGGATGAAGGCGTCGGAGCCGAGCTCGTAGCGGTAGGAGGACAGGGCCTGCTCGTACTCCTCGAGGGAGCGGTTGGCGTGGGCGCGACCGATGGCCTTCATGGCCTCGAGGTTCTGGCCGGCGTACTTCTGGGCCTGCTTGGACGAGAGGAGGTTGTTGACGTCGTCGGCGAGGTTGAGCATGACCTTGCAGAGGAGCATGTACTGGAGGGCGGCGGTGGCCTTGGCGGGCTCGTCCTGGGAGTGGTAGCCGTCGAGGGCCTCGATGAAGTAGGAGAAGGCGGTGTTGAAGTCCTTGTCCTCGGCGTGCAGCATGCCGCTCTGCATGTCGAGGTGGGCCTGCAGCAGGGGCGGGGTGTAGACGGAGGCGGCCGAGGTGCGGGCGCTGGTGAGGGCGGCGCGGGCCTTGGGGATGTTCCCGAGGGCGTGGTAGACGCGCGACTCGAGGAGCTGGACCTCGACGAGGACGAGCTTGTCGTCGAGGCGCTTCAGCTCGCGGAGCAGGCCGTTGATCAGGGTGAGGGCTTCGTAGTAGGACTGCTTGGCCATGAGCAGCGTGACCAGGCGGGTCTCGAGGTTCTGGCGCATGAAGCTTCGGCGTTCCGAAGTCGCCCATTCGATACAGGACTTTGTCACGGCGATCTGGATGTCGGTGGAATGGGGAATGGCTTCAAAGAGGTCGAGAAGCTGGCGAACTATTCATCGGTAGGGTCAGCAATGTCGCAAAGCAAAAAAACCCACGGGAGGGTGTCCAGGGGTGTCCATCCGTACCAAGTTTCGCCGTCTTCGCCTTGGCAAAGGATGACAAGACCGTCCTGCTTCTTGTCACCAAGTCGACAAGCTGTTGCGTGTTCCTGAGGACGAAGAAGAAAAGTGGTCAGTCACAGTCACACATGTCCGTTTTACCGTTTTACCCTATAGGAAGGCGGAGGAGCCTTACTTCTCATCCCGATACAACTCTCCCAGCCCAATCAAGGCCGTTTCATATTCCTTAAGAGCAGAATCGGATGTTGTAGATGGAGGCTTGGAGAGAATCTCCTTGTACAGAGCCTCAGCCTGTCGCGGGTCCGATTTGGCCAGCTTCTTGGCTTCCTGGACCCTTTGCGAATCGCCCTGAGCCATGGATGCGGATGTCGACGATGCCGCTGCGGATCTGTACGTTGCCGGATTCTTAAAGTGAATAGGCCGTCGAAAATGAGGTGGTGTTTGGAAGGAAGTCGCGGGGAAGGATGGCGGTTTGGTTATGCGGATATAGTAGAGAGTGCGTCGATTGGGGGGAGTAGGAAGCTTCAAGGTCGAAAGGTCGAAAGGTCGAAAGGTCGAAAGGTCGAAAGAGAGAGCTCCAAGGTAGAGTACGAAAGTGCGTATGCCGCTGCTGGAGCCTACAACGTACACACTGCACTGGTGATTATCTCAGCAGAGTCCCATAAGTTGCGGCCCGACTTTGATCCATACACAAACATAATTGGTTATAATTCTCCGAGAGGGACCCCGTGCTCCCCCCACCATGGCAGCTCGAAATTTTTGGAGAACAATCGAGAAAGTTTGGAAGGGGGACTTGGGACTTGGGATGCTCGCCAAAGAACGAGCAAAAGACCCGACGATCAAATCGAAACAAAAAGAAACAAAAGAAAAATTACTTTCGCACCCATGACACCACGCATGACCACGCACGCATAGTTACAAAACGCTTCACACCACATACCGACACTTGAAGAAGCATGCCATCTTGAGGTTGAGCTTTCACCATGAAAATCAAAGCTCTGAGCCGATCGGTCGAGGAATATCAACCAGCAGGGACAGATGTGGTCAAGTTGCCTCGCAATCTAGATTCGGCAGCACATCCATTTGAGCGCGCAAGAGAGTGAGTCAAGCTGGTCATCTCAAGAAAAGAAAAGAAAAGAAAGAAAAGAAAAAGAAGCCAACTGGACTGGAGCCAGGGGAACTGACGATTCGATGGCGAAAGATACACCAAGGCCCTCAATGCGGTCAAGCTAGAGCGGATGCACGCTGCGCCCTTTGTGGCGCAGTTGGGTGCCGGTCATATCGACGGAGTGAGTAACCATGAAGAAGGCAGAGGGAAAACAAAAGAGAGAGAGAGAGAGAGGTCTAACGAAGCGACACAGGTCTACAGCATGGCGAAAGACCCCAACAGCCTACAGAGATTCGCATCGGCCAGCGGCGACGGAGCGATCAAGGTATTCGACCTCACGACGCGCGACGAGACCTGGCAGACCAAGAGCGCGCACGAGAACATCGTGCGGAGCGTATGCTGGACCAAGGACCAGCGGCTCCTCAGCGCGGCCTCGGACAAGACGGTCAAGCTCTGGGACCCCTACAACACGCCGAGCGAGGCGGCGCCGCTCTCCTCGTGGCTCGGCAGCAGCGGCTTCACCAGCCTGTCGACGCACCGCTCCAAGAACGTGTTCGCGGCCTCGTCGTCGTCGAGCTCCATTGCCGTCTACGACTTGGAGCGCCACAACGCGGCGCCCGAGGTGCTGGCTTGGCCCCACGCCGTGGATACCATCAACGCTGTGGCGTTCAACCAGGTCGAGACGTCGGTCTTGGCCGGGTGCGGGTTGGATAGGTCGATCATTCTGTTCGATCTGAGGACGTCGATGCCGTTGGCCAAGACCACGTTGAGCTTTACCTGTAACGCCATTTCGTGGAATCCTATGGAGGCGTTTAACTTTGCTGTGGGCAGCGAAGACCACAACATTTATGTATGGCCTTTTTTTTCTCTTCTTTTTTCTTCTTTTTTCTTCTTTCTTTCTTTCTTTCTTTCTTTTCCATTCCTCCTTCTAAAAGAAAGATCAGCTAACTCGTCTTCTCTCCCCACCCCCCGCAGATCTTCGACATGAGAAAATTGGGCAGGTCACTGAACATTCTAAAAGACCACGTGGCAGCGGTCATGTCGGTCGAGTTCAGCCCGACAGGCGAAGAACTCGTGTCCGGGTCGTACGACCGCACGATCCGGCTCTGGAACCGCGACAAGGGCCACTCGCGCGACATCTACCACACGAAGCGGATGCAGAGGGTGTTCAGCACCATGTTCACCCCCGACTCCAAGTACGTGCTCTCCGGGTCGGACGACGGCAACGTGCGGCTGTGGCGGACGAACGCGTCGGAGCGGGCCGGGATCAAGACGGCGCGCCACCGCCAGGCGCTGGAGTACAACGACGCGCTGGTGGAGAGGTTCGGCCACATGCCCGAGGTGCGGCGCATCAAGAGGCACAGGCACGTGCCCCAGGTCGTGAAGAAGGCCGGCGAGATTAAGAAGGAGGAGCTCAAGGCGATTAAGAGGAGGGAGGAGAACGAGAGGAAACACTCGAGGAAGAAGTTTGAGAAGAGGCGGAGTGAGCGCGAGAAGATGATATTGGGGAGTCAAAAGTGAAGAGAAGACGAAAAAAAAAATGAGAGACATGAAGGGCAGTCAAGGCGTTCAGGTTCAATCTTGGGTTCGGGTCAGGGTTCATATTCACTTGTTATTCTCTCCCTCTTCTTCTTTTCTCTCGGCCTGAGACTTATCCGCTGCATTTCCTCGGCGTTGGCACCTTGGGACAATAGGAAGAGGAACAATGGTCTGCGCACATATAACCTGTATATGGCTGATGATCCTCATGCACCCATGGTATAAAATGACCTTCTTCGCACCATATTACCACGTGTCTTGCTGAGTGAGCTCTGGGCACTCTTATGACGGGTTCGTGAGAGAATAAGAGTAACCAGGTGCGTGGATAGACCGATAGACTGTACCGAAATCAATTGTACGCATCTCGGACGTAGGACACGGTGGTTTGGATAGAGGTTTAGGACTGAAGGAGGGAGGTCTCTAAGGTACATACGTTGTAGGGTCTATGTTCTATGGGGGTTCTGGGGGGTTCTGGACCAGGCACAGAAGCGTTGTGAAACCAAAAGCGGTGGGACCACGCCAGGGGTACCGCTGAAGAAAACCACCATAGGAGCACCTGCAGGGGTTCAAACATGTGCTCAGGCAGTGGGGTCGCTGGGGGTCAACCAGTTGCGTTTCATTGTTTCACGAAAGATGTACTGGTACGGACCAATGTTTGAGCTACGGATACTTTGTCCCCCCCTCCATCTCGCTCTCTACCTTAAGGTACCTTACAGTGTACTGATATTTCTCTTCTCTCCTCGTCTCGTCTCGTGTTCATCTTCGTCTTCAGGCGAGAGCTGGTTTACTGTTTCTCTCTCTCTCTCTGTCTCTTATTTTTGTTTCCTTGCTTCATTTGCAATTTTTTAATCCCCTTAGTGTTCATATTCACTTTCATTCTTTTCCGAAGTATTTAATTGGTACCGAGCAGAGCTCGAAGCATCACAACTCTACCACCCATTCTCCAACCTCGCAGAAGAGACACCTCGGTGGAAGCGCCAACCTCTTGTCGTCTTGTCGTCCTCTCCCTCTCCCTCTCCCTCTCCCTCTCCCTCTCTCTCGCTCTCTCTCTGCTTCCCCCCCACAATGGACTACTCCAGCCCACCGCCAGGCGACCGCGACTCGTGGTTCGCACCAATGTCCCTCGACCTCATCCTCAAGGTCCTCAACGTATCCTTCTTCCACCCCTTCGTCGCCTGGATCATTCCCCTCAGTTTCCGCGCCCAGACCATGCACTGGGACGCCCCACCCATGCTGCTCTCCATCGCCTGGGCCGCCTTCCTGACCCTGACCTGGGTCGCCGGCATCATCAACCAGCGCATCGCCTACGGCCCTCCGCGCCACGTCGACCTCTCCGAGGAAGTCATCGTCATCACCGGCGGCTCTAGCGGCCTGGGCCTCCTCATCGCCGAGGTCTACGGCATGCGCGGCGCCTCCGTAGCTGTGCTCGACGTCCGCGACATGGAGAACGGCGAGGCCCGCGGCGTGACCTTTTACAAGTGCGACGTCAGCGATAAGGACCAAGTAGCCCGCGTCGCCGCCCAAATTGAACGTGATGTGCGTTCTCTCTCTCTCTCTCTCTCTCTCTCTCTCTCTCTCTCTCTCTCTCTCTCTCTCTCTCTCTCACCCCCCAAACTAGCCAGCTAACCGTTGCTTCACAGCTCGGCCCGCCGACAATCCTCATCAACAACGCCGCCATCGTAAACGGCAAGCCCCTCCTCGACCTCGACCTCCCCTCCATCGAGCGCTCCATCTCCACCAACCTCCTCGGCGCCTTCTACACCCTCAAGGCCTTCCTCCCCTCCATCACCCGCGCCGAGGAAGGCGGCACCATCGTCACCGTCTCCTCCGTCCTCGCCCACCTCGGCGCCGCCCACCTCACCGACTACTGCGCCGCCAAGGCCGGCCTGACCGCCCTCCACCGCTCCCTCGAGGCCGAGCTCCGCGCCTCCCACCCGCACGTGCGCGCCGTCCTCGTCGAGCCGGGCCAGCTCTCCACCCCGCTCTTCCACGGCGTGCGCTCCCCCAACGCCTTCCTCGCCCCCGTCGTCGAGCCCGTCGACGTGTGCCGCGCCGTCGTCGCCGCCATCGACGCCGGCCGCGGCGCCCGCGTCGCCACCCCCTTATACGCCCGCTGCGCCCCCTGGTATAACGTCCTGCCCGCCGCCCTGCAGGTCGTCGCCCGTCGCCTGTCGGGCGTGGATTATGCTATGCGCTCGTTCCGCGGTCGGTCGCTCGCTGGGGAGAAGGAGGAGAAGAGGGCGGACTGATGGGAAGTGCGTTACCGCCTGGTGACGGCACCCGATGGCAGAGGAGGTTCGGAAGTAGGGGGAGATCGGCGCGGGCGCCCACGAGGACTGGGGGGAACATAGAAGACACATTAGAAAACAACCCAATCGAATACCCCAATGAATATCTGAATATCTGTCCCTTCGTATTATCAAGTGATCACTACCTTATCTTACATACACGCAGGCACAGGCACATCCAGTGCGAGCACGATATCAGGACTCAATCCTATTTCCCAATTGCTCGCTGGTCTATTAAGTAGGGTATGCATTTTTAGTTAACGACGCCTCGTATCCATGCATGGCGAGGCGTGATTAATGTTGCAAACGCTTATATGCAAAACGCTCATATACCGCTCAAACATCAAAACTCAACTTTGACTCTCAGAATTCCTCCCCGCCGGTGTCCATAGGCTCTAACCGTAACGCCGGAACACAATCGATCGTCCAAACAAGTAGAGAAGGAATAAGAACCGAAACCACCAAAATGCGTGCGTCCGTTTCTTCTTCATTTCGTCTTCCCCCCCCTCATTAAACGACATCATCCCCCCTGCTGCCACCGGTCGTCCTCGGTACGCTCGATCTTGCAGCCGAGTGTTCACTGCTCGCCCGATCCGCTTCCTTCTCGTACTCAGGACCCTGCCGTTCCAGGTACGCCGCGCCACCATTGGCGCCGATAGTTCCGCTCGTGGTGCGCTCCGGCGAAACAGGTCCCGGTTCGGGTACGGAGACGTCAAAACCGGCCTCCAAGCTGTCATCTTCCCCCATGGCTGGCGCGGCAAAAGTCGGGGCGTAGGCACTCTTGGCGCGGATCTTGTGGCCGTAGAGCAGGAAGATGAGAGGGATGGGGACCATCAAGGCCGCCAGGCCGCCCAGGACGGTGGAAGCCCACTGAATGCCCATCCCGTTGAACATTTGCTGGGCGAAAAGCGGGAAACCGGCACCGGCGAGTGAACGGAGGAAGGTGTTGCCGGCGATGGCGGAGGCGGCGAACATGAGGTACGAGTCGACGAGGTAATTGAGGGACTGGAGGAAGATGGACATGAGACCGAAGCCGGTGAAAAGACCGCTGAGGGTGGGGACGATCCAGTGCACCTCGGCCGTATAGCCGGACCAGCCGAACCAGAAAATCCCGGCGGCGAAGAAGGCGGCGCCGACCACGACGGAATGCAGGCGCCACTCGGGGACGGGAACGCCGTGGTTCGCCTTCAGTTTACGGAGGTACCACGGCTGCTGCAGCAGGACGGTGGTGCCGGCGAGGAGCTGGCCAACGACCATGCCGAAAAAGGTGAGGCCGGACTCGCCGGCGTTGAAGCCGTGGACGCCGCGGAAGACGATGGGGTAGGCGGTCAGGAAGAGGTAGAGGATGCCGTAGATAAAGGCCATGTAGATGGAGAGCAGGGTGACGATGGGCTCGAAGAGGAGCAGGCGCATGGGACGGGAAAAGTTCTTACTGACGAGCTCCCGGAAGTCGACCTCAATTTCCTCCTGCTTGGCGTGGATCCCCCAGTTACGGGTGCGGCGGCGCAGCTCGGCGGCCTTGGCTACGAGGATGACAGGCGGATACGTCTCCTCGAGGAAGAACAGGTCCAGGAGGAAGGCGACGAAGCCCATGATGGTGACGAGGTATTGGGTCCAACGCCAGCCGAGATGCGACTCGACCATAAAGCCACCGATGAAGGGGGACAAGAGCGGACCGGAGAAGACGGCCATGGAGAAGATGGTGATGGCCACGCCGCGGGTACGGTTGTCGAACAGGTCGGAGAAGACGGCGGCGACGACGGCGAGGGGACAGGCGCCGAAGAAGCCGGCGAAAAAGCGACAGAGGAGGATGGTTTGGATATCCTTGCCGGTGGCAGCGCCGATGGAAAAGACGGAGAAGCCGAACATGGCAATGACTAACGGGGGGCGGCGACCTTTGAGTTCGGAAAGGGGGGCCCAGAGTGTTGGGCCAAAGGCGAAACCCAGGACGTAGAGCGAGACGCCAAGCAGGCCGACCTCGGACGAGACTGAATACTCCTGGCTGACGGGGCCGGTGGCGGCGGAGAAGATGCTCGAGGCGAAGGCGGAGGTAAGTGTGGTGAAACCCAGAATCACGGCCGTCATCATCCTGCGCGAGTGGGGGAAGACGTCAGTCAGTATCTGTTACATTGGTTTCTGTCTTGGGGTATTCTATTGGGGAAATCCAAAAGTATCTGACTTACTTCTTTCTCAGAGGCCAGTTCTGGGCATGCATGGGGTCATCGGGTCCATCGAACTCGACAACGTATTCCTCTTGCTCTGGTAGAGGGGGCGGGTAGGGCTTGCCGGCGCCCATGGCGGGCAGGGGCTTTCTGGACTCGCGGCTCTTAAGACTGCGGCCGACGGTGTTACTGTGCTGGCTGCGCTGGGTGGCGATGCGGCTCAGGGCGGTGGGATGGCGTTCGAGGTCGGGCTGGGTCGATATACGGCTTATGCCCATGCGCTGGTAGGGCTGGGCGGAGGAAGAGGAGGAAGATGTGGTGCTCGAGCTCGTAGCGGCGGACAGGACACGCTCGATCTCCCTGCTGTCTCGACTAACATAGCGGGTTGGGGACGCCTCGCGAGCTGCAGCCGCGAGTTCGCGGTCCACTATGTCCATGTCCATGTCCGTACTTCGGGGTTCCATGACGCGAGGATATCTGATATTTGGTGATCAACTTGAGATGTTGGTTGAAAGGGGGGAAGGACGAGAAGTCGTAGTCAGTCGTCAAAGAAGAAAGCAAGGGGGGGGAGGGGGGGACGTCAAGTCGTACGGGTGGGAATTAAAGGAAGAGTTGACCTCGAGTCTTGAGTCATATGGGGGACGTAAGGGGGGAAGGTAGAACCCTCTAATTACTTCCGTTCTAGGAACTGAAAAAAGCTAAAGGATTTAGACTCTTAAGCTAGGTACTTGGTTCTTGTCCGGGACACTGCCCGGTAGATAAGTAGTTGGGCCCAAGGTCCAGGATGTGGCGGATGGTGTAAGAAAGAGCAGTGGGTAGTGGGTAGTGGGTAGTGGGTACCTTGGGTGGGTAGAGCCGGTAATTACTGCACGGGGTTACCTTGACAGACAGGGCAAGACAATAAACGTCGAAGGCAACGTACACGTACAACGTACGTCAACATACGACCCGGGGCTCGGGATTCGGATTCGGGACTCGGACTCTCCCGGCCGAGAGAAAGGAGGACTTTGACATGTTATCAATGCCAAGAGAATCAGTTAGAGAAAGAGGGAGAAGGAAAGAAATAATTCGACTAGGAAGTACGAATTACACAGAAACAGACATTTCATGATGGAGAAAATACTATGTATAGATAACCAAATAATGCTCGTGGTAGGGCATTGAGGGGCGACTTTTTTTCCTCGCCGTTTCCGATAGGGCGGCAGTTCTCGGCGTTATGACAAGCAATGGCTTTAATATAATCAATTTATAATCCCTTAATCTGACCGTTTTTTTATCGTATTTATCCTTTTACGGTTACGCTGTAGTCGACCCTGATTATCCCGTTTCTTATTATAATCGCATTAGGGCATTGGTTCCAGAAAACCGAAGAGCAAGGGGCAAACAGAAACAGTCTCAATGCCAAGACATTAGCAATGACTGCACAGATAGTTCGAGAAGGGATACCTAAGACGAAAAAAAAAATCGATGGAGCCCAAGCTATCGGCAAGCAACGGCTAAAAAATATATGCAAGGGGCTGCTATGGGGAGCTCAAGACCGGAAGAATGCCTTGAGATGAAAATAATGTCCGATTCATAGGTACAGTTCGCTGCTGCCCTGTGCTCAGCTCAGCCTGTTGAGGTACCTATCACATCACGGCACCACAGGTCCGAAGTGAGACTGGACCGGCTTCGGTATCGGTATCGGCCGGGAAACCCACTGAGACTTTACTCCCTGAGGCGGTTCGTTGAAGGACATTGATAGATTAAACTATCATTTTATCTAGGTATCATAAATGCGAGTCCAACAATCGCAGTTCTGACATGACTATAAGAGCGTGGAACGTATTGGGTTCGGGTTCAATATTTTTTAATTCCGAATCAAAACAAATCAATTGGAGGCAGACAAACCGCCGAAAGAAGACGACTATGGCACCACCCAGCGCGAAGTGATGTCATGCTGCATAAGGTATGCTGCAGGTTGGAAAGATTTTGTGAGCTGCAGGTGACCTTGGTCCCCATCTCTGGGTCGATTAGTCAAGTACACGTACAACGTACGAACGAAGTAATTACTGAGGTACGACACCAACGTCTCGCCAAGCGGGCAATCAGGGGCTCGTGCAACGTACCCAGTACTCCGTACCTTACACGCCCCCCCGACGTGGCATTGCATCGAAATACCTACCAGGTAGTCCATTATAGCCTCACCGTGAGGAGTCGTAATACTCGGAGTCTTCCCTTCACAAAACAACAGGGTTAGATTGGGGGATACATGTATAGAGTGCTTTCATGGATAAAAATGTACCAGGAAAATCATCAAATCATGATAACTAAGAAAAAAGAAAAAAAGATACCAGAACAGGCGACCTAGAGTCCAGCCGCCGCTCATATGCCTATTCCGTGTCTATACGCCGTCCTCATCCCTTTCCCTTCCCATGTCTGCCCATTCACATCATCATTCAAGGGGAATCCGTTCGTCGGTCGAACCCCCATCCATTCTCCAAGAGCATCGTCGCCTCCTCCAGACTCAGCCCCGCCGTCTCCGGGTAAATCTGCCACACGAGGACGTATCCTACCACGCAGATGGCCGCGTACAACATGAAAGTCAACGACGGGCTCAGAAGCTCCATCAAGGGAAGGAACGTCAATCCGACAATGAAATTGGCACCCCAGTTCGTCGCCGTGGCCACCCCGCTGCCGATGGACCGCACAGCCAGCGGGAATAACTCGCTCTGCATCCACGGCACGTTGCCCAGCCCCAGCGCGTACGAAGCCACGTACACCATGATGCTGACCAGGATGATGAATGCCGCCCCCTCGGGTCCCTCTGCTCCCGCCCCTGCGCCTCCTTCTCCTGTGTCTGGCTCTGGCCCTGGCCCTGGCCCTGGCCCTGGCCCTGATCCTGGCACACCGACCCCAGAGTCTCCAGCCGTAGTAGTGGATGGTGCCTCGGGCACCCCCAGATCGATAAAGGAAAAGCCGTACGCAGAGAGCACCAAGCCGCCGATCATAAAGGGCAACGAGTAGAGCAAGATGCGCCGCCGGCCGATGCGGTCGATGAGGAAAAGCGCCACCACGGTAAAGAGGAAATTGGTCACCGCCACCGTCATGGCCGTCATGGTCGGCGTGCGGAACCCGACGAGCGAGAAGATGGTGGCCGAAAAGTACATCAGCGAATTGAACCCGCACAGCTGCTGCAAGCCTTGCAGCAGGCAGGCGATAGTGAGCGCGCGCCGGTTCCGCTGGACCGCCACCAACTCCCGCCAACCACCCCACCACTCGAGCCGCGGCGAACCCTCGCGGCGCATGGCCTCGCGCTCCCCGCGGATCTCGTCCTCAATCTCCCGCACCACCGCCGCCGCCGTCGCCGCCATCGCCGCCCCTCCGTTGCTGCCGCCCGCCACCTGCGCGACCACCCTCTTCGCCATGGCCGACCGGCCCACCATGACCAGCCACCGCGGCGTCTCGGGCATGTACATGACCACCGAGAGCTGCAGGGCCGCCGGCAGCGCCCCGAGGCCGACCATGTAGCGCCACGCCGAGACGCGGTCGCCCCACACGGAGAGGGCCCAGCCGACGACGTAGGCGACCACCTGGCCCAGGGTGATGGAGAGGACGTTCATCGTCACGAGCCGGCCGCGGTGCGAGGCCGGCGCCAGTTCGGCTAGGTAGAGCGGCACGACGAAACTGGCGGCCCCCACGGCGGCGCCGATGACGGCACGGCCGAGGACCATGGATGTGACTGTGTGGGCGGATGACTGGAGCAGGGCACCTATGATGAAGAGGAAGTCGGCCAGGAGGAGGACGCGGCGGCGGCCGAGAGCGTCGGCGACGATGGAGGAGAAGGGTGATACGATGAGGGCGAAGAGGGCTGTGCTGGACGTGATGATGGATTTGTCGAATGACGTGAGCTCGCGGTCGGAGAGGGACGTGCCGATGGAAACGAGGGCGGCCGAGATGACTCCTGTGTCGTCTATATAAAAAGTACGATGCGTTAGTCTCTCGAGGAAGAGAAGGAAGGACGAGGTCCCGGGGGGGGCCAAAAACGTACATCCGAAAAGCAGGCCGCTGATGCATGCAGCCATGGTGAGCAACCACACGAAAACCCCGGCCCGCGCAGAGGGCTGACCCGGCTTCGGCAGACCGACAAGGTCCAGCTCGGCGGCGATATCACCGTCATCGGCGGCGTCGGCGTAGTAGTCCTCCTGTTGGAGGAGAGCGGCAGAATCGTCGCCGGCGTTGCGGCCAGGGTCCTTGCCGTGATCCCGGTCCTGCCGGTCTGCCATGAGCGGCGCCCCGGCAGACTGGGACGAAGGCATGGCTATAGCCTATCCGTATGGATGGGGCTGGGTGGGAAGAGAGCGCAACGGACGAAATGCCAGAAGCCCGCGGAGCTTTCTCAACGTGCGGGCATGGCTTGTTCTTGTTTGTTGTTTTTTTCTTCCAGACGTGCGCTTCGAGGCCAGATGTCACGAGTTGAGAGAAACAGTGGGTTATTAATTAGGTGGGTGGAGGTCGTTGTCCGAAGTTCTGGTGTGGATCCCGTTGTGCGTATCGAAAAAGCAATGATCATCTGTCATTGGCTGGACTTAGTCATCAATTTCGGTGAGCTATCCTTCTTCACCGAGCGATACCGCGTGCGTATTCGTACAGGTATCCATCCGCACAGAGGGTAGTTCGTGATCGTCTGTGTACGAGGACTTATACTCCATACAGACATGAAGGAAACTCCATGTCAAGCTGAATGTACTTTTATACCTAGAACATGCAAAGGGCTGGACAACAGATGCAAAAAGTACAAAATTCCAGTTAATTTGTTCCCCCGAGTCGCTACCGCGATCGCTACCTTGGAGCGTCTGAATATTCGCAACAGTCTTCCCCGGCCCCCGTTCTGCTCCTTTCATCGATGTCGAGGTTTATTTGACTCTAGACCTGATAAATAAGTGGAAACTTCCAACACAATATAGGGGACACCTGTTCGCCCTCCTCTCCTGGTCGCCTTTCGCCGACTATCACCCAGACCACTCCAAGATTCGTTAGGTATATAGGCAAGATACGGAACAAAAAAAGAAGAAAGAAAAAAGAAAGAAAAAAGGCTCTCCTATTTCGACTTGTAATATATAGGAACAGAGGACAGTAAATCAGTTAGACCGGCGCCTGGTCGCCTCGTTCAGGGTATAAAGTCTGCGGGTGAACGGCAGCGGATGAGGTCTGCCATGTCCCGGACAGTCTCGTCTTAGTCACGGGGATGTTCCGCAACGCAGCCAGGTCCCAATCCGATATCGAAACCGAAACCGACCCCGCGCTCGACCCGCGGTCTCGTTCCGCGTCCTTCCCGCTGCTGATCGAGCTTCTGATGTCGTCGCTGTTGCTGTCATGGTCGTTGTTGGACATGCCCCCGCTGCTGTCGGTCCGCGAGTGCGCCGGCCCGGCGACTTGCTGCCCCGGGCGGCTCCGACTGCTGCTACCGCTGCTGCCGCTGCTGCCGCTGCCGCTGCCCTGCGTCGGCCGCGAAGACGTCGTGCTCCGCCGCGACACCATCACCGTGGTCGGGTCCATCGGGGTCGGCGACTGGATCCGCAGCTGCCCCACGCCGTAGTCCCACCCGCCGCCGCCGCCGTAGCGATGCACGCAGTGCGGTTCCTTGAGGCCGCAGTAGTGCGTGATGACCTGGTAGACGCGCAGCTGGACCTCGTCGGCGGTGGGGCGGTCGTCCGGGTTGGCCGAGAGCATGCGGGCGACGACGTGGAGGATCGGTACCACGCCGCGAAACACGGTCGCGCCGTCCGCGTCGGACGCTTTCTTCGTGGCCTCCTTCGCCAGCGTCGACATCCACGTCTCCACCTGGCCCAGGTTTTTGTGGAACGAGGAGTCCGGCACCGCCCCTCCCCGGCCTGCCTTCTTGTTCTTCGACGCCCGGTGCGTGGCGAAAGACTTGGTGCTCTTCTTGAGGAGGAAGCCCGCCATCTCCAGGAGCACGCACCCGAGCGAGAAGACGTCGGCCGCCTGCGCGTCCAGCTGCGGGTTGGGGGACTGTAGCATGGCGCTGGGGCTGCTGGGGTTGTCGTTGCGTGGGATGGAGAAACTAGTACGATTCTCGGGTGACGTCGACATGGCGCCCTGCGCGCCCTTGCTCTTGCGGTTGCCGGCAGTGTAGCCCGATGGACCCGTCGTGGGTCGAAACCATTGTTCCGGCGCGGCGTAGTCGTATGATTCACGGTCAAACGAGGAGGAGGACTTTTCCGGCTGTCCCGTTAGCGCGTCGGTGCTCATTCGCGTAAAGTCGGAGAACGAGATGTGTAGCTGATTGGTAAGGTGGATCGTTGATGGCTTGATATTGCCGTGCGAATATCGACGGCTGTGAATGTAGGCGAGAGCGTCTACTAGGCAGAGGATCCAGTTCATGACGAGGTGTCGCCGCTCTTTCTTGGGGAGGTTCCTGAAGCTCGACGGCGCGCTACCGAGGAACGACTTGAGGGACGAATCCATCGCTGGGGTGAACAGGACAAAGCCGACGCCTTGGTGGATGTACGATGCGAAATAGCATACAAGGTGGTGGTGCTGTATGCCCTTGATGCTGCTGATGGCTTCCTGGAAGTCTGCGGACGTCAAGCCTCCGGGACTGTTGGTGTGACTGAGAGGTATCCGGCGACGACAAAAGACGCGACCGGGCCAGTTGGGAAGCGCGACCTTGTCGATCGAGTGGCTGCCGAGGAGTGACGACCGGCGGTCCGCCGAGTCTATTGGAACTATGTCATGGTCTAGGTAGACGATGTGTTCTCCTTTCTGGAGGAGCTTCATGGTGTAGTGGAACTGTCGCAGGAAGAACTTCCTGTCCATCCTGTCATCCCTGACAGCCGTCAAGGCCAGACGCTCCACCTGGTCCTCGGCGATGGGTAGGTCATGGTCGTCCCACGAATCGTCGATGATGCCGAAAATCTGATCCGGGATGTTCAGGTCGACGAGTATAAGAAAGATGCGCTTGGCCTTGGTGTTGATCCACTCCCAGTACGTGCCGTCGGTCAAGCCGTCGCCGAAACCGAGCGACTGATCCAAGCGCTCAATTTCCTGGGGCAGCAGGTGGCGACAGACGAACTGGCGGGTGACGGTAGCCTCTATTTTGGCAGAGTCCCACCACTGAACCATCGTGATGATACCTCCTCGGCCTCCGCGACACCTGCATCACGGGTACGTGGGAATCGAACGCTCTCTGGAACGTTGGTTGAGCTGTTGGACTCGCCAGCCGAAGGGAGTTATAGAAAAGCCACGGAGACGGGCAGAACCGTCTCGTGAGTTTTCAAGATCCTCCCTTCTCCGCCGAAAATTGCGTGTGATGTCCTGGAGAACTGGGTCTGTGGAGGTGAGGGGGCGAGCCGTACCAAGTCGAGTCGGTGAAGGAGAGCTATCACTGTCGTGCGTTCTTCGTGCCTCTCTCTGGGGGTGAAAGCGTTCAACGAGTCACGGCTCGATCTCTGCGAATGCTCGTTATGGGCCAAGCGGAAACAGCTGGTCGAGGTGAATGGTGGATGAGGGGACGATGATGGTTGAGGTGCGACTGATGTACGAAGAATGCCCTGATGATTGATGATCCTGGTCGTCCTACACGTAGAGGTCGTTAGACTTCAGTGAGAAGGGGGGAAAGGTGGGGGGGTGGAGGGGGGCCTTCCAGTCAAGTCGGCCTTATCAGATGGGGCGGACAGACGCCTCCGGTTGGTCAACACAATTAATTGGCCTGAGAGAAGCGTCTGATTGGACGAAGGTGGTGCTGATAAGAAAGCATGGGGATCATGGACTTTCGCGAGTGTTTTACACGTAAATCCAAGAGTGACATGAGATGACATGTACTTACCTAAGTACCTTACTCTTCTGTGCGGAGTACGATGGTTGCAGACCACCTTACGTTGTGCGAATAGTAAAGTAGTTGGGAACTGCTGGAAAAGAAGTTTAAATTGGGAGCAGGCGG